ACCATGGGCGACAGTGGTCCTGGCTCGACTCAAACACTGCTCATTTCCAAGAGAACCTGTCCGCAAGTTCAATGGCTGGGCCTCGTCTAGTGAACAAAGTCAATACTCCAAGTTCTCTGAGATGCCGCGTTTGTGGAAAAGCTGGGCTCGGAATGTCTTTGATATCAACACTTCAGGTAGTGCAATTTGGCTCAAGAGAAAAGAGTTAAGTATAAATCGACACTGGAATGCATTCAAATGCTATATATATAAAACTCGTTGTATCCTTCATTAACCGCCAGTGACTTCTCCACATCGTTCAATACCCGACTGTAGTGACCATCGAGCGTAGGATCTGTCGACACTATGATGCTTCCAACTTATTTTTTGACGGGTACAGCAGTAAACCCACAAACCGCCGCACTGGCAGTAATCGATTTGCCATAGTACTGCCAAATATTGTATGTATTGGCGCACTGCAAGCAGGCATCGTAACGAGCAATCCACTGGTAGTTCGTGCAGTAATCCGCCTCACGGGACAATGTGATCGAAATCCCTTGGGTTCATCACCGTTAGGAGTCATATAAGTTAATTTAGCTGACCCTCAAACGCTTACCGCAATTCTCATGGCAGAGGTAAGCAGGAGTGCCTGGGGCAGGGATGTCTTGGCGTTTGGCGATGGGTATGGACTCGGGAAACTTCCATGAGACTTGATTGCGGTTGACAAGAGGATTGGCAGAAGCCAGGGAAGCGACGAACGCCACGGTGCAGGTGGCAGATAAACGCATGTTGCTTGTGTAATAGACTCTTGAATGCTTGCAACTGATGATATGTAGGCTTTGTAAAAGACTACTGGTGATTCAAGAAAGGCCGTCTGCCAACCTCGAGAGTTTTGATTAGCTTTTATACCTTTACGCTCACTAAACGCTACCCAGCTCTTTTCTCACTTCCACTTTTTAGCATGCCGAGAGGTCTTTTCCAAAGAACTAACACCAAAGCCTCTGGGCCGAAGTGGTCGCCGATATCGCCGGCGCTATTGGGAGGATCAGATCTTGGCGAGCGTTTTTCAAGAGTATCATCACACGATGACGCCCGGTAAGAAGCGGATTTCCGAGCGTTTTCGGTGGAGCCGACTCGTCCGAGGCAAGGTAATCTTATCAGACCATCTGATGATCAAGATCCCTGCTGAGCCATGGATGAGACTGCTTAATGGGATCTCCATATCCGACATCCCCGGCGTGAGCGCGACCCACAGAGTTTAATTTGCGAGACCGTTAGGTAAGTGGCAACGGCAGTCTTGGTTTCGGCCGTCTCTCAGTCCATATGCTAGATATTCTGTTGTGGAATTACACTCAAAACACTTTATGTTCGCCCCATTTCTGAAGAAAGGGGCTGAAGTGAGATACCTGTACCTTCCATGCAGAACCATGTGTCCATTTCACGATAATAAGAACTGTTTGCAGCTTGCAACGTTCGCCCGCTTATATTCAAACACATGGTTAATGGTGAAGGAGACGACCTCAGTGTATTTCGCACCATGAGCGATTATCCAAAACATGTCTTGCCTATATTAGCCTCACTGACATTACAATATTGAGGACTTCATTACAAATCTCTCGAAACGGGGTTATTCAACATCTCATTTCTTAATATTTTGCAGCGATGGAATGATGTATGGAAGGTGCGATATCAAATCCGAAACACAAGGTCATGAGTTATAATTAGTTGAGTGCTCCTCCGAAATTTTCTACTTCTACATTGATCAAGATTTACATGTCCAGAATATCGATGGAGTGGTCTCGTCTAGATCTTTGAGGTTCGTATACATTGAATTTAACTCAGAAGAAGGTCCAGTAGATTCGCGAGTCTATCATGGAAACTTTTAGTCGAATCCGGAACCGTCTTTCTGCCTGTATAACTATTCACTCAAGCAAACCGAAATAAAACAAGCAGTGGCTAGTAATCTTGAAGTGGACCGTCGGGAAAGAACTCTTTCAAGTCTTCCTTCCTCATCTCATTAAGAACAGAAGACTTGCCCAAACCTGCTCTCAGCTCGGCCACTTCTTCAACTCTTCCAACCGAAGTCAGCATATCTATCAACCTGACGCGGCACTGCAACGTTTTCTGCGCAATGAAACCCCTTTGTACTCCATCGTCAATTCTACTGCAGGCAAGATCGCCCACTGGATGGACTCTTGGATAAATAAGATAGCCAATTCTGTGTCCTCGTGCTCGAAATACAACGACATGCCCACCTTGTACATGAACAAATAACGTAATGGCGTTGCATCCCAGTGCTCCTGCAAGGCCGTATTTACGTCAGTGAGCAGATAAAGTCCCCTTTCGTACACTTCAAGGGTTTCTTTGTTTGATAAGTCAAGTCTGCGGGCCATAGCTATCAAGGTAAGTGCTAGTAAGTGATGTTCATATGAACCCTCTCCACGCTCGTCGATTGAGCTCCGAATCAACCGTTTGAGGCTGCTCCGAAGATTCTGGACGTATCTCTCGCGATCACCATTGCTGCTCGTGGAGGTCGCTCGAAACCTTGCTTCAATACTGCTAAGATCAAATTCTCCGCGAAGTTCTGTGTAGCTGTCGGCTACTATCTTTCTAATCATTTCCAGAGCGTGGTGATAAGTTCGGTCAGTCTCCGTCGAAAACAGTTGTTGCATCGCGGCGGCAGCGAGACTAATGGGTTGTCCAGGATTTTTGATACTAAGCATTCGAGAAAGATGAAGGAGGTACCACTGCAGGGTTTCTGTCCGCTCGCAGTTGTATAACAATTGAGGAATGGAAATGAGTAAGCTATAATAGAATCTGATTGGTTCCTGCTCGATCTCGATGATTCTTTCAGCCTCGCGAAATGCTTGACAGAGGATGGAGCCACAGTTGGTGAGGTCCCCCATATAAAAAAACTCGAAAGCGAGTTGGAATTTCTGAAACGCATTTGTTGCAGCTGTAGATACCAAATCGTAATGATTCGATTTGCTCCAAGCAAGATCTCGCCGGGCAGTGTCTAGTATGATTTCGCGGATGTAGGCATATGTCTTTTCAGTCCATTCGTATAGTCGATTTCCGTGGAGCATTGCTCTGGCGAATCTTGGGGTATCCTGGGCAAAATTGCGCTTCGAATTGCTCGTGAGACGATATCCAGCGTTGTGGATGGAGATCTGGCTGACGTGTCGCCTAGCTGGTCTCCGACATTTGGCTGTCCCGCGACATGTCTCTATCAGAACGCCCTGGGCCCGGCTTTGTTGGTGCGCTTTCGTGTGTACTTTTTCCAGTTCCGTTTTTGAAATTGGCGCTTGTACATTCTTTTCCTATCAGTGTCAAATGCTAGCAAAACACAGTTTGGCGTTGTGACGCGTAGATTCAGAAAACTCGCGTAGCTGAAAAGGAATGTGTATTCGACATAAGATCTATGAATTCCTTAAGTGGAAGGTTTCCATCGAGGTAGAGACGTCGAATCACATTCTTCTTTGCATCCCAGTCTCCTTGGGACTCGGGGCGAGGGATCCGCGGTCGACTGGCGATGGTTGATACAGCTGTGATAATAGGATCCGAAGCCAGGGAGGGGCGAAAAGCAAGATCTTGCAGCAGGATTGACGCCCCTGGCGAAACGATGAACTCGGTGCACGCCGTGGGATCGAAGGGTTGACACTTGGGTGTAACCAAGTCATCTTCGACGCTGCCATGAAACGTGAAGTCTGTCAATGTGGATAAAACGAGATCGGAATCCACGGTTGACCAATTTCCAGATTATGGTGTTGTATAGATGCCAGGTGAAGAAACAATGACGATGTAGCAAGTATGAACAAGAGGACTCGGGCTCTGCGGTATTGAGCTGGATCTCGAATGGCTCGAAGGAATGCACACATGATGGCTCTGGGAAAAGAAGGAGCTTAATACGTAAGTGTATGAGAAAGCGAAAGGATCATGGACTGCTAAAAGGTCCAAAAAAGCCCAAGATGAGGCTACGTCTGCCTTCAGTCTGACCGCAAATCGGGGTGCTACAAAAAAGCAGCCCTGGTTCGCTCCGAGACGCGAGGTCTTTTTGAGTGCTGGCTGCCGACAATTGGACGCCACAATCGCATGCCAGGCGATAGGATCCACTTCGTCCCAAGACAAGTCCCGAGCGCTTCTTCCCGGGGATGGATGGTAAAAGTTCCTCGCATAGAGCCAATGAAAGTTGAGAGTAGCACCAATCCGTTGGAACTCATTCAATGATTGAACCCCATCCGAATTTGACACAGCGTTCACATAATTGGTGTCCATTGCCAACATCCTGCTCTGTAACCCTAACCAGCCTGTACGACTTGTAAAATCAGATATCTTTCCGTGTCGTTCACTCCAGCCGGCAAGGAAATGAAGGGGCAATAGAGAAGAACGAGCTCTCGCACCCTCGGCAATATGGTTTACGCCAATGTCTCAACAGATGCTATTGTTTGCCAGTATGAAGTTAGCAAGATGAGCTTGTAGGAACCTTCTACGGCAAAGTCTCAAAGAGAGTGAACATGGATATATGGGCAGAGACTACGGAGATTCTCAAGCCTACCAATATGCCACGAGCTCAACCCGAAGAACATTTCGGTGCTATCGAGGAACGGAATGGTTCGCCCAGCCGAGGGACTGTCAGCAAATGGAAAGCTCCACTCTGTACAGTGTCAACTCAAAGGAAACTGTGCTGAACCGGGGCATTTGGCCTGGTCATACAGTACTAATATTTCTCCGTACGGTGGGTTCCGAATCAGGCAGCCAGACTAAGAGCTGTGCCGCACCACCGCCTGGAGGCCGCTTCTCCTCCGCCATCCTCGACATCCCTCGTCCTCGCACCGCCGTTCCCGACCTTTGGTCCTTTTGACCAAAACCTCAAGTTTTACCTTTATTAGTCGACCCTTCGCTTCTCGGCCTTTACTTATGCCCGTTGGGTATTCTCGTTTCTCCTGACTTCGCCGTCAGTGTAAGTCAGACGCGATCCTCAGCTAGATCTCGAGATGTCGCATTCTATCCCCCGAGACACGATGAACCAGAGGCCAAGCAAGCTTCGGAAGCAGACGCACCACGGGCCCCTCTTCGCCACGGGCCCTGTGCCGTTGAGCACCGACGGCTTTGCCTCGCTTCCGCCTCGCTGGCCGCCTGTCGAGTACTCCCTTGCCGACTTCTACCACGGGCCCGCCATCTACGGCGAGAATGCCTGGCCCCAAGGCCATGGAGTTGGTCAGATAGACCAGCCCTTTGCCAAACCTTTGCCCACGGACGACCAATCGGGACTTTCCTTTCTTCAGCCTGCCTCGTCGCTCACCCAGGTATCTCCCCGGGCGTTGAGCACCGTGTCCAGTGTGACCTTCTCTTCGCCCTCTGTCGTCTCCCAGCCATCTTCTGCCGAGTCGGGTGTGTCACCGACCCATACGGAGTTTCCGTACGAGTTGCCGACAAGGAAGACGTCGCCTTCCACTACTTCGTCTGTGACTCAAAGTGCCACCCAGCCATGTGGCAACCAGGCACAGAGCCGCTACCTCTGTCTTACTCTCCCACCACGACATCGTCGCACTGGGGTCCAAGACTTGGAGTCTAAATGCAAGACAGTCCATACACACACTTGCAACTGGGCCGGTTGCACCCAACCAAGCTTCTCCACCAAGGACGGCCTCACGTGGCATGTCAAGCTGGAGCACCTTCTCATCTGCCCAGCGCCAGGTTGTACCGAGAGTTCGTTCCAGACCAAGCAGATCCTCGAGAGTCACATCAGATGCGCCCACCCGGAAGCTAGCGGTGAAAACAAGGGCCAAGGCCAGGAGCATAAGATAAAATCAAAACCGGTGGCTCAGGCCATGGCTTCCACGAACTCTTTCCAGGGATCCAGCGTCGTTGTAGCGCCACCACAGAACCCCAACGAGGATCGGGCCATCAAGCAGGTACTGTCTGTGGCTATTTCCAAGAAGAAGTGCCGTGAGCAACTCAGGAACGTTGTCGAGAAGAAGTTTAGAAAAAAAAATGGTAGGTGCCTGATGTCTGTCAAATGCGACTGTTCATCTGACGCGACCAGGCCAAACCCCACGAGCAGCGGACAGCCCGAGCGACTTCTCCCGAGCTCATCTGTGCCAGCTAACAGAGAAAGAAAGCTTCCCTGTCGTCTGGGAACACGGCGTCCTCCCGTTCCTCGTCGAGTTCATCCCTAAATGGTGCGGGCCGAACCACGTCGTCAGCGTCACCCGCGGTAAGACGCCAGGGTCCCGACGGGTCTGCATCATGACCAAGACAAAGCCATCTCGAACTCGCCGCATCATCATCGCAGCACACGTCAGAGACCTCCTCCCCGAAAACCATCGATCCACCGTCACATTTGTCTTTGTCACCGGCGCCGTCGACCGCATGGTCTGGGCGAGAGGGCTGAGCAAGGAGATGCCGGACGAGGTCTGCCTGGCCAGGAACCCGTACTACTTCAAGAACCCGTGCATGGGCGACAGCATCGGCGTCGACGGCACCGACGACTTCGCGGAGAGTACTTCCACTCTGGGCCCCTGCTTGCTCGTTGGCGGCGGCAGCTACTGGCTTGCCAACTTCCACCCCTTCGTTGACGCCTACCAGCACCTATCATCGGTCAACGTGGAGCATCCCTCTCCCAGCGACCGGGCAAGATGCATCGACGAGCGGCACGACGCCATGCCTGACACAGACTTCACGATCGGCAGCCTAACCGCCACCTCCGGCATCGACCTCAAGACCACCCGCATTTCCCACGACCCCTACTGGGAGGAATGCGACAAGGAACCCCCTTTGATCGTGACCGACTGGATCCTCATTGCGTCCAAGACCCGCCAGGCAAACATCCTCCGCCGGTTCCCCTCCGACACCATGCCGCTCCTGAAAGAAGTCCCTGTCAAGATGACAAGCGCAGTCGTCCCGGGCGCGACCGTAGTCTCCACCGGACGCACGTCGGGCCAACAGCGCGGCCAGATCTGCGAGATCCCAGCCTACATGAGCGCCGAGGAGAACGGCACCGGCAAGGCCACGCGCGAGTGGTTCGTCGAAGAGCCGTACCCCTTTGACGACGAGGAGGGCTGGATCCGCGGGGGCATCGGCGTCGAGGGCGATAGCGGCGCCGCCATCGTCGACGTCGACACCAACGCCCTCGTCGGCCAGCTCTGGGGGCGCAACAAGTACTTCGGCACGGGCCCCCGCCTGACCTTCTTCACGCCAATCGGCGACCTCTTTGACGATATCCAGGAGCGGTGCGACCAGCAGGCGCGGCCGCAGCTCCCGCAGTACCGTGACGAGTCGGACTGCTACCCGGTCGACCCCAGCTGCCGGCAATGCTTCGACCTGCGCGCCTACCTCGACAGCCGCCGCAACTCGCGCGAATCGCTGCGCTCCATGATTGGCCGCAACGAAAGCGACCACGGCGACCTGACGTCGGTGGGGGGCACGTCGGAGCTCGCCACGCCAAAGGACCACGCGTTCTGGTCTCGCAGCAGCTCAGGCGTCGAGGAGGTCGGGTCGTCGTTCACCAGCATCATGTCACCGTCGCCCACTCACCCCTTCTCCTTCACCCCGCAGCCCGGCACCCCGGGCATCGTGGACGTCAAGAGCCCGTACGCCCTCACGCTTAGCGCGGAGGACCTGTACGACGAGGAAGGGTTCGCTCACTCAACGGGCGTCGCCCCCGGCAAGCGTGCAGCTGCGGCGCCCCTTGTGCGGAGTTCAAGTCAGAATGCCAAGAGGCAGAGATTGCATTGAAATCTAGTCTCCTCGGGGCTGGGATCCCGTGCATCAGCCGGGGAACCCGCCTCTCGCCATCTTCTTGGCCCTCTGGTCTCGCCGGTTGTGGTTCGCCCTCGAGCCCTTGCTGGCCTCCTTTCTCCTCCGCGCGGCCTCGGTCTCCTTCTCGCCCGTCGGGCCCGCCACGTTGCCGCCTCCCCTCCCGCCGCCTCTGCCACGTCCACGACCCCCGCGAGCACGGCCGCCTCTGCCGCCCCTCGACGAACTTCCTCCGTCGGGGTCGGACTCCTCGGCGCCTGAGCCAGCCGGACTGGCTCGCCATGCCGTCGACAAGATCTCGGTCTGGGTGCCGGTGAACGCCGCGGCGCCGTTGTACTTGGCCTCGAGGCGTCGCTTCTGGCCGGGATTCCTTGAGAGCATCACAGCCCAGCCCTCAATCGCCTCGTCTGTCATGCCCGTGTCCTCCCTCAACTTGCTTCTCGCCGGGCCTCTCCTCGTCGTAGCCTGTCTGTCGAACACGGCGGGATCCGCCTGGAAGGCCTTGTACAGCGTCTCCTCGCTGGCGTCCTTCTGTCCGTCCGCCTCTTCGTTGGCATTGTCTACTGTTCCGCCAACATCGTCTGCGTCGTAGGTATCGTCGCGCTCGTCGTCGTCCGAGTCGAACGCCGCGAGCGCGGACAGGATCGCCGCCTTGTTGGGTGCGGTGGATCTGTCCTTGAGGACGTCGTCGGCCGTCCTCTCGGGGGCCTTCTTTCCGAAATGGAGTCTGGAAACATCTAGTTCTAGTCTATCAAGTTCATCATCGTCAAAAACGTTATGGCGCTGCGGTAATTGCGGGGGCGTCGGTCTGGGTTCGAGCTGGCTCTTTCTTCTCTCAAGCCTGGGTGACCTGTCACGTGTTAGCAGTAGCCCATAATGAACCAGAACTCGTGAAAAACGTACAGCTGCGCCGCACGATCTGCCGTCGCGAGGTGCGGCGGTAGCGAGTCCTCGAGCAAATGCGCCGTGACGACCTCCGTGTTATCGCCGTACTCGTCAAACAGCTTTGAAATGAAACCCGAGCCCAGGTCAGGGAACAGGTCCTGGATGAGCGAAATCTGGCTCTGTCGGTGCATGTGCAGCTCGACCTGGAGCTGCCCCTCGTCCGCCACGTCCTTGCCCTTGCCCTTGTCGACCTTTCTCTTGACGAACCTCTTGGGCTTCATCATGCCGCCGCCCGGCTTCCGGAACCCTTCGAGGGCAGAGATGCGCGACTTGAGCGCCGTTGACGCCGCGCCCTTGTCCTCGGCCTTCTTCAGCAGCTGCTTCAGCACAGGCGTGACCGTGACCAGCTCCGCGACAAGCGAGTCGTTGACGTTGAGGGGCCCGGCCTTGTGCGTCTCGGCGGCGGACTTTAGCGAGAAGAGCACGTCCGCCAACATGCCGAAGCGGGGCTGCTCGCCCTCCGTCAGGCCGATGAGGCCCACGTAGGCCGTCGCGACGAGGACTTTGCGGAGGGGCGGGTTGGTGATTTTGAAAGCCGAGACGAGGCCGTCGAGGAAGTCGCTCCCCGCGAGGAAGAAGGCCGCCGCGTGGGGCGAGGCGTGCAGGAGGTGGTTGAGGGTCGCGAGGCGGGCCTCGAGGGACTTGAGGTCTGCCTTGAGGCCGGCTTCGAGGGATTGGGTGAGGGACTTTTTGAGGCCCGCTAGAGGCTGTTCGAGCGCGGAGCTGTGCAGGTCGAAGGCTTTTGCAAGAGTGGAGGGGGCGTTTTTGCGGTAGAGTTTGCTAAATGCGCCGAGGAAGGCCGGCGTCGTGAGAGCCACGGGGGGAGGGTGTGAGGGCGTCGTGAGGAGCCGGGATGTGAGCGTGAATGTCGACCTAAGAAGAGCCTTGGAGTTTGCGGATGAGCCGAGGACAGGTGAAGGCCCTGCGTTGGCGACTTCGGTGACGAAGGATGAGAGGAAGGGCGGGATGGAGGAGTCTTCTTTTGAGGCGGCTTTCGAGAGCTGGACGTCGGTGAGGGCGAGGTAGGCCAGCGTGAGCGTCGTCCAAGCTTCGAGAAGGGATTCCCAGTCCTGCGGTGTGAGTTTGGCGCGCCATTGTGAGGACGGGAAGGGAACGAGGGGCGGTAAGGAGCTCGCCATTTTGGAGGTGCGTGGTGAGTTTGGCGGGGTATTACGGGAGTGAGATTTATCGTAGAGCGCGGGACTGGAGAGGTGGCTCTACGGGAGAGCTTTTCGTCGTGTTTTTATCGCGCATATGGGGGATGCTTTGCACGAAGAAGATGCGTTGAGGTGAGTGAGATGTAGTAAGAGGCAAGGCTACCTCATGAGATGTCGTCTCTCGCCGGATGATTCATTGACGTCGGTGCCGGGCGCAGATGCAGTGAGCTTTCGGCGGAGCTTGATGCGGAAGTGGGCTGGTCGGTGGGGTCTGTCGTTCAGATGCCAGCGGGAGAGGTACGTACCGTATTCCTCGACAGTCAGTCGCCATGCTAATCCCAATAGGGACTAGCTGCTCCCCTCCGGTAAAGCCCTACCTCTAATCCCCACGAAAAAGTTCGCGATCCCGCCCCGAACTTTTCGCTTTTTCCCTTCAAGCTTTCGATAGCCAGATTCATCAGCCTTCATCACTTTGCCGCAACCAAGCCGTTCGAGTCGTGAAGGAACCTCACTCTCCCTCTCCAATACACCCCAATCAACCCACACCGAACCACCTCCGTTCACCAACAACCGTCAACATGTCTTACAACAAGGACAAGGACTTCGGCGAGGCGCCCAAGACGCACAAGATCCGCATCACCCTCTCTTCCCGCAAGGTCCAGTCCCTCGAGAAGGTCTCCGCCGAGCTCATCGAGCGCGCCAAGTCCAAGGACCTCCGCGTCTCCGGCCCCGTCCGCCTGCCCACCAAGACCCTCAAGATCACCACCCGCAAGACCCCTTGCGGTGAGGGTTCCAAGACCTGGGACTGCTTCGAGATGCGCATCCACAAGCGCCTCATCGAGTACGTTTTCCCCCCTGACGTGACAGATGCAAGTGCCACGGAGAAAGAATACTAACGGTCGCAGCCTCAACGCCCCCACTGAGATCGTTAAGCAGATCATCATCAACATCGAGGCCGGTGTCGAGGTTGAGGTTACCATTGCCGCATAAGCGATTGGAGCACCAAAGACAAGAACGGACGTTGTTGTTGTAGGAGGGACGACGGTATGGGCTCTGGCTTGGGAATGCCGCGTCGCGAGCGACGAGGGTGCCGAAAGGCCAATTGTTGACCCGGCAGGAGCGGCGGGACGAGTTAGGAGGTCCAGATACCACCCAAATCAACTGATGACCCCCATCTAAATACCTTGCGCTATGTTTTGTGACGTGCCACTTACTCGCAATCCGAAATGAATGTGTATGGCTCACCAAGTATTTATGAAAGAAGCCAAGTGGCCATGTGCTTAATAGGCTTGAAAAAATACTGAATATTTGTAAAAAAGAGTATAGGTGCGCGCACGCCTCTCACCGGCGCAGGCAGCACCGTTATATCGTCTACTCAAGATGCCGTACCCCGCCCTCTTTTCACTGATTGATCCTTAATCATCAACGCCATGCAATGCCGGTTCCTTATAAGAGTACAGAGGTGACCCTGCGGACTCACCTCATCCCCCCAGTCCATCCCCTTTACAAATCCCACAGGCAAAACTCCCGCTTCGGCGGCAACTCGGGCATCAGCCCCTCGAACTTGCCCGTCTGCGCAAACGCCTGCCATTGCTGCCTCGACTTCTCATCATAGGCTTCGTCCGGCAGTTCAGTGTCCTTGTAGTAGTTGGGTGGGCCGTCGGGGAACCATATCCTCGTCCACGCGCCGTTGAACGCCCTGATCCCGGGGAGGTTGTTCTGGTAGGTCACGGGCTTGCCCTTCCAGTTGGATAATCGCCCGTCCATGCCCTTGGCGCTGTAACTCGACACCGGCGGGTGCTGCTTCGAGCTCCCCGGCGGGTACGGCCCGCTTCCGGGCGCGGCCGCTTGTTGTACGGCCGGCGCAGCGGGCTGGGTGCCGAAGGGGTTTGATGCTGCTGCTCCCCCACCCAAGCCGCCCGCAGGCTGGCCAAAGGGCGATGCATTGTTCTGACCAAAGGGGTTGGGCTTCTGGCCGAGCTGAGCCGGCTGGCCGAAAGCACTGGTTGATTGCGCGGGTTGTGTCGGCTGCGCTGCCATTGACGCGGATCCGAATGCACTGGGCTGGGACTCTGGCTTGGCACCAAAAGGATTGCTTGCTGCCGGTTGTGTCGGCGCGGGCTGGCCGAACGGGCTGGCGGAAGCTGTTTGAGACGGTTGGCCAAAAGGGCTAGGAGTTGCAGTCTGCGCGGGTTGACCGAATGGACTCGCGTTAGACTGCGCAGGAGCGCCGAATGGACTAGCATTCTGCGCCGTGTTTTGTGATGGTTGACCGAACGGGCTGGCACTGGCAGTGTTCTGTGCGGGCTGGCCAAAGGGACTGGGTGCGTTGGCACCAGGGGCAGCGCTCGCAAAGGGGCTGGCTCCGCTCGACGCGCCCCCAAAGGGGTTCGGCTTCTGTCCCAACGCGCTCGCTTGGCCAAAGGCGCTGCCGGTACTACCAGGCTGCGATGGCTGGCCGAACGCACTGCTGGTGCTACCGCTGGGTTGTGCCGGCTGACTGAAAGCCGGCGCTCCAAATGGGCTCGGCTTCTGGCCTAATGACGATGCTTGACCAAAAGCCGTCGTACCACCTCCAAGCGCGCTGGGTTGTCCAAAAGCAGAGGTGGACTGGGGGGTCTGGCAAAAAGCTGGGCCGGAGCTTTGGCTTGGAGCTCCAAACGCCGACGTAGGTTGTGACGGCTGCCCGAATACCGATGAAGGCTGCGAAGGCTGACTAAAGGCAGGCGTGCCAAACGGGTTTGGGCGCTGTCCCAGAGCAGCTGGCTGACCGAAGGCACTCCCCGTCGCCGCTGCGGTGCTGGCACTACCGCCAAAAGCTGACGATGTTTGCTGACTGTTGGACGAGAAGGGGTTTGCTGTCGTGGCGGAGGACGAGTTTGAAGAGAAGGGGTTCTGCTGGCCAAGTGAAGAGGTGGCCCTTCTCCCAACCGCGAACTCTCCCGTCGTGCCACCCGGCTGTGTCCCTTGCTTGCAGATGTCTATTCTGTTGGGGTGCTTCTGCTCGGCCGAGATGATGAATTGGATCGCCCCATCGAGATTACCAACCGCCGCCTTCATCTGTTGCTGTGCTTGCTGGTACACCTCCTGCGCTTGGCTGAGCTGTGGCAATCGTTAGCCTACTGTCAAACAGGTTCATGGCAAGTGTCCTACCGCTTGTTGAGGGTTTCCTGCGGCCGTCGCCATAAGATGAAGGAGCCTCATCTCCTCGAAACTCTGCTCGCGCATGGGTCCTCCAAAGAGCTGTTCCGGAGCATCCCTACCCGGTCCGTAGGCGGACAAGATCCATTGCGGTGCCTCCGACGTCAGGTCCTTCTCAATGGCTTCTTTCGAGAGCTGGTATGGCAGCGCTGCGTGCATGTAAGTACTTCAGATCGCACAATGCTCGTGGGACGCCCGATTGATGCACGAACCATCATTGCCGCCGCGGTTGAATCCTCCTCCTCCTCCCGAGGTCTGTCCAAAGGCCGCGAAACGATTGTTTGATTGGGATCTCGGGTGCTCGAATCGGCAGTTTTCTGGGTCGCACATGTCAGCTCGTTTGCTTGAACAAGTTCAAAGTCTCCACGACAAGAGACCAATGGATGCGCATCGCGCCAGACGTACGTCCATACCTGCAGTTCCCCTGCTCGTAGAACTTGCAGACCACCATATTGAGTGTCGTGAGCGAAAGTTCTGTAGTAAAGGTTTCGGTGTGGCAGCCGTTATGTCATTTCGGAGGCGTCGCAAGCTCGGGCGGGATCAGCAGGACGATAACCAACAAAGAGGAAGCTATCGATTGTCGCGAGAGCGCGCAGATTGGGCGTCGAGAAAGAAATCGTTTTCAGCCTTTCGCAGCCTTGCTGACGCTGGGCGCTAGCGCGCTGTGGCGGGCCAATGAGAGTAGCGTACAGTGCGCAAGATGCGCGTGACGTATCAACACTGTAGTTGCCTCTTCCATCTAAAGGCGTAACCAACACTGGGGGTTGCATCTTCGCATCCAAGTATGTATATCGGTTCTTTTTCTTCCCATTCGCTGTCTTTCTTTTTTACATACTGCATTGCGGAAATAAAATCCGCGAATACAGCTTCTCTGGGAATCATTACATCACTGTTCGCCGACTTTCTCAACTACATTGTCGTTACCTTCAAACATGTTTAAATCCAGCAATTCTTCAGTTTTCAATATACCGGCTTGATTTTCAGACATCAAATGAAGGTAGACAAAAGTTAGAGTCAATGTGTGGACTGAAATCAATTGCTTCGACTGAGGTATATAAACTATCCCAACACCGCCTACCCAATAACACCAGCAACCATGGGCTTCAGCTGCTCCTCAATGTAGCTAGGGTTCCTCCAGTCAGACCAGTCAGCCTTCAACAGACCCCACGCCTCGTCAAAGTTCTGCGTGCCCTGGCGGATGTAGTAGCTGCCAACCAGCACCCAGATGAAGAAGCTCGCCTGGGCCTCGGGGAGGTACTCGGCCAGACACGATGAGTAGACGTTGAGGTACGTGTCGTCATTCATGTTGAAGCCGAACTCGGTCAGCGCGACGGGGAACATGTTGGCCGTCGCCGGGTCCGTCTCGTTCATGGCCTGGAACCCGGCGTTGTAAAGGTTGTACCGCAGGCTGGAGCAACTGCCGATGCTGCCCTCGTAGTTGTGGATCTCGAGCACGAGCTTGTCGGCGTACCCTTCAAAGTCGGCGAGCGAGAAGGTGCCGTTGCCGGGGCTCAGGGCGGTGCCGCGGAAGACGGGCGCGACGGTCGTGTCGTAGTTGAGGCCCGAGAGGTAGATGAGCACGTCCGGGTTCGCGCCGTTGATGGCGTCGGTGCCCTGCTGGATGTACTTGTACCAGTCCTGCCAGTTGTAGGAGGCGGCGACGAGGTCCGGGTTGTCGGAGGCCTGGCGGAGCTCGTTCCGGAGGGACATGGCTGTAAGTGCCGGCCATGATTTGCCCTGCGATTGTCAGCCGCTGTGAGGATGCTCCGAGACGGGGACACCTACGTGCTCGGCCATATAGGCCAGACCGCGCACCCAATTGGCGGCGATGAACTCGCGGTCTCCCCACCAGGTGTTGCCGTCGTCGCTGGAGCAACACCACTTGCCCTTGGACATGTGGTTGTCGAGGAGGATGTGGACCTGCTGCTTGGCACACTCCTCGGCGATGGCGTCGTAAACCTGGAAGAAGCAAGTCAGCGGGGTATCACACGACGTTGCCCATATCAACTTACCTCCAGACGGGTGGTGGCTTCGGTAAAGGAAGGGTTGTTCGCCAGAACCTGCGCGAGGACGGCAGTGCCGTTCGTCTCGCCCAGGCCCTCGATGAACGCCGTCTTGATGTCAACGTCCTTGCCGTCGTTGGCGTAGATCTGGTCGACGAGCTCGATCGCGTACGTCAGGCGGATGGCGTTCATACCGATGCTCTTGACCTTGGAGACGATCTCCTCAATCGACTTGTACTGCAGGCCCTCGGGGACCATGACCTCGCCGTGGCCGGGCCAGTTGGTGCCGGCAAAGTTGACTTGGTTGCCCGAGGCGTCCTGCTGCCAGCGGCCGTTGGTCGTGAAGGGTCCGTTGGGCCAGCTGGCCTGCCTGGCCTGAGGAAGGGCGACGGCGGCGCAGAGGGGCGCGACGGTGCTGGCGACGGCCAGGAGAGAGCTGAGGAACTTCATTGTGTCTGGAGCCTGGGGACTGGATATAGGGAGTCCAGGAGGTTGGCACAACACAGGAGATCAGGGTATCATCGCGTGGCTGCCTCTGGCCTTTATACCACTTTCACATACGCAGCAATTCCCAGCAATTGGATGTTCCTGCCATGTGCCTGCTGCTACTCACCCGACCTTCCACGGACCGAGAGCGGGACCTGCGGGTGATGCCAGGAACCGACCTCTGACATCACGAACAGTGGCAGCGGTAGGCCTCGGGACTAGATTCGACGGTCGCCAATGTCACCCAACCATCATGGTCAGTCGTCAACCATATCTTCGCCCGCAGCGGGGCATCTCTCTCAGGTTAGGCGAACCAGAAGCAAGACGAAGCTCGGGGGCAGCTTTCGCCCGAAGAGACGAGCACAGCCGAGGGGCCAGGGGGCAGCCAAGACTCGAAATAGGAACCAAGAGAGCTCCCGAGGTGGGTGAACCAGGTGACGACGCGCCAGGAACAAGATCAGGGTTGCGACGGGGACGGTGAGATCGGTCGGCTTCGGCTTCAGCTAGTCCTGGTCTGCCAGAAGATGTTCGACTGTTCGTCCCGCCCCCGCATTGCTTGTCGAATCTGCCGACGGGGGCCCCCAACTCGCTTCTCCACACGTCGTTCCCCTCACCGTTCGACGGCCCAAGCCTCCCCAAAGCGGCCGTTGCTGCGCGATCACACGATGCGGATGTGTGTCGTTGAGGTTGCATGGAGGTGGAGCGATAGCCACGGCTCCGCGATCCCCGCGAGAAACAAACGGCCGAGCGACGACTCAAGCCAATGACGCGCACCAAGCACGACTGACCGGGAGAGATAAACCCCTGGCTCGGGACTCGAAGAAAGCGGACAACAGCGGGGGCGCGCCGTTCCTGACAGGGAAACGCCCGCTGCCGATCAAGAGCCAAAGGCCTTGGAGGCGAAGGCACAAGACCAAACTGGCAGTTGGGGAAAACAGAAGAAAAGCCATGAGGGGAAGCAATTCGACAATGTGAATGGTGCGCAAGTTCGGGCGGACAAATTCACACGACGGACGAGCTTACACGAGACATCTTGGGGATCCACTCGCTCTCTCTTCAACCTTGGAACGCTCTGCTCACTCTTGGACTTTTTAGTCATGTTTATTCATTGGTTCTCTTGGGACCTGGGATGCCAATTGACACGTGCAATCATGCCTTCGTCGACGCTCAATGACGACGGCTTCATGCGCCTCGAATCCACAACTCTCGAGCTTCTCAAAAGTCCAGTCTGGTCTACCGCGATCGGTTTCCAAGCCAAGATACGAGATGTCGTCTGTCGACTTCAACGGCAACCTCACGCCCTCGCCCGGAACTCGACCATCGGCCCATCCTTCATGCTCGTAAAAGTGTCAAACAGCTGCATCTCCCCCGCCCTCCTCCGCCCCCCTCCAGCTCCGGCCGCCCCTCGGCCGGATCGACGACGCCGACGGCCTTTCTCAAGTCGTACAGGAACAGTGTCCGCGCCAGCGTCGTCGACATCTCGGCGTACGCCAGCCCCTTGCCGATGCACCCCCTCGCGCCGACCGAGAACGGGCAAAAGGCGCTCTGCGCCCGCGCCGTGTCCTCTTCCGTCGTGGCCCGGCCGGTGGTCGGGTTCCGCGCGCCGACGATCCACCGCTCGGGCACGTACGCGTACGCGGACGGGTAGTAGGCCTCGTTGTGGTGGATGGTGTAGTGCGGCGTGCCGACGATGGTGCCCGCGGGCACGTGGGCGCCGTCGATGGTCATGCCGCCCGCCAGCACCTCGCGCGGCAGCAGCCCGCCGACCGAGGGCGACAGGCGCATCGCCTCGTCGATGCAGGCGCGGAGGTAGGTGCACGTGTTGAGCGTCGCGCCCTGGCGGATCTCCTCAACGTCGGCGAACTTGCTGCGGACCTCGGCCGTCGCCTTCTCGAGGGCGGCGGCGTTGCGGACAATGTAGAAGAGGGTGGCGGCCATGGCCGTGGACGTCGTGTCGGAGCCGGCGATGATGCTGGTTCTGTCAGCATTACTGCGTTCACACTCACATTTGTCGTCAAGGGGAGGGAGGGGGAAATACTCACAGCAGGTTCGACTCGCCCCAGAGCTCGGGAACCGAGAATCCCAGGCCCGTCTCCGGGTCGCGCGCCTTGAGGAGGTAGTAAAAGAAGTCGCGGCGGTCCGTATCCTCGCCCAGCTTCGTCCGCTCCGTCAGCTGCGCCTTGCTGTAGGCCATGTACCGCGCGCGGCCGGCCGCGATGGTCGGGAACAGGAGCCTGTCGAGCTTGAGCTTGTCGACGATGGGCATCGTGCCGCACTGCGGCTGTCAGCGCCTGCTTCTCACTCCCGCATGCTCACGTTGGGGGGGTTGGAAAACTCACGAGAAGATGCCTCTTGGTCGCCGCGGCGATCAAGTCCAGCGCGAACCGATTGTCCGGCGCCTCGAGCATGTGGAACGCCTTTCCGAACGACAAGTCCCCGAGGATGTCCATGGCGAGGTAATTGCACCAGTCGGCCATGTTCTTGGGCGTCGACCATCCCTTGGTCTCGGGCCCGGCGCCCCTTCCGATCTCGGTGGTGAACGACCGCACGTTGGCGATGATGTAGCGCTCCATCTCCTTCATGGCGCTGTCGGAGAAGCCGTGGGCCAGGACGCGGCGCTTGCGTGCGTGGACGTCCTTGTCGCGCGCGTTGTGCGTGTTGGGCGCCGGGTGGACAAAGGCATTGTAGAACTCGGCCTTGCGGACGTTGGAGCGGAAGCCGTAGATCTCCTTGAGCGAGGTGGACGAGTTGAAGGAGAGCGAGTTGGGGCCGAAGCGGACAATCTTGCCTATCGTGATGTGTTAGCCTAGCGGATCGCTCACGACGGTGCGAGTCTGCTGCAAACTCCACGGGCAGTAGGAAGATCGCGAGGTTGACGAGGGAGACAAGGTAGGCCACGCACCGTATTGGCTGTGAAGCTTGTAAAAGTCCAGATGGCGGTCGCCCTTCCAGGCGTGGTAGAGCTGGTAGCCGTCCGTGATCTTGGCGATGAAGGGGCCCGGGTACTTGGCCAGCGGGTGGAAGAAGAGGCGGTAGACGACAATGCCGGCGACCTGTGGGGATTCTTCTGTCAGATCCGGCTCTTCTCCGTATGCCATCTCGTTCTGTCCAAAGGGACATTCCACGCGAGGCACATCAAGTGGTGGGACTCACGTATATCACGCCTCCCACGGCTGCGAAGCCCAGCCAGAGCCAGACGTGGTTCGCCTCTGGCGCCATGATCACTTTTGTCTGCGTCGATTCGGATTGACGTACGTCGTGCGTATATCTGTAAAATCACTCTCGACCTCTAGGACCTGCAATGGCGAGGAGAGCTGGTAAGGAAAGGGATGAACTGCCGAGCGAATCTTGACACGGCTTTCGATTTTGTAACAATTATAACCACCGGACCCTTTTACACAACGATACAAAGACCTGGCCGTCCCGCGCGTCCCGGCGGCCAGCTTCTCTTATTGTCTTTCACCAGAAGCATCCAAAGTGGTAGCCCTTACGCAACCCGGCCCCTCCAAAACGCCAACAAAAGACCGCCCCCTTCGGCTTCCCACGGTCCAAAGTCGGGGGCGGCCGAGCTGAAGACGCCGCAAAAAGACACTCGATATGGGGAGGGGGAGTGTTTCCCCCAGAGTCACAGGCAAAAAAAAAATATGTCCCCTTGGTCTTATCGTGCAGCGGGCGCCCCCAACCTTCCTGTTCCGGGCTACCCAGCACAGTCGCTGCGGCTACTCGCGGGGTTTGACGTTGCGCTTGGGGGGGGGGAGAGTAGGCAAAGTGGAGGAGTCTACAGTAGGTACCCAAGCTTACCCCAGACTTTTCCGCCCGCAGATAGCCACACTAGGTACCCCAAGATCCGGGATCCATCTGAGCGCCCATGATCCCACATTAAGGGCCCCGCACCGGTTTCGTATGTGGGCATGTGAGCCAACGGGAGACGATGCGATTACACAACGCGTCCGCAGAGGTGCAGCGTCGTTACTAACGCATTGTCCGGGAGCCCATCTTTGTTTTCTCCCCCCTCCCTGTTCTCGAGAATTGGAGAAGAGAGGACGGGCTGATTGACGAATCACTTGCGAAAGGCCTTCGGGTACCGGCGACAAGTGGAGTCTCCCAGTCGACCTTTTATGGAGGAGAACACGAGCAAGCCAGCGGGAGGGGGTGAGGGCGGTAGGGAATTCCGCTCGAGGTCCGCGCTCGACGCTCGTTTGGCGCCGGCTCGAGATGGCTTTGGGCTGGTTTTTTGTTTGTTCCTGTGGACGTCCAGGCATGCGGCACAGGCCGGCGGCATCCGATGTGTCGAGTCCGTGGGTGCAGCTGTCAGATTGCGAATGACGCAATGAAGATGCCAATGGCCCTTTTTTTTGTGTCCATTGGCGACTGGTATGGGAAAGGACCAAGTTTTGATAACGCACCCTGATAACCGGCGTTTACTTGGAGATACAAGGCAGAGTAAAGCTGTCCGGACTTCCATGGTTGATTTCGTATACCAAGAGCTTTCTCTCTGCGTCGATCGACGTTGCATCGGATAACACGGCTGCTTACTCCCGCCGGGTGACTAGCGACGCGAGCCAGTGATGGCGATTGTTGCTATCCGCAACGGTAGGGCGCCCTCACTTATCATTCACCAGCAAGGGTCCTTGACTGAGATGCTCAAATGAGGAAGGTCATGGCCATCAGAGACGGAGTTCCGCCATCTCTTGTCGACTTCCATCTCTGGCAACCTCTGACATGTTACATGGACGGACATGGATTGTGAGAAGAGCAACCGATCCTCCACTACGGAAGACTTTATATAGTCCGTGATTTTCAGGACATCGCGCGATACAAATCAAGCTCGTGATATTTTGTTCAAACAAGGCAGCGACGACGTGCATCGTCAGAGATATACATATCTGAAAGTCAACGGGCAATCCCATCGGATCTTGGGTGTCTTTATCAATAAGCTCTTCATATTCATGAACTCCCCGCAATTCGTAGGTGACAAACAGCCTGTGAACATTTGATATTTCTATATAAAAAAATCAACTGTCGATAGTAACACAAGGTAATCTGCTACCATGTACACTTGTTATATTAGTTATATACCGCACCACCTCATAAACCAAAGCCTGATATTACCACCGTCATCACCCTCGCCCCACCGATTCCATTGCCCCGTACCCCGTATCCCGTACCCCATAACTCATATCCATAACTCAGTGATTGTAGTATCTTGGCTCGTTGAAAACGTGGTACCGGTGATCGCGCACGCCCTGGCCCCGGAACATGGCCGGGAATCGCCAGCCCTGCGGCACCTCCTCCTCGGCGACGCGCCGGTTGCGCGTTTCCTCGTCCATCGCCTCGATCCGCTGCACCTCATCCTTGGACTGCGGGATGACAAACTTGGCCACTTGCAGCTCCGTGTCCGTAATGGTGCTGCGGCTGACGCGCGCGTATCCCGTGCGCTTGAGGCCCTTGTATAGAATGTACTCGCACCATCGGTCCCAATCCGTCGGGTCGACGTCGTGCATGCCCGAAGTGCTGCTGACGTACGTGTTGTAGTTGCCCTCGAGGGGCTTGGTAACGAGGTACGACAGCAGGACCGAGGGGTTCTTGGATTCGCCCATGAGCTTGGAAAGGTACTCCGTCTGCAGGCGGCGATCCTCGGGGTCTTCCTCTTGACCGGAGTGGAAAACGAACACATCGACTTCCTGGCCGTAGACGTCCAGGGTCGCGGCAATGGCGGGAGCCAGCTCGCCCACGGGACTGGGGAGGAGGTGGTGCGTCGACTTGAGAATAGGGAACTTGGAAAGCAGAGCAGAACCCCAGGTGTGCTTGTTGGGGCCCGGGCCGTAGTCGACGTACATGCCAAGGTCCTCGGCAAGGAATTGTGTCGTGTCGCGGTTGCCCATGATGATGCGCTGAAGGTCAGACTCGAGAAGACCGACGACATCTATTTCCAGTTCCTTGATAAGGTCGCGCATGCGGTACTCCGATGACCACATGTCGTTGTCGAGCGAGAAGTGGATGGTCCAGATACCAGCCGTCATGATGCGGTCCTCGGGGTGGTAGGGCTTGTAGTCGTTGGTGGGGAAGCGCATGAAGGCCGCTGCGAGGAAGATGACATTTACGAAAGCAGCCGCAATGGTGTGGTACTTCTTGTGCTGCGACGAGGACGTGCGACTGGTGTCGCGACGGCGAGCCTGCGAGGAGGTCAGGTCGAAGACGCCGGCGCCGATCAGAAGGAACGTAGTGATCATGACCCAGTCAGTGTGCTCACGCACAAGCGGTCCACCAGGCACAAAAGCATAGGCGACGACCCAGACGTGGAAAAGGACCATGATGTTGTAGATGAAGAACCCGAGGCCAAACGTCGTTCCAGGGCTCCTCTTGGCCGCGTTGGAGAGGAATGGAACGGACAGGCCCATGAGGTAGACCGCGGTGGTGAGCGCGCCGTAGTAGCCGAACCAGTGGTGGTACGAGGTAAGGATCGCAGCGCCAACACAGCCGATACCATAGGCCGTCCACGAGCTCATCACCGCGGGGCGGTAGAGGCCGATCAGGAGACCAGCCGTCATGGCGACGATGGTCATCCAGCCGTAGGTGTTGGATGTAGGTCCCCGGATTGGGTAGCCATCCCACACCCAGAGGATCATGGTGCTAGTGTCGGATAGCAGGGAGTGCATGCCAAAGAATAGACCACCAACACCGAAGGCGGCAAGGAGGGACGAGCCGCCCTTCTTAGAATCCTCGGGATAGCCACCAGTAGTTAGGGGTGCTTTCCGGGTGAACCGCAAAGCAGCGACAACGCCGATGGCGAAGCCTGTGGCGTTCCAGCCTCCGTTGGCGGCGTGCATAACGGGCCACAGGGGGTTGTTGGTCCACCAGATAAACTTGGCCGTGGAAGAGGCAATAAGACCAATGGTCCACGCCAGAATCTTGGATTCAAGGCGGCTTTGGTGCGCTCTCTCGGACCACAACGTGGCGGTCCAGCCGAGGCAAGACGTCGCGACGGCGAAACCGACAGTGAAGAGACGGTTAGCGGGGTCGACCACTTGATAGGCCAGCAGTCCAACCAGTGAGATGAGGTGGACAATACGCTGGTTGTTCACGACGAGGGAGCGGATCCCACGGATTCCCAGGATCGCGGGCAGGATGGTGGACATGACGAAGGCCTCATAGCCGGAAATGCCCATGTGCCACAGCGGGAAGTACCATACGCAGACGCCGAGACCGGTCAGCATAGACCAGAAGATGAAGCCGTGGTAGACGTCGGCGGCGGTGTCGAGGGCCTCGGCCCAGGTGAAGCGGCCGGTGAGAACACCAGCGGTGGCCTTTTCCTTCCTGCAAGCAAGTCAGCCATGTGCGCCTCGGGACTCGGCAATGGGGCGGCTTACTCCTTCTCCAAGACGGCAGATGGGACAGAGGACCGGTTTTCACTGTGACGAGGCTTAGATTATGATCTCCAACTGGTTTATTGTGGCCTGGTGTACAGTATGTACATGACTCTATTTCGGAAGCCATTGGACGTACCCCTTGCTTGCCCCCTTGACATCCTTGATCACCACCTCGAATGTGCTAAAATCGAGGGCCGTGACGGCGTCGAAGGCGACATCGAAGAGGATGAGGGCCCATTCGAAAAAGGCGTAGATGGTGTAGGCTATGCGCAGTCAGTCAGCCACCCGTCATTTGCGACACCTGTTTCTGCCAAGAAAGCTTACCTCCGGCGACGCGGTGAACCTTGTGCTGGATGAAGAAGTAGATCAAGGGCACCAGGGTTCCGAAGAAGGAGCTGGCAATCCACTTGCGGTACTTGATCGCCTGCGGGTTCGGCGGGCTAAGCAGTACGCATCCAATGGTCCACGGCAGGGATGCGACAATGTAGGAGATCATGAAAATGTCGTGCCAGTCGTGGTCGTCCGTAGATGTGACGTAGGTGAAGCCACCACACATGACGGTGCGCAGAATGCCCATTGCGAAAGTGAACTTTGGCAGCGTCTGGCCGGGTCTTCTCGTCAGGAGATACCACAGGCCGACGAGGGCGAAGCGCGGGCCCGACGTAATGGCGATGAAGAACATATAGAAAGACCGCTCGGGGTATCGGTCGCCAATCGTCGCGGAGACGGAGGGAAACCACTCTTCGGGGTACCCGTACCACTCATTCTGGACAATCTTGTGGTAATGCAGCGAAACACCGACAATGAACGCACTGATGAAGGCGCCTGTCGCAGAGTGTCAGCTTGGGAGGGTTCTTGTGCTCGTCGTCGTACGACTGAGCAAACAAACAGGTGTTGCCCCAGCGCCACGCATCACCGCGACAGCTTCAGCAAGCATCCGGCAGTTTGCGCACGCGGGCGCGCGTCGACTTACTGTAAGCTATGGTAGTATGCAGCCAGCTGACCCATTGACCGTTGAAGGTCAGCGCGACGCCGCCGTCTTTGTCCTTGTACCTCGACGACATCGTGAACCTCTTGGACTCTTTGGGGGGGCAAACAACTCTTTCTCAACTCGGGCAGCAGCAAGAACAAAGGGAAAAGAAGCTCATCCGGGGGATCCGGCAAGCAACCACTGCAGTTGACAAGAGGGAAGAGAGGATGGAGGGGAAAAAGAGAGTTGGGCGGAATGAGAACGAGGAATTGTGCAGCGAGCTAGCACAAATAAACAACCCGGCAGGTCCAGGTAGCCCGGCACCAATTACACCAAAAGTCCGTAAACCTCGGCGGGCCGCGGGAGGGATGGGACACTGTGACCGCGGCCTGAATGGGATCGGTGATCGAGTAGCGAATCGCGTGGTTGGGGTTGTCTAGGATCCAATTCTTTGCGACAGTGCGGCCCCTGACCGTGGAGACTTTTGATGGCCTTGCGGCGACGCCTTGAATGGCGACAAGGAAGATGACAGAATGAAGACCTGGTGGATGTGGATGTGACGAGGATTCCAACAAACGAGGGGAGCCACCGGAGCTTTGCACAGCTTGAGGCCCCTGGTCAGTCCGTTTTGGGATTGGCTCAGACAGGGGCAGTTTGGCACAAGGCTGAAGATCCCAGCCACACCCACACGGACCACTCAGAGCCAGGATTCGTCGAGTCAAAGCCACACCCCGCCGAGTGCCCCGCTTAATTTTCCGTCGGCTTTTTCAGCCTTGTCAACTTTTTTTCTTTCTTCTCTGCGGTCTGCTTCCTCCGTCTGCAGCGCTCTCGGTACACTGCGACCAGGCGACTCGACTTGACTCAACCACATCACAGCACAACACTTACCTCGCCCTCAACTCCGCCAATATGGCCGTCGCTGAGAAGGCCCGCTTCTATTTGGAGCGCTCCGTTCCCCAATTGCGCGAATGGGAGGAAAAGGAAATTTTCTCAAAGGTTAGAAGCACCAAATCAACCTTTAACCCCCCAGGTCCTCCTCGTCAACCCTGAACAGCATGTCTGACACACCCCAGGATGAGATCCGCACAATCGTCCAGAAGCGCAGCGACTTCGAGCATCGCATCCTGGCCCCCCGCTCCAATCCCGATGACTTCAGCGCCTACGCGAAATGGGAGCAGTCCCTCGACACCCTCCGCTCCAAGCGCTGCAAGCGCATGAAGATCGGGCACGTCACCTCCCAGCACACGAGCCAGGCCCGCGTCCTCGCCATCTACGAGCGCGCCGTCAGCAGACATCCCGGCCGCAAGGAGCTCTGGCTCGAGTACCTCGCCTACACGGCCGACGTCAAGGCCACGAAGCGCTGGCGCCGCACCATGGCCAGCGCCCTGCGCATGATGCCTACCGACGCCGACCTCTGGGTCTTTGCGGGCCGCCGGTCTGCGTCCAACGGCGACATGGGTGGCGCAAGAGGCTACTTCATGCGCGGATGCCGCTTCTGCACGACCGAGGGCACGCTGTGGATCGAGTACGCGCGGTGCGAGATGGAGTGGCTGGCCAAGATGGAGGCCAAGAAGGGAGGCAGCAAGAAGAAGGCCGAGCAGGAGAACCCCCTGGCTGGCGAGAAGATGGATGATGAGGACGAGATCAAGTTCCACGACGACGAGGACGAGGAGCAGGATGAGGACGACGCCCTGAGGCTGCCGTTGGCGGGCAAGGAGAAGGTGATGAACGAGGAGGACAGCAAGGCGCTCAAGAACAACCCGGCTCTGGACGGCGCCATACCGATCGCCATCTTCGACATTTCGCGGAAGCAGCCCTTCTTCAATCCCGAGGTTGCCGAGCGCTTCTTCGACATGTTTGCGTCCTTTGCCAAGGTCTCGTCCATGACCAAGATCGTCACGCACGTCGTCGACACGATGCGGGAGCAGGACGTCGCCCACCCCGCGACGTGGAACTGCTACATCCGCCTGCCCCTGGTCGGCGTCAGCCCCGACACGCCCCAGTTCCCTCTCGGTCTGCGCGATGTTCTGTCCCGGCTGGGCCAGGGTCTGGACCAGACTTCGGACAAGGCGACGCTGCAGAGGAAGTCTCTGGTGTGGATCAAGCTGATCCTGCTTGTCAAGGATCTCGACGAGGGTATCAGGACTGTGCTGGAGCACACAAAGAGCAAGTTGCAGTCATAGCTGCTGCTTACATATGGGTATATTGTACAAAGAGAGGGTGGTACAGATGGGGAAGGGGATATAAGAAAAGTGTTTTTAACGGCGCAAACAACATGACGGGAATTAGAAGCGGCCCCCGGCGGGATGTATCCGGTGTCCCGAATCCTTGATACCACTTGCAGAGTCAGCCTAATCGAACTGGTCAGAACCAAACCCCTGCCCACAGTCTTCGCATTCACCGTGTTATGCCGCCGTGTAGTTGGGAAACTTCTTCGACTCCTCGACGGTCTTGTCCCACTCCTTGTCCTTGTCGAGCTCCTCCGCCATGCGGATGACTTCATCCCACTCCTCCTGCGTGACTTTGGTGACGCTCAGGCGCGCCAGCCGCAGCAGTTCCATGTCCTGCAGCGGGCCTTTGCCGCGCGACTCCTTGAGCAGGCTCAGCGGCACAATGCGCGGGAACTTGTGCTCGATTTTGACGTGCACGAGGCTCCATTTGCTCCCGTCATGCGGTGCGGCGACATCGTAGTACGGGTTGTCGTTGATGCAGGCGTTCCCTGGGCTATGTCAGACCGAGAGAAGGGGAGATGAGGTGGGGAGACATACAGTCTGGCGAGTGCTCCTTGACGATGGTCATGATGCCAACGACGCCGGGCTCCTTGCAATTGGAATGGTAGAAGAACGCCTTGTCGCCCTTGCGCATACCCCTTAGGTTGTTCCGCGCGACATAGTTGCGAATCCCTGTCGTCGTCAGGAACTCAGTCCTCACAACATGCATGAAGCGTTCGCTGACACATACCTTCCCACCCCTCAGGTGTCTTCTTCGCCGCCAAATCATCAATGGAGAACTTAATCTCGTACCCGTCCTCGATACGCACATCCGGCTCCGACTTCATGAGCCAGTACCGCGGGCCCGGTGGGTCCCTGGGCTCGGCGTCGGTGTTGATGTCCGGGACGGGTGCGGTGCGCAAGGCGGCGAGCTCATCCTTGGTCTTCTTGGGCGGCGCCTCCTTCTTCACTGCCGCCGTCTTCTAGATTGTGTGTAAGCATTCACACATAGACACCAGCCACATGTAATGAGGGCCCTGTAATTTCACCCGGCTCACCTTGGCCTTCTTGGCAGGCTTGGGATTGGGCTCGTCGTCGGCTAGTTCGGGCTTGGATCCGTCTTGCTTGCCGGCTGGGTCCTCGGCTTTTCTCTTACGGTCACTGGCGGCCTTTGCCGAAGCCGGTGCATTCGTTTTCTTGTTATTTGCTGTTTTCGCGGTGGTCTTCGTCTTTTCCAGCGCCGCCTTCTTCTCATCCGCAGACGGTGCTGTACTCAGTCGCGTCGACGACCGCAGGCTGCGGGTGATGGCAGGCATCGTGAGTGTAGACGGGTGGTCAATTAAAATGACACAATGTGGGATGGCCCTGGTGAGCAAATACGGCGCTCAAAGCCAATTGACGTTTCTGGTAACCCCTGCTTAGATTGGGATGCTTGCACCTCCAAGCAGGAATCTCTTCAGAGACGCGAAGTGGTGATAAGGGCACAGTGCCACGACTGCACAGCATGTTAGCACGTACTGTTCGAAATCGATCACGTAATCACGCGGTCGGTCGTCATGTCGCCTAAACTGACAGGCCGGGGGTTGTGAACCTTGTTTGACTAACCTCTTTTTGTATAATTCCACACTGAATGAGGTATCATCACGATGAGCAACACGAGTCACTCGATCCCCGACCTTGCTCTGTGTTTTTCATTGGACTAACAATCCATGTACGAGCCATGGGGTTTCCGCCTTAGTAAGTGTAATGATCTTGGACGAGTCGCTTATTCTGAAGCTTTCTCATCTCAGGATCAACTCTCTGAGAAACGAATCACACCTTTCAAACTACTATGCTAAAAACAAAATCAATGACTGAGCCCAGCAAAAGATGAGTTTCACAAATCTTCAAACAAAAGGCACCATCGCCAAGTTGATGCTGCATGCTTTGCGCATCTGCGCCCTTGGAAGACGAAGGGCGCATTAGGCCCACACAGTCGACAAACACAGACCTCAAAACCCCTCCATACACTCCAACCCCGAACCGCCATCCCTCCATCCAGATCCATGCACACACCGGCATCGTCCCTCATCCCCAACATGCAGAGAGCACTCAAGGCCTCGGAAACGGCTCTTGCCGCCATCGGCAATACGCCAATCGTACGGCTACGCCGCGTCGTCCCCCAAAACCACGCCGAAGTCTACCTGAAGCTCGAGTACACCAACCCCACCGGATCCCACAAAGACCGCATGGCAGCCGCAATCATTGAAGAGGCCGAACGTGGGGGCAAACTGAGGCCAGGGATGAAGGTCGTCGAGGCGACCGGCGGCAGCACGGGTTCGTCATTGGCCTTTGTCTGCGCAGTCAAAGGCTATAGGTTCCAACCGGCCAGCTCCAACGCGTTTGCCGCGGAGAAACTCAAGACTATGACGGCTTTCGGGGCCTCGGTAGATATAATCCACAGCCCCTCGGGACGAATCACCGCCGATTTGATCCCGTCAATGATTCGGCATGCTCAGTCCGTCGCGGAGGAGGGCAACGTTTATCCAACAGACCAGTTCAACAACCATGACGCTCTGGTCGGGTACGAGGCCTTGGGTCGAGAAATACTCGAACAGCTCCCGGCTGGGATTGACGCCTTCTGTGCCGCCGTCGGTACTGCCGGCCTAGCTATGGGAGTTTCCAGGGTATTGAAGGCCACAAGACCAGAGACTCGCGTCGTCGTGCTTGAGCCGGCCTCGACGCCTTTCATTACAGAGGGTCGGGCGGGTGCACATGGGGTCGAAGGCATCGGGATTGGGTTCCTTCCGCCACTGCTAGACAAAGTGCTATATGACGAAGCTAGAGCGGTCTCAGAGGACGAGGCGCGAGCTATGTGTCGACAACTAGCAAAGGAAGAAGGTATCTTTGCTGGGGTTTCTACCGGGTTGAATGCTGTCGCGGCGATTCAACTGGCGAAGGAGCTGGGGCCTGGAAGAAAGGTTGTCACGATTGCGTGTGATTCTGGTCTGAAGTATCTGAATGGTGCCTTGTTCTCCACCCCCGTTAGCTACCTCTTAGATGATACTGCTTCAGCAAAAGAGCATTAGAAACAGCATCAAGTTACCAAAAACTCTAGACTGGTTAGCATGGGACGCGAAAATCGTGAGACTCATTTCAAAGTTGGTGTTAGGTCTCGGTGTCTTGTTACTCGGCGCCCATGTGATCTCGAAATTCTGAAGAGTTCACAATTTGTGATAGCTTTTTAGCGGACCTCTAGGTTCCATACAATTTGGAATTAATGGTATGTTAGCTTTATTGGTGGAGGCGCCGCTGAGCGGTTCATCGAGTGACAGTTTATATAGTCCTCAATGGTAGACTCTGTGCACTAATCATAGAAGTTCTGTCCCAAAACCTATTTCTCACCGCCGAGCGCAAGCTCATGGTCACAACCCCTAACTGTTAGTTCCAACACTAGTTCAACACTGACTCGGTGTCATGAGACTCCACGCTGCTGGAAATCCCATGGTTGAACTGTCTCTCCCAGTCACTCGAAATCTACTCATACTGCTTGAGGAATCCTTCAATCTCACTGAACTCCCGCCTCAAGACCTCTGCATGCTTCTCACTCCTCGGCACAAACCGCACCTTGTATTCCCTCGGCATGTGTACAAAACCATCCTCATACGCGTCGTAGCTCGTGTCCACTTCAATAATCTTCCCGTCCTCCCCGATCGCTGGCTCGATTCTGAAGGCCCAGAGAATCTGCGCGATGATGCGCCACTGCGACCTCTCGGCCAAGTGCAGACCCACGCACAGTCGGCGACCAACACCGTACGAATAGTGGTCGCGTTCCGCGTACCTAGGCGAGGCGGCGAGCTCCGGCGCGAGCTTGTCTGCCACGCGGAGATAGTGGTCTGGGCTGTAGTTTTCCGGGTCAGGGGACGTGTCTTTACTGTGATTGAGACCGTACGGAGGGATGAAGACGGTGCTTCCAGCTGGGATAAGCATGCCGTCGTACCAGTAATCGATCTTGGCAACGTGGGGCATGCCAGTCGGTGCACTGTAGAAAAATCTCGGTTAGCCTGAGAGCTACATGTATCGCTGACTGAGTAAAAGACATACACAGGTCTTATCCGCAACCCCTCTTTGACAATGCAGTTGATGTATGGCAAGTCTTTGAAATCAGACCACTTGGGAACCCTCTCAGAACCACACACACGGTCGAGCTCAACTTGAGCCCTTTCCTGGAACTGGGGATGCTTTGCAAGAAACAGAATACTGGTGAGCGAAGCGGATGCCGTGGTGTCGGCAGCGCCTTGATGGATCGCCCCGAAGAAATTGTTCAGCGCAGTGTACGAGTGTGGTACATCAAAACTGATTTCCCCGTCCAGGATACTGTCTAATAGAGATACCCGTTTGTCACCAGTGCTGCGGCGCACCTTGACGCGCTCATAGGCCTCGTTCCATACGTTCGTCATGGTTTCGTAGCACTCGTTGCCGCGACGTCTGGACGCTGTCCAGCTAGCCGGGATGAGCTTCAAAATCGGGAACTGATCGACTGGAAGGTAACTTCCTGGCGCAACTGCTTTCGATATCTGAACATGAATCAGCTTCTGCTCCAGAGAGTAGACACGAGGCTTGTTCTCACGGCTTCCATGGCGATGTAGACAGCCTGGTAGAGTTAGCAGTTTGTCGACTAGAGACTTGTGGGCTTTATTGATACTTACATATGCCCAAAAGCTTCCCCAATCCGTTGCGCGGTGACCGAACAAGGTGATGCTCGCTATTGAGGCGGTTGCCCGCTTCACACTGTGCGTAAAGTCCTCGGGCTTCTCCAGAAGGTCGTACATCAGCGTGGCGATCCTGCAACATCTTTAGCAAGTGAAGTTCGAAGCCTGGTCGTTAAGAGTCCATTTTAGAACGCACTCAGCTTCTTGCACGGCTTTGAGTGTTGTGTCTAGATTTTTTGGCGAATAGAATTGGGACACGATCTTCCGCTCCGACTTCCATATGGGACCCTCGTGCATGACGGCCATGTTCTCGCCCCGCATCGTGAGATAAAACTGTTCATCAGACGGCCTATCGTTGAAGTAGGCACCCTTCGATACTAAGAGCTCATGAACGGCACGTCGATCATTCAAAACAATAATGGTGCTCTTGCCGACCTTGAGCGAGAAAACTGGCCCGTATTTGTCGCCCCATTGTTTGAGTCTGAAATACTCAGCCCAGAACTGCAATGTGTATAGATGATTGAGACCTACTTGGAGAAGAACCCTTCAGCCGGGATCATGTGGGCGTTCCCAAGGATGGGGATTGTTGGAGGGCCAGGTGGAAGATCTTTCTCTCTGCTTCCAAAAGTGAGGACTCTGTAGAGTAGATATATTGCTGGGATAGCCCAGGTGAGGGAGGAATAACCGACCACGAAGGGCCACTCAGTCACTTTTACTCCCATTTTGTCCAATCAATTTTCTTTTGGCCGAAGAGCTTCACCTCACAGTCGTCGTTTTCAATCATGCCCGTTTCTCCTTTATATATCCCTCATGTAATAGCCTAAAGCGCCAAGAAAGACTGCTATCTGCACTCAAAATACATAATCTGCATAGCTCACGTCACAAGGATCTTCGCTTATCCTTACGAATTCGTCGGACTGCATCGCATTATCTGGTGTCCAAGGTGCGGGGCTACCAGTAGACCCTTGCAATGCGTCCCGTCCCTGGCGCCTCTTGGCTGCGAGGTGTGGCCTAGAGCGGTATACTGGGGGGTTTGTGACGATGCAACGCTGACTGCATTGAGAGGAAAGTCAGCTTGTGCGTTGGCGTATATGTTTCGTCTAGCTTGTTTCGCGATGCTCCTGAAGCTGGGCTGGGCAGAAGCAGGCTACCAGACATTTACGCTTGCATAAGGTTCCCCGTCAACACTGCAAGTCGCAATTGCCGGAAAGCTGCACATGATTAAGTCAAAATGTAATTTGACATACTGGCTTCATTTTGAGACATGTCTGATACTTACGTGCCCTATCTTTCTTAAAGTGGATTATCGCATGGATGTCATCTTGGTATCGTGCCACAAGCAGGGAGGATCACACTAAGTAAGTGCTTCGCTCCGCGATAGCTTGACCTCAAAGTGATGGCAATGGCTATCACAAGAACGAGGTACCGCGGACCTTGTTGGGGTGCATTTCCACTTGGGAGGTGTTTTTGATAGCTCGCAAGGCTGCTAGTTGGTGTATTCTCCAAGAAATCCAATCACAACTGCTAGCTACCTGAAGCGACAAAAGAAATTGCATGTTGATGTTGTTCGGCTAGCTATGGCCACCTAAAGATAATACAAAGCGGTGTTTCTGGAGGCGTATGAGCCGAACCTTGCCCTTCCTTTCCATTCCTTAATTATCACCATCACCTCGGTGCTTTTCAGGTCTGTACTCTGTGCAGCCTATTGCGAATTTACCTTTAACAGGGCTACCTACGCTTAGATTTATTTCAATGTTAACAGCAGCATGAGGGTTGAAATTTGTCGTGATACAACAATGCAGACCACCATTATTGTCTGAAGCTCTAATGTTAAGGCAAAGTCGAATTTGCTACATTTAGCATAGGCCTAAATCCTGCGAGTCGGATCAAATTTTGAAGCACGATGTAATAAGTGCACCAAGAAACCTGCAGGATTGTGCAACGGAGCGCGAGTGGTTGTGGTGAATCACTCTTCTAAGGGAACCGCTCAAATTTTCTACCAACAATTGCCCGAACAAATGTTCACTTGGCGAACAGGAAAACACTATGTTCGGCCGTTTGGGGCGTTACTGTAGTCCCTGTGCAGACACGAGTCCGGAACTGGCGCCGCACTCATGGGCACTGATCCGCCCGCTGCGGGGCGTATAATTAGAGCCCTGAGTTGGCAAGTCAACGTCCACGATATATCGCATAATGAAGTATTCCTCAAAGATCCCTCCTGCGTCTTCATTAGAATATATAACACATCGTGAAGGTAGCTGGTTTTCGCTGTGGCTGGAGAGGATCTGCGGGCTGTACTACCAAAGGCATGAAGGGACCTGCCAGTTTGATGAGCCGAGAAACGCACTTCTTTCGGTGAATAGCTCATAGATAGCTGTAGTTATCCGTAATTTCAATAATACGCCAAGGGGCCCCAAACCCGAAATCCAGATAATGTGGCGTAAGATCACAATTTTGACCTCAGCCCTTGACTTGTGGCCCACTATCCTGGAGAAAGCCTTAGATATCATTCGTTGACGACTTTGAGAACGCGGAATGTGATCCCATATTCAGCAATGCCAAGCAGAGCTGAGGTTTCATAATTTTGAAAACTGTAAGGCTGCGGCACAGTCCATGAACCCATCGAGCTGCAAGGTCTTACTTTATAAAGCGGCACAGAAGCATTTTCCACACCTCTGAGATCCTGAAGCGTATCGAGTGCCTTGTTCCCACCGACTTCGAACGAATAGCTCTTGCGTCAACCTCAACAGTATCGTCTCTTGATTGCTAATCATGTCTCTTGTCTGCACTGCATCGATATCCAGTTTGAAGTATTGGGACCCCGGCAACCTGCTACAGATAATTGGAAAAGGGCGGCATGCAGAGATCAGATGTGTAGGCAGGGCTGTGAGCCAGGGCGATGCCCGCTGCCGTTGGACGATCGATCGTGAGAGGCAAACTAAGATCGAGGCCAAGTTGGAGCAAATAGCGACCAGAAACCCGGCGGACATCACGACAGAAGAACTGCGCGACCTCGCTGAGCTTTGTCTTTGCCGAGACTGGCATTTGTACCAAAAGGAAGACACTGTCCACCACTGGAAAGAGGTAGTACTTCATGCAGCGGAAAATTCTAGGAATGCTATGGCGGAAGGACTGAGAAACCAGAAAGATGAAATCGCTAAACTGCAAGAGGTGTTAAAAGCGAAAGAAGAAGATTTGCAGTGGTCATGGAAGCAATACCGAAGCCTGGAGAAAAGGTTCGACGACACGAGGCTTGCACAGTCCAAAAATCTCGAATCGCAGGAAATTGAGCTTCTGGAAATCCGACAACATCTCCAGAGCGCAACGGACAATGCGCAAAGCCTCAAAACGGCCATATTGGATCATCATCTGAAGCTCAAGCAAATCACGACTGCCCTGGCTGAAGAGAAAGACCGCCAAATCAAGACGCTTGAGGACGAAAAGGAGGAACTGAAAGCCAAACAATATCTCGCGTGGACGGAAGCTGATATTACAAGAAAAGACCTTGCGAGGGAAGCGACAAAGACACAAAAGCTAGTCTTGGAAAATGACGCTTTGCGAGAAAAGCTCCGGAATTACCAATCTAGAGAGGAGGCGCAAGCACCTAGAGAATTGCACCCAGAAGACGAGAAAATGTCCGAGAAGAGTACACAAGAAGCACAAGTTACCGCAGAGGTTCTGAAGCTACAGAACATGAAGACCAAGCCCCTAGCCGACCTTTCCAACACAAAAGTCACCACGCTCGAAGCAGATGTTTCAGCTTGCTGGCTTCATCGCATCAGGTCCCATATGAGAGGAATCTTGCTGGCCAGTGTCGAGACGGTACTGGGTTATAACGTTTGGTTTGTGAGATTGATCGAGTCCATTGTGACGGAAAGATGGTCTCTTATCAAGCGAGGATGATTGTATCTTGAGTATGGTCTGATATATTGGGAGGCTGGAGTAGAGTTACCATTAGTTTGTGTTTATAGTCGGGCGTCTTTCAAATGCTGGTCAAAGACATATAACAAGCTTCGTTCCTTACTTGGATTGGTGCTATCTTGCTGGGTCTCAGAGTTGTTTTGCCACTGGGATCTGATTTGCAAAGAGTTTTTCATCAAAACCTAGTTACAAGTTCATACCCGAATATTTGGGTAGAGTTTCACAGCATAATACGATAGTATAGACAAGAACACAATAACTCTTTGGCCCATCTTTCTACAAACCCATAACAGATATAAAGCTTGTGCTGACCCTCAGGATGAAATTTGGCATATCGCTCTGGAGCGCCAAGTGCAAAGAAAATATTTCATCACTAATTGACTACATATTCAAAGCTACGTGTACTGCAGATTTATGCCCAAGTTCCATATCCGTGCATCTTCTCAAAGAATTTGTTTGAGAGCGCGTGTAGTATCAAGTGTTTATACTGTTTCACACTCTGTCGCAAACTTGTGTTATGTCCGCTCAATAATTATGTCTTGGCCTGATGAGAATATGCTTAGTTGGGTTTGGCAAGATCTGTGAACCTCAGTAGTTAGTCGAAGTGGCCCGGCACGACTGTCGCATAAGGATAGGAAATACATGAACTGAGTGAATATTGGAAGGAATCACATACGTATTGACCAGAGTGTATGTCTTGATATCTCTCGGTCTCTCCGTCCTCCGGACGAATCTGATAGCGGGCCAGGAGCTTGATGAGGAACATCTTAGCAATAGAGCACCCAGCCCACCGACCAGGACACATATGGGAGGCGTAACCAAAGTTGACGTCATCCCTGGTTGCACTGCCCCATTCGTACTTATTGGAGCCGGTCGTTGCCGACGACATTTGTTGCCGGAGTTCATGATAGCGGCGTCCGTTCCATTCGGCCGGGTTTTGGAAGTTTGAGTTGGACAGGTGTGCCGCTGTCATGACCACCTCGAAGATGGTGCCAGCGGGCAGAACGACCCCATTTGGTAGGGTTTGAGTCTTGTGGATTTTCTTCATCAGATTGGCTGCTCGCCGGGGATGCCCGGAGCCGGTTAGCATGGAACTGTTGACGATGGAAAAGGGCCGAAACGTACAGGCAGCTGTGGGATGGTGTTTGTGAGTCTCCTTACAGAAACTATCTAATAATGAAAGCCTGCGAAGGCTGTCCCGCGTGAAGTTCCAGCTTTCCGATCGCTCCCCGAGGACATTATACGCCTCCTCAAGCACCAGATCGATATAATCAGGGCGGAAGGCGAACTCGTAGACAACCTGCGTTGTTGAGGGTCCGGGTGAGAAAACAAACGTAAAGGCGAAACCTATGAGAACGTTTGTGAGATATTTGTAGTCACGACGCTTGTCGGCTGGTGCCGTGCGGATAAGCTCTTCAAACCAATCATTTTCAAGCGAACCAGTCGGTGAACCTTTCTCGAATGCCTGAACACATTGCTCAAATATAGGTGTAAAGAAAGCCGTTGCTCGATCCAATTGCGCATTGACGTGACGCACTTCGCTGGAAAAAGAGGCAGTGATGCGGGCCATCATAGGTCGTTGTGCCTTGAGTTTCTTCATTACGGGGATCAGTGTAGCTGAGTACTGTTCGAAGATATCCACAACTTCAGATCTGAAGTTGTTGCCCAGAATCACTCGCCATATGACGTGCGAGTAAACATGCAGAATTTGGGGCTGCATGATGATATTCCTACATGCTTTGAGGCGCAAAGTCAGTAAGAGTAAGTTGAAAACCTTCTGGAAGCGCATGGTTAAGTCGCATGCATCTATGAACTTACCACCTGCAGAGTAATCAAATCCCTGATCTAGGATGCTGGATAGACCTTCGTCCAGTGCCTCGGATATAACATCGAGATAGCGGTCTTCCTCAACAAGTCAGCCCAGTATACGCTTCTCAGGAACTTTTGGAGCGCCTACCGAATCCTGGCATGCGTGCACCGAGGTACCGATAAAGAAAAGGCTCCTCAAAAGGGGCACCATGTAAGTTGCAGAGGAAGAACTAGGCCAAGTTAGCCATGCACTTTTCCTAGAAAACTGCCAGACAGATAAAAACCTCTTTACGAGCTGGCGCGACCTCTTCATCTTTCTTCTTGCAGATCGCCAACCAATGCTCTGGTGAGATGAGGACTAAATCAGATCCTGCAACATGTAAGTCTAATGTCCGTCGTACGCTTTGCGTTGCAGGGGCTGCAGAGAAAACTTACCATCAAGAGCTGTTACCCGGAACACGCCGCTTTTGATCTGATTGAAGCCTTTTTCAATAATCTCGACTCCATGAGCTGCGAAGTCTTGCCTGGTCGCAAACCATGACTTTGAGCTTGCGATTTTGGGAATAGAATGATGCACAGCGACTCGATTGAGAACAAGTGATATAGTAGCGGCAAGAAGTACGGCAGCGGTGAGAGCTGGAGCATTGCTCAGCAGGCGCATTAGCTGTGGTGGCCAATGTAAGTGTAAAGGGATGCTTGTAGAATCCATGTTTGCAGGATCTGCGCTATTGAATTAATGATCTAGTTGGAAAAGAAAAACTCAACTAATGCGGAAGAGAAAGAACAAGTAATTGTTAGTTTACTGCATGAAGTTATTCCTGACCCTTTACATGTGATAGATATAGGAAGAAGCAACGGATGTGGCGTATCGCGCGTCTGAATATTAACTTTCCCTGAAGTCCGGTCCTGATCGTATCGGTAGACAGTAATCGGAAGCGAATTCCAAGAAACAGAGTCAAGGAACTTCCACTATAGCTTTACCAAAACTTCAGTCCGATTTATGTGAAGTATTACTACGGACGGCTCTTGCTGAAAATCAATGATCGATGAACTTGTGGAGTTGGCTTTACCAGATATTCGGGTCCCCTTTCTGTAAGTAGTTACCGATAGCGAACGCTAATACACGAAAGCATTGAGACACTTGGGGATCTGATCGCGCGGACTTGGAAAGGGGGAAAAATAGGATGAATGCATCGGATGCCCATCAGGCTGCGCGGTAAATACACCTTCGTATTCGGCACATTCAGCCGAGCCCGAGAGTTTAAGGATCCGGCTCCGGGCCCGGCGTCGTGGACCAGAGTCTCGAACTCAACTCCCAAACACACATTCAAAGGTAAGAGACTCTCAAGCAGAAAGCTGTTGTTCTACGAGGAATGAATTGGAAGATTTGCCACAAATGGAAAAGTCTAGCTCGTAAAGCTTCAGCCCACCGGCCCGGACTTGTCGAAGTTAATCACCGCATACAGAAGTACAGCGTGTCGGTAGATAATATGCAGTTATCTAGATCGATCGGCACTTCGGAACATTTCCTGAACCTCACCAACTTTGGCCTAATTAGGGACGATCCAAAAATGCCTTGAAGTCACTTGTTTGAGATTTTTGCTATTTAAGACCAACTGTTCGCCTTAGCTACAACTAGTCAAGCACCTCAATATTACATTCCAAGCTCATTACTTTGTTCATTTCCAAACGTTTAATTCACGTCCCACATTTGCATCGCCCCAGTACGCCGCCACAATGGTTATGGCAACGAATGGCCCTGGGTGCGCTCATCAAGATGAGTCGAAATTCTGGCAGGATGAGATTTCGCATTCCCTCCTCTCTCTCATGCAGAGTGCTGGATACTCTCTTGAGGGTCAGGAACAGTATGTCGACTTCGTTAATAAGTTTGTCATCCCTTCCCTGGGCCCCCGACCCATTATCACCAAGTCGGGCGCTCGCCTGCCTCATTTCGACAGCTTCTGCTCTGACGACTTCTCGCCTGCAGAGCTCAGCTGGAATATTGGGCCTAAACATTCCAAAATCAGGGTAGGCTCCGAGCCTATCGGACCATTCGCCGGGACAGCAAAAGACCCTTTCAACCAAAATGAGTCCCAGGTGGTCATGTCGCGTCTGCTACGCCAAGGACGTGGTCCCGTCGATGGGGAGCTTTGGGAGTTCTTTAAGAAACACCTTCACGTTGAAGCAAAGCACGCCAATGAGATCGTTTCCAAAATGGCGCCCAACGAACATATGACAAGCAACACCATCTCGTTCGATCTAGATGGCGAGCTGCCGGCGCCGAAGGTGTACTTCTATCCCATCCCCATTTCTCTGCTGGCGAACAATCATGCTGGCGAGATCATCACTGATGTTATCGCGCAACTGCCGGTGAATCTGGAGCCCGCATTCAACTATGTACGCGACTTCGTCTACCGTTACAAGAGGCAGCGCGACAACGAGTACATCTTGCGGCTGGAGCTGATCGCCTTTGACGCGGTGCGCCCAGCCGATTCCCGCTTCAAGCTGTACCTACGCACCAAAGAAACATGCCTCGCACGAGTGGAGGAGGTGTACTCGCTCGGAAGCTCACTCAAGGGTCCCGAGATAGATAACGGCCTGAATCTGATCCGGTCCTTCTATCTTCATGTCCTAGGATTGACCGCCACAGAGGAGGATTTGCCTCGCAGCACGCACCGCACGGCGGGTATCATCTTTAATATGGAGATGAAGCACAACAGCCCCGCACCAGTACCGAAGGTGTATGTTCCCGTCCGACACTATGGCGGTACGGATCTGCGTATCGCCCAGTCGCTCAGTAATTTCTTCCGCGCTTGGGGGCTCATACACCTTGCCGACACTTACGTTGATGCTGTGCAAGAGGCCTTGTAAGTCTCTCTGAACCCTTGTTGTGTTTAGCTGGCGCGTGTGCGTGATGAATAAAGCTAATCCAGCGTCTTATGTACATAGCCCGAATCAGGATTTCTCTACCACGATTGGGAGACATTCTTACGTCGGTTTGTCGTACAACAAGGATGGACCCTACATCACGGTTTACTACAACACAATGACTTTCTCAGTGGGCGATGAGCGAAACAGGGATGGTAAACTTGTTGGACCTGCGGCTATGAAACAGCGTCATCTGCTAGACTCATAACTCTGGTTTAGGCTCAACAGAGCTGCTGGTGGAAAATCTAAGTATTGATTCAGCAGAATCAAATTCAGGACTGTGTTGTGTGAAGATGAAAATCAAGGCTGCTGTTCATAAGCAACAGTTTGAAGCCCGTCCTTCGAGCACGAGGCTCAATTACTTAAACGTATGATACAAACACCAAGTTGTCACCAACGCTGTTTTCAATTTCGGCCAAGATTACATTTCCCGCCGCCAGATAGAATTTAAATTATTTATGAATTTCTAAAATGATAACGCCCATAATGGATATATGGTAGACCTCTCAGGAACGCAACGAATACGATGCAATCAGCGATTAGCCGCCAGGCTGGTAGTTTGTTCCCCTGGAGTTTCATTAGTCAAGACGTTCGTCGACTCAACCAATCGGTTATACAATTTTCTCATCTCATCTCACTGGCTTTAAGGTCAGAATAAGGTTGGTTGCGCTGAAAGGCATGGTGAAACCACAGCTGACGGGACGTCATTGCTAAAATTAACCTTAATTTCTTGGACAAGTTCCGTAGGGGGAGTCCCTCAGGCCGTGAAAAATAGTTCCAGAAAACACAGGAAAAGCATATCTACTGTGAACCAATGGTGATTTCTGTTTCGGGTATGGTCCGAACGAAAGATGGAACCCCGTCGGAAGCAGAGGGGAAGCAGCCCGGACGACAAAGGGGGAAGCCGAGCGAATGCGAATGGGGGACCGCCTTGGACCCCATTAGCGGTGAAATTTGAAAGATGGGAACTCCTATGGGTAAGAGAAAGACTGTAGAACAGCTGAGAAAGAGGTCTGTACCAAGAAAATAGGCACTTGGACTTTGTCCGATACATGTAGGATGAAAACGTTACATGTTGTGACTATGCTGGGAAACGGAAGCGAAAAACTGATGGAAACAAATCCCTACTCCCACTACTTGCAGAATTCTATAGTTTCAGGCTTATCTTCACCTGTATCATATGACTAGGTCCAGTTCCTCTGGAGGTCGGTACTTCAAGTGCACGTTGTTTGTAAACTGTATGTTTTGGTCTTTACACAATCTTCCACTCACCAACATCACCCACACTACCACAGAAAGGCAGTCTTCAGCCCGTCATGGACAACATCGGGGTTTTGTTTGAATTAATGGCTGGCAGGACGGCCGTTGTCTTTGCCTTCGGCATCCTAGCCCTGTTCTTTTTCTACCAAGCGTTGCTGCCACGACCTCTGTCCGGCATACCCTATAATGAGGCAGCTGCAAAATCACTCCTAGGCGACATGCCCGAAATGGTGGGCCATGCAGAGAAAACGGGAGAAATGTATGACTGGCTCGGGGCACAGAACATCAAACACCGTTCGCCTATTATTCAAGTCTTCGGCAGGCCTTTCAGCAAGCCTTGGGTCATTATCTCGGATTTCTACGAGACACAGGACATATTGATGCGCCGGGGCAAAGAGTTCGATAGGTCCGCCTTCACTGCCGACCTTCTGCGTGGCGTTATTCCGGAACACCACAGCAGGTGGCAGACAAACGATGAATACAAGAGTCGCCGGCGGCTAATCGGGGATATTCTGACCCCCAGCTTTCTGAGACAGGTCGCCGCCCCACTTCTGCACGAGAGCACTATGCGCATGACGGCTTTATGGCGTGAGAAGGCAAGGCTGGCAAAGGGTCACCCATTCTGGGCCATGAAAGATATCAGCCATTTTGCGCTGGATGCCGTCCTTGGTTTCACTTTTGGTCCCGGTCTTGAGGGTCTCAGCGCAACCCAACCAAATGTTGATGTCTTGTCTTCGATGCCCTCATTGCCATCCGGTGACAACTCCGAAGACACAACCGACCTAGAGCCGGTTGAACTACCACATGCACCACCTAGTCCCGTCATCGAAGGTCTTCTTAAGCTTTCTGACAGTCTCGAGACGGCGATGAAATCCCTCTTCCCGGTGCTTGCGCACTGGTTTCTGCGCCAACGGCCAGCCATGAAGACCGCGATCCGGGTGAAAGAGGACTTTATCAGGCGCCAGATTGACCTGTCCACCGCCAGAGTTCAAATTGGATCCGAAAAGCATGCAGTTCGCTGTGCCGTAGACGAAATGGTGCGCAGGGAAAGCAGTCAAGCTGCCAAGGAGCAGCGCCCCCCCGCTTTCCACACCCGCTTGTTCTATGATGAGGTAAGAACTAGGACGCTTGAATTCTGGAAGCATTCTGATAATTGCGTTTGATACGGACCCAAGCTGATATCAGCGGTTGAACCCTAAAGTTATACGGCTTCACTCTCGGTGGGCATGAGTCGACATCCAACTCCAATCAGTGGGCTGTGAAGACGCTGGCACGCCACCAGCGCCAGCAGGCCAAGCTACGCTCGATTCTACGAGAGGCACTTTCAGCAGCAGTAGCGGAAAAGCGAGTCCCAACAGCACAAGAGGTTATGCAGGTGCGATGCCCTTACTTGGAGGCTAGCATCGAGGAGCTATTCCGCGTGTCCCTGACGGCGCCAATGTGCGTCCGAAGCGCCACGCAGGACACGGAGATTCTAGGCTGTCGTATCCCCAAAGGCACCATCGTCTTTCAAGTCTGGAACCAGGCTGGATACACGCAGCCTGGATTTTCCGTTGACGAGGCTCTGCGCACCCCTGGTGTCAGGGCGGCAATGTCGAACAAAGGACCAGTCGGCACCAGTGCCACTGGTGACGACTCAGGATTCGATCCGGCGGCTTACGTGCCCGAGCGGTGGCTTCTAGAGACCAAGGACGGCAAGGAGGTATTTGACGCGACGCGAGGCCGAAACATGATATTCAGCATGGGTCCCAGGAGCTGTTATGGGCGGAAGCTGGCATATGTGCAGATGCGTATGTTTGTTGTGCTGGTATTATGGAACTTCCAGCTTGAGGTGCTTCCCCATGAACTCAACACAACCGGGGCTTATGACAAGTTGACCAGAGAGCCGCACGACTGCTATGTCAAGTTAACAACTCTGAAGCAATAGGCGAGTCACTTTAATAAATACATCACCGCACCGAGTCTTAATAACTGAGGTATACATTCTTGATTGATTGTATAGTTCTTCATAAAACCTGGGTTATGCTAGGATCTGGCTACGAGCCATTCAGATATAACCCAATCTTGCGTAAGGAAGTTCAATATAAGAATAGACTTGTATTCAATCATTGGTTTTCAAGTTCTGTTTCTGTTCCCGAAAACTTTGGAGGTAACGCACCCGTTCCAAGTCCCGAAGTTACACTTCAGGAGAACTCAAAATGGAGACCATGTCGCTACGCTAGTCATTTTTGAATAGCTGCAATCATGCAACTCAATGAGCCTTGCTCCCTCACATGGAAAATTATGCTACAAATAACTCGTATCTTTAACGTCTCTTTTCTGGGTGCCTGTCAGGGGTTTCTTATGAAGTCTATCTAGAGGTGGAGTGGACCTAAGGAGTCTCGTGAGCAATGCTGTATCTGAAACAAGCAGATCATTCCAATTCAATACGGGACGCCTTTTCTGTTGAAGAATGCATGTGATCGCAGTCTGCTAATTCAACCTGCTTAGAAAATTAAGAGCAAGTACTCTCCAAGCCGATTCTCAAGCCCCTGACTGAATAAGCTGCTTTTCCGACACAAAGGGGCGGTCAAACCTAGGCTCAAATTCGTCCTTCTGTATTCCAAATCCATCTTTCACAATGGGTTTAGCCGGATCCTCGCCTGCCGGGCCTCTCATTCTCATCGCTTGGGGTATAACATACGGGTTCTTGCCTTCGTATTAAAGAAACTTCTGCAACTCATCCTCCAGCCAGATGGCGCGCCCTCCCAGAATACGATTCACCAAATGTCGAATGAGTAACCGAGGTCTTGCGGCACGCACCTGCCAGCCTAGCTCGTCGCGGATATGAAAGAGCAGCTCTCTATAGTCGCCGTTGTTCTTCATAAACATAAGAAAGCTGAGTTCCACTGAGCGCAGGGCCTGCGGCAGCACGGCAAGGAAGTCAAGCAGGTCCTGCTGCTTAACAAGGAAGCGCGACAGCCCAAAGTGCGCCAGGTTCTTCCACGCTTCGACAGGGAAGATACATCGCAGGGGATAAAGTGATCCCTCGTGAGGTTAGGGGCTGCGGCTCCTGTCCGAGGCTGCCGTCCTCATCGGTCTCCAAGGTAAAGTGTCGCAAGTCGGCCTCCAATATCTGCTTCAGGCGCCCGTTGCGGAAGGCGATGTAGTTGTTGTCGTCTGCCCCGCAGACCATGAGGGTTAAGCCTAAGCGTATTAAAGCCCTGCATCTTGATTACGGTGGCAAGGTGGTCGTACTCGAGGCATGGTTCTGGTGTGTGGAAGATGCCGCACGTGAGCCCTGATTGAATATGGTTGCCGTCGAAAATCATCTCCGTGATCTTCGAGGTCGCATGCCCCTGCTCGGCGAGGATACTGACGACAAGGCGGAATCCGCGCCATTTATCCTTGTCCTCCTCGCGCCCCCACATCTCGTAGTCGGCTCCTTCTTTGTCTTTAGAGGCTGGCCAGCCGCGAGGAAGCGGGTAATTGAAGCCGTACGGAAGAGCGCGTATGGCGGGGGTTGGGTACAATGGCTTGAAGAGAATGCCATGCGCAGCAGGTGTCAGGGTTATCCTCTTCAGGTTGGTGAATCTACCCGTCTCTAGGGCCCATTTGAAAGCAGCTACATGGGCCGATGTGGAAAGCACTTGTTCTTGTTGCTTGAGCAGCTCTTGGTAGTGGGCGTAGGCGACGTCAAGAGGCAGCTGGGCGTCAAGCTGCTGAAAAATCTCAAGATGCTGCGGTAAGGTTTTGACGTCGTTGTCTCGTCTTTCCTCCAGGTACTCGACGTTCTCTTTGCAGCGTATGAAGTGCCAGATCGGAACACCACGTGGAACCTTCTGTGGCCCATCATCATCGTCATCTGAGTTGTCGGGATACTCATCTGGATACACGCATTCGTCGTCGTACTCGCCCTCGAACGTCACGAAGTCGGACGGTGGCTTCTCGTAACGAGCATCGTCCCAGATGATCTCGCGGACGTCACGGCGGAAAGTCTCGTGTTCTGCGATAGCGCGAAAGACTTGCAAATTCAGGGGGATGGCGGATATGAAGATGCGCTTGAAACGGAGATGAGGACTCATAAGATTGGCGAGCTTCTTGCAAGTTAACCGCAGGGCTTTGAGATGGCAATTTTCGAGATAGCTGAAGACGAGAGCGGATATCTCAAAGGGTGCGGTGGCGATGAAGTCGATGATAGTTGCTGGTCCCGTGGATGGACCAGAGCTGGATCGAGGAGTTGCCATAGGAGGCGTTTAGAGAGATGAAGTGAAGAGATGAGGAGACGAGAAGCCACGATGTACGAGGATGGAATAAATGTTGCTGTCTGCCTGTTTCTTGGTCGGCTGGTCTCGAGCCATTTGGCACTTGGGGGGCTTTGTCGTTTCAACGACGGAATCCGTCAAGGTTGGTTGCGTGTGAAACTATAAGCGTCTCTACATGGATTCCAAGCCAAGTTGCACTACGGTCCAGCACTCCACCGCGACCTTACCGGGGTGTTTGCTCCGGCCCCGGGCAGGTGAAGTGGAGTCTGCCTATCTATGGGTTTTCGCTGGTCCCTTTTAGCAGCACTCCGGCAGCAGCTCCGGCAGCGCAGTTGGTGTAACCGTCAACGCAATTGCTTTCTCTCTCGGAACTGAGACTATAGTAGCGCTAAGAAACGCTGGTTTATCATGTTTCCACTATTACTCTTAATATACTGACTCTTAGTCAGTCATTAGTCCCGTTCATAGGAACACTGTAGCGGGCTCCAAGCCAACCGCCAGCCTGACCTCTAGGGATGGGTATATCTGCTTTCCATGCTTCCACAGACGCCAACAATTGTGTGATCCCAGAATGCGAGCATCAAGATACTGTTGAAATTTCGAACGAGCCGTCCGATATACCGTGTACGCGCTTGATGTCATCTACGGCCCAGAGCGCAGAGATAACTAGTCGGATGCCCAGCGCGGAAAAGTGCCACTATGGAGGCTATGCACAATTTCTCACCACTGAAAAGCAACCTTGACGAATGCAACCTTTGGCATTTCCTGAAACAGTTTTTCGGTTCACGCGACTGCAGAAAACAAGGCACAACTTGGTCAATTCATTGAACTGATCAAGTATGCCGGCGCAAGCGTCATAAATCTTACTGAAATAGCAGACTTCGATGAGATCGTTAGAAGAACTGGTTGGGATTGGGATTGGTAGGCAAAAGAGTTCACTATATCCAAATAATATCTAGATGTTATCTAACTCATCGATTAGATCCTTAATAGATTTCTTTAAGCCAAGGTTCGGGCCGCACCTATATTGCGCTATGCCGCGACTCTTCGTTTAGACTATGTTTTGCTAGCAAGGGCTGGCTGATAAGCAAGCTACAACGGGACACAAGGGTGGTAATAGTAGTGAAGAATATATTACTAGCCGCTGTCTAAACATGTGCAGCCATGCGGACCCCCCCGCCCCCTTCTCCTTTCTGATAAGAACTTACAGTTTCAACGATGCTCTACTAAGTTATCTCAAACCCTGCCCTCTGTCTTCCACTGGCGGATAATGATCTCAGCAGCCTGCATATCTCTTAGCAGTTATGACTTTCTCAAGAATGGAAACAGAATGCAGCCGGGAACGATTTACCTTCTCGCCAATGGCGTACGCCGTCGTGGTGGTGTGGGCAGCAGGGATGGTAGGGATGATGGAGCAGTCGGCAACGCGGAGGCCCCGGATGCCGTAGACGGAAAGGCTCGAATCGACAACGCCGCCCTTCTCACGGGGGAGCATAGCAGCCGTGCAGCAAGGATGCATGAGCGACTGGATGACGTTGTCCTTGACGTACTCGATGAGGGCGTCGTGCTCGGTGACATTTGCACCAGGTGCGATCTCAACGGCGCCTAGCCCCTGCCATGTGTCGGTGGAGTAGAGGCGGCGGAAGTAGTCAACATAGGCGGCCATGATTTCGAGGTCTATTGGGTTCGCGCCGGTAGCGTAGTTGACAACGGGGGTGGCATCGTGGTTGGTGGAGTTCAGGACGACGGAGCCGCGACTGAGGGGCTTGAGGAGGAAGGCTGTCCCGGGCCCCGCCTGGAAGGGCATCTCGAGGATAGGGTGCTCGGGGTGCTCGAGCGCCTGGGCGATGATCTCGAGCTGCGCGATGTAGCCCTCATGGACGGTTTCGGTGGCGCCGGTGGTGAGATACCGGAGGACGGAACGGTCTCCGATCCGGGCGCGGATGTCTGCGACGATCTGCTCCCAATCGGGGGTGACGTGTCGGAGGGCAACGTAGGCAGCGCTGTTGCCCATGGCGAGAGTGTAAGGACCACGGGCGGGGCGCTCGCGGAACTGGGCGACGGCTTCGGCAGCGTAGGTCACGTTGTTGGCAACGTCGGCCTCGTTAGGGCGAGGAGTGTCGTAAGAGTATGCCAAGGGAATGCCGCAGTGGTCTTGAAAGTTCTGCCCGACACCAGGAAGGTCCTCGACGAGCTCGATGCCTTCTGATTCGAGGTATCCAGCAGAGGCGATGCCGCTGCGCTGGAGGATTTGGGGAGTGTGAACGGCGCCGGCCGACAGGATGACCTCGCATTTGGGGCGGATGGTCCGGACGTCACCACCGGCGACAGGGCGAAACTCGATGGCGGGGGCACTTTTCTTGTCCTTGTCGATCACGAGGCGTGTGACCTTGTGCTCGACGAGGAGGTCGAGGTTGGGACGGGTTTCCGCGATCCTGGTGTAGTGACCAACACCGGCGTGGGACCGCTCGACGGTCTCTGAGTTCTGGGCCGAGGGAACCCAGCAGATGCCGTGCTTGTTCCCGTCGTCGCAGCTGACAGGGGTCTCAAGACCGAACTCCTCGAAAGCCCGCCATCCGATCCCTGGAGGTGTTAACAGTTCAGCGTCTTCGCTGTTCCTAGTGCAATTACGGTTCTGGAAGTCACATACGCTGGGCGGGCCACTGAAAGGGCGGGAAAGAGGCCTCGATCGAGTCGCCGGTGTACGCGGAGGCATTCCAAGTGTAGCCGTACTCCTCGGCAAGCTCGTCGCTGGGCTCAGTAAGGAATAAGGACTGATGTATCTCAATATTAGAAGGGGGGTCCGACTTTGGAAAAAGAGAGGGACAGGATTTGCCTTCTTGAACGCAGGGCCAAAGTTCTCCCAGTCCCAACTATCATGGCTGTCGTTGAACTGAGGGCTGCCGAGTCGCGCCCACTCGTCGTAGTCGTACCTGGAACCACGGTCCAGGAATTGACCGTTGACAGCCGACCCTCCGCCAACAGTCATGCCAAGGATCACAGTAGCGGCACGGTTGTTGACGCTGGCAACAGGAGGGGAGCTGATGACCAGGCGGCTGGCTCCACGGCCATCCTCGGGCGGATCGTAGTAACCAATGGTCCCCTCGATCTTGCCGTACTCGATGACTAGGACGTTCTCTGTGAGGGGGGCATCTGCATAAGCTTTCCAAAGAATGCCCCGGCATTACGATCTGGGACCTTCCATCTAGGTATCAGCATTGGAAGGGTTCACAACTCACTCTCGGGGAAGGCAGCCGAAACACGGTCGGCGATGGTCAGACCGGAGGTACCACCGCCGACGACAACGAAGTCGTACTCCTGCCGGAGCTCGGTGACCTGCCTCTTAGCCAAATTGTAAGCGCGGCGGGGGAGGGCCTCGACGACGACGACGCCAAGGATGCACGCGCCAGTCGAGAATGCCTTGATGAGACGCATTTGTTTCTTTTGGTTCCGGCAATAGCGGCAGTAAGAACAATATGGAAACAAATTTAGATGGTATCTAGATATGAATACCGTGACAGAAGAGGGGAGACGGGGTTGATTGACGTACGCAACTCTTGGGAAGGGAGAGCCAGCCAAAGGAGAGTTGATCAGAGGAGACAGATCATCGCGACTCTTCTCTTATACTAGGCTCTTACCCCTCGAGCGGAAATAACGGGCCCGAATACTACTCGGCTACATGGAAAAGTTCGTTGTGGTCGCGCCAAGTCTCTTCTGACCTACTCTACTGGGCGGTGAAAGACGAGCGAGTAGAATGCTGAGCCGTCTCGGCGCTCAGTACATCGAGGATGTCTGATGGCATTCTGCCCACATCCCTTTAGCCGTACTCAGCTAGTTTGCCAATGTTGCCATCCCTGTCTCCAGGAACCAAATCCCAGAACACAGGCAGATTTGTGGGATACGTGTTAGGCTTAGAGGGGTAACTGTGTGTGTATTGTGCCACTATCCAGGCCCATGAGGGGTTCCGTGTGCCAGGGGGCCTTACGACTAATGGTGGACTATGAAAGCGGGCACGGAAAACCTCTTGTCAGTATGGCCGGACAAAATTTTCCTTTGGAGTACATGACCTAATGGAAGCCCAAGACTCTGTTCCATCAAACACGCGTGCAATCTGATGTATAGTCACCTACAAGTGATTTTTAACTCAAATGATAACCGGCAGGCTAGGGTGGTTACGGGCACCGGCTACTAAGGCACATGTACGCATAGTGAGAAAATAAGCCGCGCAACACTGACAACGCAACGCCACAAATCGTGAATCGCAATATGAAGCCTAGTAGCAAAATTGGCAGAAAGATGAATCAGCACCGTAGGCGATGCGATGCACCGACCAATCTGGATTCGCGGGAGTCAATAAGCAAAACTTTCAGCTACCCATCAATTCTTTACTCAGGGGTGCGATACTGTGACTTAGTCAGAACGCTAGTAATTGTTATCAATCCTGGCAAAAGAGGTGATTCGTTCAGGGCCACGCTATCAAACATATTCTCGAATGGTCTCAGTAGTTGGATCTATTCAACTCTGATGCACGTATTTCGTTTTGCAAGAGAGGTATTGGCCTCGTCCAACCTCCATCACATCCTCAACTTGGTCTGAAGAGGCGTAAGCGTCAACGAGGGCCTTCGAGAATTGCCTTTGGGACCTTTCTGGAAAACTAGATGTCCAACTCCTCGTATTTGCGACCCTTGCACTTAGGTAGACGAAAGAATGACCAGGCAAATATGCTATCAGCAGTGCCGGCCCAAAAGAACCCGGCCTTCCCTCTCAAATTCCACTCGGTGGGATTCCTGACGTTCGTTAGCTTGGCTATCATCATTGGACAGTGGAAACTATGCTCCGTGCAGTCGAGGCTCGCGGGGATTTCCTCTCCCATCTTATAGGTCAGGAGGACTTGTGAGACGATGTTGACTAACTGATATGCGTTTCGGGAGAGCATAACAGTGAGCGGGCGCAGGCGAACTGAAGAAGTCTTGCTTATAACGCTGTACTGGAGAAAGCTTCAGCAACGCAAAAGCCAAGGAAATTCTCGCAAGCACGGCATGCTTGACTTACGGTAATCGGTCCAATCATGAGCGACTGTTTCGAGTTAGCAACAGTTCATCTTGCTCTTATAGCTCGATGTTGTGGTCACGTACGTAAACGAATGGCCAGAAAACGCAAAGCCCTCCTGACGGCCAAAGACCCCTTTCGTCTACGGAGACCCAGAATGTTGGTGTTTTTGGTATTAATATTGATTTTTAATAATAGTCCTTCTATGTTTACGAGGATTCGACCGATCCCAAGAGCAATTTAGCTGTGTTTGGCAGGCATGTCAGATAACACCTCGCGGAGTGGTGGCCTGATCTCGAGGGAATTTTCAACGTCACCGCCCTGCATATTGCAGTGGACTCAATCTATCAAACTGGGCGGGTACAAAAACGTCTCTCTAGGGTACACTTAGGTAATCTTGTAGCATAGCAGAATTGGCAAGCATGTCTTGCACATATCGGGGTGAGGCAGATCTAAATGTCGAGTCTGATAGGTCTACAGTTGGGTGGATGGGAGCTGCTCATTATATTGACAGATGATCTGTCGTTAACTATACTAAAAAAGGCTTGACCAAGACTAAAATGGCGGTACGACAAGAGTGATGTTTGGAATGGTGATATTTTCGGATATATTCCTAGTTCATTAGGTACAATAACTCGATCACGAGAATTGAATGTCTAAGACAAGGTCTCGTGGCTGTCGCGTTTTGGTATGTTCCGTCGACGAATAAGATAGTCCTGTGGAAGGCTGCTTTCAAATCTTTCAATCAGATCTTGGTGGCCATAAAGCAATGCCTTCACAATTTCATGCACCTCCGCCACTCTTCCGTCCACATCGCCTGTTGCTTCTTTAGATGTTAGATAAGAGCTACTGAGAACCTTTGTGGCATCAGCGTAAACCTCTGGGCGAGATTCCTCAAATCGCTTCTGCCATTAAATTAGTCCCAAATTCATACAAAAGGAAGTCAAGGCGACCAACTTTCACGTCTTCCAAAAAATTACAGCTTTGCTGAAACACAGTGGACCCAGCTTGACCTTGGGTCGGAGTGGTGACATTCTCAGGTGGTTCCGACATGGATTGTATGATGCAACGAGTCCTTATTCACTAGTCAACTAATTGAGGGTTGGCTGTCATCTCACTATTGAATGGTAGTAATTAGGGAGGTAAGATATATCAGTAAAGGTTGGTTAGTTAGGAGTTGGCCCGAAGGTACTGTGCTTTATGAGAACGACTCCGCACTGGATTCAATCCGTTATCACGAGCCGAGGATAAGGTCGTTCTATCAGCCAATACGTGCAGTGTAAACCCTCATGGGAGTAAATTCTCGCAGAATGTTTTTTGCATAATACGGACGCAGTCAAGCGGCACAGCAACAGACATTCAACCCGAAAAGAATGTGTGTTGTGGAGCCGGGAATAGCAAACAAGTGGGAAGGGTGCTAAATTCCATCCTTTAAGCACTATTGATTTCTCCTCCATACATTGTAATGCCTAGATAACAGAACTCACTCCTCAGTCAATAACTTAATTGTCGATGGCAGAGACTGTCTCGGCTACATGCCATATAGCTTACGAGTCCTTATTCCCCAGCCAGCAAATCACGCAGACTACGTGCGACAACCTTTGTGGCCCGCCTGAGATCATCAAGTTGAAGCCGCTCATCGGCTCGCTTGGCGTGAGACTCCAGTACGGTACGCGGGCCCGCGCCGTAGACGACGCCAGGGACACCGGCCTCAGCGTACAAACGTACGTCCGTGTAGAGTGGGGTGCCCATCGCCGGGATCGGCTCGCCGAAGACCTCTCCGCCATGCGTCTGGATCGCTTCCACCAACGGCTTGTTGCCGGGGAGCGGCCGCATCGAGTTTGCGAGCAGCAGACGACGGATATCCACCGATATCCCGAGCACTGAGGCAGCTGCGTCAGAAATGGTCTGGCGAATCTCGGCTTCTACCTCGGCCGGGTTCTCCTCGGGGATCATGCGGCGGTCGAGCTTGAACACGACCTTACCGGGTACGACGTTGGTGTTCGTACCGCCCTCGATGCGGCCGATGTTAAGGTAAGGATGGGTGATGCCCTCCACCTCCGAGCGCACCAGACGACAGCCTGCGTTTAGGGCATAAAGTGCGTTGAGGATCATGACGGCGCCTTGCAGGGCATCGACGCCGGTGTGGGGGATGGCGGCGTGAGCCTGGTTTCCGTGAACCGTGACTTCCATCTGAAGACAGCCATTATGAGCTGTGACCACCTCATACGAGAAGCCCGCGGCAATCAGCAGATCGGGCTTGGTCAGACCTTGGCGTAGCAGCCAGCCGGGACCCAGCTCGCCACCGAATTCCTCGTCGTAGGTGAAGTGAAGCTCGACTGAGCCACGCAACGGCGCATCGAGTGATTCCAGCGCGCGTACCGCGAAAGTGAAGGTCGCAAAGTCGCTCTTACTGACCGCGGCAGCCCGGCCGTACAGCACGCCATCTTCGATAAGTGCGGCGTAAGGGTCGCGCGTCCAGCCCTCGCCTGGCGGCACCACGTCGCCGTGAGCGTTGAGTGCCACCGTGCGGCCACCAGCGCCGTAACGACGGCGCACGATCAGGTTCGTGATGGATTCGATACCGTAAGCGGACACTTCCGCTTCGGGCACCGGGTGGCGCTCGGCTGCGAAGCCGAAGCTTTGAAGCAGATCGGCGGTGCGCTCGGCATGCGGCGCGTTGTTGCCGGGCGGAGTGTCTGTGGGCACCCGCACCAAAGTCTGGAGGAAGCCCACCTCCTCCTCGAAGTGGGCGTCAATCCAGGCGTCGAGACGCTGATAGTCTGTGGGAGAAGCGGGACTGGCCATGTTTGCTCTGACAGAGTCAGGTCTTGTCAGAAAATATCTGAGTGTTGAGAACATTTGTCCCTCAGTTTCGGCTCGGACCGTGGCCCACACCGGGCTTCCGGATGTGCGCCGATCTCGCATCAACCCAAGAAGCGGGGGGGAAGGTGTAGGGAGACAACATACTTTCTGTCTTGGCTTGCCCACGAACACCAATTGTTTATGTAAGGCATGTTGAAAATTCCTACTACTTCAAACTCACTGCAAGCAGCGTGCACTTAGAGACGGCATAGGTTTGAGTGGGGAACAATATAAGCGACCTAAGTACTTGATCACTTAGTCGTGTATGGACGGTGAGAGAGCATTCGAATTTCATGGATCAACCCCAGAAGCTCTGAAGATTTGGTCTCAAGCCTGTCCTTCTCCTTCTTATGAACCGTCTGGATGGCGTATTCAACCTCTGATGCAGCACCCTGCCGGACAGAACCGTCCTCAACACAATCCACAGGTGTCTTCCGCCTCTGACCTCCCACTCCTTTTCTATCGCATCTAGGATAGAAGCAGGCGCGATGTCTCTCAGATCTCGACAATCTTCTCCTAGCCTTCTGGTGTCAGTCTAGGAAGTCTGTCAAAACCTCCTTCATGAAGCCGGACCAGATTTCCTCGGGGCGACTGAGATCCCATGGAGCAGTTGAGTTTCGTAGCGGCGCTCAATCTTGTTGGACATTTTGATATTGGTCCTCTTGTACTGCGAGTATGCCATAATACAGCTGTATTCCTGGCCTACCGAGATGCAGATGACTGTCTTGTTAGACTCCTGGTTCTGTGCCTATTGGAGGAAACATCAATAATCTTGGAGTGAGACTCTGAAGCCAAGAATAAGAGCAATGTTGGTATGAGAAGTTGATAGCGGAGGAAAAGGGTTGGACTTTTGACGGCGAGGTGCGCCTCAAACCCATCCCTGATTTGATAGGAAGCAGGGAGCCGTATGACATCGGCGTCTGTGAGTAAGATATTGACTTGGTGGGTCTTATTTTGGAGAATTATGACTGTAGCCGAGCGAACACTTTTGAGAGAGGCGTTTCTCATCTATATGAGTTCGAACTTCTCTGCCTCCAAGATGTCGTCCAGTGTTGACATGGTGCGTATCAGATCTCTTGCCATGAAATAAAGTGTGGCTCCAGTTGTTGAGCACGCTGACTTGGCGGCATACTAGCTCAGTAGGGTCGTCACGTTGGCTAAGCGGGTGCTGAATCTTGCCGACTCCAACCACTGGAATTCCATACCGGTGGAGACAGCCTCATCCGCATCACGGTTCACGGCTTGGAGGCTCAGATACATCACTCCGCGCCCAAAGACCACCGAAAATTCAAATGAGAGCAATTCCCCTTAGTATTCGTAACTAAAAGACACCCTAGAATGCATTTTTCAAGTACTAAAACGCCGCGCCGAGAATGCCTCCCTGGTCCCCAATCTATTCCCCCGTATTGAACGACACGCGTAAGTCATGAGTTGTTTTTGTTGGTTCATTTCTGGATAGCCCAAATGTGAAAAAAATGATCTCTACCGTGAAGAACACACCCCACACCCCAAACCGAGTTTCCCAATTACGAAATCTCATGCCCGCCCGCGTTCTACTTTATAAAACCTGTTTTCGCTCGGTTAAGTAATCCATCTTTCAGAAGTACCGCAATAAAATAAAGGAATGCTAGTGCAAGAGGCAAAGCGCCGTCTTAGACGACGTGCTTGGCGCCGTTGGCCTGCTTGGCGGCCGCAAGCTGCTCCTTGATGACCTGGTCGAGGCATCCGGCACTGGCGGCGACGAGGCCGAGGTAGGGTCTCTGTTCTGGTGTCAGCTCACATACCATAGAGCGTGAGGGCATAGGGAACATACGCTAGGGTTGAGGACCTTGGACTGGTACTCGGCGTGGAACTGGGTGCCGACAAAGTACGGGTGGTCCTTAATCTCAAAGATCTCCATACGCTCGCCAGTCTCGTCCTTGCCGACAAAGTTGAGGCCAGCCTCGGTGAGCTTCTCGATGTAGGCCGGGTTGGCCTCGTAGCGGTGGCGGTGTCTCTCCTCCACGGACTCGGCCTCGCCGTACAGAGCGCGCAGCTTGGACCACTCGCTGCCGGGCTGGAACTCGGTCGGGCGCAGACCCAGGCGCATGGTGCCGCCGAGCTTGTCGCGGCTGATCTCGGGCATGTAGATGACGGCCTTGTGCTCCGCCGAGGCGTCGAATTCCTCTGACGTGGCGTTGGGGAAGTTGAGGAAGTCGCGGGCGTGCTGGATAATGGCGGTCTGAAAACCGAGGCAGACCTGTCGAATGTCAGGTGGGAGGCAGTGGAGGGGATGACGGGCTAACTTACACCGAGGAAGGGGGTGCCGTTCTCGCGCGCCCACTTGGAAACCTTCATCATACCCTCGGTACCTCTGTTACCGAAGCCACCAGGGACGATAATGCCGGAGGCAGTGCAGACATCGTGCCACGCCTTGTGGTACTGAGCCTGGTCTTGGGACTTGGCCTGGGGCTCAAGGTGCTCGGCATCCACCCAGCAGATGTTGAGCTTCTTGCGCAGGTACATGGCCGAGTGCTCCAAGGCCTTGACGGTGGACAGGTAGGCGTCCTGAGACTTGACGTACTTGCCGACGAGGGCAATGTTGATCTCGCCATCAGTCGGGCGGCTGACGACGGACGCCCACGTCTTCCAGAGCGCCTCGCCCTCGGCGATGCGAGATTGGGGAATGTGCAGAGCGTCGAGGTTGACAGCCTTGCGCAGCCAGGGAATGAGGTTCTGCTCCTCCAGGAGGAGGGGGACCTGGTAGATGGTGGGCATGTCGCGGACGACAAGAACCTGGGGCACATCGACCTGGCAGAGGAGGGCAATCTTCTTGACCGTGGCCTCCATGAGAGGCTGCTCGCAACGGCAAGCAATCTACATGTGTCAGCAAACGACGGATCAGTGGATGCCGCGGAGCCGTACCATATCAGGGACAAGACCGTAACTGCGGACCGTCTTCACGGCATGCTGTGTGGGCTTGGTCTTCTGCTCGCCGTGGATGGTGGGGACGTAGGAGACGTGGATCTGGATGAAGTTGCCGCTTCCTGCTCTGTGGCGCACTGCTCAGGAGTCAGTAACTGCTTCGTCAGGGGGTGAGTTGAGTGAGTATACATTGAGTCAATGCCTCGACGTAGGGCATCTAATACGAGTTAGCGGACGCAACACGAAAGGTGCTCGAGGCCGAGCTGGAATCCCGAGATACGCACGCTTTCAATATCACCAACTGTGCCTCTGTTGATTCATGTTAGCCCCTAGCCTAATCCGTCCGAACCCCATGGAATGCGCATAATGGAAGGTCGCCCTAAAGAGAGAGAGATTGCGGGACTCTAGGGGAGGCGGGAAACCAGGAAAACGTACCCAAGCTCGATAATGCAGACATCCGGCTCCTCGCCCGAGTCGTCTGTGGGGATCTTGGCCACGCGCTCAATCCAATCCTGGATGGCATCAGTGACGTGGGGGACGCTTGCATTCCGTCAGCACAACATTCGGGGACACAGGTCAGTCAATAGCCCATAACATACACCTGCACGGTCTTTCCGAGATAGTCGCCGCGGCGCTCCTTGTCGATGACATGTCTGTACACCTTGCCGGTGGTGATGTTGTGCTCGCCGGTCAAACGGATGGCGAGGTAGCGCTCGTAGTTGCCCAGGTCTGTGTACGAGCCTCGGTGTCAGAGACTTGCGATTGATTGGATGTAAAAATGGCGACAACTGCGATTCCCGCCAACCCAAATAGGGGCGGGAATATCTAGAGTCTGTTGCTTGACGGAGGTTCACCTACCAAGATCGACCTCCATGCCATCTTGCAACTGATGATGGTCAGCGTCTTCTGTTGAGTCATGGCTTCAAACAGAGTCCCGGATCCACCATCGTCTCAGTTCTTGCGGGATGAGAGATGAAGGGCACTTGCACCATTTTCCCGGGACAACATCGAAAAGTGAGGACAGCAGGTTACGAACCACAAAGCATTCGCCGTGCTCGGCGGGGGCCATGAGACCAGCATCGACCTATAATTCATCGTCAATCACAGGTACAGTGTGAGGGGTTCAACGGAGGATTTTCACTCACCGACAGGTACGGGTCGATCTTGATGCTAGTGACACGCAATCCCAGGGTCTTGAGAAGCTGTTCACAAGGGAAGAAAAGGCATCCGTCAGCATTGTCTGCTTCATGAAAGGCTGCATGTGATGTTCCGTCATCCACGGTACACCCCGCCAATTCCCAGAGGCTTGGGCTTCGGTAGATAAGGAAATTTTAACAGGGGTTCGGATACACACCAGACCCGTGGAAGAGGCGATGATGCCCTTGCCCACTCCAGAGATGACACCGCCTGAGACGAGAACGTAACGCATGATGGCTGGTTTATAACAAAAAAAGTCTGGGGAGTGGTCTTCGTATACGTTCAACGGAGGGGAGGTTGTCGGTGGCGTTCAACTCTTTTTGATAGAGGGGAGGGGAGGGAAGAAAGAGAGTCAAGAGTCAAAGGGCGGAACGCGACGCGGTCGGAGGTAAAGAAATTTTTGGTTATCGATAAACGCATGAACAGGCAGTGCTTCGGGGGGCCGACCCCGGTACCACCACCTTCCATGCCAAAGTGGCCCGTGGGCCGGTCGTGTAAAGTGGATTTGAGCCACACTCTGGATTTACGTCAAGCCACATTACTCACGTGCAATGGATTCTCACAGAGGTCACAGAATTCACCAAGCTTGATCCTACTAGCAAGTAAGCACGTAGGAACACACAGGTTTGCATTGGAAAGACGTGGAATTGTAGCATTACAGTTATGCTTGTAATTATTTATGCTCTATCGTTTGTTATAGAGAAAGCTATAATTCGTTACCGCAGAGTCCGTTGTTATGGGACTCATTTCATTTGAAACCAAGTAATTAGTTTACTTTTGAAACTTGACATCATATAGTCTTGCAATTTCACACACAGCAAACCTATATATGTGTACCATTACCACTACCCAAATGTGAAGCTGACCTCAGAAGAAAACGGCAAACCAACATAGAGTATGATTAAATGCCGAAGAGCTTGCGGAAGAGGACGAGCTGCTGTTATCACTAGCCTTAGAAGCAGTGACTGCTATTTGCCTTCTGAGACTTCAGCTAAGGCCAGAGAAGATACATGGTGGAAAGTGAAAGAAGCATAGCGAATGCAGCTGTGCCAATATTGGAGCTGGCCTCTATTGTATTGTTTAGAGAGTGACTCGTTTTAGAAGATGTTGCCGGTCGAGCTCGATGAGATGAAAAGGATGAAGGATGAACAATGGACCAGAGGTAATCATGTAATTTTCAACTTCATTGTACCGTGCTACGAAAGATCATAGTGTTCCTGCATCATGTGTTTTCCTGAAAACGCTGATTGATGTTGAGGAAGGTCGCACCATCACCAGTCGCCATCTAAGTTGAAGCCAAGCTTGCTCCACCATAGTAGCCGGCATGTCTTCAATCCGGCTGACTGACGATGATGGAAACACCGCCTTCAAAGGCTCTGTAATGCGCCATATAGCAGGCCATGTAAGCTATTCGAAAAGTTTGGATCTCGTAATTAGTTCCACGCAGTCTAAGCCATAACAAGCGCAAGCACGCGTTGCTGACGAGTCCAGGTAGGAGGCTTCCGGACTTTCCAGGACTCCAAATGACATGGAAGACTTCATGTCAAGAAGTGAATGTGTTTATTCATCTGCAGACAGATAGGCTAGCTGGCGTCGAGTTGCTGACAGGTTATAGGTCAAATCTATGACTGCCCATGTGGTATATGTACCAATAGAAGATGGCGAGTAGGAGGCATGGAATGTCTATAAAAATACCATCACTCAAACGTGAATATATGCGCTCTTCAGAGAAAGTCATTTGACAAAAACGAGGCTCATCTTGCGGTGCTAAGCTGACGATGAAAGGGTACCCGGCCCGAAGTTGCCGGCATATCACCACATGATGACTTGACATATGGGCCTGACAACCCTCTTCGAGATTGCTGTGTTGCAGTGAAAAAACCGCTATGCCATAGCTCCGAGTCGATGACAGCCTTAAGCCAATTCAATCCTCTATACTTGTCAACAGGTTGCAGAGGAACATTGTAATGGCAGACGGGGGTAAGCAACAAAACCAACAGCAAATGTCGGGCATCCAAGTAGACGGCGCCGTGGAAGGTCTGTGCCCCACAGAAGCAGTGGAGACGACGTTTGCGCTAGACAAGTTCCGCTCAAACCAGCCCATTGCAGATTGGTCACAGGGCGGTTGTACAGGGCTCGTAACGGGACAGTGACACAAGGGGGAGGATAAGAAGGGGGGAGGGCATGAGGACGAACAGGGATCGACGAGGAGGGCGCACGCTTGTCCAAGGCACGACTCAACGAACTTTGCTTGAAATGTTTATGTGATGCCATGCAATTCTTTGGCAGGTACGGAAGCAAACTCAAGTCCCTCTCGTTGCCATACAGGGCGCGCTTGGGCTTGTCATGAGACGGATATCTGCAATCTTGTGCCAACAATCTACCAAGGCGAGCTGGTGAATTTGCGTTGGTTCCTGGTCAGTGTAGCGGGCAGAAATCTCGTTCCGACATGCTATTCCCGGCTTGGCCGAAATATAGCTCAGCCCACGACCGATTCTTTGGTGTAATTAGCATACTGATGAATGCTCATACGATGGGGTTAGACTTGATACAGCGACAAATACTGCAAATGACGCCAGGTCGTTTCTGACCGCCGTCACGATTTTGCCGACGACGGGAATGGGCGTGAGCGCCAAAGACCAGATGGCGGCAAGTAGGAAAGGTTGTCATGTTCATGGGAGGGAGGTGGGCCGCGATGAGATCGAAGCCGGCTGGCGGGCGCGGAAGCTTTGGCGTCGCTGGCCAGAATCGGGCCTGGGGATGAATGGATGGCCAGCCCTACCTCGGACAGATCTGCATCCACCAGGAGAAGGTAATGACTGCCGCGGCTGGTTTCAGATGGTGCTCAGAACATCGAAGCACCTCCGGACGCAGCGGTGATGAGGAAGAATTCCCTAGATCGAACCCAGCGTTCGCACCGTCCATTCAACGCAGGCCGCGAGTGCATTTGCTTGCTGAGAGGGGTCGTCGAGATGACGAGACGTACACGACGGGGGTTTCCAGGCGGTCCGGCATCTTGGGTGCTTGGCCATGGCACCAACAAAGGTGGGGGGGAACTGGCATCCATCCAGGCATGTGCCCGAATCGGCTCAAGCGGTGAAGCCAATGCGAATCAAGGCGAAGCAAGACAGAAACTGGACTGCGTGAGAACAGGTCACTATCCTCTGGCGTTCTGGTAAAGGCATAGTTACGGTGGCTGTACAGGGTCGAGCAGAAGAAGCAGCACAATCCTCAGAGCCCTGTTCGCCTCGACTGAGGATTGCTGGTGTGAAGCGGGACAAAAAGCTGGTGAACAAAAAGCAGCTCATCCACGTCTCGTCTCTCGTCCCATCATCTCCCGGATGGGGCCGGTGCTGGACTTGGTAACATCCTTGGATGGGGACAACCTTCGCTCGCGCGTACCTTGGGGCACGGCAATGAAAACTTGAATGGGTAGCCGAAGAGCACAACGAGACAATGAGTACACGGCGTGGGAATCCAGGCAGATGAAGGTGCTGAAGCACATCCATTCCACCCACCCGGGAGAGTGAGACAAGAAAAGGTAAAACACAAGGAGACATGGAGGAGGATTCGAAGCCACCACCACCCTGGAGAGTGCGTGGCAGAGACAAGATGTGCCAGCCTAGGGCAGCCGGCTAGTTTGGCAATCGCAGCCAGTCAGCTAACACTCAGCCAGCGTGGCAAAGCCGTGCGCCGTGGACGGGGTTTAGATTGGACTGGGTTGAGTGGGAGTGGGTATTCTTCCGAGGGCGTGAGATTGAGGACGGCGAGGGGAAAAAAAGGCCGGAGAAGGCGACGAGATGAGATGAGGCAGGAATTCACATTTTGCTCGAGGGCATGTTTCTCGTAATAATGTAAAACGGGGAGAAAAGGGGGCACCCGTGGATACTGCTCCGAGTGAAGGGTGAACGGATGGAACGAAGGCCCCAAGTCTGATCTGTGAATGAGGAGCCCAAACACGTCCGTCCTTGAGGTAACGTGGGTTAGGAGAAATGGACGATGATGGGAAGAAAACGATGCCGTGTGTCAGGCGTCGAACGTCGAATGAAGCCGATGGCGGACATGGGGATCCCGAGGAGGTGAAAGAAAGGAGAGAAGCAGGACGGACAGAGGGCCATGGACGGGTGCGGTGCGTCTAGTCGTACGGACCAAATGAGGCGTCTATCAAGAACGGGCGAGGAGGTGACCGATTCCCACGCCTTTGATTTCCCCAAAAAAGGCTTTCTCTTTTGTCTGTTCCCTGGTGGGGACTTGCCGCCTTTTGAGCCCAAGTATGTAGGTACTGTACTGCCTTACATGCCTAGGTACACCATGGCATCGACACAGGAAGGAGGGCACCTTTTTGGAAATGCCACAATCCAACCTTTCCCCTCCCCCACGACCGTACCTACACACAGACATGCCCGCGACTTCCCAACTTCGAATTTGCACTCATCAGGCGTTCTAACGAAGCAAGCAGGCGCCAGGCAATGGTACCTACCACTCGCACGAGCAAAGGGAAGGGAAGGGGCAGAATGCGGATGGTGTGGGAAGGAATGGCCCGGCTCTTCTCTTCATCGGGGGGTACCTGCCGTTTTGCTGGCGCTGGGAAGGGAAGGGACGGGCGGGCGGCACACTGTGAGAGAGGTAGGAGCAGAGGCAGGAAGGCACTGTGAGGTGAGGTCGATCGAGCGAGTCACCGGCACCGAAGGTGTGGACTGTATGTACTGTAGACTGGAGCACACACTGAACGGAGGTACATCCGTCATGTACTTTATTCACATAAATCGCCCAACCTGCCCCCCGTTCCCTTTCCTCCTCTTCTCTCACATTTTCCCTCACCTCGTTCTCTTCTGCCTCCCCTCTTGCTGTTTAGCTGGTTTTGTTGTTCTGGTCTCTCTGCGAGTCTGCGTTGCTGCTCATTCGCGGCCCCTTTCGCCGTCAACTTCTGCATTCAATGACCTAGAAACGGTGGCCCCTCCCCAGGCTTCAGCACCGTTTTCCCACCGTTCGGGGGCCTTGTAAGTGCTACCAATTCGACTACAACGACAACCAGACGGCATACGCGCATTTTCAGAGAGGCCACCGTGGCGGGAAACCAGTTCTCGAGGAGTGAGGGAAATCTTACGACGTTTCCCCATCTCCCAGAAGCACGCCGACCGAGCAGGAGACGACTAGAGCAGAGAGGGCAGACATCCTTCCGCAGCAGAGGCTCGAAACAGTCATGGGCTGTCCGGAGCCACTCGACGGACGGGGTCGACCAGGGTCCTTGGCCGTTTTTGGCCCCGGATGAGCGAGAATCGCTAGCCCGCTAACAACCATTACTGGGCGAACCGTCTGGCTTTATGCTCCAGTCGGTGTCACTCTGCCCAGCGTAGGGAAACACAGACAACGAGGAGCCAGGGAGAAGGGGGGGGGGGATTGCGAAAGATGGGCCAAATCCAAAGCCCAATCGACCCGGAATTTCAAGCACCACCACGACACAACACCAAAGCACCATGCGAGCGCGGGCACGAGTGAAAGGCCATCCAGGACCAGCCATGCGGGCCGTGGCCATGACGGGGCCGGCACCGGGCCAGGCCAGACCACGCCAGACATGGGATCCCGCCAAAGAAATGACGAAACAAACCCTGAGTGCAGCCCGGACCCTACACCTAGGTACGCTTTACTACCTATACTATCAGGCTGCCTTACCGTGGCACCGTCTCAGTAAAATCTATCAGCTAATGCTGGTATTGCTTGCTCGTTTCCTCACTCAAGACCGCCGCTACGCAATTGTTTGACAATTCTTTGTCTCGCTTCTGCCGGCCGCTGAGAGAGGGGGGAGTTGAGACACACGCCGACGAAAGCCCACTGGCAATCGCTACAGTCAATGGTGACCAAGACGTGGCCTGGCCGGTCATCAATCATTGACGCCGGGGGTTGGGCGACTACGACGAGGAGGTGTATGGCCGGCCGCCTCGACCTGAGCCATGTCACTGGAAAGGATGCGCCTTTACCGCATTGGCTTCTTTCGGGCTTCATTGGCGGGGCATCCTGCAGCAATCAACCATGAACAACGAACGACAGCGGCAGCCTCCAGATGCACCATTTATTACTCGCACGACGACGGCCACATGCGCGGCAATTCACCTGCTCTTCCTACTCCCAAGCCATTTGCTCCAACGAACATGGATTCTACGCTCCTCTGGGCCACCACTCATTCGTCCCAAGACTCTGCACTCAGCAGCGCCTCCCCACTTACACCGGTGGCCATATGCTCCAACACACCCCTGCGGAATATGGCGATGGGGAGACTCACCACCACGCGTTGTGGACTGCGAAGCGCAGTCGGACTTTCTGCCAAATCTACTGAGCTGGATGCTAGGCCACGCTGGCCATTTTACTTCGGCGGTATCCAAATCATCACGCCGTCTCATCTTCCGTCGCTCGCCCTACCCGTCATGCCTGCCTCTTTCCACCCTGTTTCTTCGGAGCTGCACTGCTGTGCAACCAGCATCACTGGACGGGATAAGCCCCTCATGTTTTGCCTCGGCCGATTGTCAACTGCCATGTTTCTTGCCGGGCATTGGACATCTCTCTTTATCCTCTCTGTTCTGGCTGCGGGCTGCAGTCGTCAAGCACCGTAGCCTGGTGGTCGTCTACCCTCCCGTCCCTCGTCTTGAGCATTCATCATCCAAGTGGACGAGTTTATCGCATATCCCCAGCGGCGTTTTGTTGTTGAGCAAGCGCTCAGGCCTAGACGAACTCCGGACGAGACGCAGAGCCAACCTGATGGCTGTTTTTCGAGTGAGCACATGCCGCTATTTCATCACAACCTACGGCACTTTTCGAGGTGGAGAGTGGCTGTCATAATAGCAGCCAACTGAGCGAGTTTTTGCCTCAAGAAGTCTTGGGTGCTGCGCAAACTTACGCCACGAGTCAAGAGGAGGATATCGTTACCACGGTCTGTCACTTATGGCCTTGGAGAGTTGGGGTGGTATCCTAGCCTCTGGGGAGAAATACTTAGGCTCAGCCGGGGTCACAGGCATTCGCCAGAAAGCTTGCCGAGCAAGAACACAAGAAGAAAAGGCCATACAGCGACAGGGAGATCACGAACAATCCGACAGCGGACACGATAACCGAGACCTAGCGGTAGACGGAGACGAAGATAGTTATCAGCAAGGCAACGATCAGTGGGCAGCAAATCGGAGACTTGGTGCCACACGGAGCAGCATTTCTGGCGGAGACGAGGAAGGGGAGGAGTCACCGTTACGCCTGCGGTATGGAGTGGATGACAATCTGGTAGCGGATGAAACACTCTTGGGCGGTGCTACTAACACAAGCTGTCCACGCCTTATGATGGCACTAACGAAAACACCTGATTGGCTCATCGGTAGACTCCACGCTCTTCGCCTACACGAGGTCCATGTGGCGCTAGGCCGTAAATGGACTGGCTTCGCGTAGTTGAGCATTTTCTGGCGCTGGACGATGAAACCAGTGGAGCGCCAACATCAGCACTGCCCCTGGACTGACTCTACTGATTTGACAAGCTGGAACTGGGAGGACTTTCATTGACTGACAGACACCGGGACACGCAGCTGAGGTGTGGACAGGACACACTCACACTCACACTCACTCTCGCTCCCACTCTCGCATTCGCAGAAGACACTCACCAACCCACCGCCCTCCTCAAACCCGACGACTCCAGTTCCAAGCTACTGTGCAGCAAGCAGAGAGAGTGTATCGCGCATCCAGACAGATAGACATCCAGCCAGCCTGATTCCGATTCGGGTGCCTTGTCGTCAGTCGCTTCGAGTGGCATTCCTTAGGTAAGACCAGGCCGTTTTCATTCTCGTCAGCCTTTCGTTGCATTTGCCGCTGATCCCCCCCATCGCTTGCTCTGCCTTTGCTTCTCTCTGTTCCTGTCCTGTCCTGTCCTGTCCTACTCCGACCCGAACCTGTCCTGTCTCCCTCCGCCGCCGCCCCGAAAGTCGTACCCTTTTTTTTTCTCTACAATCCTCGCACCCCCATCCCGATCACCCCCGGGCCGCCGATAAAGTTGTAGGTCTTATTTTAATTGTCTCGTGACCGTTGTTTGATGCAACGATGCCGTCTTTTGATGGTTGATGGCCGTTGGCGTGCGTTGCTGTTGATGCTTTGTGGCCGCGCAAGTTCGCGATTTTCTGGCGCTGCAGGCTTCGCATCATCCACCTTTGCCTTTTTTTCTCTCACCTCTATTCCTTGTACTCCCCAATCCTGTATCAGACTAGGCAATCGAGGGAAATCTTAGCTTACAAGACGCGCTTCGATGGCCTGTCTATCTTGTCGGCTCTTGGTTTGTTCTTGCGTCGCGCTTCTCTTCCTTGAGGGACCCTGTCTCTCTTTTTCCCTTTATTCGCCTTGGGATTTTTTTTCTTGCCCAGTCCCCTTGCGCGCCGCCTTCCTCCGCCAGCCCGTCGTCGCCCCCCCAAAGGGCCCAGTCAAAGCCCGGTCCTCCTTGTCTCTCCCCGTCCATCTCTCTTGTTCTCGCTCGCTCTCTCTCTCTCTCTCTCCTCCAAGCCCGGCGCCAGTGCCCAGCCCAAACCCCCAGCGCACCTCGGCCAAAAGCGGCTGCTCCACTGCTGATTTCCCACACACCCGCTACTCGTCCGCTCGCTCGCTCCCCCCAGCACCAAGCACCACGCACCACGCACCACGTCCACCACACACACAACCGCGACGCGCGACGAGTCTGCATCGCGACAACCCACCGCCGTGTCACTTGCCATCCCATCCGTCTGCTGCTCCATCTCAATGGACTTTGGCTCATTTTACTGCAGTCGCTAATTTTCCCAGTAATCGCTCGATGGGTCGCTCGAGCCGACCACAACCATGAGCACCTGGATGAACGAGCCCGCGGTCCCCAACCACAATGGCAGCGCCTTCCCACACATGAACGATCCGAATGCCGCCGGAGCCATGATGGATCCCTCAGCCTTCATGGGCAACCCTGCCCATTTCAACCCTGCCCAGTTTGCCAATCCTCAACAGGCCCAGCAGGCCCAGCAACAGCAGGTTCAGCAACATCAGCAGCAGCAACAACAGCAGCAGCAGATGGCCGCCATGCAAAATGGCCAAATGCGCAACGCCTCACCCTCATCCTTCCAGAACCCCGCCTATCAAACAAACTCGGTCATTCCATCGAAGCGACCTCGCCCGCGCGAAGACAGCCTCGCCGGCTCACCACGGCAGAACCCCGGCATGTTGCCGACGTCGCGCTCCGAAACGCCCCAGACCTTCCCCGGCTATCAACCCGGCATGCCCCAACAGGCACAAGGCCAACCCTCGCCCTATCCCCATCTCCAACCCAACGGCTCTGCCAACGCGACACCATCGCCCATCATGGCAAACCAGCTGAGGCCCGGCAGTGTGCCTCAGCGAGTTGCGACCGCGTCACCACATCCCTTTTCACCTGGCGCGCAACAGTTCGCGCCCCAAGCGTCACCGAACCCGTCCGAACATAGCACTCCTCAACCGAATCACTACATGCAGCAAAACATGCAGAATATGCCGCAGGGCTACAATCCCAACTTCAATCCTTCGCCATCACCCGCGCGACCCTCTCCGAACCCGAACGCGATGGCGGCTTCCGGCATGATGCCCCAGCAGATGGGACAGATGCCTCAACATATGGGACAGATGCCGAACCAGATGTTGCCTCCCAACATGCAACCGCGAAACCCAATGGAGCAGCAACAGATGGCCGCTTACCAGGCGCGCTTGGCAAAGCAATTACAGCAAGGGACGATGCAGGGAATGCAGAACATGCAGAATATGCAGAACATGCAAAGCATGCAAAACATGCAGATGGCGGCTCAGATGCAGGCCCAGCAGAACATGGCTCAAGGCCGCGGTATGATACCGAAGCAGCCAATGCAGATGCCCAACGGCCAGATGCCCCCCGGGGCCATGCGACCGCAGCCGCAGCAACGGCCGATGCCCGGATCCAATCCTGAATCCTTCATGAAGTCCCTTAACAACTTCATGGCGGCCAAGGGCCAACAGCTCGACCCCAACCCGGCCATCGGCAACCGTCCCGTCAACCTCCTCACGCTGTTTCAATCTGTACAGACGAAGGGAGGCTACAAGCCTACAACTGCTAGCAATCAATGGCCTCATGTGTCCAACAGCATTGGCTTCCACCCTGGCCAGATTCCCCAGGCACCGCAGATGTTGAAGGAGATTTACGAAAGAAATCTTCTCCGGTTTGAGGAGGCTTGGGTAGCGCAGCAAAGCCGGCAGCGCATGATGCAACAACACAACCAGCCAGGCATGCCCGGCCAGCCTGGTCAACCTATGCCGCCCGGTGCCCAGCCTCAGTCGACTCCCACGAAGCAGATGTCACCGCAAGGTCAGATGCCGCCTCAGCAGCAAATGATGCCGCAGGGCCAACCGAACATACCCCCTCAAGTGCAGACTCCCGTCAAGCAAGGGTCTTTCAGCGGGCCACCTCCGTCCGTGAACGGTTTCCAAACTCCTCAAGGACCAGGACCGCATACCCCAGCACCTGCGCAGCAAGGTCACGCACGCAATAGCTTGTCCCGAAGCGTCGAGCCAACACCGGGCCATCCCCAAGGCTTCCCTTCAGCGTCGCCGGCATCCGTCAAGGGCGGAGGAATGCCCCCATTGCCGCGCCTCCCGGGATGGATCCCAATCCGATGGCAGCCTCGATCAAACCTCGCATGTTGCGATTGGCCCAGGAATCCGACGAATACACGCCGAGCGCCCGCCCTCTTGAGACGTACGGCGGAATCAACGTCAGGGCGTTCGACTTGAAGGGCCTGGAACTGCAAGGCCTGAAGCCTGATATCCCCCCTCCGTACGAGCTTGGGTATGTTGATCTGCATGCCCTCACGCGGAGCTTGGAGTCTGGCATTCATGGCGAAGTCCGGGTTGCCCTCGACACCCTTGCGACTGTCACAGCGACCCAGCACCAGGCACTGCACATTCACTTGAAGTACTGCGAAGAACTCATCGAAGCACTTCTCGAGTGCGCCGAAAAACAGCTGGATCTGCTTGTGGAAAACACAGAAGAAGCCTCAGCTGACATCCAGCTGACCCCTTACGAGGACGTTGCGCGCGCCTGTTGGACCGATAAGATGGGTGTCAAGGAGCTGCCCAAGTTTGGATCCCCCGAGTACGAGCTTGACAGAGCCGTCGAGCGGTTCTCCTGCGTCATCACCATCCTCCGCAACCTTTCGTTCCCAGAGGCCTCCAATGAGAACCATCTCGTGCTTGGCGATGAGCTGGTCATCAAGTTCCTGTGCGTTGTTATCAGGTACCTCGGAACCAGAAACATGCTCTTCCGGACGAACGCAAACACGCTTGAATTCATGAAGGATGCTATAATCCTCTTGTCTAACATCGCGGGTGCAGTTGAGATCCCCGGTCGCGAGCAGGCGTTGTGCCTCCTACACTTTTTGCTGGCATTCGCGCCGGCACCCGGGCCGACCTTTGTGGATGACAAGCTCTATTTCCCGCCGTATCAGCCTGGTGTTCACACATATACATTCCATGCCGTGGACGCTCTGGCCAGGTTTTTGGCTAGAGACGAGCCAAACAGGACACATTACAAGATGCTGTTTGCCATGGAAGCCAGCAGCACCCCGCAGTACGATTTGTTGACGCGGTCCTTTGCTCTCGCTACCACCGTCGTTCCCATCCAGTCACCGGAATCCGCTGTGGCCCATATCGAGACCCCCGAAAAGTTTTTCCGCCTCGTTGAGGATCGCAAGCCGTGGTTGATGCAGGGCCTCTTGGCTGCAGACATCCTTGCGTCGCTGGCTCCAGGGTATGAGACAGGCGTTGCAAGGTCATGGCTTTCCAGTGGCAACGGGTTTGCACAAGCCCTGTACCATTTCGTGCAGGTCTTGGGAGCCCAGTTCGAGCAGCCATGGCAGACACGAAGTGGCCAAGGCGATCCTGCGGGCCGGGACACGGGGCTTGTGTACATTGCGACCTCGGGTATCTCGACTCTGCGGCGACTAGCAGAGAAGGCCCGCGATCCCAACGATCCCAAGTCGTCCGTTCCCGCGGACTCGTTACCTTCTGAGGAAAGCCTGTTCAAGATGATGCTGATGCGATCCCCAGAATGGACGAAGGATGGCGTCATCAAGAACCTCGCAGCTTACGCATCGTTGGACTCTTAAGACTTTGCCGTTCACGATGTTTAGAAGTTTTGCATGGTATCGACAGACAGTCGACGCCCCCGGTTTTTTTTTTCTTTTCGCAGGATCGGTCGCTGATACCAGACGGAATCTTTCACCGGGGAGGTGTATCCAGGCGAGTTCTGTGCCTAAAATCTTCGGCGCTCACTCTCGAGTATGAAGCGGATATTGTACGAGTGCTGTAACCAAAAAGAGACGTTTGGCGAGTGGATGGGAGTTTACTGGGAGCATGGAGCGAGGCTGCTTGGTCAGGGAGCCATTCTTTCATAGGTGTATATATAATGCGGCAATGCAGAATACCTCCAAAGACTGTTTGGATACCAAAGATGTGTCGATTGCTGCGTCATGAAACTGAACCAACAAATTTCACCTTGAGACGTTGGGTCATTTGCATATAGACTTTTGGTAATTGAATGTCCGTTCTAGGACCTAATAGTACATTTGCCATAGAATCCGGCTTTGGTATTCTACGAAGTTTGAGTCATGCCCTTGGCTTGGAGCACCTGTCAAAATCTTTTTCCTGCCCCAATGGTATGTATGATACATTCGTTTCTTGATTATTCAGCCTCGCTCACCCCCGCCAAACTTTTTTGATATTTATGCCGTCGTGGCAGTTGTCGACGACTTTGCGGCGGCAGAGTTGCCTAGCGTGTTGTTCAGCCACTCCTTGACCTTATCGACATGGAAGCCCTGTGAAAAAGAGTGTTGTTAGCTGGGAGGTATCCCAACGGAAGGGCACGGCTGGGGAGCATCACGACACTGGGCCACGCCATGAGACGTCCCGGTAGGGAAACGAGAGAACACCGGACGCACCTTGACTTGAACGTGTCCCGTCACGGGGTTCAGCTTGACCTCCTCGCTGGGGAAACCGGCCTCGCGGGCAAGGTCCTGGGCGAAGGCCTTCTTGTTGCCCTCAATCTTTTTGACAATGGTGAACTTGGACGAGCCGGCGGCCTTTGTGCGCGCGTAGACGGGGTACTGGTTGCCGGCGGTCAGGCCGATGACGTACGGCCTTGGTGTCGTCGAGGTAGAGGAGGTGGCATCGGCGGCGGCGGCTGTGGAGGAGAAGCGTATTGAGGGGAGGAAGGCGGACGTTCTGGGGGTCATCAGGAGGGATGACATGCTCGGCCGGACGAGGGCGGCGGTGGAGGTGAGTGCCGAACGCATTTTGGAGGATAGAGTATGTCGGCGGCTCGAATTGGAGTTGTTCGGATACTTCTAGTAGCGCGAGGCTGCGGTCGGGACTGTGGACGGAGAGGGCCCTTCTACAAAGGTTTCTCGCTGGCTGAAGGGATTCGCGCCGGTTGAAGCTCGGGACGGTTTTCGCGTGCTCTTGGCCTGTGCGCTCGACGTTGGTCCTTCTCCACAATCTTTCTGGAGGTAGGGGCCTGTCTTACGTCAGCACAGACCGACCACCACAGGCCACGCAGTCACAGCAAGGCAAGGCCCGGGTGGGCAGCGACACAGCAGTGAATTAGGCGGAGCGGGAAAACCCCGGCACGAAACCCCCCACCAATTCTGCTGTTTGGCGAAAATGCCCAAAACTCTTTCTGCCCCTCAGCGTAAGAAAAGATTCGAGAGCCAAAGAGTCGATTCGCGCAGCACCCCGAACCGGACGGCCGACGACACACACACCCCCCCTCCCTCCAGGCGACGACTCCATACCTCGATTTCGACGATCGATTCCGATATCGAAAACAGCAACATCTGTCTACTTTCCCCGATTCCCTAAACACACACACACCAACCGCCCATCATGGAGGAAGTCTACGCCGCCCTCGGCGAGGAGAGCATCCTGCCCAAGCTCGCGTCGCAGCTGTCGCGCCACCTCGTCTTCCCCCTGATCGAGTTCGAGGCCGGCCGTGCCGAGGAGAAGGGTGACAACGAGAAGGCCCGCCAGATCCTGGCCGGCAAGATCAAGCTGCTCGAGGACACCAACATGGCCGACTACGTCGCCCAGCTGTACCAGGACCTCAACGGCGGCGGCGAGGCCCCCGCCGAGTACGCCAAGAAGCGCAACGAAGTCATCGCCCAGCTCGAGAAGTACGAGCAGGACACGGCCAAGATCTCTGAGCTGCTGACCCGCGAGGACGTCGTCGGCGCCCTGCGCAGCGACAAGGTTGCCAACTTGGAGTTTTTGAAGAAGGACCACGATGTACGTTTCCCCCTCCCGTCATTGGACGAGGGAAAGAAAAGATGGAGAAGCAAACGGAGGGGCTAACGTGACTTGACTTGATGCTAGGTCACCATCGAAATGGTCAACGCGCTCTACGAGTTCGGCCAGTTCCAGTTCCGCTGCGGCAACTACGGCGCCGCCGCCGAGCTGCTGTACCAGTTCCGTGTTCTGTCCACCGACAACGACCGCGTCGCCTCGGCGACCTGGGGCAAGCTCGCCTCCGAGATCCTCACCACCAACTGGGACTCAGCCGTCGAGGAGATCATGAAGGTCAAGGAGAGCATCGACAGCAAGCTCTTCAACAACCCGCGCGCCCAGCTCGACCACCGCACCATGCTCGTCCACTGGGCCTTGTTCCCCCTCTTCAACCACGAGGCCGCGCGCGAGCCCATCCTGGACCTCTTCTTCTCCGCCGCCTACATCAACACCATCCAGACCGCCTGCCCGTGGGTCCTGCGCTACCTCATCGCCGCCGTCATCACCGGCCGCTCCCGCTCGCGCAACTCGTCCCTGCACCAGAAGCAGATGAAGGACGTCATCCGCTACGTCCGCCAGGAGGCCTACGAGTACTCGGACCCCGTCACCGAGTTCGTCTCGGCCCTGTACGTCGCGCACGACTTCAACGCCGCCCGCGAGGCCCTCCGCAAGGCCGAGGAGGTCTGCCGCGCCGACTTCTTCCTCATGTCGTCGTCCGACGCCTTTGTCGACGCCGCCCGCCACCTCATCTGCGAGAGCTACTGCAAGATCTTTAGCCGCATGAACATCCGCGACCTGTCGGCCAAGCTCGGCCTCAACCCGGACGACGGCGAGAAGTGGATCGTCAACCTCATCCGCGAGACCCGCCTCGACGCCAAGATCGACTCCCAGGAGGGCACCGTCATCATGAACCACCCGCCCAACAACGTCTACCAGCAGGTCATTGAGAAGACCAAGGGCGGCTTCTTCCGCACCCAGGTGCTCACCGCCGCCGTTTCCAAATAGATTGTGGAGACGGGTGTTTTGGGGGATGGCAGCGGCAGCGTAATGGCATGACAACACACACATACACACACAAAATAACAAGCTCATGAGGAAGAACAAGACCGGGTTATTACACGCACACACTCACACACAAAAGGAGAATCGAAAATACTCGGGTTTCCCTTTTTTTATTACATGACAAAAACGATTAGAACCTACAACCCGTGTGACCCTCACCACCAGGGGGGTGCCGACCGAAACCGACCAGGCGTAAAAGTCCCGAGAGACGGGAGGATCGGTTCTTCCCCGGACGGGAGGGGTGGTTTTGGACCCACGTGGGAGAGATCAGACGTTGGTGGTGCGCGGCGGTGGGTAGTGTGGATTTCAAAAAAAGACTTTGGTCAAGAAGGGTTTTATTTTTTTGGTGACGCACGCACACGCACGCAAAGACAACGCAAGGTTTCCCCCCCCGAAGGCTTCTTTTTGCATTGGCACGGCGTTCAGGGCAAAACAGGGGATGGGGCGGTGGAGAGGATCTCGAGGGGGCTGGCTTGCGGGTAGATGCAGCAAGATAGAACGGAGAGGTGGGGGAGGAGAGTGAGAGACAGAGACTGAGAGATTCACCGCTTTTATTGAAATGTTACAAGTTTAAGAAGCATGTGGAGGCGTCTGCCGCTTTGTGTGAGTGAGGTTTTTCGTGTTGGGGATGATATGACGGGCTTGCTCGGGGGTACTCGAATGCTGGGCCTCTGGATGCTGTGTTTTCGAAGGGGAAGATGGAATGGATGTCGAAGAGGACCTGGCTCGCTTGGTCGAGGTATACCGTGATTGCGCGGGTTTAAAGGCGTACACAGCAGAACATACCAAATCGACTATTCGTAAAGAGACATGAGGTTCTCCATTCATCAAGCGTGTCTTCATAATGCTATGTCTATGACCTCTCCCCATTCTAGTTCTTTTCAGGAGCAACCCTTCGCTTCAGAATTGACAGTACACCCGAACACTCGCAGGCTTACAGACGGGCCTTACGGCCCGCCGTCACGCCCAGCCATGAATACTCGCCCCTTGAGCTCCTCAACGACACTGTCCCGCATCCACCATTCCTGGCTCTTCTCCCCCTCCTTGCCGTCGCCGGCATTCTTGGCCTTGGCCCACGAGCTACCCTCCAGCTGTGCGCGCCGATCCGTCCACTCGAACAGCATCTTGAGCCCGAGCAGCCGCTCCCTCGAGGACCCGTCCATGCTGCGCTCCAGCACGAGGCGGGCGTCGACTGCGGACCCGGAGCTCTCGCTGCCGGCGCCCTCGGATGACGTAGTCCGGTCGAGCACGGTGGCGCGTTCGGCGTACGTGAGGTCGCGGAGGGAGTCGAGACCAAATACCCACTCGAGGGGGTCGCGCCTGCCGTTGTCGGTGACGTCGGCGAGCGCGTCGCGACCGAGAGCGCGCAGCGTCGACGTGAATGGGGCCTCCTGCGCTGGACGCCGGCGCAGGTAGAGACTCTGGTTCTGCCGGAACGCGTCGACGAGCGAAGGGTTCTTCTCAAAATCGATCTCGAGGTCCCAGAACGCCGGGCCAGCGTTGGTGCGGATGCTGGCGATTTCGGTGAGGGGAGGCAGGAGACAGGGCGTCTGTCGGACGGTGGCAACCGTCTCTGCATCATCCTGCGCCTCTGTGCTCCTCCGGCGAATCTCAATCGTGGCCGATATGGGCTGGCCCGTGGCAACGTCCTTGGCGACAAGGCAGCGGGGATCCGTTGCCAGGACCCAAAAGTGACGGAAAGCCTGGAGGTGGGATCGGTTGTCCATGACTGACGTGGGGAACACGGGGTAAAATGCAATGAGCAGACTGGCGATGGCCATGTTGCTCGTGCCAAAAGTGGCCGTTCCACACCCCAGGAACAGCGATCCGATGGCCAGATGGGCAGCCAGGTGCGAGCCGTACGGAGTTTCGGGATCGTCTCGGCCGTGCAGCAGACGGAGACGACGAAGCACGACAAGATCGCCGGTTCCGGCCATAACGATGGCGGCAGAAAGCGCAAGAACGTCCTGGCACATGCGGGCGTTTGAACGAGCCAACTCCTCGTCATACATGGGATAGTCGTGAGGCGGCGGTCGCCGTGTGGCGGGTATCCGAGAGATGCGGATAAAGTGGTCCAGGTAGTGTATCAAAAGGTCTCGTACCCTCGTAGACGCGCTGCCCGCATAACGCAGTGCGATCGAGAAGCAGATTCCGGTGATGATGCTGAAGAATGGGAGGTCGGTGCTCTTCAGCTTGGATGTGTTGACAAGCTTGTGGCGGTTGCGGTAAGGCTTGGGCAGGCTCTCCAGGATCCATTCGAACGTCGGCTGGATCTTGTTCCACATAATTAAGTTCTTCGCGACAGTTCGCAAGAGCAGGATGTCAGGTCGGATGTAGTCGAACTGGACGATGGACTCCGGAACGTCAATCTTGCGGGCGACGATATGGTCCTCGGACTTCATGAACATCAGCGCCAGCGCCATAACTGCGCCGGCGGCTGCTCGGTCCAGCACATGGACCATCTCCACCTTCTTCGTAGCAGTGGCGATCGTGACAAGACTTTCGGTAAGCTTCATGTCGTGAAGTCCACGAAGGTCATTTCCTTTGCCAAGGTTTATGAGACCAAGCGAAAAACCAGCGGCCAGGCGGTAGCACTCGCTGCGGAGAGGTTCATCTTCATCTTCTTCGTCAACGTGCTCGATTTCTGACATCATAATCTCGCTCATGCGTCTGTGTTGGCTGTTAGAGTACAGCAAGCCGATGCCCATGATGCCAGTCGTCTGCGTCAAGGGAGATAGGTTCAGCTCTGCGGCCCCTCGAGGCAGCATGCGCGTAACGTGTACCGAGAGGAGACGGGTGATGAGAGAGTCCATGGTGCCCATGTAAGATGCGGCGAGGCCCAGCAAAAGACCAACAGAGGTCATGGTGTGTTTGGGGGTCAGGTATTTGAAGGCGACCCATTTGGCGATGCCCTTGAGGTGCCCATTCAGACCCAGGGCCAGCAGAAAGCCGGCATGGCGATTGCTCAGATCGTGGCCGGGCTTGTTGTATAGGATCCACGAGGTGTCGATGCCCTTCGCCTGCGGTGAAATAGCAAGTCCAGCAGCCACGCCCTGATGGAAAAAGCCCCAGCATACCTTCTCCTCGGTAAACAATGCCTTGTCAACTCCGACAGTGACGTTTGTTGGGCGAACGACGCAGTTGAGATTGAATCCGGCGACGTGGAATTTCTGCGTCAACAGTGGGTATCGTAGGCTGTAGTATAGAAGAGCACGCCCCGCAGGGATGGCCAGCGTGCCGGTAGCGATTCTGGACACGAGCTCCTTCTGCTTCTCGAGGTACTCGCTCTCTGACCATGCTGGGTCAGCTTCAAGGCGCACCACGCGGGCCCTGTGTGTTGATAAAAGATTTTGAGCTTCGTTGAGACGACGATCCTCTTTGAAAAGGGCCCGTATGACAGCCTGCCGCTCGGTGCCTTCACCCTCATCGTAGCCAACGTTGTTGTACTCATCAACGCTCTGGCAGATGGTACGGTAATCCCAGGATGCATTATGCGTGGGTGTCTGTTGTTGATTAGTTTCTGACATAAAGGATCTCTAAAAAGGACTTACAAGGATGTTGGCACCGCTCTTTTGCAGGTTTTTGGTCGGTGCCAAGATCATGCTGATGTCGCCACGGTTGACGAGCTCCAACAAGTCCTTTGGCCATGAAGCAGGCGGTCGGGCTTGACACCTCGATATGGAATCTTTCAGGGGAGCGAGCACGGCTTCAGGAAGTGTCTCCAGGACGCGGCTGTTGATGCCTGCCGAGTGCATGGCTTCAACCATGCTGGATGGGCTGCTATTCGGCGTGAGCTTTTCAAAGAGACGTTTGAACATTAGCGTCCTTGGGGTGATGGAGGTCCATCTCGAATCCTTGAGATGGTCTTGTTCAGCTTTTGTTGTTTGGGAATGGTAGAGGTTGGCAAGTGTTAGGAATGGGTGGTATTGGCCGGTGGCGAGACACGTCTGGATCCAGTGGAAGATGTCAAAATCGACGCCAGACGGTTGAGTGAGAGGTACTTCAAGGCGGAGCTCTGTTGAAGTTAGCATCACGAACTTCTGATTAGGGATTCTTTGCTCACCGGAGTCATAACGGGGGTCCAGCTCTTCCTGGATTCCCAACTCATATGTGGCCACGAAATCGTGCCACCCAAGCCAGCGGGCAATCTGGCAGATGACCACGCGCAAAGGGGCTGTTCCCGGGGAAGCGTATTCAGGAGTCATGATCTCCAGCTTTTGTTCCTCTAGCAGGAGATGAAGTGCGACGAATATGTTCCATGCAGCATTGCCGCGGTTTTCAGCGCTGCGCTGTTGCCCAGTCGGCAGATAGCCGTTGGCACCGACGGCCTTTTTGCCAAGCTGAGATGCTAGGTAGCCTTTGGCATATTGGATGTGGGTAGACATGAACTTGGAGTGCCTGGGATCCGAGTTGACAGTACCCTCAGAGTCGTCATTAGCGTCTTCGTCAAGGGTCCAATCCCAGGCCCTAGTTTGCTGCCAACTGGGGCAGCCTAATGCATTGGGAGTTTCGTACAGTTGCAGCGTATTCCAGTCCTCAAGGCTTTGGATTGAACCAAACGAGCCGGATTGAGGCCGTCTCTTGCCTCTGGTAGTCTTGGCCGGAGGGTCTTGCGCTAGATTTGTCTTTCCGAGAGCGAGGTATATGGATAAGAGCAGAATCACCACAGCAGACCATTCTGCATCCGCAACTTCAAACTCTTCGTTTTTCACCCACATCATGATGTGCCACCAGCCGGGAAATATCTTCTCCGCGTGCGATGCTGGAAGAATACTACGGCATGCGTCCAGCACCTTGCGTACCTGCGGGTTTCGAGGTTGGAGTTGGATTTGGATCTGGTGGTGTCTATCCTCGCCATCAACCATGTCGACGATTCCCCTAGCCTTGGAGTACTTGAGACCGCTGACGTTGCCATTAGCAACCTCGATGACTTCCGACTTGCGATGGCGAACGTCTCTGTCGATGACACGTCCGCGATAATGCAGGCTGCGAATATTCTCCAGTGACATTGGCGGGAGGTTGATGGGGGTAATCTGACTCCATGGCGCCTGTATGCTTAGCTCTCTGCGGCCTTCGTGCCCTTCGGACAGAATGAGAATGACCGATATGTCGCCGTCCGTCACCTTGCACGAATCTACAACATGGTGAGCCCGACGAAGTGCGCCGCAAGCTAGCCGGACAGGATCTTCAGACGACGTCGAGCTTTTGCCGGGCTTCGGGGGAACAAGAAAGCGTGGTCCTCGCTGGAGATCAATGGTCAGGAGCTGGAGTCTCTTATCAAGAGAGTCCTGGATCCCAATGAGTAGCTCGCCGCGCAGGGGGTCATCAAGGGCGAACTGGGGCGCGGTCAGGATGAAGACTTTGCAATGTTCGCGAGCAGGCTGCTTAGACAGCGAGTAGCGCACGTTGGAGTTGTCCAGGGAGATGGACTGAATCTTGGTGAACATCATTTCCTGAGAAAGGCCATCAAAGACGTGGTCGTCCAGGCCCATGTTGTGGAAGCCCTCGAAATCACCACCGGCTCGTAGTTCTTCCAGCACACCGTCAATGGGGGCCTCCAACAGGCTGCCGAGACTGGGATGGATGGTCTGGTTATGGTTGAAAGAACCATAGCCACCGCTAATTCTAGGTCCTTGGCTACCGTAGGACTCGATCCGTTTTGATCCGCCATGTGCTGGGGCAAGAGCTTGTTCCGAGAAGACAGAACGCTCCTGAGAGGCAGAGAGGTCGGCGCGGGCCAACATGGAACTCACTCGCCGAGATTGTCTCCTGTGAGCGCCCGACTCCTTATCCAAGTCGAAAGAGGATACGAGATCCAGCGGCTTGTCAACCTTGTCAAGTTTTTCGACTTTCTCGCTTTTCCTGGCTCTCTTCCCTGGTAGAGGAGCACCAAAGCTTTCGCGGAAGTTCGTCTGGACAGGGGTCGAGGCGCCGCTTGCGAAATGGGGTTGCATGGAACTACGACGACGCTCTGCTCTGCTCTTGTCCTTTTTAAGACGGCCGATGAAGGGGTCCTCGTTTTTGATGTACGTAACTCTCCACACAGCATAAGTACTGGCCTCCCGGTTTATGGTGACGGCTAGTATAAGTGGCTCGGAATTTTTGGTCTTGGGTGCACCGGGATGCTTGATCTCCTCGATGTGCAAGATTTCCTCCGCAGGGTCGAGGAAGTAGGGCGACTTTGGCGTGTTCTTCCTCCTCTTCTCTCGGGTAGTGCCATCGGGGCGAGTAACAACGAGCCCCAACTCTTGCAAGGGGTCTAACAGGGATACTAGGCGCGGCCAATGTGAGTCTGGATGGTCCAATGACGGCTCCCACATGTTTCCCAGCGTCGAGCCTAGTCCCAAAGGCAGGGATTTTGGCTTGTTCAGACCCTCGACAGAGAAGACAGTGTGCTGCGAGCTTCGAGGAGAGGTGACGGTGATCTGCGAGGAGACGAAGGAATTGGGCGGGACTTTCGGGAACTTGAGAGAGACAGGAGCGTTATTGTCGCCTCGCTGCTTGCGCTGGATTATGACTCCTTGAGGTGCTGCGCAGGCGGCCTCGACCTCGAAGGGCATGTGGACGACATGGCTCGTGCCGGAGAGGAAATAGACGTGGGCTTGGGTGCGCAAGAAGACGACTAATGCTCGAGACAACCGGCGAGACTCCTTTGGGGGTTCGGTCGAATTCTTCTTCGCATCGTTCTTCTTGTTGTGGTCGGACGTAGGGAAGGATGCGAGGAGGGCCTGGGTGACGGGCTCCTTTTCGAGGTCAAACTTGTACGACTTGCGAAACACACCTCCTCGGCTCCAGACGACGCAGTTTTTGGTGACCAGCAGCTCATCCTCGATTTCGCACGTATCGCCGTACTCGTTATGGTCGGGGTCGGTGGAGACCTCCCAAAAATATGTCGACGGCGGCGCATCTTCATGAGCCGTGTGCTGGAGGCCGCTAGGCTGGTGCAGCCCCAAAGACTTGACTGACGCCATTGCGATGCCCCATGTGTGGGAGGAGGAGAGAGCAATGTCTGTTCAGAGGGTCCTGAGGGGTGTGAGGCCTAGGAGGGTATGTTGGCCATGGCAGCCTCGGGCTGGGGTTGTTGTTTGTGTTGTGGGCGTGATGTCGGTGGTGGTAGTGATACTTCTTTTTTTTGGAGTCGCGTTCCCAGCAGCCAAAAACGCGAATGATGGAAAGCTCCCACCACCACAACGAGTGGCCCAGCAGCAGCGCTCAGCAGGCACCAGGTCCAGGTTCTGTTCACTAAATCTTGGGTTGGGGGAGTGGGGGAGGGGCATCTCACCCTGCTCATCTGATTGGAGCGCTGTAGCAAAGGACAAGCTTATGGCGGATCCACTGCAGAGGGCGCTGAGCTCTCTCTCCCTCTCAGCCTCAGGCGCAGGCGCGACGCTCGGTGATTGGACTGGACTGGACTGGACATTGCAGCACCTTCAGCAGAAGCTCTCCCAGGTCCCGAGGTACGTACCAAGCACGCCTCGTGACGTAGCGGACCAGCGCAACACACCTCGTCCACGTCCTTGAGCTAAGCTACGAACCACCGACCGCGACTTGCACACGCCCTCAGGAGCTCGCCGAAACCCAATCCGAAGCTCAGGGTAGCTTCCGCCTTTTTCACCCATCGCACCTGTCAGTCCCGTCAGGAGCCGCGCCCCTCGCCAATCGACACCGACAGACCGACCATGCCACTGCGAAGCTCGAGTTGACGGCACATTTGGCACAATGACGGACGCATCCGACTCCGATCGCGAGCCTCCCACCGCCACGCAAAAGGGAAAGCAGCCCGAGACGCCCGAGAATGGCGACACCTCCGCCGGCGCCCTTGCGGAAGCAGCTGTGAACAAGGTAGAGCAGGGAACCGGAGATGGCTCAGCCGCCGATCATGACAAGGAGGACGAGGACAGCGACGAGGACGACGAGGACGACGAGGACGACGATGAAGACGAAGACGACGATGACGACGATGAGGATGATGAGGAGGACGAAGAGCCTCGACTCAAATATGCCCGCCTCACACAACACCTGGGACCCATCTACCGCAATGGCGATGCTACGAGTTCGTTCCTTGTTGCTGGTGATAAGATGGTACCGCCGCCCTCCGCGTACATCGTCTCATCGCCCGCATGCTGACCGAGAGAAGATCATAGGAACACACAACGGCAACATCCACGTAATCCAGCTCCCCATGTTTCAGTCTCTCCGGGTCTACCACGCGCACTCTGCCTCCATCACCAGCATCTCCATCTCCCCGAACCCGCCCCCGCTACCGACAGCGAGGTCTGAGGCCGTGCAAAGGCTCGCTGCGGAAGCTGCCGAAAGCGTCGCAAAGCAGCGTCCAGCATCCCGCCAGTCAGGCACCTCGCCAGCGGCTGCCTCGAGAAGGCCTAAGGATCCTTCGCCTGTCCCAAACACACCCTCGAACAATGTTCACATAGCCACATCGTCGATGGACGGCAACGTGTGTGTATTTTCTCTTGTAGACACCAAAGATGTTCAATTGCGGAACTTCGCTCGCCCTGTTCAAGCCGTCGCCCTGTCCCCCGACTACAAGAACGATCGCACGTATCTCTCAGGTGGCCTCGCTGGCCAGCTCATTCTTACTTCCGGCGGGCAGCCTGGCCGAAGTACCTCAACAACTGTAGGTACCGCAGCCGCCACAGCATCTGGCTGGCTGGGCAGTATGGGGCTGGGAACGAACACGGGCAAGGATACAATCCTGCATTCCGGCGAAGGTACCATTAGCACCATCAAGTGGTCGTTATCCGGCAAATACGTTGTTTGGCTCAACGAGCACGGCGTCAAGATCATGCGTTCCAAGCTGCATCTCGAGAGCAGCGACGCCGATGATGCTTGGAAGCGGATTGGCCACGTAGATCGCCCCCAAACAGACGAGTGGGAGACCATGGCCAGCGTCTGGAAAGGTCGCGTTGAATGGATTGATGAGCAGGCTGTCGAGACCGAAGACGGCGAGGCCGGACGAACAGACGTCGCCGCAACGCCCGCATCCGAGAGCTTGAGGCAACAATCAGTATCGAGCACGAAGAAGATCGAAAGACTCCTCGTCGGCTGGGGCGGGACCATTTGGGTCATTCACATCCATCCCGCCAGTGTTGGCACCGGTAAGCGGGCTGGCGAGAAGTCCATTGGTCGCGCCGAAATAGCCAAGCAGTAAGCTAACCATATAATCTATGCTAGATGAGAGACTAACACAATACAGCCTTCGCATGGATTGCATCATTTCTGGAATTTCGTTATATACCCAAAATCTTCTCCTTGTATTAGCATATGTATTACCAGACGACGATGAGGACAGCGACGGCGGCGACGACGACAAGGTCGTCAAGGGCCACAAGTCCAAAATCTCTTCAGCCTCAACTGCGAGCGAGCCATCCGGCGGGATCAAGCGGCGTCAAAACAACCTTCCTCCAGAGCTTCGGCTGATCGACCTTACTTCGCAAGCCGAAATCGACAAAGATGGTCTTAGTGTGAGCAGATATGAGAGGCTTTCGTCTGGCGATTATCATCTTGGGGTGCTGCCAGCCCAGAATGCAGCTTCCGCCGTGGCCTCGTCCAAGGGCGCGTTGGAAGCCATTACTGGGTTTGGCTCCGACATGTGGAACGCTGCCATTAATCCAAAAGCATTGTTCAGTTCGGGCGCAAGCATCAGGAGCGGACACAGCGGAGACGGTGTCTCAAGCACACAGGTTTCGAGCTCTGCAGGCGGCGGCCGAAAGTCAGGAACACCGACAGTCCACCCCAACCTCGTCAAGCCAGGGGTAAAAATCTTTATCCACAGTCCGTTTGACTTTATCCTCGCAACAAAACGGGACCTCGGCGACCATCTAGGCTGGTTACTGGAGCATCAGGAGTACCAGAAGGCCTGGGAGCTGCTGGATGAGCATCCCGAGATCATGATCTCACCCCCCGAGAACCTTCACGAGCTCGTCCCAGCCACTCCAGATAAGAAGCAGAGTAGCCAGGATGATCTTCTTGATGACGCCTCGTCTATCATGGGGTCCACGGGACTAGCAAGACATCCGAACTCTTCGGCACAGAAGGAGAAGAGACGCATCGGCGAGCTATGGATACGGGAGCTGATCGAAGCCGGCAACTGGGCAGAGGCCGGCAAGGTGTGCGGCAAAGTGCTCGGGTCCTCTGATAGATGGGAGAAATGGGTCTGGACGTTTGCCGGTGCCGACAAGTTTGATGAGATCACCGACTACATCCCCTCCGAACCAATGTACCCGCCCATCCCCGGCACCATCTACGAAGTTGTCTTGAACCACTACATCCAAGTGGACAAGCTCCGTTTCAGAGAGCTGCTTGACCGCTGGTCAACCGATCTTTTCGACATCAAGACTGTCACCACTGCTCTGGACAACCAACTCAAGTACCGCGACGTCCGTGAGGATAGCGTTGAGGGGGGAGAAAAGGGCCGTGACTGGAAGATCGTAATGGAGTCTCTGGCACGACTGCACGAGGCCAACGGCCGCTTCCGAGAGTCGCTCAAATGCTACATCAAACTTCAGGATGCGGACTCGGCTTTCCGGTTGATTCGCGACAACCATCTTGCCGAAGCGGTCACCGACGACATTCCTGGGTTCATCGGACTGCGAGTGCCGAACAACAAGCGCGAATTCTTGCGGGAGGCCGATCTGGAAGAGGCCACGTCAGAAGCCATCACGCTGCTCGTTGACGAGGCGCAGCACGGTCTCGTCAAGCCCTCAGTGGTTGTGTCGCAGCTTCAAGAACAGGATCTGAGGCTGTACCTGTTCTTCTACCTGCGTGCCCTATACAAGGGAGAGGGGATTGAAGAGCATTTCGGCGAGACTCGAGACAGGCTGTTGATGGACAGCCAGTCGCAAGTGGATGAATTTGCAGACCTTGCCGTTGAACTGTTTGCCAAATGGGAGCAACCGCTCTTGATGAGCTTTTTGAAGTCGTCGACTTCGTACAAGTTCGAGAAGGTAAGAAACCACCGTCGTCCCCTCTTTGCTTTCCATTGCTAACAACCATAGGCCGTGCAAGAGTGTGAAAAGTACAAATACTACGACGAGCTGGTTCATCTATACTCCAAGACGGGAGAGATGAAGCGCGCTCTCTACTTGATTATCGACCGGCTGCAAGACGTGAAGAAAGCCATCGAATTCGCAAAGCAACAGGACGACCCTGATCTCTGGGATGACTTGCTGGACTATAGCATGGACAAGCCGAGCTTCATCCAGGGCCTTCTCGAGGAGGTTGGCACGGCTATCAACCCCATCAAGCTCGTCCGTCGCATCCCCGAAGGACTGGAGATCCAAGGGCTGAGGGAGGGGTTGAAGCATATCATGAAGGAACACGAGATCCAGTACAGTATTAGTTCGGGCGTCGCGCGGGTGCTCCGAAGTGAAGTGGCCGCTGCGCAGAACGATCTCCGCAGCGGGCAACGCAAGGGCATCAAGTTCGAGGTTGTCGTCCAATCAACACATCACGTGGACGTGCAGGTCAAAGACGTTGTCCACCCGCCAGTCAACGCAGAAGAGGTGGAGGAGAGCTTCTTCAAAGCGCCCAAGGCTGAGCAACCGGGCCACACTCATGAGCCGCCGAAACCGGGCCATTGCGCGCAGTGCCAGGAGTCCTTCACTGAGTATGAAATGGAAACCTTGGTAGGGTTTGCGTGCGGCCACGTCTTCCACCTGTCTCATCTGCTGGAGATGTTATACCCCGGCAAGAGACAAGAGGCCGACTACGGAATAAATAGCGAGGAGTCGATCCGCAGCGGGTACCGGGTTGGATCCAAGGTCACCCACGCCCGCTTGCTGAAGGACCGGATCCGGGAGGGATGTCCTGTCTGCACACACGTGAGTGAGGTGGCGGCGTAAGAGTTATTGTAATAGTAGCGAGTGAATGCATACGGCGGCGAAGCCATCTTTCGATACGCACTTTCTGTACCTTTTATGAGGCTTGCCCTTACTTATACAGCCGTCCTCGGTGTAGTTGTCCGTTTCTCATATCATTGGTGCGACTCTCACCTCGTGTTCATTTGCTAAAAAACATTGAAAGACAGCACCAGCTTACCATAACAGTCGCGTGCCTGGTATTTAGAGTTGCAAATCCTCGGACAGGGGGGTGTCTCGTGGAATCTGACACTGATCAAGGTTAATTGGCTGCCGAAGCACGGACCGGCCGGTACATAGACTTCCCCCCCTTGCGCGCCCCACACGCGCCGCCCGCCCGCCGCGCGTTTGGACGACATGTCACTCCCCTCCCAGCTCGGCCGGCTGGTGATGTCGAGCTGTGGCCAACCTCCATCCATGCATTCTTCGAAGTATGGAAAGGGTCGACAGCGATATGGTGTTTTGGGGTACCTCCCTGAGCCGGGCTCGAGGGAAGCCGAGCTGTGAGTCCATCCTCGTCCCACTTGTGCAATTGACGGGCTCTTGTTGGCCGGTGGCGGCGCAAGCCCCGCCCTAGACGCAGCGCTGCGAATTCGATGGTTCGATAACGGGTTTGCTAACGGACGGTCGACGGAAACGACAGATGGGACCTGAACCGCGTACGCTCCCCGCTCCTCCGCCTCCCGCCCGAGATCCGTAACAAGATCTACCGCCTCCTCCTCGCCGCGCGCCGGATCCACGTCCACCACGACCCCAAGACGTCGTCGTTCCACTGCGTCGCGCTGCGCCCCACGGCGAACCCCTGGACGTACAAGAAGCACCACCTCCTCAGCCGGGGTTTGACGCTGCTGGTGCGCGTGTGCCGGCAGCTGTACCACGAGACGGAGCTGCTGCCGTACCGCGAGTGCGTCTGGAGCTGGCAGACGCCCGGGCTGATGGAGAGGTACCTGCTCACCGAGAAGCGGATGGGAGTCGCGCAGCGGAGGGCCGTGAGGGAGGTCTGCGTGCGGGGGATCCGCGGGTTTGGGAACCTGAGTAGGCGGGTGAGGGGGGTGCTCGGCGGGTTGGAGGTTGTTTGGTTCTGGGAGGGGAGGGATAGGGGAAAGGGGGACGGGGATGGGCTGGGAGGTTGGGTTTGTGAGATTGTCGAGAGGGGGAGGGTTGAGGTTGGTGTTGGGAGGCCGAATTGAGGGCTGGAAAGGTGGTTCTGGACTGGCTACGACGGGATGCAAGATGAGATACGCTATAGACGATACCATAAATGGACGACCTCGAAGAAAATATCATATCACCAAGGACACGTATACTGAAAGCTCAGTCGCCCTGCTCGAGTGGCTGCTTGCAATATTGGTGCCTGGTCTGCTTAGCTTTCTTGCAGCATGTATCTGGTTTTGCAGTACCTACTCCATCGCCTCACGTTCAGCATCGCAGGGGAAGCACCGGAGCATCGCGGTGGTCAACCATAGGACCTCTAGTGATTTTTAGATAGCGGCCACTCTGGTCCGAGGTTCTTTTGCAGGATATTGCGTCTTTAACAGGGATATGACTTCAGGGCCACGGATTTTCGGTCAGAGGGCTGACAGATGGAATTGTCGCCCAATGATATTGCGAAGAGAGGTATCGGTGATTTATCTACGTCTAAGGGTAAAGTCTTCTGCGTGTTGTCCCTTTGATTCGAGCGCGAGCCCCCATATTTTTGAGGTGGCGACATGCCTCCACGTCCACAAAGCCCATTCTATGGCCCATACCATTTAGTGGCAATCGTACTTACATTATTGTGGGAACCGACAGAACTGCTACCTGTTTCTTTATATGTTGCTTAAAAGGCTATTACCGGGTGTTATTGTGAGAAAACACAAAGGAGACATTTTCTCACACACTATCGCAACCTGTCAAGCTACATATTCATCACCCAGTGTATGATAATGGGCAGAATTGCTAGGCTTTACACTATGGCAATAAAAGCAACACTTCAAGCACGCGTGTAATGGAAGCTGCCTCAGATTCGTCTCGATAACGGCTGGTATTCCTTTGACCGCGTTACCTCCTTTCGACACAACATTCTCAGCACTCAAAAAAACCCGCCAATCCACGTCTCTCTCCGAAGTAAGAGTCACTAGCACTTCGGGACAAGATTTAGATAGTCTCGATTTGGATGTTGGAGAGTCTCTGAATATTTTGTGGCGAGGTGAGCTTCGAACTTCACCCTTGTTGTGGCTGGTTGCAAGCACCTCGCTTAAGGTGGTAGCTTCCGCAGGTGAGCCGGCAGATCTCTTTTTCTGCTTCTTCTGAGGAGCCATTCGGACATGTGGCGTATAGTACAGCATGAAATGCGGCGTCGGCCCTACGAGTGATTAGTATACAGAAACCATAAAACACCACTTCCGCTTGGTCGGTAGAATATACTCACAGGCAGGGCTGTGTAGGTCGGCTTTGACGTGTGTTCTTCGCACAAACCGCGTAATCTTTTCCTGTGTTACGACTTGGTTTCTGACGATGAACGCTGTTTCTTTGCCGTCCAGCTCCCGTCGGCGTTTCTGAATCTGCAGGATCTTCCTCATTTCGTCCTTTTTGACCTTTTTCTCAACTTGCCAGATTCCTAGCTGGCGCTTGTATTGCCTCTGCCTGAACAGGGTTGTCAGTTCAAACACAGCTCTCTGTGACATGTTAAAGAAGAAGATGACATTGACCCACGTTGCGACAAACCCGTACTCGTTCTCCATAATAGTCATCAGCTCCGATAGCTTCTTCCCTTCAATTGAGTACAAGTATTCAATTGTGGCACGCATTCCATCCCAGTCTTTGCTCGAAGACGGACGCTTCTTTGTCACATGGGGTGGCATTGTAGCTGTGAATTGTGGAATCACAGCTCCATCTCTTGAAACGACGGCGAAGTTCAGAGTTCCGTGGATATAAGCGTCGTTGATAAAAATATCCCGTTGCTCCATTGAAGCATCGGTTGTTGCTCTTCGTGTTTCGTATGGGTTTGTCTGATCATTCTTGAATGAGATTGCTGAGCCGAACTCGACATGTCGTTGGCTCATTTGCGTCTCAAAAGATTCAACAAAAGATGCAAAGTTAGGCTCTAGTGATGTTGCAATGGTCGAGTACAATCCTTCAGCACTAAAACTCTCTGAGAATGAATTGAAATGATTTACCGCCGACAGATCGTCTTCGAGGCATTCTAGTTCGAGATCAAATATTGGGTCCACGAGGTCGCTGTTGTTGGCAAACATGATGACCCCTACGAGAAAACAAGGATGCAGGATGTTGGCATTGCCAGCTCGAAGGATTAGGACATTCAGTCTCTTAAATGTCTATAATTCTTGGGTTTACCAGACTGAAGACAGATGACTGTCAAAAGTCTCCTGCAGCTCTGTAAGGCAGCTTGAGGTCTTGGCTTGTCTGATTATTTTGACAAAAGGCTCCTGCAGTTAAAAGAAATAGTGGGGGCGACAGGGGGAGAGGCACTAAGTCAAGATTCGAAAGATGTGCCAATGAAACCAGGCACGCTTGCAGTGAATGATGCATGTCAACCCTGGTAATTATAAGATGGTTGCTTTTTCTAGGAGCGACTAACATGCTCAATTCAGGCAATGGACATGGGAGGCAAACATCATTCCGATATTGTTTCAGTACCGGAATTTGGTATGTCGTTTTTTGCTGCATTGCTTCCGTTTAAACCAATTCATCATCCCCTACGCATCGCACCCCCCACCCACCCTCTCTTATTCATCTCCCCTCTCACTCAAAGGCAAAACATGAGATGCTGATGATGCCACTGTTAAATTATGCGTGCGGCTGAAGTTATTCTTCCATGCGTCTCCGAAGTATGCAATCTGATGTTCCCTACGGTTAAACTATGAAACATACTTAGCATCAACTAAATCATTCAAAGTTAGAGACATTACATGCAATGCGAGCCAGACAAGTATGGGTTGATCTTACTATCTAACCAAGCCGATGAATATTGTTTGCATGCCTTGGGTCCAATCTCCTCATTCCAGCTCTGCCCTCCCCGAATCGAACATGGCATCGTCTCGGCGCTTGGGTCACGGCCACCATCCGCCAAGTGGCATATCGTCGTAAATGGCGTTGAAGCCCTCCTCCGGCTCGTTGGAACCCCAGTCGTAAATCCACTGCGGGCTGTCCGACGGTCAAGTATCCCGCCCATCTCATTTACCCAAGGAGAGGTCGGTGGTTCTGAACCTTGGCAGGACGTCGGTGTTCCGTGCATATACAGCCAGATTTGCGGTCCAGTGAGGGTTGTCGCGTATGTTCGAGAGGAAGAAGTTGCGAGAGCATGTCCAGCCAGTCGTTTTCAGAGTGTCTCTCTCGCCGCTGAGATCTAGCTGGAAGTAGGTGGTTTCGAAGTCGAAATTGACTGAGGTCCAGTGAAAACCTTCTTGCATGAGCCGCAGCAAATTGCGGGCTTTGACGTGGAGTCTGGCTCCCCACTCAAGTTCGTTCACCGTTGCATTCTCAACGCCAGGAAGCGGAGATCAGAACATGAACCAGGCGTTGAGGTCAAGCTCCTGCCATGCCGGTGAGTCGTAAGATTGCGCGCGGTGCACGTGTGGAATGGAATCAGACTAAGGGGGAGCGGCTCGGTGAGAGTCGGCTTGCGGTTTCCCAGAGTTCATGGCGCGGGTACCGCTGATTGCCTTCGTATCTTGGGTAAAACGATGCTTAGGGAAGTAAGGTAGGTGCGGCTGGCTTTCGAACTAGCGATGAAAATCCGGGTTTCGTTTTGGTACAAAGAGGGAGTCAGTACTCTGTAGGGTGAGCGCTCAAGTGCGTGATTCTAGACGTGCTGGAAGAATTCAAGAAAGGTAGGATGAATAACAGCTCTGGCTAACCAAAGCAAGTTGTGGTTGAGCGCTTTCCATCTCATTTCAGATGAATAGGCAAGGCTTCAAGCAGCCGTGGATATTCGATATTCTGAACACGCCTGAAAGCCACAGAAGGGAGATCCGTTGCTTCCTGCTTGATTTTATGCAAATTAACTGCGAGTCAGCATAGAAGAGCAGATAGATAATCAAGACAGTGATGTTGAAGAGTACAGTCACGCGACGATATGCAACAAACAGGTGTGAGGCGTAAGACTCATTTTTGTATCCCGGTTTCTATGAACCAAGGCAAAAAGACCTTATCCGGCTATGCCATAATTCCAAACCGCCTATCCGAGATCGACTCCATCCATTCTGTATCATGATGCCAATCCTTCCCATGTGCTAAGCTATGTTACTTGATGAACCGCCATGCAGAGAAGAAGCCAAGCAAGAAGAGCAGGCTTAGAGCAGCATCAGAAGCGCGACGCCAGCCAGAACACCGCTGACATCAGACTCCTTCTTGTGAGCAGCAGCGGTGGCGCTGGGAGTCTGGATGGTGCCAGTAGACTGGGTCGACTGAGTGACCTGAATGTCGGTAGAGGTAGTGACCTTGGAAGTCTCCGAAGTGACAAGCTCAGTGAACGAGGTAGTGATGACCTCGGAAGTGACAGCAGAGGTGGCAGACTCAGAGACCGGAATGGTAGAGGTGACCTCCAAGACCTCGCAGGTCTCGGTGGTGATAGGGCGACACATGGTTGACTGGATGACTAGAAACATTGTTAGATATCTGTGTCCGTGATGAAAAGAAATGAGAACTCACCAGTGACACCATTGCCACCGACAGAGGTGGGAATGAAGGCACCAGGGCCATCGAGGATGGTGGTGAGCTCGAGGATAGGCTCGTTGGTGTCTGCGCAAATGTTAGCTGCAAAGATTCGGCGAGGTCAAGATGTTGATGACTTACTGATGTCTCCAACGCGAATGATGTCGTTGTTGACGGCACCAGCACCGAAGACAATGCCCGAGGCAACGGCCATGAAGATTGTGGACTTCATGTTGTCTGCTGGGAACTGTTAGATGAAGGAGAATGAGATGATGGGGATGAGCTAAGAGACTTACAGTGTTGATGATGTGTTGTTCAGTGTAGGTTGTTGGATGTGTTTTTGTGGAAGGCTGCGAAGCAAGATACGAAAGCTCGAGTGATGAGAGAGGGTAGAAGAGAAGAAGAGAAGGAAGTTGGAGAAAGTTGGTGGGAGGTGGGAAGTATTTATAGGAGAGAGAAAGGAAGCTGGCTGATTGTGGGAGAGCCCGTGTGAGTCGCTGGAAAGACACGGTTCTAACTCTTTTCACCTTGAAAAACAGCAGGAAACAGACTGAGAGAAGATACGTATTGTGAGCCTAAATTTTGTGATTGGCCGATTGGGGATTGTTGCTAGGTTGACTGCTCTTCGTGAGAACTGGCGGGTCCTAGATGAAGGCGGGTGATCTGCCTCTTTTTCTGAAAAGGGCGGGAGCAGGTCAGGAGATCACCTGGCAGTGATGTCGTCGAGGCGGTTAATGTGCTAGGAGGAGCTTTGATCAAGGCGCGGTAATGTGTGACTCTGCGGAAGTAGGAAGAAGAGGGCAGACGGGTAAAGAAGGCTCTGAAATTGGCCGAGACCAAACGAGGACAGGTCATGTTGGTAAGATCATTTCTGTAGACACTGTCAAGGGCAAAAGGAAACAGGTGGTTTAGTTAGTGGTGATATGATTATGGTAATGATTCTATGGAGGTGCCCTTGATCCGAGAAGAATGCGAATGGGTGAGTGTCATACAAAAGAAAGTAAAAGATTGAAGGTATGGCTAATTAACAGAATCAGCTCCATACGTGAGAATATTCACTGTCGTCTGAAAGATCCCTTATTGAGATGAAAAGCTTTCGTCCAAAGGCAACCAAAAGATGACAAGAAACTGAAGGATGCCTAACAGTACTTTCGTCGGGGACATGATGGAATCATGTGCGCTGTGATTTCTGGAGAGGAAATTTGCTCACTGGAGGGATATGCAAAATGAAAAAGCCAAGGCAGTCAGCTGAAGAAAGTTTCTTATTTTGAAGCACAATGTATCTAAGATAACTGACATTCAGCTAAGGTGGCGGCAAATACATCATGAATCAAACCTTGAGGGACTTGGAGCATCTGGTATCTAGCCAAAGATGAATATGAGATAATTCAGTTTTCTGAAATAGCAGAGGGTTAATCACCTTGATTTTGATAAGACTCCCCATGGTATTTCTGACTATTGCGAGAACTCCGCTTGGCGCTGATACTCCACCAAGAAGCAGAAGAGTTCAAACAAGTCGTTAAAGAGCGTGCGCAACTCCCCTTCAGCGCAGGCAACCCACATTCAGCGCACGAAACTCAAAAAGAGTGCGGAAAACTGCCAGAGTTGTAACGAAATAATTGGAAATTTTGAAAGATGGTGGGAAGACTTTTCGTGGCGTGGGCTTCGATGGGCGGGAATCATGCGGGATGGCTTGTGATTTCATCTGGAAAGGGAAAAGTGCAGCTGCCCGGGCTTGTGTTGTTTTCTGAGAAAGTTCTTGATAGAACAACAGAGGGTTTCTCTATCGTCTTGCTCTTTGGCCTCTTCGTTGACGTTGGTGTCTGGAATCTGGGATCTCTCTCGATTTTCAATATTCCACCCTCTGGGTCTCACATCGAAAATCTTGTCACCAGAAAAGTGGTCTGTTCCGTCGAGTCATCTGCTATACTATCAGTCTACATTTCTATTACTGACTATTATTTTACCATAAAGACCCAAGCTGTGCCATCCCGAAATCATGGAGACCAACATAAGCAACGAAGCCAGTGGCAGCAGCGCCAGCGTCAAGGCTTTCGATGGCGACCCCTTCGCGGTGTTCCCTGTCGAGATCCACAAGGAGATCCTGGATGACCTCGATCATCGAGGCGACGTCCTAGCAATCAGCCAGGCGTCTCCCGCGGTGAGACAAACCGCTCACGCCAGCGGCAACTTCACCAGACAGTTCCTTGAGACCGAGCTTGGCCCAGCGCAGTTGCGCAGGCTTCTCCACGACGCCCTTGCCGTCGTTATGTTCCCAGTCATCGCCTCGATTACTGATGACGCCGACAAGAAGGCAAAGATCTCGAAGCATCTCCAAAACTGGAAGTCTGGTGAGCTCTACCAACACGCTAACGACGTCGACAAGATGGCGGCATACACATTCATCGACCAGGTCGTGATCCCCTTCGCCGAGGACTTCGCCGCCCTCACGAAGAAGCTCGGCAGAGCCACTAACCAGATCCGTGTGCCCGAATGGGCTCACGCTTCGCGATGCGACCGCGCACCTTCTCGAGTCAATATGATCATCTGGCAATACCAGCCCGAGGAGCGCGTCCGCCTAGTTCGAGCGTTCTGTCGCTTCGAGTTCCTCAGCAAGGTTGTCCAGGCTCGTCCCAGTGGCCAACTCTACACCCTCTCAGAGCAGCGCAATCTCCTCGCCGAGTTTTTTGACGCTTGGGAGGTGGAGGAGATCCTCTGCGTGCAGCTGTACATTGGAGACATGCACACCATTCTCCTTGAGACTCACATGACCGGCGTCATTGATACCATGGCAGCTGACTCGTACGATGCTCATTGTGGTGTTTATAACCCAGAGCGTCGGTTCATCCGTCTGCGCCGCGGCCCGTTCGGGAACGGCGAGAGCGACGACGATGAAGAGTCCGAGTACGAATCTGACGGTAGCCCGTCTCTCACAGTCGGCTCCATCGAGGACAGTGCCTCGAGCTCTCTCGCGCAGGGTGAATCGGAGAATGACTCTGAGGATTCTCTTGATTATTATGATGACACGTCTGACGATTCCGAGTATGATCTTGATGATATCGATGAGGGAGACTGGTTCACCAAGACCGACCATGAGGCCAACCCCGGAACGCCCTGCGCCAAGTTCGAGCTCGCAGACCACGAGAAGCACACCGTCTTCATCAAGCAGGTCGCCACCTTTGGCCTGAAGTTCCTCCAGCACTTTATCAAGTCAGACAAGAAGGCGTACAGCCGCTGGATCCGCGCCAACGGCCACATCATCCTCAACGGCATGGCGAGCTTTGAGCAGGCAAAGTACTTTGGCCCCCTCGGCGAGCGGGACGCATCCTGGATGGCGCGTCTCTCCCTCGACCCCATGCAGCTCGTCGGACTTTCACTCTTTAACAGCGCCAGCAGCGCGCCCCCCAGCAGTGCGACCGACAATAGCCCGCCCGCCACCAACGCTGATCTCAGCTACGGCCGCTTCCCCGGAATCAACGAGGCCGCCTCCAACACGGCCTGGAAGCAGATCTACGCCACGATCCCGCAGGTGCGCGAGGCCCTCCGCCGGTGCGGATGGGTGTTCTGGTCCGAAGCGCGCCTCCGCGCCAACGTCTTCGCCCTGGAGACCTTGCCCTTGTGGCTCTACCACCCGATAAGGCCCTATGTGATAAACCCGACCTCTGAGAGCCAATGGCCGGAGTCCTTACTGTTCCCTCATTGGAGTGATGGAATCATGATGGACACGCTTGATGGAGGGGGACTCTTGGCGCCCCTGCTTTGGTTCAGCAGCGCCGCGGAGATGAAGCTGTTGGAGTTCCTCGCCCAGAACCGCGAACGGCGGGGAAAGATTCTTTTCCGCGCCCATCCGTTCGACTTCTTCCGATACGAGGAGATTCCGCTTGACGTCTGGCAGGAGTGTATGGGCGACGAAGACCCTGCAGTTCCCGCTGGAACTGTCCAGGTGTTCCCTAACATCTTTTGGGGCTAGGAAGGCAGCAAGGGGACCGTATGTCTAGAGGTTCATTGACTGCAAAGGGCCGCCTGTTACCCACGCTCGGGCATCATACATATATCCCTTGATGTTATTCGAGGCCAAGGTCGCAGACGAACTCGAAAATGAGGTTGTTAATTTGAGCAAGCTTCGCAAATGGACAGAGTAGTACGGTACAGAGAATCAGAATTGCGTTCGGAATAGTCCGTAGTCGCACAAGGGCATGGAGAAAACTTCGGAGAGTAGAGAAGTAGCTCTTGAAAGGGTATCGTTGTCGTGTAATCATTACCTACTATATTCCCTCCTAAAAACCGTGCCAATGTAGCCGTCTCATCCGAATATCCCAGCAACAACAGCCATAACGCCAACATAGACCCCCGAAGCCAAGACCCCCTCGGTAGCAGCGACCCTTGCAGGCCGGTCGGCACCGGGGCTGAACAGCCCAGCCTGGATTACGCCCGCAGCAACACCAACGGCAACAAGAAGAACCACGGCCATTCGGCCAATGAAACCAGGAATGACGGCGAACGTAAGAATAGGAAGCAAGAACGCCGCCGCAAAAGCGAGCGCGACGGTAGGGAGAAAACCAGTGAGAGCGGCGACCAACAGACGGCGCACACGTTCGGCTCTGTTGCGCCCTCCGAGGTCCAAGGGGGAAGCCTCGCATTGCGCGGCTGCGGGGTCTTGAGGTCGTCGTTGGAGAAGACGGACTCGCGGGAGGGGCTGGAGGCAGGGCGTGCGAGTGAGACGAGGTCGTCCAAGGGATCCAGGAAGCGGGTTTCGATCTCGACAATGGGGTTGTGGTTGGCGAGGTAGGCGCGGTAGAAATCCACGTCTTGGGGATTTGGCGTGGGGAGGTGCTGGGTGTCTTTGAACGATGAGAGGACTTGGTCTGCAGTGTGTTAGGATGAGGCGGAGATTACGAGAAGAGAAGAGAAGAGAGAGGCTCACTGTACTGGCTGATTTTGTAGCCAATTTTGCCCAGGACATCCGTCTTGTGCCATTGAAGTTCGCCGGCAGTGAGGGCGTCTTGTCTCCTTGAGGCGGGCAAGATGCAGTTCTGCATTCGACGCGTCTGCGTGTCCGCCGTGTCCAGACGATGAAGCTGCTCTTCCAGCTCGGCAAGCTCATCTTGAAGGTGCAGGAGTAACCGGTGGTTAAGCGCCTCGAATCGACGGTAGATTGGCTTGATGCTGGACCTGTCCGAGTCGGAGGAGCACAGCTTAGAGGCAATCAACTCATAGCCCGTCAGCGGCAGCTTTTCTGCCCTGGGCAAGTGCTTGGGATGACCGTGGTGAACACCGGGGAGACGCGGCTGAAGGGCGTTTGGGGGTAGGTGCGGGAAGTTGGCGTTCCCACGCGGCATCTCGGGCGTGCCATAGCTGCGGTAATCCTGTTGTTGTTGCGCTGTGGCCATTTGCACCTCGAACTTGCCAGGCATCGACGGCGAGTCGCCGTAGGCGCTGTGGTCCGGACTGCTGCTCCTGTCGGTCTCATGATCTCCAGTCATTTCCGAGAAGACATCGGACGCGGTTGAGGTGGTGCTCCTTGTCGATGGCGACTGGAAACTCGATGGGTCAGGCATCCTCCAATACGATGACTGCTCGACCGAGCGCTGGATGGCCTCTGGAGTTAGGTGAGGCGAGTCTGGTTCAAGGTAGCTAAGAACACTGGATAGCTGTTGCGTTTGGGGTGAACGGCTCTGTCGACGGCCTTTGAGGTAGGCCTTGTCGTGCCCTCTCGACTTCTCACTTCCTCGTCGTCTTGGCCACGAAGCTTGGGTGATGGTTGAGCCGCTGCCGCTAGAGCTGCCGGACCCGTGAGTTTTTCCCGTGAGAGGCGTGAAGCTGGACAACGTAGACTCGGTGGGCGATGTTGGATAGCCCGGCTGTTCTTCTATTTCACTTGTGTCCGTGGGGACCACCGTCTCGTCTGAAGAGGATTCCGGGTCCGCAGCAATCACTTCATCAAGCGTGGTTTGGGTAGACTCCATGCCAGAGGTGCGACGTCGCGTTGGCGACTCTGGGCCAGAGGCGGGCAGAGACGAGTGCCTCCGGACTGTCGCGCTCCTCGGGCGGGATCGCGGATTCCCAGGTGTTGACGTGTCGTCCACCGGCATGTGATGTCCCTTAGGCGCAATCTTATCGCTGGCGTCGTGTACAGACGTCGACGAGGGCAACGCCGGCGCCGGGACGGTGTCCATGGCGCGCATGAGTCCGTCGCTCGGGCCCGAGGCTAGCCACCCTTGATTTGGGCTTGGTGCGTCGTCCGTGTAGCTACCTTGGACATCATCCACGGATGGGGGACGATACGCCGTCGACATTGCTGGTCAAGGATCGCCCGGATTATGGAACAAAGGCGCAAGGTACGAATCAGTTGGCGAGTCTCGACTCAAGCTTAAAGAATTGCCGAACAAAAGTCGGGTCCTCCCTCGGGCTGAGTGATACGGGAGGGAATGCGACTTGTGTCCAGCGAGGGAGGAATGTCTCAGATTAGCAGACCTAGGGCTACAGCGAATCGCACAAGAGGCAGCCAGATCTTAGTACACATTAGTAAAAGTCGAGGGCAGGCAGTAAAGAGTGCGAACACGAGAGAAGAGGCCTCCTGGAAAGACGGGCTGAGGTGTGAACCTCAAACGGTGATGGCGGGTTTGGGAGGGACGGGATCGGGCTAAGAGGGGAGTCCCGGAGCGATCAGAGATAATGGGGGAGCGGCTTCAAGATGAGAGTGGCGGTAGCATCCCAGACTGTGGCAAAGCGACGACAACGGGCCTTCGAACGATAATTTGGCAGGTAACAGAAGAAAAGAAAACATGGTGTGGAGGGGTGGTGCCCATGACCGGAGGGATAGCTAGAAAATCCTGCTGAAAATAGGAGAGGAAAGCAAACATGGAGGAACGAGCAGCGCCGTATGATCGGGACGAGTGTGTGTCAGCCGTTGACGGGTTTGTTTCAGATGACCAGGAAGACTGGACCAGCGTGATGGGGGTGTGACGGGGTCGAGCTGAACGTGTGTGGTGTCCGTCCCTTTGGCTCAGTTGGTGTGGTGTGGGAGGGATGATGGATGATGGACGGGAGACACGTGTAGGTAGAGGAACATGAGATGCGATGCGATGCCGCGATGTTGGCCGAGTGTCTGGTCTTGTACTACCTACCTACTTACACGTCGTTTGCTGGGGCCCGGGGTTGGATTAAGAACAAGGGGGTGCTGCAGATGCAGCTCGAAAGACGAATCGAATGAATGAAGAGCGAAGAATGACGGACGAGCCAGCTTCGCGGAACCGTTTTCCAACGGCCCCACGTCTAGCGCCATGCCCGTCCGCTGTGCTGCGTGTCACTCCACTGATTTCCAGCGCATGTGCGCCATTCCTCATCCCAAGGGATGCTGTGCAGCGTTACGTAATCATCCCAAGTCTCCCATGCGACAAGACTACGGCACCTACCGTTCGTTCCTAGGATAGTCACACTCAACAATCCGTCCCTTCCAAATTCGGTTCTGGTAGGAAGGAACCCTGAGCTGCCGCTGCTTTAATCTGAGTAAGATGATCAAGGGTAATCAGAGGATTTATTTTTATATGTATATCTCTTAGATATATCTCTCTCTATGTATATGTCTCTCTCTCTATGTATATATATCTGGATACCGTGTCACTCCTCTGATTTCAGCGACAATTTACTGACTTCCAGCGACAATTCACCCAGCGGTACTGCCCATTTTAGCCAAGTGGGCCAAAAGTCTGAGCTACCCCGCCATTTTGCCCACGCTTCAACACATGACGCCGGTGTCGGCCCCACAAAACGTTTTCAAGGTAACTTCAATCCTTCCACAAATTTTGCAACCTTTATTACTCACGCCCTTGATCTCGAACGCGAATCAATACAATTACGCGCCATATACTCCATTGGTCTCATCCATCCCATTGATTTCATCGGCCTTGAAAACGCAACAAACGCAACGAACGCCACTCACGAATATCTCCAACATGGCCGAGAAAAAGGCGGACGCCCCGGCAGCTGGCATGCTCTGGGGGGCAGGTTCACAGGTTCGAATGTCTCGGGCAACAAGCTTCGGATGCAGTATACTGACCTCACGGTGTGCAGGTGCGATTGATCCTCTCATGCACAAGTACAATGCCTCCATCCGGTACGACAAGGCTCTTTACAGAGAGGATATCCTCGGATCGATTGCTTTTGCCAGAGCCAACTCAAAGGCTGGCATCATCAGCCAAGACGAATTTCAGGCAATTGAGCGTGGTCTGCTCCAAGTGATGGAAGAATGGAAGCAGGGAACTTTCGCCATCATGCCGAATGACGAGGATGTGAGAAGCCACTCGTTTTTTACTCAACTTGTCGAGGCTAACACAATGGACCAGATTCATACGGCAAACGAACGTCGCTTAGGAGAGGTTATCGGCAAGGACATCGCGGGTAAGCTGCACACAGGTCGCAGCCGCAATGAGCAAGTTGTCTGTGACATGCGCATGTGGTTGCGCGATCGAATCCGCGAAATCGACAGCCAACTTGTTGCATTCCTCAAGGTCATTGTCACACGCGCCGAGTCAGAAATGTAAGCCTAGCCTCACCTCCTCTGGCCAAAAGCGGCCCCCTGCTGACTGACAACCTCAGCGACTACATCATGCCTGGGTACACTCATCTCCAGCGTGCTCAGCCAGTTCGATTCTCTCAATGGCTGATGTCATATGCCGCTGCGTTCAAGCAGGATCTTGAGCGGTTGCGTCAAGTTTTCGAAAGGGTTAATCTGAGTCCACTTGGTTGTGGCGCTTTGGCCGGCAACCCATTCCGAATCGATCGAGACATGATAGCTGAAGAGCTTGGTTTTAGCGGAATAACCTTAAACTCCATGAACACTTCGGCCGACCGCGATTACCTAGTCGACTTCCTGGTCTGGAACTCGATTTTCACCAACCACGTTAGCAGGTGGGCTGAGGATCTCATCCTATATTCGACATCTGAGTTCGGTTTCGTGCGGCTGGCCGACGCCTATTGCACGGGTAGCTCTTTAATGCCCAACAAGTTCAACGGGGACTCGTTAGAGCTTCTCCGTGGCAAGTCAGGGCGCGCTTTCGGTCAAATGGCTGGGCTAATGATGGTGAGTCCTCATATTAACATCTCGGCCAACTGCGTTGGCTTTGAGGAGCGTATCGAGAGTAGCTACTAACTATTCATTTTGAAGACTCTGAAAGGCTTGCCCTCTTGCTATAACAAAGATCTTCAGGAAGGGTGGGAGCCTATGCTGGATTCGGTTCAGACTGTGTCGGATAGTCTAGGCATAGCCAATGGGGTTATTTCTACCCTCAAGGTGCGGCCAGAGCGGATGGAGGCTGCTCTCGACAAAACGATGCTGGCCACTGATGTTGCAGAGTGGTTGGTGAGGAAGGGATGTCCGTTCAGAGAGGCTCACCACATCTCTGGACGCGTCGTTGCACTGTCTGAAAAGCTGGAAATTTCGATGGACAAGCTGACCCTTGAGCAACTGCAAGCCATTGATCCTCGGTTCACAGCAGACATTGTGGAGGCATTCGAATATGAATCGAGTATCGAGGCGAAATCGGCTAAAGGCGGTACCAGCCGATCAAGCGTGCTGGAGCAGATCCAGATTATCAGGGCTATGTTGGATTAGGGGTTTGATAACCTAGTGCAGGATGCGGGCGAAGCAAGGGAATCCGAGACGGACATCACGAATGGCACTCTTCATTCTGTACGTGGTAGCAGGCATCTTGACCACTTCAGATGCTTGTGAATAGAAAGCCGGGTCGACGGGGCTTTACAGCCAGATCCAGACGATGGGGGAATCATTGACAGACCCACAAAAGCAAAGCTCGCGAGCTTTGTTTTTCTGTGCACAATATCTGTGGAGGCAATGGGACGCGACGAACGGAGCAATATCTGCGTATGTTGCTGCTGCAAGGTGAAGGCGAAGAAGTGAGAAACCAAGGGCAGCGAAACTGCTGGCCAAAGGTGAAGTGGGCGAGACTGGCCAACCGAGGGGCCGGTGGGTCACGCGACCACTGGACCTCATCAATAACTTTAATTCATAAGCCATGGCTCCGAGAAAGTGAGAAAAGTCTGAGTTGCCCGTAGTCCGTCGTTCTGTCAGTGTTAGGCACTACTTACTAGGGTTGTGATTTTCAGTTAGTTGTTGGTGCAGTCACTGCAGTACCTGTTTAATCGTTGCTCTAATTGGATTCGGTGACATGTTGTGGCACAAGAGCAAGACTCCTCAGAGGCGGAGGTAGGCATGACAATGAGCAAGGCTAGATGGGAAAAAGTCGATGGGTGGTCAGATTTTGTGCTGGCCAACTGACAGTAGCTTTGCATCGAACTGATAAAGCTATTGAAATCGGCGAAATCATTGATTTATGGGTCGAAACGTCTCTAGCTCAGGTAGGTCGATTGAGTAAGGGTGATCGAAGCAAGGGCGGCGATGCTGACTAACCAATACCGGCCGCTGGCCTTATGGGTTTCATGGTAGACTACCGTCGGTACCTAGGAACGAACGGCCATCGGCCGGAACCTTGTGCGGCCCGAAGACAAAGATACGTACCGCAGGGTTCCACGAAATTTGATGCGACGGAATGGAGCTCTCTGAAGCTATCCCCAGCGCCAGCTCCAGCTCCGGTCGAATTGCGCGACGCCCGGTTTGCCAGTCACCTCGAATGTTCCGCTTGCTCAACAGCACTTCGCAACAAGACAATTTCCTTGTCGATCAATCAACAATTTGCTGACCTGCCATGGCCGCATAGCTCTGGCCGCCAACCATTTTCATCACCAGCCATCCCGACCCGCGAGCCCTCCAATCACGCTCGGCCGTAGTACCGGAGCCACTGGTTGACGAACACATAGCTGCAGGCAAAAAGAGGGTGTACGAGATACGTACTGAGCGAGCACTGTAATCAAGTTTCTTCCCAGCCGCCTACCTCTACGACCGTCCAATCCCACGAGAGTGGCGATTCTGTCACTCCACGACTTAGTACCAGCTTTAAGACAGCTCGACACCTTTACAGAGCTTGCCGCATACCCACCCTCGTAATACCTCGAGACGATACTTACGCCGTCGATCCGCTTGTCAAAATGACGCGCATCCCGACCCACGAGCTGGCCCGTTACCTGTTCAATGGCCAGCTCTCTCGCCGGGGCTGCGCAGCCGCGGCGCGAAGACCATACACCCGTTCGCCGGCCCGTTCCGTACTGGTATGGTCGCCTGCGTCACGTTTCGGAGAGTCGAGGGCAACGTACGCAACCGCCCAGGCCACGGCAGCACCTGCGGAGGCGCCGCCAGTCCCCCTACGGAAGAAACTCAAGGAGGAGAAGAAGCAGCTCAAAAAGGAGGCGAGAAACCAAAAGCCCAAGGGGAGCAATCAGACGGTCGAGGGCTGGGAGTTGACTGTCGGTATTGAGATCCACGCGCAGCTGAACACGGCGCGGAAGCTTTTCTCGCCAGCGGCGACCTCGTTCAACGACGACCCCAACTCCCATGTGGCGCTCTTCGATGTTGCCATGCCTGGCAGTCAGCCGAGGTTCCAGAAGGAGACTCTTATCCCGGCTTTGCGCGCGGCATGTGCTTTGAACTGCGATATCCAGCCCGTCAGCCGGTTCGACAGGAAACACTATTTTTGGTGGGACCAGCCCTCGGGCTACCAGATCACGCAGTACTACGAACCTTTTGCTCGGAACGGCGAGATCGAACTCACTGCCCGAGACGGCATTGCCGCAGAGGACGGAGAGAGCGTCACCATCGGCATCCAGCAGATCCAGATGGAGCAGGACACCGCAAAGACTCTGGCCCAGCCAAACGACATTTCCTGGCTCGACTTCAACCGTGTTGGTGTGCCTCTGATCGAGATCATTACTAAGCCCGAGCTGCACCACCCCGTACTGCCGCTGCGTTTGTCCGCAAGATCCAGGTCCTGCTGAACGCTGTCGACGCATGTGTTTCGGGCATGGAGACGGGCGGTCTGCGTGCGGATGTCAACGTCTCGGTTCGCAGGACTGGCGACCCAAACACTCCGCTGGGCACGCGGACGGAAATCAAAAACTTGAGCACCATCAAGGCCGTCGAGGATGCCATCATCGCCGAGCGCGACCGACAGATTGCGGCACTCGAGGCCGGGGAGAAGATTGCCAGCGAGACTCGAGGCTGGACACTAGGCTCCAAGCACACCCGCAGGCTGCGGGGCAAAGAGGGCGAGGTTGACTACCGCTACATGCCGGACCCCGACCTTGGCCCTCTGGTGATTGGCGAGGACCTCGTGAACCACATCAGGGACTCGGTCAAGGAACTGCCAGACATGGAGTTGACCGAGTTGATTCAAGATTACGGGCTGACCGCCAAGGATGCGCTCTCGCTCATGTCGCTGGACAACGGCGGCAGGCTCGAGTATTTTTACAAAGTTGTGGATGAGCTCGGTGAGGCTCTGGCCAAGTCGAACCTCGACTCTGGTTTACACGCCTACGCGCCTCTCGCCGGCAACTGGATTCTCCACGAGCTCGGTCGGCTGACCACCGACAAGGCGGATCCCGAATCCGCTCAGCGGACGCTGGAAATCACTCCCGAAGGCCATTGCGACGCCGTGCCGCATACCGCCCTCGCCGAGATCCTCCTGCACCTGCAGAAGCGGGACATCACCGGAAAGGTCGCCAAGGAGCTGCTGGTGGCGCAGTACCTCGGCAACCTCGACGAGTTCGATTCGGTCACGGACGCCATCAAGACGCACGAGCTCTGGTTCAAGGAGATGTCGGACGCAGAGTACCAGCAGCTCGCGGAGAGCGCCGTCGAGGGCGAGGACAAGGTGCTCAAGGAGTTCCGGGAGAAGAAGAACTATCCGCAGGGCAAGCTGATGTACCTCGTCGGCAAAATGATGCGCATCGGCGAGACGGAGCGGATCGACCCCTCGGGCGCGGAGAAAGTCATGCGTCATCTCATCAAGGAGCGGACGGGCGCGTACCAGGACTGAGGGTCTCTCTCTTGGTTGAACGATAAAAACTACATGTGGTATCTAAGCCCCGTAAATACGTGCATGTCGGCACGCTGTATTGTACAATGTATCATAACATCATGTCAGCTCGGTAATACGAGCGCAGGGCTTGTGGCCTCGTCTGGGCCCCTCATTCCTTGATTATTTCGTGCTCGGCGCCGGCCGCACGTCAAGCTTGCTCGGCATGAATCCGAAGTTGATATTCTCCCTCTCCCGCAAAAACCGTTCAATCCGCTCCTCCCGTCCCTTGCCGGCCGTGGCCTCGCCCTGTCTCCTCAACGCCTCGCTGATGTTGGCCTCGTGCGCGTGCTTCTTGTCCAAGATGTAGGCCGACGAGTTTTCCATCCGCGTCGTCTGGACCACCGTCCCCACGGCCAATGCGGCGAGCACCAGCGCCGCGAAGCTGGCGTTGGACATGTACATTGGCTTCTGCCGCTCGCCGTTGGCCTGGCGGTGATGCCAGCGCTCCCAATCCTCCCAGGTGGCGTTCATGGCCGGGTTGTTCCCGTTGTGACGCCACGCCTTGTCGGCCTGGCGGTAGACCTCGTGGATGTCCCGGGTGTCTTCTATACCGGTGCCTGGCAAGTGCCAGTGGGCGCCAAAGGAGTCGTAGGCGCGGCGCTTGTCGGGTGAGCTGAGGATCTCATTGGCAAGGACGATGAGGCGGTACCGCTCGAGGCGGGTTTGTGACGGGAGCGAGTCGAGAGCCGAGGCATGGTGCTTGTCCGGGTGGTACTGTTTCACGAGCTCGGCGAAGCGGGATTTGGTGTAGGGGGCGGCTTTGTCGATGTCGAAGATGTCGTAGGGGGTGGGGTTTGCACAGGTCGGCCAGGAAGGGCTGATGGGTTTGCCCGAATTGTGTGGCTTCAAGGGTTCATTTTGAGGATTGGAGTTGTGGTTGACCGTCGCGTAGCATCGTGAGGCCGTTTGCTTTGGAGAGGACGGACGTCGCCTGGGTGGTGACGTTATCGATGTGTGGTGTGCGGGGACGGCGAAGAGGCTCAGGACGTTGTTGCTCGAGCAGATGGCGAATGCCTTTGGTGTCTTGAAAACCATGGTGAAGCGTGTATCTCTGTCCTGGGGGAAAACGCGAGTCTCAGGGAGGTTGAAGACAGAGGTCGAGGGGGAGCATCTCGACCTCGTGGTTGTATAAGAGAGAGTGAGAGCGGTGCTCGTTGATAATGGTGAGAAGGTTTCGAGGCCGATGGTTCGACAGGTGCGCACCAGGCCAATTGCCGCATTCGTGCTCAGCGGTTCCTGTCAGTGCTCAAGCCCGTGGCTTCGCCGCTCACCAGCAGCAGGTGCTGGCCCCTCTCCGATCCGATAGCTCCGCTGCAGGACACGATTAAACCGGGGCACGGTGGGTGAGCCTGGCCAATCGGCTGATGGAGGGCTGTCTGGGGTGAGCTCGGTAAGGAGCAAATCGGAGGAGGATGAGAGCTCTCGGTGAGCGGGCATTGGTCAAATGTCACCCCATGATCCAAGACCTACCCTGAAAGATGCTTTTGTCTCGACAACATCAAGCCCCTCTTATCACAGAGTTTGGGAGCAAAAGGGGGGGGAAACAAATCGGTGCCCCGATCCGTGAGTTTCCCCATCATCTCATTAATACCAGATTTGCATCTCTTGCAAGAGCCACTTGGGTGAAGGACCTCCTTCCAACCAGCGGTCACGTGGCCCCGCCCGAGACGCTAGACAGGGGGGACCCGCCCCAAAGGCACAGCTGAGGCGCACCGAACGCACTGGGACGTCGATTCACCACAGCAAACTTGCTTCTTCGACTCTTCCTCCACACACAACCACACTCCTCTCAACCCACGCAAACCCAACCATTCCACAACCTCTCGCGCTACACCTCGTGGACGAAACGCATTTTCCGCTGTTTCAGTATCCCGAGTTACCAAAAAAAGATCAAAGGATTTCCCGAAATCGCGCAACTACGACCAACCACTACCTGCTTGCTGCACCGCAACTCCTAGAGTCCGGTCGAAAACCCCCAACCTCTGCTCTCCGGACACGGATCACAACGACGAACCGCGACCACCCTCTTTCACTCGCTGCAGTGACACACGATTCCTCGAGCGACGACTGCCTTTTTGTCGCCGAAACCTACCCTGTCTGCATCCTAATTCTTGCCGAGTACAACTCGCCCGCCCCTCGATTCGATTCACCGCGAAGTGGGGAAAGCAAAAGCCCTTTTCGCGCGCAACCAACCATCACCGGCCGCATCGCACCCTCTCTCCTGCCTATAGGCATATACTCCAAATACACACATTCAAATGGCGGAAGCACTCGCAGACAAGCTCAAGGCGACGAACTTGAGGTTCGCCCACCTCCCATCCGTGATCTTGGTCTAGGCTTGTGAGACTAACTTTGGCAGCGATGGCGCCGCATCAGAGGACTGGAAGAAGAGCTTGAAGCTGCCTGCCAAGGACAACAGACAACAAACCGAAGTATGTGTCCCGCGCGGCCCCGGCCCCTGCTTGTCCTTACGCTAACGCTGCTGCGTCCAGGATGTCACAAACACCAAGGGTCTGGAGTTCGAAAACTTCCAATTGAAGAGAGACTTGTTGATGGGCATCTTCGAGGCTGGTTTCGAGAAGCCGTCGCCCATCCAGGAAGAAGCCATCCCCGTTGCGTTGACTGGCCGTGATATCCTCGCTCGTGCGAAGAACGGTACCGGCAAGACTGCAGCATTCGTCATCCCCGCCCTCGAGAAGATCAACCCCAAAGTCTCCAAGATCCAAGCCCTCATCCTCGTCCCCACTCGCGAGCTCGCCATGCAAACATCACAAGTCTGCAAAACCCTCGGCAAGCACCTCGGCATCAACGTTATGGTCACCACTGGAGGCACTGGTCTTCGCGACGATATCATCCGCCTGCAGGACCCGGTCCATATTGTGGTCGGTACCCCGGGCAGAATCCTCGATCTCGCGGGCAAGAACGTCGCCGACCTGAGCGAATGCCCCATGTTCATCATGGACGAGGCTGACAAGCTTCTGTCCATCGAGTTCACGCCCGTTATCGAGCAGCTCCTCCAGTTCCACCCCAAGGACCGCCAGGTCATGCTCTTCTCCGCCACTTTCCCCCTCTCTGTCAAGGACTTCTCCGACAAGAACATGGTCAGCCCCTACGAAATCAACCTCATGGACGAGCTCACCCTCCGCGGTATCACCCAATACTACGCCTTTGTCGAGGAGAAGCAGAAGGTCCACTGCCTGAACACCCTCTTCTCCAAGCTGCAGATCAACCAGTCCATCATCTTCTGCAACTCCACCAATCGAGTCGAGCTGCTGGCCAAAAAGATCACCGAGCTAGGCTACTCTTGTTTTTACAGTCACGCCAAGATGGCCCAGCAAGCGAGAAACCGTGTCTTCCACGACTTCCGCAACGGCGTCTGCAGAAACCTTGTCTGCTCCGACCTCCTCACCCGTGGTATCGATATCCAGGCGGTCAACGTCGTCATCAACTTCGACTTCCCCAAGAACGCCGAGACATACCTGCATCGCATTGGTCGATCCGGTCGTTACGGCCACTTGGGTCTGGCCATCAACCTGATCAACTGGGATGACAGGTTCAACCTATACAACATTGAGAAGGATCTTGGAACCGAGATCCAGCCCATCCCCGCCAGCATCGACAAGTCTCTCTACGTCTACGAGAACCCCGAGTCCATTCCGAGGCCCATCTCCAACTTCAAGGCCGGTCAGCCTGGTCAGGGCCAGCAGCAGCCCCAGCAGATGCAGGGTCAACAGCCCCTCCTGCAGGGTGGCCCGGCCCCCGGCAACTGGCAGACTCAGCAGCCCCAGCAAAGCGGTCAACAGAACGGCTACCAGGGCGGCGGCAGAGGCCGTGGACGTGGCCGCGGTGGTTACCGTGGTCAGAACCGTGGCGGCTACGGTGGTCGGGGACGCGGCCAAGGCCAAGGCCAGGGTCACTCCCAGCCCCAAGGACAGATGTCCTAGGGCGCGCCCACTCATCTCTTCTTTATAGAAAGGCGTTCTGGCGTATGCGTCGCGGTGGGAACACGCGACTGCGTCTTGTTTGGATTGTACATAGTTCCTATTTTCTCTTCTTTGATTTTTGGAGGCGACACGGCACGATTAGACTGGGTCGGGGCATCTCATCCATGCACTCACATGAGCTCTCAGATTCCCCCCACCACTCACGATCACGAAACACGAAAAACACTCGATCAGACCTACGACTCGTCGGCAAGCAACACAAAAAGCTTCGTTACATATTCGCAAACTTTGGCCTGTACCATACCCCCATCGGATCTTACTGGTCTTTTGTTTGACTTCTTTTCTCTTTTCCCCTTCGGCCTTCTTGACGACAGGCATTATCTCCCCAAGCTGGTGAATACATGCTGTCTGGAGACGACCGGACGAGCGAGACGACGGGTCTTTGGCCATGGAAAAAAAGACGACATTCATCGACAGCAAGGTGCTGCGTCTGGTCTCAAACCGAGACACGGTCACCCGCTAGCAGGGTCATAACCCGATCCAATCTTATCATGCCACCTTGCTTCTTTCTTAACGACGGCGTTTGGGGTCAACAAGCGGCTGAACGGCATCAGCCTGGAGCGGCGTTCGCATGGGAGACGGCCACATTTGATTTTGGTGGACAAAAGGGGGAGTTGGCCCTCGCGGTCGAGGGCGGCAACACTACGGATGAGGTCGCCAGCACTTCAGATGAAGGCGGTCCGGTCGGTAGCTCGTCTCTGGTTTGAGCGCCGCGGTGTGTTTTGAGTATTAATCAATCAATCGCGGAGACGACTGATGTTGGGATATGACACGGAGGGCAGCGGGGTGGCTGGGCATCCAATGGCGTCTGTCGGGGCATGGTTCTGATCATCATGCGTTTTCTTTGGCAGGAGAAAGATTTGGTTGGAAGGCCCCTCCGCCCGGGATAGGAGGAGCGAGCGTTTTGTCGTCCGTCGACAACAATTCCCAAGATAATGCTTCTTGGTGCCCGAACACACTCAAACGGAGGTTTCGACATGATCCGTTCACGCATTCTACGCCTATGCCCTGCTTCTTTCGAGAGAGCAGGCTCGACGAACGACCGCAGAAATACCCGAGTATCATTATGCCTGTTGGGCTTTCTTGGACTGGGTTGGCCAGCTTCTTCCGATCACCCCGGGGTTGCCTGTGAGGGTGACCACAGGGGCGGGAAGGATGCTGGCGCAGCCTGGTTTGGTGGAGAGCAAGCGGTCTTTTTGGTACTCACATCAACAAGAAAATAACGCAAAAAAACCATTTTGGGGGAGGATCGCTGGATGGACTGGATGGCTTTTGGACTGGTTCAGTCTTGCAACTGGCATGGCCTACGGGCTTGTGCTTTTGGACTGGGACTGGTGGGCTAGATAGCTGTCTGAGCAAACGGCGTGGCAATCAAGTCACATTTCTCTCTCATATTCTGTTCCCTTGCCGTGATGTTTGATTCAAGTCAGTGACACTGGTGGGTTAGGCTCGCTGCATGGTCTATCACTGCTCCATGAGGGATCTGTCACGGCACCTTTCGTCTTCGTTCCCCGTCGTCTCTTATTGTAGCTCACATGTGCCACACGTGAAAAGACAAGGAGAAGCTGGATGCTGCAGGCTGTTTGCGCCATCGCAGCGCTTGCACAACCCAAGCTCGCTTCCGGGGAGTACACGCATGTACGCGCCGATTACTGGTCCTCGCCGCATGGGGGTTTCCCGCTCGGAGGGAGCAGGAAGACGCAGGACGTCCAGAGAATCGGTTGGCGCGGGATTTTGTGCCCTTCCTCCTCATGCGAGGGGGAAAACGGGCACGGGTTTCGTTCGTCTCCGGACTGTGTGAAAGCCAGGTGACATGTGGACGGTCAAAAGGCTCAAAAGATGATCCGGTTCGGAAGAGATGGGGATGACGAGAGGTTGGGGACGAGGAGGATTGGGGGTGATGGCTTGGATGGCGCGGATGGTGGGCGTTGCGCTGAGGACTTACCGTTGCTGACGCGACGCATTTTGAGACTTGGGATTGGGATTTGTCTTTGCGTACAGGCGTCGTATGTTTGGTGAAGAGAGGAAGACTGGGCTTCTGCTCTGGCGGGTGTTTGGTTTGGTTGAAGTTGAAAAGGGCGCGGTGGGATGGAAGTCGAGAGAAACAGTGGTATGGTGTTTCTGTGGGGCTTCTGGTATGTATATATGCGGTATGTCGGAGCTGCATACTCGAATACGGCAATGTTAATGGCTATGTGCATTGGACTGCTTCCTGACAACTAATTGCCATTGTCAATGGTCTTTGTTACCAAAATTGTCTTGGGCAACCTCCTACATAAGCACTTCCCACTTTGCGGACCCATTGAATGATATTCGCGCTCAGCTACGAAATCCAGACGTGACTTTTGCTCTCATGAGTATCAGGGCCGTTGTCGTTTTCCGAGACGTCTTTTGTGTAGCAGATCATCTGGTCTTACTGCTGACGAGCGAGCTTTCGAGTGCCTGACGCTGTCAAAACTGAATGTGAACGAACCTTACATCTTCATCTGGCGGACGCTGCCTACAGCGAGGGGCGCTCTCACAGTGCGGATGCTCGGCAACCTATTTGGCAATCGCTTGCAAGGTCGCCTCATACCCCATTCTGCGAGTACTGTCGACATCAGACTGGCCTCGGAAGAGTACACTGGGGTCGGCTCCGTACTTGAAGAGTTTGATTGTGATTTCCACTTCCTGTTGCTCGGCAGCCAGAGTCAGCGGAGCCATCCCGTTCGACTCTTCATCAACAGGCTCGCCGAGTTCCAGGAGTTTAACCACCAGGCTCCTCTGTCCGGCAATCACTGCTCCCCCAAGGAGCGTCTCGCCTCAAGGCAGCAGTCGGCGGTCTGTGGTGAAAGATTCCCAACGGTGGAAGAGCCACGCCGCCAACATCGCGAGAGCCCAGCTGTGAGCCCATGAAGCTCTGGAGTTACCCGAGAGAAATTGTTTTGATGCATCAGCGATATCGCCGAGCGGTCTGTACTTGAAAATCAGGCCAATAGCCTCCCGTTCATGATGCTGCAGTGCGGCGACTAAGAGTCTTTGTGTCATTGGATATTCGGACGTACGATTGCTAATAAGAAACTCGATGGTGTCGCATCCTGAATCCTGAAAGACTTCCTGAATCGGGTCTCTTCGTCGTAGAACGATGCCGTTCCTCCTCAAGACTTTGTCCAACATTGATGAGCCACACAAGCGCGCATAGGCGCCCGCCGCTCTCAGTCTTGAGACGCTGGTTTCACAGCTGATGAGTCTCATGCACGATGTCTTGTCTTTATTCTGGATGTGACCGAGGATGGCGATGTGGTTCAGCTGCTCCACGCGCGTGGCAAGGTCCGTTATGCTTACCAGTCTCAACCCCGCCACTCCAGTCAAGTCGTAGAGAAACAAGAACTTGGAGACATCCTGCACCAGTTTGTGCGTCAGCATCTCATAGTCAGGCGTCAGGATGCCGGGGCCGCTGGCGTCTGTCGAGTTGCCGCACAGCGCATAGTTAATGTCCCTCGGTTCTGTGGTCCTGCTGAGGCCAAAGTGTTGCAAAAGGGTGAAGAGATCTCGTCGGTCAGCCCACCAAGAATGCTTTCTGAAGATACCGGGCATCATGTCCATGACGGCTCGACTGTGCGAACAGGGTACGACGGACAGCCAGCCTGGAAGCAAACCAAAGCACCGCGTCGACACCGACTTTGTCCCACAGCAGACTCGGGCAGCGTGCGCACTTGCGACCTCTCGGAGAACCACACCCTTGTGAACCATGCGTGATTGAGCAAAGTCTTCAGGCCCTGACGCTGGCGCTCGGCCAAGTGGGAATGAAACCCCAGAGCTACCTGACCATCCATGTGTCTCCAGATGTCAGCCCAACGAGAATCTTCTGGGGGCCATTCACTGCTTGCATGCTTGACTAGTTCTTCTTCAAACCACTGCAAAGGGTCCAGCAACACATCTGTGTCGTTAATTGCTGGGCCTAGCCAGATTAGGACTTGGTCGGCTTTGTGTTAGACGTCACTCATCTGTTGGACCTGATGTCCTCGCTCTCTCAGGTTTCGTTGGTCGATGCAGACAGCATCAATCCACAGAAATCTGTCTCGTTCCTGTTGACGGAGGTGGACGAGCGCTTCATGCAGATGTTCCGTGACCGGCAGCCTCTTCCCGTCGATATGGATATCCTTAGTGAGCTCCGGAGCGCCACATGTGTAGGACAGAGCTTCGTAAGGGACTCCGCAACCGCGATCGTCCAAGTAGGCCTGTAAGATTTCGCAGCATATCGGGCTGTGCTTCCTCTTTTACAGACGCAGGAGCCGTATGGCAGGTCTGTCGAGGTCCAGCCTGTCGTGCTGGTACAGATCCATGTCAGGATTCAAGTTCAGCTTTCAGGGGAGTTTGAATATGGTGGCAGAAGTCGGCATGCTGCTTTTGGTACGAGTTGTGGAAAGTATAAGTAGTCTAAACATGCGTATTTGTAGCAGAGGGAGTCAGTTATGTATCCTTCTATCTAGTTCCACTTCGCTTTCTGGAGGAGCAAAGACAAGGCTACCATAAGGCAGACAGATGAGACAGGAGACCAAATCGACTTCCTTTAATTTCTTTCTTGCCACAAGAAGCGTACATTAAAGCCTTCTGTTAAAAAACAACGTAGCTAGAGTACCGACTGAGCCTCACATCCACAAGGTTGAGACAAGAACAAAGATGGTATAGGTCAACGCTGGCCTTGATGAATTGGCAAATACCATACAATAAGAGACACACAATACATAATCTCGGAGTGCAGAGTTCGCTTTAGAATAGCTTGAAATAATATACTTTTTGTTACTCTGCCCAAGCTTATTTAGATTTTGATTCTCCCTCCACGTGGTTCAGTCTTTAATTGTCTAGGTATTCTTACCAACGAAAGTTTTGATGTGTGACTCAAGATCCAAAAAAGAATGAACAAGGCCGAAAAGAGTATGATCAGGGACATGAGATGAAAGATTGTGGAAAGTCACCTATCATATAGTGGCTGTAATCCATACATCCATCGTCGACTCTACCAACTCTGCCACCCCTTAAATTCGCAGTGTGCGTAACCCCAGGTTGATAGCAACAGTCATACAACAAGACGTACAATGCTATGCTGCTTGAAATGACATTCGACTTGCTGTATAGCTTCGTTATCTGGCATTTTAGACTTAAACTTCACTGACCCCGTGGCTGCTTCTGCATATGATTGCTCTGCTAACACTAAAAAGAAATAGCCCGAAACTATGACATTGAATGACTTGACCTGATGAACTTCAAATTTCAATCAACTGGTCACGCAAGCTCTGCAGTACCGCGTCCCGTAAGTGAGTCTATACCATGACATCATATTGTATCTTTTGGTTCAGCCCGACACGTGCTTTGATTTATCACTTGCCTGGAACTACTGCACAGTATTCAAATCGACTTCACAGCTTGGTGAATCAGTTTGTCTGTCGCAGCTTCCTTCTTAGCTCACTGCTTTTGGACAACCTATTCTGGAAACTCAAGGGCTTCAGCTTATACCACTGTGCGTCTCGTCTTGCCTCTGATACGGGTTTGCAGCTCCTTCCGCCCCCAACTCATCTTATGACGCTCGTCCAGCCTCATGGGTCTTCCCACATTGACTTCACAACTCAGTGACCCGGTTGATACCTCGAAGCATCGACAGCCTCGGAACTAAACATACAAGGAAACAGGATTGTCTTTTGGTTCGCTTCCCCTCCACTCTCGTTCTCTTTTACAAACCAAAAGCTGAGGCTAAAACTCCCCTCAACAGTACCAAACAACCTCATCTGCGTAAGTTGATCACATCCTCTCGCATCCCGTCCAGTACAAGACAGCGCGGGATTCACATCATTGATCTTTAAATGGCACCTGCTTTTTCCGCCGGCTGTATCTTGACCCTCTTTCCCATCGTTTTATTCTTCTAAACGGCCAAGATATTTTCAAATATCCTAAAAGGAACTTGGACTGACAAGTCTACAGCTTTTGGCAGTTGCCCTCATCATTGACCGCAAATTTATTTCACCTTCTCAGTAAGTTTACAAACAGCCCGCCGTCAGTAGCAAGTTCTTTCCCTCTCCAAGCTAGATGTTTGAGGAGCTTGTCGCTTCTTAGCTTCGCATGCTCGGCGTCTTCCCGGATCCAACACGTCAATCACCACTTCACGCAACTTCCCTCTTATCACATCAGCTTCTGAGTTTCATCCATCAGCCCTCCAGGTTGCTTTTTTTCTCTATTGATTAAAAGCTGTGGGTACCAATTTTGAACCCAGTGGCCTTTCTTCCATCACAACTATTGAGAGGGAGGATTCAAGACGGCAAGTTTTCTTCCTACGGCGACTTCTATCAATTCTTTGACCACTGCGCACCTTCTATCTTTCATCCTCAATTGGAATATTTCATTCTTAAACCGTCTGACTTCTTGGCTCATTTTAGCATACATCGCTCCGCAATTCTCCCTTACGATGGGTTCCCGATCTAGCGGCAAGCGCCCCAGCCCTAAGCCGACCATGACCACAAGCCTCAACCGTGTTCAAGGAAACGCTCGCGTTCAGAAGACCAGTGCTTCCGCAGCGACTAAGAAGAAATCGGCTTCCAAGGCCGCCCCGAAAGCCGAGACTCAGACCAAAAATGGCGAGGAAGCCAAGAAGCCTACCACCTTTCACCCATTCGGAACTAAGCTCCCCCGCGAGCTCATGGCATTGATCGTTGAAGAGGCGGCTGACTATGGTCCTGCCATCGCGTACGGTCATTGCAAAGCGCACAAAGGCGATCCCAAAAACCTCGTGCTAAGAACCGGCCGGGAAGGCGGAAAGTCCAAGTTCAAGGAGCTGGTCAGCCTGGCTAAGGCGCTTCCCAACTTTCAGACCATTATCGAACGTCGATTTGGACGTCCCTTGGATGAGAATCTCTCGAATGATCCGAGGCTTGGTATTCGCAAAGAGAAGGACCTGATGGTCTTCATGTTTGACAAGGCTTCCCATTCGTTTATCGATTGGTTGTCTAGGTCGCAGCGCAAGACCAACCGTGCTACGCTTGCTCGGGGTATCCGCAATGTGGGTGTTCGATACAATCACGCCTGCTGCAAAACCTTCACCTGCTTCGTCTGTGGATCTTGCCTTAAGAGCAGATTTGGGATGTTCAATTGTGCATGGGACCTCGGCTTATTCTGCCAGAGCCTATCCCACGTCGACAACATCTTCATTCTTGTCCCCTTGGGCAGTTCAGATGTCGTTGGCACCAGCCTCAACAAGCATGAGAAGCTGATGAAGACCCTGATAGGTATGTTTGCATGCTCTTGCAGTTTACAGCTTGCTTTTACGTTCAGTTTCCTGACAGTGTTAATTCAGCCGACGCTAAGAGAATTTGCAACCACATTTTCTTTAGGGATGCTGAGCGAACATGGGTTGAAGTGAGTTGTCAGACTCCCCGTATCAACAGGGGTCTGATTAAACCCAGTCTTCTTAAATCTGTCTTCGACCTCTGCTCAGCTGCCCAGTCCATCAACAAACACTATATCCCACATATTGTTGGTGCTGATGCCCGCCGACGTGTTCGCTTCCGTGTTCTTGTGAGCTCCCGCTGGAAGGATGCCACGCTGAACATCTGACCGGACGAGACACCGCATTGCGTCTTGGCTTCATTCACAGGGCTTGGTTTCGGGCACATGGGAGGCTTGGCGTATCGGATATAGACATAGAACATGGCTCGGTGGCTTTGGAATAAGGAGTTATTCCTGAGGAGAGATGAATGATGGCACATAGGAAAGGAAGTCCGAAGGGTTTGGAATGAAGGCAGAGGAGTGCATCCTGCATAGCCACAAGCCCAGATAGATGTGTACGTCTTTATAACGAAATTCGAGCATCTACATAGCCTCACATGAACCAAAAAACCCTGTTAATTGGGAGTATGTCTCGACCTAAGTGATGCCACAGCAAGATCGCTCGGGATTCATTGCTTGACATTACCTATATATCAGGTGTCACCGTTGTTGCTGAGCGCTAGCTAAACTCCATATTATCCTCGGCTCTTGAATGATCTGAGGAGTCGTGCTAATCTGACCACTGAAACGATTCCAATGTACCAACTGCAAAATAAGAAAAGGTCGGTGAATTGAGGCGGTTGGACCATTTCCACTCAGCGATGATGTGGATCAACTTTGTTCGGATGTGACCCGCTCGCTCGGCTCGGCTTCCGATCTGCGTCTCAAAAATGCGCCTTATCATGAGCGGATTTCCGTGCAAAAGTTAATTTGACGCCAATTTCGCGGCTTGTGTTATCATCGGGCGGCATCGGAGTTAGCAAGTGATACAGGACTAATTAATTTGCACGGCCGTGTCGTCCAACACCAAGCCATTAGCTGCAAGCTAGAACCTTTCTTGCGTCACACACGTCACTTATCCAACACATGCGTTTGTAAGTCTTCTAAGGAGCACATATACTCATAGACAGCCCGGACTCACTCTCTTTTGTAGAGCATCGGAAACCCGCTTGCTTGCGATGGGTACCGGTCCTTATCACAGTGACCATGACGACAGCGACTGAGCACCCAAATGGAGGGCCTTATTGGCTCTCGACTTGTATCGATGTCTTGCAAGCAATTAAGCTGGTGCGCCAACACCTTGATGCATCGACAATTGATAGCGTTCGGCTGACCGAACCTAGGCTGCGGTAGAATCAGCCCCGAAGCTGCTCACCTCATGGCTCTATGTCCCTTTCGGTATCATGGTAATGCTCGCCGCATGCTTCGGCGTGAGTGTCCTGTTTGACACCGTCGGGGTCTCATTTCCAGCATCGGTTGCCTGTCTGATTCTGCTCTTCTTCGGACTCCTGCTTTCCGAGTTGGTACTAGGAAACCACAAGACTAGGGCAATCGTCGCCGTTATTGATGTGCCGGTGAGAGAGCTTTCGACTCATGACCTTCGAGTTTCAGCGTTAACATTGGCAGGCTGGCTGGGCTCTCCGTTGGATTAACATCCTATTCACGCCATCTTTCATCATGCTTTCCTTGAGTCCGTCCATCGGAATCATTGAGGTCATGAAAATTATTGCTGTTTTCAGTGAGTTCTTGCCCTACCAAAGATTCATCCAGAAACTCACAGCCCGTAGTTATCGGCTTCATTGCCATGATGGCCCTAGTAGCCTACCTCACCCGTGGTCTCCAACTCCTCCTCGGCTCATCAAAGCGCGCCATCACCGAACGCGCAGAAGAAATGGGCAACGAAACCGACGAGATTCCCCTTTCAGACACCCCTCCACGCGGCGACTCCGTCCCGGGATCGCGAACCATATCTGCTGCTCCGTCGTCATTGTCCCTCAATGCCCTCGCGCCGCCGCCGCAGTCGCTCAACGCATCACACAACTTCCTACCCGCAGCAAGCTCATCCACCAGGCCGGCGGAAACAGAGAACGAAGGAGACAATACTCCACAGAACCCTTCACTTCCGCTGCAAGCCCCTGTACCAATGACCCGAGCTCAACTCTGGGCGGCATGGATTTGCGGTCATTTGAATTGGGTCATCTACGCATCCCTCTTCACCTTTGTTGGCTTGCCTCTATACTATGCCATCGGCTACGCCATGCCCCTTCATCTGAGTCTTGTCTTGCTCATCTATTTCGCCGCCATGTCGATCCCCGCGCACTGGCGACAGTACCTCCACCCAGTGCTCGTTTGTTCCCTGTTCTCGGTCCTTGGGATCTGGGCCCTCGCCGCCATCAGAGGCGACAGCCTTCCTGATACCCTCCGATCTTTCCGGACGGGCTCCAACTACACTTACCTCTGGCTCCACACAAACTCTGGTCGTCTGCCTGGCGCCGGCGATATCTTCAGTACCGTTCTCGACGCGGGCATCGTGTCCCTTGCGTTGCCGATGTACCAGTACCGCCGCGAGCTGAAGCAGAACTTTGTGGCAATCGTGCTGCCCAACATTGTCATGTCCATCGGGTGCCTCTTCTCGTACCCCAAGATCTGCTTTGCCATTGGCATCAGCGCGGAGCGGTCCCTGGCGTTTGCATCCCGCAGTCTGACGCTCGCCTTGGCGATCCCCGCAACGGAGAACCTAGGAGGCGACCTCAACACAGTCGCCGCCTTGGCAATCATGAGCGGCATAGCTGGGGTGCTTTGTGGCCAGCGTATGATGGCTTGGTTGAGGATACCTGAAGGTAAGAACTTTCGACGGGATAGGTTATAAACGAAGCTTACCCGTATCAGATGACTACATCACCCGAGGTGTAACGCTGGGCGCGAACTCGTCAGCCATCGCGACAGCTTTGCTTCTCCGAACCGATCCGCGCGCGGCAGCCTTGTCGAGTCTGTCGATGAGCTTATTCGGCACCATAACCGTTTTGTTCACATCCATACCGCCTATTGCAGATGTGGTCAAATCGTTGGTAACTTGATAACCAGAGACTGCGAAGCCACGATTCTTCTTCTCATGCCACTGTTACCGCTTTTCGCCCGACTTTGAAAGTTCAACCCGTGGATTCACCAATCCCAAGTTCGAGACTCAGCGTGTAGTCATTCTCGTTGGGGGTCATGTGAGGCCCGGTTTAAATTTCCAAATCAGACGGAAGCTTACTTCCAGCGAATAATTGGTACATTAAACCATGACAGCGCCAATAACACACCTGACGACGCGTCTGATATTCATCCAGTGCATCACTCTCGCTGAGTCACACAAGCTCGTACGCCTGTTAAATTGATCACATGGTTGCGTTGCCTCATTACACCTTGACTGGAAATCATCACCGTGCCTCTGTCGCAAAATCCTACGACCCCTTTCTTCACAACGCTGGACGAGAAAAGGGGCAAATCCAATAACTTACAGTTGCCTTCGACATCAGTTGTAAATCCGGCACCAGCGCCAAACCTCGTTCCACCGCGGCAACTAGTTCAAGGGCCCATATCTCCGCCATAATACAGGAGGCTTCGTCATTGGCTTTGAATTAGAATTATGGCTGCAACCTTCACTGCAGTCTGATTCCACGACTACTGAACAGGCTATTTCTAATGATCTTGGAGTTTGACTATTCGACTGTGACTTCATGCGTCGAGCGAAAACAACGCTGCTGCGCACCTTCACAGCCATCTTAATAGTCCTGCTTAGGCGCAGATGGTTCGACCGCCACCACCACTGAGGTCTATAACACTGGAGCCTCTATTGAATTCTTGAACGGACGGGGGGATAACAATCAAGATTTATCGAAAAACAGCCACGTCAGTTCGACCATCGTGGAAGCTGTCGAACGTCGCCTTGTCAAAGTGGGACGGCGAGGGCATCTGTTGTTATGTCGGAATGATAAACATATACCGTTCCAATTCAAGTTTGATAGTAGGAAATGAGCGATAATATGCGAAGGTTAAAGTATGTTGGCTAGGTGGTTGCTTAATTTGTGTCTTTCGAATGCTGTTGACAGATTATATTGCAAACTAAGATTACTCTTGTGAGCATGTAGCATTGTCCAGTTGAAACCAAACGGCTTTCCATTAGGTTACGATTCTGCTCCAAGTTCGTCTTGGGGTTTTGTTGAAAGAGATGACATGTATACGCCCATACAGATTGCTTTCATACAAACAACACGACCGTGGCTCATTGCTTTGGTTTTTATACTCAGTCAAGTGCGCCAAGACTTAAGTTGCTTGCCAGATACTTCGAGAGTCTATCCGTTGAATATGGCACTTGCGGGCTAGACCTGTCCTTGGCCCAATATTACCCTCGTTTGTCAGGTTTTAATAACAAAGGCGATTCGGGCTTTTTCTCAGAAGACTTCAACACAAGTCTCGTCATGTCATCTGCAGCTCATTGTTCCCCAGATCCAACCTCGCGAGACCCTCGGACCTCTCAGCGGATGCGGCAAGCCACAGCCGATGTAACCCTCCCATGCCGACCCCCAGCCCCCGGAACATTTTCATCGCATCCTGCAAGTAAGCTTGAATGTAGCACGGCACAGGCTTTCTCCAAGCGACAGGGACTATGCTGACATTTCCGAGTTTCGCCCAGCCCCCAACTGTAGAAAGAGTACGATGGGTTAAGCCTACATGTGCTCTGAAAACGCCGTGTAGTATCGTGGCTATATATTAGTCTTCGGTATGTAAAGCTATAACAGCTCGAATCAGGAAGTAGAGATCCGCTACTTTCGTACCCCTCGGCACCCTGCCGGGCTTGGCAAACAAGATGGCCACGCACCCAGCTTTCAGGCTGTATCCTGTCCTCTCCTGCATCTCTGTCTTTATCCTCGTCGCAACCGACAAGCTCGTCCCCTTCATGAAGACCTTCAACACTCCGACCACAGACGTCGCCCGTCTCATTCCTCTCTCGTTCACCATACTGCCATGTTCGGTAGCCAAAGATGCGACGTTCAACTTTCTCACCTCACTTCTCGCCGACATCGGATCCCGTGATGGCGACAATGCCCATCAAGCCTCTTATGAACAGTCTTCACTGATCGTCCGTCAATCTCGAATACGCTAGACACGAGGGCTACAAAAAAGCCACATTCGGATTGGACATCTGGAAAGGGTAGCCTTGTTCCCTACACAACGGCTTACAACCTACCAGCATCCGCTACGCGGCCCCTCCCATCGGGCCCCTCCGCTGGCAGTCCCCTCGCCTTCCGTCACCAGCCGCAACCGAGACCGTGACACCGGCAACCGTCTTGGGCCCGATGTGCCAACTATCCGGCCGTCTCGGGTCTCCCCTTCATCCCAGGCGACGAAGACTGCCCCTCTCTAAACGTCTAAGCGCCGGCTGACGCGACGGACCTGCCAGTGATGATGTACATCCACGGCGGCGGGTACGGGTACGGTGACGGGCGGCAGGACATGTCGGAGATCATCAATGCCAACGGGAATGGCTTCATTGCTGTGGTGATCCAGTACCGGGTAAGGGATCAGGGTCTCAGTCAGTGTTAATCCTGAGACGTTTTACGAACTAACACGCGCAACGGCTGGGCGCGTTCGGGTTCCTGTCCTCTGCGGAGGTCAAGGCCCGGGGCATGGTGAACGCGGGCTTGCTAGACCAGGCCTTCGCCCTTGGCTGGGTGCAGAGTTCCATCGGCTAGTTCGGCGGGGATCGTAAGCGGGTGACTATCTCGGGAGACTCGGCGGGAGCAGGGTATGTCATGTATCACGTGCTGGCCGTGGATGGTGGTCTGGGGACGACCATGTTCGCCAACGTAAGCCACCATTAACCCTGAAGCTGGAAATGATAGTTGGCCGAGATGTTCAGGGCATTGCTGCGTCGCCGTACCTCCCGTTTCATTATAGCCACGACACGGCGTTCCCCACGGAGCGGTATAATACGTTCGCAGAGAAAGCCGGGTGTTTGTCGTCCAGCGACGTTCTCGAGTGTCTGCGGGCGAAGGATAGCATGAGGCTGCAGCAGGCGAGCGCCAATACCACGTTCGAACAGACATACGGGTATTGGTATGTCTCCATTCCCTCTGTCGTTTCTTCGATTCTCGCTTCTCGGCCTACTTTCTGTGTAATCTGGCCTCTTGCTGGTTCACTAATCAGGGGTCTCCAGGGCTTTCTACCCGGTAACAGACGGCGTATACATCAAGAACCAGCCAAGCGAACAACTTAGCCAGAAAAGAGTCAACGGGGAGCGCATCCTCGTCGGTGTAAATATCCCCTCAATCCGTAAAGCCAGTCTCCGGAGTCCATTAACATGTGACAAAACCCATCTCAGCACAACGCCAACGAAGGACCCTTATTCACCCCTCCCAACATCGTGACGGTATCCGATCTGACAACCCAGCTCGCCTGGAATTCCCCAAACTCTCCCTCTCCCAGACCGACGAGATCCTCGCCGCAAACCCAAAAAAGACCGGCCCAAACGACACCCGCTTCGAGACGAACGGAAAAACAGGCCCAACAGCCATGGACGTAAGCCAGTCCGGCACAGGCCAGCAACAACGAGAAAACGTGAGCCCTGCCAATCCCTCAACCGCAGCTTGACGTGCATGCTAACACCCGCCAGAATATCTACGCCGAAGCAACCTTCGTCTGCTCAAGCTACTGGCTCTCAGCCGCCTTCGCCCCGAACCGCGCCTCCTACCACTACCAATACTCCGTCCCCTTCGCCTCCCACACCACGGACATCCCTGCCTACTTTGACCCGGCAATCCCCAACCAGGGCCGAAACATGGTCCTCGCGATCCGCAGGGCCTGGGGCAACTTTGTCGTCACGGGAAACCCCTCCATCGCCAACGAGATCACCAACGGCGCGTCAAACGCGGACCCGACGGCCCCGAACGGCGCGAGTGGCTGGCCGGCGTGGGACGAGAGCAAGCCGAAACAGGCGAATCTGAACCAGACGGGCGGGACGGCGTACGAGTTTGTCACGCAGTGGGGCGTGAGTGTGACGCAGTTTGAGGGGCCCGGGGCAGGGAACGAGATTGAGGTGGTGGACGCGGATGCGTGGGAGGGCGGGCGAGGGGGGCGGTGTCGGGTTTGGTGGCGGCTGGCGGCGAGTATCCTGGCTTAGGGGCATGAATGGAGATCATCATGGCTGTCTGTGGATGCAGAGCCTCCTTGGTGGTTGTGTGCTAGCCTCTGCGTAACTGTAGCTAGAGGACGTCGCGCCGCCACGTATGTCAATGTTTGGAAAGGGTGGTTCGGCTATGTCATAAGCACTGGACGATCCGTTCACGGGAGCGATGGATGGTGGAAGAAACTATGCAGTATGTCGCGCGTTATGAGAGACAACGAAAGGGGATGAGAGGTCGGAAAGACAAACAATGCCCACTCGCAAGCCGTGGCGTTTCTACATACAGACCATCTCTTCACTACCACAGTGAGCTCTCGCAAGACCTCTGCTTGAGTCACCGGAAGCTTTCTTCTGTCTCGTCATCATATGAGATATTTGATTAGCACCTCCTGGGTTTCATACACCTTGTACGCACCGACGTCGATCTAGAGATGCGGCCATTGTAGCAACGCCAAACCCCCTCTCGACTTGGTTCAGGAGCCATACTCCCAGAATGGGTGCACCCCGAACAGCACACCGCAGTTATGTTTGAACAACTTGAGCAGGTCGACATCGATTCCTCGAGAAAATCACAAACATCAGAAGGGTCGTGGGTAAGAAATAGAAACTTGCATTCCAGTAGCCATACCTAGGGCCTTTCATAACCAGCCGAGCCATGTCCCATCCCATCGCAAACGAACCGTGCAAATCATACAAGCCTAAACTAGCCCCCATTTTCCCAACGTCATGAACCATATATAACCAGCTGCGGGGCCGTCGCCTCCACTAACTTAACGACGGCCAAAGAAAAAGAGGCTATTTCCGCTCCTCAAAGTAGAACTTGCCGAGCTTCTCGCCCCCTGGGGACTTCCCAAGGCAGCGTTGCCTACGCGCGCCTCGCCGCCGTCCAATCTCTCCCGCAAAAGACGCTCGGCCGTATCTCTGGCTGTCGGTGTCGTGTTGCTGTTGCCTTGTTGGGGGAACTGAGAGGCAGGGACGGGGGCCTTGTTGGTGGTGTCGACGTACATCTCGTCGCTGGGCACGCCAACGCCATCGGTAGTTGTGCCATCCATCATGCGCGCGTCGCGTCGTTCCTGCATAGCGGCCGCGCTCGTCGGGGTGTCGCCTCCCATGATCACGTCGCGATTCCGCTGCGTCGGGATGCCTTCGCTGCTTAGGCCGGAAGCGCTCCGCTCGAGACCCCAAACGCCGGCCTGGCCGCCAACACCAGGTATGGGACGGCGCTGGTAGATGGGGCCGGACACGGTACTGTTGGCGCCTTCGCCAAAGCCCACGAGGCTGGCGGATCCATCGTCACTCATGCGGTCGTCGTAGCCCCCGGTGGACCGCGCGGTATCTTCGTCCATCTGTTCGGCATCGGCCCCCATGCTGGCGACGGAGTCGGCCTCGCGGTAGTTGGTATCCATGCTGAACATGTCCTCATCTTGCTCGCCGGGGGCGGTGCGGGTCTCGTTGTCATCGCCAACATAGCTTTCGGTTGCGCTAGCGGTACCGACGGTGCTCATTTTGGTGACGGCTGTGGGCTGGCCATGGACGTCGAAATATGCGGGTGTGAGATGCGTGTTGGGCGGGTAGTTGGGAGGGAAGCCGGTCGAGGTGGGGGTGGTCTGGGGAGAGAGAGAGGAGCCGGCATTCTGTTGGTTCAGCGGGGCGCGCAGGGTCGAGACTCGCTCTAGGCCGGCGAGGCGGGAGATGCGGTCGGCGCGCTCAGCCTCAAGGCTCGTAGTGGAAGCGTGGTGGGCGTGGCCGCGGCCGCCGGCGGGGCCCTGGGGGAAGTGGCCTCGGTGGCCATCCTTGATAGCTGTGGTGGAGAGGGCAGACATGGACGTCGTGGTGCTCGTGGGCGTGCCGCTGTGATGAGGAGTGTTAGTTGCAAGGCTCGAGTGAGGCTACTGGGGGAACAAGGGGGGACATACGGCATCTCGGACGGGGTGTCTGGCCTCGAGGAAGGGGGAGGGAGGTTGATGAGGGTGGGATGCGATGCTTGCGCCATGGTTGACAGTGTTGTATGGGTTAGTCGAAGAAGACAGGAGGTTGATGAAACAGAAGGTGAGCTGCGTCGTAGGTGAAGGTGAGGTGATGTTCGGGTAGAGATGAGGTCGCAAGTCGTTCCCTGGGAGTGGGTTGGTGTAGGAATGCGGCAGACAAGGGCGGCTCGCTGCTCGTCGCAAACGGTAGTTCAACGGCGGGGTTGTTAGAATTTCGTCGTCAGATGTTTAGGTACCATAAGCTAGGGATGGATGCATCGACGTGGGGGTTTATATTGGGCGCCGTGGTAAAAGAAGGAATTGCAATAGGAGCAGCAGGCTTGTCGTCTGGTCGTGATGCAAAGGCACAGGTTTGGTGACCGAGTGCAAGAGGAACGAGTAGATGTAGAGGAGGCCAAGCAGCTGATTGTTGGCGCAATGTAGGGAGAAGAAAGTGTTCAGGGACGGTCCCCTGAAGTCATGAAAGTGAAGCGTACCGAACGCATGCACGCACGCACGTCCTTAGCAGCGAGCAATATCGAGGTACATCGAGGTAGGGCGAGCTAGGCGTGGGCGGGTGGGTACCTCCCCCCAAGACGTGACGAGACAAGCAACAAGCACCCAAGGGAAGTCTGGTGGGGGAGGGGAAGGGAAGGGAAGGGGAGGGACGACGGGGAATGGGGACAGTGACGGGAACCGTGACGGAGGTTCGGGTGGGCATAGCAGGCAAGAGCAGAGTAGAGCTGCGCAAGAGCAGGCAGGTAGGTACCTACCTCTGCTGCTGCTGCTGCCGCCGCCGGGCTTCCCCTATGACGTAGACCCCGGTATCCCTGCATACTCCGCTTATGTTCATTGGGGGTGATGCAAATAACGGAACATGATTGGCTAACAAGCTATACGCACACTCTACACCTACGTACCTGTCCTGCGTAGCGTGATTCTGGCCTTGGGCACTCAGGCAGCCGTGGCCCAGTGAATCTGGGGCTTTGAACGAAGCTGTAATTGGACCCTGACTGATGGTTCTCATTCCTACCTCCCATGCATCCCCTTCATTTTGTTGGTCCTCTTCTCCGTATGACTCCCTCCGACAACATAGTCAGCCATATCCGCAATGACGATCCCTCACAGTCAGGGCAAAGTGCCACGGTTGAAGAAGAAATCGACCCGATCCGCTTGACAAGCATTTCCCCGTGAGGGGTCCCGCTCTCAAGCCACCGTGCTACCGCCCCCCAGACAATCCTGTGAATCAACAAGCGAGCAGCACCACCATCATCATCATCATACCCAGCATCAGTCTCTCTGACCCTCTGCGTCGTCATAGCAAGCCCCTTTCAGAACACGCCCGGCGCGAAGTCGACGACCCGTGCTTTGAGGATAGCCGGGCCCGCGTCTTCCACAAACGCCAGATGCGCCGGGTCCTTGTGGAGATAGTAGTCCCTGTCCTCGGCGCTCTCGAACTCGACGACGAAGACATGCGTGATGCCGTCTTGGATGCCCTCGGGGCTGTTGTCTAGCCCGCCGGCGATGGACTTGACGTACGCCTTGTTGGACGTCGGATGGATGCAATTGTCCCTAAGCGCCAGCATCGAGTCGCATATCTAATGAGTGTCAGTCTTCTTCTGACCCCTTATTGTACGTCTTGGCGCGCCACACATCATCCTCTATGCCGTTTGTATGCCAGGGCTGGACTTACCGACTTCACCTCCTCCGCCGGGACGAGCTCTTTGAATTGGAACTGCACAACGTGGATGATGGTCATGATTCAGGTTTCGTTCGGACGAGTGGATTCTGCGGGGTACTGAAGTCGAATTAAGGTGGTCGAGCGACGGCTGAAGATCAGTTGTTTTGAGTTCGATTTGCTACTCCGCGAGACAAGAGTCAGCGGTTGATGGCGGGGCCGTCACGGCTCATCGCCATCTCACCCGTCTCCAATGAACGTCATGATGCCTTTGCGTGCGGGGCATAGCCAATCACGCTGTTGCACCACCTCTTTTTCAATTGACAAACATCACGTCTACTGGCATATATGGGGAACGCACGGTTCCGCCACCGGATATCGGTGCCCATTCTCCAAATGCATACTCATGATGCCCCTCATCAGCTATCAAGCCCAATCTCTCAAGGTAGCTTGTGCTGGCGTCTCGTCCCCCCAATCCGGGAGCACCCAATCGAATAACGTCTTCAGCTCTCCCATCCACACATTGTCCATCTCCTGTGGGTTATCGAGTGTAGGGTACTTGAGATGGCTGGAGGCTGGGGTTGTTCCAGAGGTGATGTTTATGCTGCCGTTAACATAGTTTTCATCTCTCATGGCACGACTCCAGTCTCCTTCCTGCAATGGATTGGGACAATGTCGTTCGCTGGTCCCTGTTGAACAGCCGCCCGACTTTGCACGATCATGGTCTGACATCCTACTTCCCGCTTCTGAAGCTCTATGCATGTCCCTTCCAACACAACGTTTAGCGAACGCATTGTAGTACAAGTAGTAGGTCTGTGAAATGGCCATCGTGATGGACCGCGTCCGTAGCTTTGGCTGCTCGCCTTGGCCCGGCCTGAAGGCAAGCGGAATCAACTGCCCCCAATCTTCGAGAAGGCGGCAGACGGGGGTGATTGCTTCGAGTGCAGATTCACCCGACTGCAACGACGCACTGACTGAGAAGAGAGCCGAGTACGCCATCGAAGAGATCCTGCCAAGCCGAATGGCGGACAGGAACCAGTTGTAGTCACCGAACACGGACTCTGGCGCTAGGGGAACCACGCAGCCGATGTCTTCGTCTGCTAGCTGCTGAGTCGTGTTAGTCGAGACGCTGGACAAGCTTGAGATTGGAGACGCCAGAAGGTACGATATAACAACTCACCAAGCTTGTACACTCAGAAAAAGCTAGCCGTCCTCTCAAGGAAGTAGATAGCCCAAAACGCCTTCAGACGAGTTGCGTCGCAGTTGGTAGACTTGTGGTATCTCGGCGTTTGGGCTATCCTCGCAGCCTTAGAGATTAGTGTCTGGTCGAGCTGGAGACAGCACGCGTTCATCGCAAAGATGAACTGAAGGTATCTGGCGTCAGTGGCAAGATCCTTTGCGTTATCGTACTTTCAAGTACACACTATAGCCGTGGGACCCTTGAAGCGATCTAGTTGGCAAGCGCCAACCCCAGGAATCTCACTCAAAGGGCAAGGGCCTGCAATACTGGCGTACTTGAATATGTCGGCCATCGTTGCCTGCGCTGGTTTGAGAATCCTTTCAGATGTTAAGACCCTCCTCAGATCCTGGGCAAACCGGGCAGAGATACATCTGTTTCGTTTGGTTATTGTTTTAGTCTATCAGTCTATTATTATTATCATCAAGTTTCTCTAAACGTACATCTCGCTCTATCCTTTTCCTCGCCATCTCATCATCCACCACCACAGTGGTCTTCATCATACATTTTCCATGTGAGGTTCTATAGCAGGCCGACAATCCAAGCCCGATGCTCCATACGAATTAAGTAGAAAACCTTTTCTATCCCAAGAAAACTCTACAACACCTTGCAGTGCCCACGCTGCCCGGCAGCGGGGACCGATCACAAGAAGAGAACCACACCGATGGCCACCGCGCCGAGAACACTCATCAACGGTATCACGTTGACAGCCTTGAGAGCGGGCTCGCCCGCCACGACCACGACGCTAGGAGTCGTTGTCGCGGGACGGGTGGTGTTGGAGGGAAGGGGCACGTTCGAGGGAGGGTTGGAGGGGGGTAGTTGAGGGGCGGTGGCGGAACGGCTGCTAGAGATGATGAGACGGCTGGAGATGACTGGGAGCGAGATCGGGACGGAGGGCCTGGTGATCAGAGTCGAGTTACGGGGGGCCGTGAGCGTCGGCGTGATGGGGCGGATGATGGTCGAGACCCCCGTGGAGACGGTAATACGGCATGCGGTGCCGCTGCAGATGGTGGAGGGCCAGATGGTGGAGGGCCGGATGGTGGTCGTGCGGTTGGTGAAGATGGGGCCAGTGTTGGTACGGGTGACGGCCGAGCAGCTGCCGCTGAAGTTGCAGCGCGTCAGAGTCGTCACGGCCGGGGGCGCGGGGTATGTGAGCGTGGTGGCGGGGCCGCAGGCGCCCCTGTTGTTGCAGGTCGACAGGGTTGTCACCGAGCTGGGGATCGATACGGCGGGGGGCAAGGTGATGACCCTGCAGGTGCCGTTGAAGTTGCAGGTGGTCGTTGTCACTGAGGCAGGGGGGGCGATGACGGGACTAGTGGTGATGGGCAGGATCGTGGGGACGGGGACTACGGCGGTGACGCTGTTGGTGAAGAAGATGGTGGAGGTGAAGGGGGCTACCGAGTCAGGGATAAGGATGGTGGTAGTGATGAAACCGGAGTCGCCGTCATCGCCGCCGTCGCCGTCGTCGAAGCCGCCGTCGTCGTCACCGGGAGTCGTGCTCGGGGTTGCGGCGGCGCCACTGGAAGAGTCGCTGACCGAGGTGGATGTGAACGTGGTGTCGGTCGGATTAACAGCCGTAACGGAGATGTCGGACGTGGTCGTGGTGTCCACCTGGCCGTTGACGCCGGCCAAGATGACCGCGCCTGCAACGAGGCGGATGAAGGTGGGTGAAACCATGTTGATAGTTGGCAGCAACAGCGAGAGTGCTAGTCGGGTGCGAGCGTATGGACTCGACGAGGTTAGAACAAAGGGCAAAAGCGGATGTCAAAGCAAGACCTTAGAGGCGAGAAGTAACGTCGTTGGCTTCAGAGTGGTAGAGGCTCTGGTTATCAGGATGACGAGGAGAAAGAGCCGATACTGATCGGGCACAAGGCATCATGTTATAGCCGTTGCCCACGGGGTGACGTCTTCTCGTCTTCACCGGGCGGCTGCCGCGAACAGTCACGACCACTAGAAGAAACCAAAGAATTCCCGTGAGATCATCGTAAACAAGAATGTCCGTGGAAACTCAGATGCCGAGCGTGACTGGAAGCGGTGGACAGGTAGCGTGAGCTCCGCGTGCGCTCCGCCTGTCCGGAGCGTTTCTGTGGCACCATGGCGGACAGTTAGGAATAATAGGCAACGGATGTGGTAAGGACAGAGGTATTTTGGGACCAAAGTCGTCGTACAGGAGAAAGTTGAACACACGAGTACAAGTGGGAGAAATCGAATTGGGTTTGAACCGGCCAAGAGACGGTGTTCGTTGTTAGTCCGTCGGATCCGGATCAATCAGAGAGGGTCTTTCAAGGGTTCTTGAGGGTGAGACATCGCGCGACGGCACTTGCGGGGTGTTCTCCAGCACGAGGAATGCTGGTGGGTGCAGAATCTTGGTCGAGAGAGATGGATGAACTATCCAGCGTGGAAAGGATGTAAGAGGGAGAGTGACAAAAAAAGAGGCGTTATTTGAAACCCCAACCCGCCGAAGCGCATCCGTACGATTGGGACTTGTTGACTCGGCGCCGAAGGCAGACATTTCCATGCCCGAGTCCTGGGATCGTCACCGGCATGGCTTTGCCAAGAGGACGGCCTCTTTCCCGAGAACCCAGCATTCCGTCTGATTGCGGAGTGTTTCTCGCCTCCCTCGGCCAGAGATGGTCCGCATGGGAGACGGGCTTGCCCAGGCGCTCACTCATCAATAATGCTTCGCGTGCTGGTCGAGGAAACATCCAAGATGCAGCCAGTATGTCGCTGTTTCTTCGTATGGCCAAGCGTAGTCGTGCCTTGCTGGAAAGGTCCCCCAACGTCGCCACCCACGCTCCCAAGGCTTTCTTTGTTAGCGGTCAGTCACAGACAGTTGCGAAATGCATTCGCAAAAATGACTGTCCGGTTGGGTAGGCTGAGCAGAAACGAGATCCCGATTTCTTGGACATGGCCGCAAACGGAAATCATTGATAAAGGGTTTTCCAGCCTTACCCATACCGAGGAAACGCGTTTTCGGTCCTTTTGTGCCGCATCCATTTCTGTAGTGCCACACGTGTGAGTGAGACGGTACTCAAAATAGGGATGTGTCTGCAAGAAGTCACACAACGTGTCAAAGTTTTCGTTCATGAGAGACGCTTACCACAACCCGACTGAGAGCACAGTAGCTGGCGTGGCAAGCGACCGGTTGATGGTTGAACGAAGGAGTTGGTTAACACCTGGCTCTTATTGGAATCTTGCCGAAGTGAAAAGTGAAAACGGGATGCCAAAGTATCATGGGTTTGATCTGCGTTTGTTAGCCAAGAGTAGTCATCAGTCAACGGAGTACAGGCTAGGATGGATGATGGATATGAAATGATGAGTCTGTATTTATCTAGACTCTGGCCTGGTTTTGCCTCCATGCAAAACGCCCCGACAAATGAAAAAGTCTCCAAGCTGGTCTATTCATACATGGCGCGATAGTCCTCGGTCCTCCTCTGCCCCTCGTCGTCAAATAACGCCTTACAGCTTCATGCCGAGTGCCTTGTGCACACGCATGCTCTGCCTGATGCTCAGGTCAAGCATGATCTCCTCACTGCCACCGGGGATAGCGTACGCGCGCACATCGCGGTACAGTCTCTCGACCTTGCCACCCTGGCCACCGCGCGAGTACGACAGACCACCGAAGATCTGGGATGCTTCACGAGCGCAGAACTCAAAGGTGACGGTGCTCTGGGCCTTAAGACCGGCAATGGCACCACCGAGCTTGAGCATGGCCTCGGTCTCGCCCATCTTCTGGCACTGGAAGATGAGGTTCTCGAGCCACGCGTACGAGGCCTCGATCTGGCGGGCCATGTGGGCGAGCTTGAGACGGATGACGGGATGCTCGATGAGCTTCTTGCCAAAGGTGCGGCGCTTGTTTGCGTACTTGACCGACTCCTCGTAGCAGACGCGGGAGAAGCGAAGGCACTGGATGATGATACCGATACGCTCGTGGTTGAAGTTGGTCATGATGACTGTAGGACGTTAGCAGGTGAAGATGCATTTGCCATATCAAGTGGATATACCTCTGAAACCCTGGTTCTTCTTGCCGAGCAGGTTCTCGACGGGGACCTTGACATCCTCGAATGTGATGTAGGTGGTACCGCTGGACCAGACACCCTGGCAGTCCATGCGTCTTGTCGTGACACCGGGACCTCTCTCGATAAGCAGCAAGCTGACGCCGTTCATGCCAGGGCCACCTGTCCGGACCGCGGTGGTGAAGTAGTCACACCAGATACCGTTGGTAATCCACTTCTTCTCACCGTTGACGATGAAGTGCTTGCCGTCCTCGCTGAGCTTGGCCTCGCACGTCAGGTTAGCGACGTCAGAGCCGGCATCAGGCTCGGTGATGGCCAAGCAGATGCGCTTGTCACCATTGAGGATGTCGGGCAAGATGCGGTCGACGAGGGCCTTCTGGCCGAACTTGACCAGGGGCGGGCAGCCGATTCCGAAACCGCCAATGACGTTCCAGACGAAACCACCGGAGGCGGCACGAGACAGCTCATCGGTCAGAAGCATCTCGTGGAAAAGGTCCCAGTCCTTGGGTTCAACCGAGGCGACGGTGTTCTTGGTGTACTGGGTCGGGTAGTGAACACCGAGCAGACCGGCCAGGTAGCCGCGCTCACCCATCTGCTTGTAGATGGAGGGGTCAACCTCCTTCTTCTCGTCCCATTCGCCGACGAAAGGCTCGACGTTGTTCTCAACCCACTCGCGAATCTCGGCGCGCAGGGCAGCGTGCGTCTCGTTGAAGTAGGGGGTGTGGTACTATGTGACGAGTCAGAGGTTGTGGCCAGAACGGGAAAAACTGCTGGGAATTGACTTACGGCCTGGTACCAGTTGGGGTCGGCGTAGGGAACCAGATCGCCAAAGGGGTCCATGGGCTCGGACTCCTCGGTGCTGCTGGCTACAGCCTTCTTCGAAGCGGCCTTTTTGGGCACGGGAGCGGCAGCCGCGGGCGCCGCCTCGACGGGCTTGGGCTTGCTGTCGAGGGAGCCGACCTGGAGCTTGGCCTTGTACTTCTTCAGGATGCCCTCGTTGTGGTACTTCCAGAACTGCTTGGAGGCGTCCTTGCCAGCAACACGCTGGAGGATCTTCTTGCCACCTAGGATGAATTAGAAATGTGATCGGCGGGGAGGAAGCGGAGAGGCACGCACCAGGGTGGTCATCCTGGAACTTCGTGAGGTCGTAGACATCGCCGTCGACGATGATGTACAAGTCCTCGGGCTTGTTGTGCGACGCAACGTCGCTGGTCGAGAAGGTCTTGGACATTGTGGCTACGGGGTATCTGTCTGTCTGTATCTCGTACGATTCAGATCGATTCGATGGGATGGCAGACACTCGTCGGATGGGTACACGGGTCCTACTGGGAGAATAGAAGAGGAGCAAAGAAGGTTTAATGAAAAGGCGAGAGGAGGGGATAGGAATGTTTAAAAGACGTCAACGCCGGAAGAGGAGTGTGTGCGTGCGGTGCGTGTCTGGCGAAATGTTGTCAAGGAACGAGTCGCGACGGCCATGGTCGGCAAATGGACGGACCAGGTCAGACAATCACATGCTTGCGGTGACCCCAGCTTTTGGCTGAGGTGCGGAAGGGTAAAAGTACCTGTCCTTGTCTGGGGGTGAAGCTTGGGTGCTGGTGGCCAGGAAAGGTACCTCCTGCTTCTCACCTCAGACGCGAGACCCCCAGGATGCGTGGGCGGACACAGCCGCAGCCAGCTGGAACAGGGTCATTAACCCGCGTACCTTTGCACCAGACATCACATGGCAGAGTACATCCATCCCCAAGTCTATAGCAGGCACAGTACCTAGTTTACCCTGTGCAGCGGTACTCCAGGCTTGGGAGGCGGCCCTCTTTCCGTGGCTGGAGGTTCCCCAAGTTTCCCCCCACACTGACAGCGCGCAGAAAAGCATGCGGACGTGGAATTGGAGGGATGGGGGGGAGGCAATTGATCGTGTGGGGAATATCTGCAGTGAATCTGGCGGTCATTGCCAATTGACACGAATCGCATTGGCTCGGAGGTTGGCCAGTTTTGGGACACAGACACGGCGAGCCGCGAAAGCGGGAAAACTAGTCCTGCTAGGCCCCCATTGACGGTTTGGGTTCTGCACTAATTCGTGTCATGTGCCCCTCGTGCATCCTCGCCTTGTTCCATTGTCCTCCTGCTTCCCGTCTTGTGTGGTCTGAGAGGGAAGACACTCGAGTGTCTTGGTGCGACCGTCCGCGCGCATGTGATTCTCCAAATGCTGTTTCGGGCGTCGCATCCCCTTTCGGCTGATGTCATCGAAGGGGTCTCCTGCCGCTGCTGTTTCTGGTCCGCCAGAGTGGGTCTTTACCTCGGCATCTTTGGATCGGTGACCGGCCAATAGGGAATACACGGTTGGTCAGGTGGGTCTATTCCGTCCACTTCTCCACAGCCGTGCTGCTGCCTGTGGCCGCACCACGGCGGCGCTCTCCACTCAAGGTAAAGAGCACAGGATGCGACGCGATGCACTCCGCCTCGAGTCAGGCACATGACACCCCGACAACCCCATGGGAGCATCGCGCCGGAGATTACTGAGCCAGGGCCGTCAATCGATGATGTTCGGCATGTTACTCCCCAGATATTCCCCGTTTGGCACGTGGCTTCCTTTGGAGCAGACGGTTCACTTGAACCGGGGAGGCTGGATCTTGCTCGTTTGTCTGATCACCAGCCATCTTTCCCCTCATCGTTCATCGGTGGGCTGAACATCAAGTTCATCTAGGCCGTCGCCTATTGGAGGCATCGTCCTAATGTGTAGAGTCTAGTGGAGTGTTCGAGACCTAAATCCCCGAGGTGATCCCCGATCCATTGAGAAATACCAAGTTAAGCCATAGTACAAATTCCCACCCACAAGCATAGCAATGGGTCTGCCTTTTAGACCCCAAAACGCCGGATTCCACGCCCAAGCAACCCATATCAGGTATCGTCCCATCGTCCCGCCTACCCTTGTCTGATGCCGTGGGCGACAGACAGCCTCCAAGAAGTCCACGTACGGATAGCAATCTTCAACATCTCTCCGCCCCCCCGACCTTAGCACTAGGCCCCGCGAGGCTTAGCCTTAGCCGCCGCCTTCTCCTTCTTCTCGACCTTCTGCTTCTTCTTCTTTTCCTCGTTCTTGGCGTCGAGTTTGCGCTTGTGCGCCGCCTTCTCCTCCTCCGTCTTGGGAATCACCTTGAAGAAGCCATCCAGACGGACCTGCTGGCTGCTCTTAAGGTTCTTCTCCAGTCTGGCACCGGCCGCCCGCACGCGGTCTTCGGAGAAGCCCTTCTCCGTGACAAGATATTGCACCAAACCGTCCATGTCGGGCTTCTCCCACTTGAAGTCGCACAGCGGGTCGTCCGCCGGCCGCACGTCGGGGTTGAGGAAGAGCTCGCGGGCGTCCTGGTATGGCCAGTCGTCCGGAATTACGTATTTCTGCTTCGGGTCGTTCTTGAATGCCTCGACGAGTGTTTCCAAGTCACCGTGCTCGCGGATCAGCTTGAGTGCTGTCGAAGGGCCAACCTTGGGGACAGGGTCGAGGTAATCGCAGCCGAGGAGGATGCAGAGGTCGACGAACTGTTCGAGTTGTAAGTTACTTTGCGCATGCATCAGTGAATTGCAAGACGTACCTGCTTGCGTTCCATGCCAAGGCCTTCTAGGACCTTGTCGATGTGAACCTCTTGGATGGGCTCCTTGCGCTGCTCACTGAAGGTCAAGTGACGCAGCAGAATGGGCGTGTCGAACGTGAGGGTATCCATGTCCTCACTGGCTGCGGCATACACCTTGCCGGCTCGCGCCAGCACAGCGCATTGGGCCTCGGCTTCGGTGGGAGCAATGATGTAGGGGATGCCCATAAGCTTGAGCAGCTTCTGGCAGTCGGCGTTGTGCTCGCGGGTGACTCGAACCGTTCGGCGGGAGAACTTCTCGACATCTTCGGCGGTACCCGTCTCCTTGGCCTCCTCAAGACCCTCTGTGGCTTCTTGCTTTCTCTGGAATCGCTTGGCCAGCTCGCCAGACTTGAGCTTGGGCGGGGCACCGTCGAAGACGTAGAGGGGCTTGATGCCGTTGTCGACCATTCGGAGGGTTCGGTAGAAGAGACCCATGAGATGTGAAGTCGTCTCACCGCTCTCGTTCATGAGCTGCTGGCCATCGGATCGTACGGCGATGAGGAAAGAGTAGATACTCATGGATCTGGGTACTCGTTAGCGGGCAGGCAGCGGCGGTCTACATTGGGAACCCTACGCATCCTTTTCTCTGTCAGCACATGTATCGGCGCAGAGACACTTTTTCCAGACTTACAATTGCGACTTTGCGGCCAAAGTGCGCCTTGATCTCTCCCTCCTTGATGGCATCGGGGGCCTCCTCCTTGATGATTTGGAAGAGGTGCTTAATACCCATCTTGCGTTGCTGCCTACGGGCACTATGATCGGTTCAATGTGGAAAATGGTGACCCTGAAGTGCTAGAAGGAGGGCAAACGAATTGATTGCAGTTGCAACCTGCGATTGAAGCTGAGGAAGAGGGCGAAAGGCAGAAGTTGAGATTTGGTGGGAGGATTTCTGTCGGGGCAGTGACGACTGGGGGGGCAGAAGAGAGGAAGGGACAAGCACGAGGTTGACGCGCGCCGCACTTTCTTTCGTGAGGTCATGACGCGCCTTCGTACCCGAGTCGGCCCCACCACGCGTTTAATTGACTGACAGTGGCACCAGCTGGCAAAGGCCTGCCCCCTTTGGCATTGTGGCTGTTCCTCGAGAAGGAATTCCTTGCTGAATGTAGAGATACCCAGAAGCAGTTCTTTATATTTATCTGGTACCTCAAACGAGTTTTATGGTAGAAGAAGCCGTCACTCACTGCACTGAGTCAACTCAAGTCCTGTGCGACTACCCGGGATCTTAAGGCGTTAGTAATTTACCTGCGGCTGTGACTTTAGCGATCAGGACAGCATCGCGGCATGAATGCGGACCATGCCAAACTACAAGACAGACGGAACACTTTTCAAGCACCTTGCGCTCCTGTCGTGAAGTGCCTTAACGTCCAGTTTTTTCTTTTTTCTTTTCTTCCACGTCACCATTGTCGTCGACTGGTGCCTGCAAGTGGTACTGGAAGAACGCTGCTCGAACGCTGCAGTAACATGAAGGACCCGGAGTCATCCGGGCTCGAGTGAGATTAATTACTGAAGCACACCTTCCAGTGCGACGATAAACATTGTCGGAATGGCGGGAACTAGGAGGTGGCATCTGAAGCCATGATCGTTGGAACACTGGACCGCAATTTTCGCATTTGAATCAAACATCCAAAAGGGACGATCGGCGAAATGATATAAAACATCTTGACTCTGGAAAAAGTACCATGCATGTGACTTAGACTGCGGTGAGCACCAGAGGCGCCTTTGCGGTCGTAAAACAAAACTGGAAGCCACAACGAGCCAGTTAGCTCAGCTGACGCGATCTCCGAACAACACAATATGTCGGACAAGACGGGGTCCAGCCGCAGCTAGTCAAGGCCACCATAGGTCGCGCTGGCAATGCATGTCAGCCATTGGCAAAAAGCCAGGTCCGAATCCTGAGTTGGCCAATAAACACCAGCCCCTTCTAGGCCTGCAGCAGCCCGCTAGCGCGGCACCCAATCGTTCAGCCCCAAGGTCGACAACTCCTCACATTAGGTCGCCGCCTGGAGGTCAAGGTCTGCAGTCATCATCATGAAAGTCTATGTCGTCTCAAGCATTGTAGCCTGATCTTGATGTGTGAGCTATCTGTGTGGGCGAGCTGGATGGTGTAATAGGTCGCGATAACTGACGCGGTAACATCACCTGGGAATAGTTGCATTTTGACACAGGACTCCGTCGAGCACGACCGAAGAAAGAGACTCGAGAGCTTCACGTAGCTTCACCGCTTCGTCTTACCTTCACCATGATCATTCCCAGTCTGGAGATAGTATATCCTACAAACATCAATCTCGCACCGCCAGGATGGCGACCACAAGTGAAGTAAGCAGGCATTCAAAGTTCAATCTCTCCTCAATCTTGGTTAACACAGCATAGCATCATCTGTATCCACGATTTGGGTGGGTCTCCCAAGTCGACGTGGCACCACGATGAGTCTGGCAAGACCTGGATATCAGATCCCGATTTTCTCGGCAGGTTAATGGACTTGGTACAAGTGTGGACCTATGGATACAACTCCGAGCCTGCGGCGAACATGACGCCGGCCAGCATCGCTCTTCATGCCGACGAGCTTCTTGCGTCTATGATGGAAGAATACCGCAAGTACAGCGTACGCACCAAGCTCCACGCTACCTAAGGGCGAAAACTCACCTACTGGATTCTAGGGCAGCCCTACAATTTTTATTGCCCATGGACTCGGAGGAATCATAGTCAAAAAGGTAGGTTCAAATCCAATCAACTCCTTCAATCTAAAATTAACATCATGTTAGGCAGTGGAGCTCTACACTCGTTGCCCAGAGTACTTTATCATCAAAGACCTGGCAGCAGGCATCGTCTTCTTGGACACTATCCATCACCCCACTGATTCCGAAGCTGTCCTAAAGGCAGTGATGACGACGGTGACGGCCAGCTTAACGACACATTCGATGGAACCATCAATGGATGAAATAAGACAGTTTTCTGAGGCTGTTCGGGAAGTCAACAGCACTTTTGTTGACCAGGTTATGCCCAGCTTTCTAATTCTCAACTGCCTTGCCACACGGTCAATCAAGCTTACTGCTAAGGATGGTACATGTTTCAAGACCCGGGTGGGTAATATTAACTAGTTCCAAGGCAGTACTGTTGCTAATCAGTACCTCAGGTTGTTCCCAGGGGGCGGGGTGAGATTGACTCTGCTAATGTCAAGAATGTGTCGGTGGACTGTAATCATTTCGAGTTGACACAAGTTTCCTCGCCGTCAAGTCCGACCCATGTTTTTTTGGCTGAGAACATCGCCGAGATGACTACAAACATTGCGGCGCAGAACAAGAAAAGGGTCATCTTCTCCATGCCACCGCCCATACAACAAAACACAGCCGACCCGCCCCCACCATCGCCGGGTCCTGGTGAGTGCCCCAACACGGAGGAGAGTGGCCCGATGAACCCAATAGTATTGTTAACCCATCGAGCTACAGGAAAACCTGAGAAACCAGCGAAGACGCCTCGAACTCATGTCATTCCTGGCCCACCACCGCGAGACAGAAACACGGAGTCGTTCAACTTGTGGGTCAGAAAAAAAGAAGCCGGTACGTCTCATCTCTGTCATCTGGGGTTCGTCTTGAATCTAACAGGAATTGCAGAAAACACAAAGGGATGTCTTGATACGCTCCTTAGTAAACTCGGCACATGTAACCCAATGCATCTCGGCTATGACATTCATCCTATAGCCGGAACATGTGTCTGGATACAATCAGATTCAATCTTCCAGGAGTGGGTCAAATCAAACAGAACCGATGACTTGTACGTCTGTGGACCAGCTGGGTGTGGTAAAACGTACCTGGCAAAGTCTGTTGCCAACTACTTAGTAGGAGACCGTCCTCGGCCAGCCCCGTTATATGGCAACATGGTGCTATCGTTTTTCTGCAACGTGAGTACAACGGGAAACAAGAAACCTCCTATCTTAGAGTACTTCATCAAAGCACTCCTGAGGTCCGCACAATGGTTCGAGTCATTGTCCTCTTATTTCCGGCATCTCCAAGATGACGACAAAAGGCTCGACCTCAGTTCACTCTTCGAGATCCTGCGCCAGTTCATGATAAGGCCGCAGCTTGTCATGGGACCTCCAAGAACAACAGAAGTCTTCTTGATCATAGACGGTTTGCAGGAGTGTGATGTTGACTATGTTCGAGAGTTCCTACAGTTGGTTGGCAGTCTCGCCGACAATCCTGCCCCTCGAATACCACCACCTTCGGGAACACCTAGCCCAATGCAGTACTTCCCACGGGAAACCGTTAGGTTCAAGTTCTTCTTCACACATACTCCAAACGAAATCATGTTTCTTGTATCTTCGAGAGCACTGAAAATCAACATGAGTGGAAAGAACATTGAAAAGGACATCAGCAAATACGTTGACAAGGAGGCGGAAACGATCTTCACGGTCAAAAATCCGATGCAGCCTCCCGAGGCGGTCCGTTCTTGGATAAAGAAAAATTCAGGAGGATTTTTCTTCTATGCCAAATATTCCCTACAAGACTTGATTGCGACGATCAGAGATGGGGACGACTACGGATACTCGATTACCGCAAGACAACTCCCGTGCCCGGCACAGCTTGGACAGTATTACGACTACGAACTTCTTCCATTGTTTCAGAGCATTGACAACCAAAATTATGCTCTCTCAACATTACAAATCGTTATAAATGCCAAGAGGTTCATCGGTCGGGAAGAGGTACGAGACGCCATCGCCTGTCTCCACGACGATCCTCGACTGAGGTTCCTCAACATCCAGACAGTTCTCTGGCAAAAGTGTTCTCGGCTCATACACGTCGACAAAAACATGGAACTCTATATCTCACATCTATCGTTGTTTCTCCACTTCAGTTCCTACATAAGCAAGGAACGGCAACATGCAAACATGGCTTTCTTATGCCTAAAGTATCTTTTGCAACCCGTTTTTGGGCGCGATTGCAGGACACCTCCTTTGGAGCTACATTCATCTACGCAGCACCCATTCTACAACTATGCGGCATGTTGTTGGGAAGAACATTTCCGTCTCTCGAACAGAGAGGGATTGAAGTTATTACCACAGGTTGGCCGTTTCATCGCCTCTCCCTGCTACAATACCTGGTCCTCCTACAGATCCTGGGAGTCTGCGACAAACCTATGGGCACACAAAAACCCGATGTACAATGCGATCATGTCAGATCCATGGATTCCTCCTGTCATCGCTCTCACAAAAGCCAATGCTGGCCATCTTACTCGCGACCTCCAGACAGCCTACAGCATGATTGAATCTGAGCCTAGATCATGGAAAGATAAGGCATTAACCCTGATCGCGGAACTTTTGAAAAGGTTAGATGTCTATCCCGGCATGGCAATACTTCGTGGAAACCGTTATTCCGAGCGATACTACTCCGTGCAAGACGCGCTCGGTCAAACTCCTATGATGACGGCGGCGATGGTTCCCGACGGCTTACCTGATATGATCGAGTTCTTCCTCCAGCAGGGGCAAAACGTCAATGAACGAAGTTTCGTTCACGGGTACACTGCGCTTTTGCTTCTCTGCAGGTTTGTAGATACGGATGATGACGACCTTGTCACCCACTTGGTTTCATTACTTCTTGAGGCTGGGGCAGATCCCAACATATCTGGGTCCGAAGGGCATACGTGTCTTATAGAGGCTTGTAAAAGGAATTCATTCACAATGGTGGACCTACTGCTCCGCGCTGGCGCAAGCCCCGACAGCTCAACCATTACCGGCAACACACCGCTCCGGGAAGCATTGATGATCTCAAACGGGGACATTATTGGAAGGTTGATCGATTATAACGTTGACCAAAGTTTGATTATTCCTTGGCAAAGTAAGCAAACACCCCTGACATCTGTCATTACCGAGCGCAACTTCAGCCTTTTCGTCCTCCTTTTATCCAAATCGGACAACGTAAATCAGCTAGATGGCGCGGGTTTTGCACCCATACACATGTTGACAGCGCCGGGGTACATTGATTGGTTGTCTTGTCTTCTAGAAAGACCTGATGTAGACCTCGAGCTCCTCTCGGATGGGCTGAGCGACGACCACAGAAGGCTCACCATACGTCGGACTCCGTTATGCTTCGCAATCTTCCATGACAATTTCAAAGCAGTCGAGATGCTTCTAGAAGCAGGCGCAAGTTCCCACCGTCATCCAAAGTCAACTGATAACACACCGCTCTACATGGCAGTGAAGCTAGCCAGGACAACAAAGAACAAACAGGGGTGAGTGAGCCATAGCTTTTACTTTTTTGCCTAAACAGATTTTCCTTTATTCTCAAAAAGGCATTGAACTAAGATATAACAGCAAGCATAAGGAGGAAAACGTCGACAATACTGGCAACACCGATATCGTTGAACTATTACTGGCGTATCAATCCCCTATCAACACACTGGACCACAGGTCACAGAAATATGCCAAGTCCCCGTTGATGTTGGCCGTAAACCTGAAGGACCAGAAAATGGTCGAGCTCCTCCTGCGGCACGGCGCTGATCCAACAATAGAAGAAGCCTACGGGCTCTTTGGCCCACTCGATGCTGCCATTGACGATGATGAAGAGATTGGCCTGAAGCTGGTCAAGACCTTGCTCGACAATCCTTTGCCGCCAAGCATCAACTACAGCCCCAAAGGCAACGACGAAGTCTACCACATACTCATTGAAACGAGTGGAAAGAAACCAGCGCTTGTCAAACTTTTACTTGACTATGGTGCCGACACAAAGTGTTTTCTATCCCCTTCTTCAGGTTACAATATGACGCCGCTACTGGAAGCAGTGAGAGAAAATAACGTCGATACTTGCAAAGTACTCATACAACATAAACCGGACCTTGTAAACTACCAATCACAAGAGGGGCTTGTGTACGAAGCGCCGCTCAACATGGCCGCAAGGGAGGGACATGCGGAAATAGCCCGTTGTCTCCTTGACGCAGGTGCTCGGCCAGATTTAGTATCGTACCATTGGCAGGAATCGCCTCTTTGGTCAGCTTGCTACGAGGGTAAACTTGAAATCGCGCAACTACTCTACGATAAAGCGCCAGAGACACTCAACATCCCATCTCGCGATGGAAACACTCCCCTCACCGTTGCCTGCGCCGCTGGAAACCCACGACTGGTGAAGTTCCTTCTGGAAAATGGTGCTGACATCATGGCAAGATGTTCAATGGGCAAATCGTGCGTCTGTAGTGCGGTTTCGGAGAATAACGGCGCCGCGCACAAGGTTGTTGAGCTATTGTTGCACCATGGGATTGAAATCGATGACATAGTCAACGCGATCGGCTTCACCGTGCTCGGCGAGGCTTGCAAAGTTGGGGATGCACAGACTGCTCGGATGCTGCTCGAGAAAGGGGCTGATCCGTCCAAGGGGCAAAAGGCACCCGGAAACACTTCAAGAGCCTGGAGGTCTGCGTTACGAATCGCTGCGATCAACTGTCACGTCCAAGTCGTGGACATCTTGCTTCAACATCCTCAACTGAGTTCTTTCATCGAGAATGTCGACTATTACGGAGAAAACGCCTTGCATATGGATTGGCCAACTGCCCACGCCAAAACTTCCGAAATTGCAACTAAGATCTATAGGGCTTGCCAGAGGCTAGAGTCTGACACCGGAATTGACTACTTTCAGAGGATGCTTGATGTCAAGAACCTGGAGTTGCAAACACCTGTAGACATTGCACTAGGAAAACTCCATGAGAGTTTGAGTGAAGCTGCTTTGGCAAACATCGACGAAACCATCCGCCAGTACGTCATAGAGTTGACCGCAGGGGATGAGAGAACTGTCGCCCAACACAAACATCTCATGAGAGACCTCTCAATTCTCCTCTTACGACAAGGCGGATACGATCAGCAAGCCATACGTTTACTGCAGACTGTAATCATTGATGTGGATATCAAAGAAAAGGACGGCCATTTCATTGAAACGGCGGTATGCATGGTATGCTGCGATGGCTGCGACGACTACGACGAAGATGAGCAAGAGTTCATCTCTTTTTGTCGGTCTTGCAGCATCAATTTTTGCCAGAATTGTATCAAAGAGAATGAACGGGACCATGGATTGGTCCAAGTTCCGATTCCGAAAGATAGAAATCTGCTGGATTTCAACTCTGAAGAGGTCAACAAAGTACTTGATATCCTGGAAAAAGATTTTGTCACCGAGAAGAAGCCTGCGTTCGAGGGAGACACTCCGGTAGCTCCATTTGAGGTCGATCCCGACTCTGACAACACGACACTTTCGCTGGCTTCACTCCATGCTTTTGGGTATCTCGAGTTCCGACGCCGGGCTTGGAGTCCATACTTACCTCTAGCTCCGGCTGTATACAGAAGGATACAGAGATGGGAACTGATGATCGATCAGGTCAGACAAAGTTTTCAAGAACGGGTGTGGGAGACCGAATTGTTTCCGTTTTGGTTACGTAGCGAGCTGTGTTATTTCCTAGACGCTGTTAGGAGAACAGCGTACAGGGACTTGGAGACTATAAACAGGGAGCAGGTCATGAAAGATGTTGCTTGGCTATTCGCCGAGCCAGAGAGGTTTTGCATTGATGAGAGATTCCGACCTGATCGAGAGGCTCAAGACAGATGGAACGCTTCGTTGGTTTGATTAGTAGCATGCACTTGGTGGAAGGCCGTGTCGCAAATGTCGAATGTACTATATTGGGTTCCCGGAAGAGTCAATGAGAGGTGGTCACATGGATTAACATGACTTGCGAGCGCCTATCCGTGTTTTTTGAAATCGATTCGGCGAAAATGCTTCCATTACTTTGGACTACTTACGGCGCTATTATTATGATTTCTTTACACCTCGTACGGTGGAACAAGCTTCTATATGTTTCCATAGTATAAAACCACCAGTTAACTCCCTTAAAATCAAGGAACTACTCTTCATCCTGTAAAAAACTCTTCAATACGCCAGCGTACTTCTCCAGTTGTTCCAGGTGAACGCAATGCCCGCCGTCGCTGATAACTACCCACTTCACTTTCCGAATGCTGTGAAACCAAGGCTTGACGACCAGATCAGAAGCTTCGTCGAATTCACCGTTGATGAGAAGAGTGGGTGCTTTTATTTGAGTGCTCTTCTCAATCCAATTGTATGCTGTCAATTTGTGTCAGTTTTGTACCACATAGCAGACTTCTCCGTAAGGGTTCGGGGTTAACTAGGCTTGAACTTACTCCTCAGGCTCCCAGTGATTGTTATCTCACTCGGCCCACACATAGTCGAGTACACGGTGGGATCCTTCTCCAGTTCAGCAAAAGCATCGGACAAAGCCTCTGGAAACGGCCAGACTCGGCATAAGTGAACCTTGTAATATTCCAACACGGCAGCTTTGTATTCGTCAGACTCGTAGTCTTTGTCGATGTCTGCATTTTCGATTGCTTTACGGACGGGGCCAGGTATGCTCTTCAACCACTGGTGCTGAGCTTGCTCCCAAAGCTTCATGCTGGCAGGTCCGCTGGCTAGAACCAGTCTTCTAACCTTGAAAGCGAGTGGTGATGACGAGGGCGTCGCAACGACGGCGCCGAGCATAGCGCCCCATGAGTGGCCGTATAGATCAAACCTCTCAACGCCGAGATGAGAAAGCAAGTTCTCCAACTCGGCAATGAAGAGCTCCACAGTCCAGAAGTCTCTGTCACCAATCTTGGAGGGGAAACGGGTAGATCTGCCACATCCTATCTGGTCGTAGAGAATGACGGGTGTTTGCGTGAGGGCATGATACGCACTGAAGAGCGGGGCGAGATAGACATGTGGTATACCGGGGCCGCCGTGAAGAGCGACAATAGGAGTGGCCGTGGACGATAAGTCACCGAGGATACGATAGTAAGTTTCGGGGCGAGTGGAAGGTGGAATTGAGGGATGCGAAAATGGGGCTTTGCCCTCCTTGGTCTGCAAAACAGTCATGCCGATCCGACTTCAGCAGAATTGCAACGATGACGGAGTTGAGGGAATTGGGATGAGGAATGATGCTGACGGACGATGGGTTTATTGTAGTCGCTAAAAATAAACCTTCGATAGCCAATGTGCGAAGTCAGCTGATCCGAGTCCAGACTTTCCAATCACTGTCATCGGAAATAATGTAGATACGATGTGTGGAATCTAACGTCAGCAAATGAACTTGCATAATCAGACAGCTTAATCCACCATTTATTAGAGCGAGAAATCTCAGAACTATAGCATTGAGATGCACCTAATTCGGCATTAACAGTTGCGATGTGGTGTTTGTGCCAAGGTAGGCTACTAATGGCAGCCTGCTATAGGGCTCGCTATAGAAATGATACTCGAGTACTTATCGAGAGCAATACGACATGATGCTTAGGTATGTGCATCGATATCCAAAACAAGGAGGTCAGCCTGGAAACATCATATACGTGTTAGGAGAGCTGTGTGGCTTGATCATCAATCCGCTGAACCCTGCAATGTAGCCATGAGGCGATGTAGCCATGAGGTGGATAGGACCCCACGCTAGGCCCCGTCGTGCCAAAAGGGTTTAGATCTAATCCTTCTGAGGCAGCAGAGAAGACCACTGGCTTGGAGGAATGCAGAATATTAAACAGCAAAGATTCATTGATGAAAGTAAAGTTAGGCTGTGTATCAAGAAGCTTTGAATCGAAGCACCGCTAATGTTTTGTACTTATAGATTACAATTCACATTGATCGCCAGCTCAACAACACATGCCGATTGTTCAAATTGACAAGAAGTTGGCTAACACCGATACTTTTTTCACCTCAGAAGAACCTAAGATAGATCTCTTTCATTGAAGTTATACATAGCCCGAGACGTCTTTATATAACAGTCTGCTGCGTGAAAACCCGTCTTTTATACAAAACAAAGGCAGGAACTACGACAATATTTAGCGACCATTCATGCAAGTCCGCAATCAGATGGTCAGACCCCAGCAATGCTTTGTTTCAAACTCCCAAGTGTTATTGAACAGTGAAATTTCCCGAAGCTAAAGCTAGGTTGAATATCCATAAAAAAAAGTCTGAAGCCCTAGTTCAAGAATGCTCCAGTCACATAATACACCAGCCACTTTCCTTCACTGACCATAATCCTCTAGCCTCAGTTATCTTCTCAACTTCAATCAAAGAACATTCATTGTTATATCAGCACTTCAATTTTGTATCTAAGCAACAGAATGATCTCCAACATCCCCACTGACCAATCTTCTTCAGCTCGTCAGCCTTCTATCGCCGCTTCATCAAGCCGCCCTAACACTCCTCCAATTGGTGATTACCGTCTGAAGGACTCTGAAACGGGGACTGAGCCTGAAGGTAGCTTCATAACTGCCTCAGATGGGCCGGAGATCGAGCACAGTGAAGAAAATGACGACGTCACTGATGTAAACTACGATGAGCTCGAAACTCTAGAACACAAATTCTACAAGCGGATGTACGCGGATCGCAAGAATAGACTGATGGAGATCTACCACTCTCGCATTGGCAGTAAGATCCAGCACGGTAGGAGCAGAAAGGCTCGCAAGCTGGCTCAACGTCGCCGTCTCTCGCAAGACGAGAAAAGGCAGATGAACTGAAGATGATTTTGATCTTTAGCTATTCAAAGAGAGTTACGATGGGAATCAGGATAGATAAATATGCCTAGACCTGGCATGATCAATAGTTAAACACTTGAGTCTATCTCCCATACCTTTTCTTTAGTGATAATCTACACATTTTCTTTATCCTCCGTCGATATGATACTTCTGTTAGTTATCGGTCGTCATCATCTTCCAGCCATGCCATTTCCGAAAGTTCACTTTGCGCCTTTGGCTGATTCAACCAGCGACATAGGCACATGCGCCGGTGTCGCCAACCTCGCAAATAGTTACGAAGACCTCTTGACATTTTGCTTGTGCAGGGCTTTAACCTCTTCATCCAGCACAGGGATCGGACCCTGAACTGGGATATTCGGTGCGACCTCATTAATTGGCAGTGGCTTCACTTTGGTCTCCCTCTCGACACCGAACTCGTTTAACCAAGCAGAGAATTGAGCGCTTGAGGAAACATAGACGATGGGACCTAATCCGACCCAGGCATGGGCAGCAGCGCACATCGGACAGTGCTCGCCTGACGTGTAGACCGAAGCCTTGGCCCGCTCCTCTGCACTGAGGTTTAGCTGCGCCCAGCGGGCGAGTGTAAGCTCTGGGTGCAGTGTGCCGTCTCGTTTTCCATCTCCATTTTCTCCTGTGTTGACGCGGTTGCGGTCTTCTTTGATTGCGATGCCGTTTGCGTCGACAAGGACGGAGCCGAAAGGGTCATCACCTGCGTCAAGAGCTTCCTTTGCAAGCTCGACGCATCGTCGGAGGATCTTGGAGTCTGGCTTAGAGGACATTGTGCAGCCAAAGGCTTGCAGAAATAAGACAGTCGAATCAAGTTGCGTCGTAAATGTGACTTTGGAGTTGTGCCAGGGATAAGAAGACATGCTGATGTAATAGTTGGCGATGCGGGATAAACTTGGATTCATGACGTTGCGGGGCACGGAGGAACATTATCCCAGACGAGAGCCGTTGAACAACTTTTATATTAGGCCAGGAAACTTCAGACCCCAATGCATAAGTTTTCTCGCGGTGTTTTCTCGCGGTTGAAAACACCATGGTTGATAAAGCGATGGTAATTATTATCTGGATCAAGCTCACTCAATCAACGTAACTAGAAGACATAATCATGGTGCACACTTTTGGTATTTGAGTTTCTTAATACTGTTATGGTCATGATACTCCTCCGGTTTTTGTTCTAACATTTAATTACAGAAGATACCTGTAATCCGGAGACATGTCTCCTAATTCTGTCTTCTCTTCCTGCGTTAACACCGACTCGCCAGCAGTTCTGTCCCTCTTTTTATTTGCCGACCAACAGGCAATAGCATAAGCCAAGCACGACAAGCCGCTGAGGATAACAAAAGCGATACTAATGCTGTATCCAGGTATGTATTTGGGAGCATCCTTCTTCAGGAAAGCAAAGACAGCAATGATGCCACCAATGTTACCAAAGCCGACTTGCCAGGCACTTCCAATTGAGCGCCGATGGTGACCACCAAGGTTCATGTTAAACCAACACACTAAGTAAAGCGTAGTTAGAACGAGAATTCCGAACGGTACTACAGGAGAAAACTAACCGATGATGGGCATTGCCGTATAACTGCCTGATGCTACAGCGTACAGACCGAAAGTCTGCAGAGGCGTGTTGTCGTGGACGGAAATGAGAATCGCGAAACCAGTGATAGCCACGCAGATTGCGATAATCGCAAAACCGAATCGATGTCGTGTCTTGTCTGAGATGAAAGCGATAGTCATCGAGAAGAAAAAGGCCACAACCCAAGGAGGCACGCTATGCAACTGCGTCTGAATGCTGCCATATCCGTAAGTCTGGAAGATACCCGGCGCGAAGTATGCGTATCCATAAGCCGGGACGATGAGGCCGAAATACATAAAGCCACCGAGAATGACTTTGTAGTCTTTGAAGATGCGTCCGACGTCGCGCACGGTGATGCTGCGCTCAGCAGCGGAGCTGCCCTGGTCAGCGCGCAGGCGCGCTGAGACGAAGGCCTTCTCGTCATCGGTAAGCCACTTGACATCCTCGGGAAAGTCGGGCAAGCAGAAGAAGAAAAAGATGCTGACGATGAGGGTCAAGAGACCCTCTAGGATGAAAATCCAACGCCACCCCGCGTAGCCACGGATGCCGCCCATCTTGCCAATCGCTGCTGCAAGGAGACCGCCAAAGGCGCCAGCGAGTGTGGTGCTGTTGAAAAAGAATGAATAGCGGCGCTGGGCCTCGTGGCGGCGGTACCACATGCCGATGAGGTAGAACGCTGCAGGAAATAACAGTTAGCCACCACGCGCCAACGTGAGATCACTACATTGCGATTGCAATTGCCGGCTGGCGCTTACCTCCTGGAAACATGCCCGTCTCGAAAACACCCAGGAAGAAGCGTGTCGTGCAAAGACCGGCGTAGTTTTGCACGAAGCCTTGAAGCATCGTGACGAGGCCAAAGCCGAACATATTGATACTAAGCCAGACATGGGGCTTGAACTTCTTGAGGAGAATGTTGGAAGGGATCTCGAGGAGGACGTAGGGCACGAAGAAGACAACGAGGGCGTTGTTGTAAAGGGTGCCGCTGAGGCCCAGTTCGTCGGACAGACCAAAGACGTTTGCGTTGGCAATGTTCACTCGGTCTGTTAAGCGCAACTACTGTCAGTATTGGTGTGACACCGGGGTGACTGTGCCGCGATCGAGGAGAGGTCTGCTCCAACCATCGATCATGAAGGGAAAATACAAAAGCTGCCATTCAGGTCCGTGACTTTTCAGAGCTGAGGAACTCTCTTCGGACGGCATAAGGTGTGCCAAGTGAATGGCTGGGCGTTGGAAATGCGATGCGACGGATACGTCTCCGCGCATCGCGAGCGGGGACAGGACTCACCGAGGAAGGCCAATAGGTACATGACACACAAGAACGGGATCACGCGAAAGTCGATCTTGGTGATGAGCTTGGACTCCGTAGTGTGAGGGGGGCACTCGACTGGTGCATCGTCACCGTAGACCGGGCGGTCGACATCGGTCGCATGCTCGAGGGAGCGCGACGGCGACTCTGCCGGCTTTTTCTCCTGGTCAAACTGCATTTCGGGGGGTCGTTCGAGCTCGATGCTCGTTGCCCTGTCTGTATCTAACGGAAGATGGGACTCTAGGGCCGACAACAACGCCTCGCGGAAACAAGGCCGACGAGGGAAAAGAACCAGAGAGAAGTAATGATGCAGCGGTAGAGAAACACTGACGATCTCTCAGGGTGGCAGTCAGCTTATATTTCGTCTCATCACTATGACTACTGTTTGTGACAAGCAAGGTGTACTCGCCCTTTTTTTGCGCCCGACCTCGGCGCGGCGACTCACAGCCAAGACAGGGTCGGTGATCCTCCCGACTCCACAAACAGCTCTCAAAAGGTCGGACCAGCGCCAGTCTGGACCTGGAATCGACCGGCAGCTATAGCTTCGAGCAGGGATGGCTGCAAATGGTATTGATCATCCCCTGCCTCCTTGGCTTCCTTGCTTCTGCCCCCCAACCTCCCGGCCGAACCCCGCGTTTTCTTTGGTTGCAGGTGGGCTTCTCAATAATTAGCATGCAGCTCAGTGGCTTTGAGGTTAGAGAGCCACGCTGGCTCGGTCATGCGGGAGCTGATTAATCGATGCCACGGGCTTTAGTCAATAACGGCTTTCGCCGCGTGCCCGAAGCCACCTCTCATACGTTCCTTGTTATAAGCAATTCCTTATTTTCCGAAATTCCTTCCCGGGAGTTACCCGAGACCAGAAGTCAAACTCATGTTTGGATCGCCAAATCTTAAAATTGCCCCGTAATACTGTATCTAAGAGACCACAAGCTCCACCCCGGCCCCGGACCGGACTTAGCTCTGCTCCACACCGACCGCCGATGCAGGAACTGTGAGTAATCTTGTCAACAAATTCGTCTCTCTGTGATTTGCTCTCTGGCGGCAATCAATCGAATCATGTCGCTTCGCAGCTGAAGAGGTGGCCTCCGAGAGGGGGTGGCTATGGCTTTTCGGTCCGGTGGTTGTGGCAGTTGGGAGACAGACACACCGGACTTAATGATCGAGGGCGGAAGCCGCTGTACATCCGGAGCCCTCCACTACGTACCATGTTTGGTCTAGCAATGGCTGACAGTTGCATGCGACGGTGGTTTATGTAGCGTCTAGTCAACACTTCGCTTGCACGGCGATTATGACATACGTTCCCTACAGACACGCAAGACACACTCGACTTTGGTACCCCACAGATTTCAAGCCACGCGCTAGAGATGCAGGCCTTTTGTAGCCTCTTTATGCGGGGTCGGTATGTGTTCCATTTTCGGTGCCTCGGTTCAAGTCGATTTCGAAGTCAGGAAAGGCTGTTCACCGTTGTTTTGTCTTCGGCTCCGTCAATTCGTTTCCTTTTACGTTCAACTCCGAATCCTACAGTTCGAGAAATGCATCCATGATCGTTCGTGACTTTATGTCACATTGGAGGCAAGACTCAATGGGCCCATAAGGGCACCATTTTGATACAAGATGACCGAATTGAAACAAGTGGAAGGGTCGGCTGGAATAGTTATCCAGGCTCGAACAGGAGCTTCTGTTACTAACGCTTTTGAAAAGATTGAGTCTTATGATAACAGAAAGCTTGCTGCATCTATCAGGTCAAAAATATATCCAGCATTATCCCCTTTGTATCCGGATCTTTTCCCTAAATTTTCCAGAGATTAATCGTTCCGAGAGGAAGCAGTCCAGAATAGGAACAACAATTTCACAAAACTTCTTAACAGAAAGAAAACTAGATGAGAGCGTTGTCAAATATTTTCATGGTTGCTCAGCAGGTGTAATTTCAAACCCAGTTCATTATTGCATGCACTCAAGTCATACCTTCGGAGTTAACTTGACCTAGGAGATGAGTGTGTCCAAGGAGACTTGGCAGTCCTTGAGATCCTCGTCGTAATCCTCAACATTCTGCAAAATGTCTGGCTGCTGCCTCTCGCCTCATTACTCATGGGCTAACGCTTTGCTGGCAGAAGAAGATTGGGTCAAACTAGAGAAAAAGGGGAGAAGATGGTGGCAACTTGGGACTGGGGCGTAGAGTTTTCCTCGAAGAGCGAAAAGTCGTTTGTGTGATAGTTTTGAACTCAAAGGGTTACTGCCAAAGCTCTTCTCTACTTACAACTCTAAATCTCCTTCATTGAGACCTCTTCTGTTTGCATCCGCAATCCTTTGTAACCACTGCTTTCTAAGATGGCGGCGCCACATTACAAGCATTGTGAAGCCGCAGGCAAAGATGTATGCCGAGACAACAGCCATCCAGATGACATCCTTGATATATCCCTCTACCCACCCGTGTCTCACAGCACTTTCAAGGTCGTCCACATTCAGAAAATCAACACCCTCCTCAGTCAATACCTGCCAGATATAATCTCTATAGCCAATTGGCCAGTCCGGAATATCCCAGTACCGTGTCTTTAGTCTGCTTTGCTTGGCTATCTTGACATGATTCCTCAGTTTGGCGAGCTGGGTTTTGCTGAAGCCGGTTCGGACGGAGCCGATCGCCTGCTTGAATGATGTTGACGTCATGTAGGTCTCGTCCGCGTCCCACATTATACTCGCCCAAGTAATTGACCCATTGTAGTTAGGGTCGTTTCCTTCATAACGCCAAAACTTGTTCTCGTCCGGCAGAATTTCTAAGGGGGCATCAATGAATGTATCATGATAAGCGTCGAAGTTGGGATAGCTTCGATGGTCGTTGTCGAAAAAGGTGCGTCTATTAAGATTGCCTGTGCCCACCACCGTGATTGCGGCGGGCCATCTGCTTTGTTTGGTTTCGAAACCAGGAGATGTCTGGATGTGCTCATAGCGTGTAAGAAACTGCTTCTTTCTAAGAGGCTCAAGTTGCTTGACGAGAAGAGGCCAAGTCTCTCCAGGCTCTGATTTGACGTCGATGAGAAGGACTAGAGTGGCATTGGGGTCGGTTTTGAAGACGCCTCGGGGCTGGTCGTACGGCGTGTGCTTTGCCCAACTGGAATCAGGGTTCTCGGTTTCAAGTATTTTCAAGAGTGGGTCAATATATAACGCTTTGAGCGTGTTGTTGCTCGAGAGGGCGTCGCGGTCATGACCCACCAGTAGGTCTGTACCGTCATCACTGAGCCAGATATCCGCCTCAACCCCTGTGCACCCGGCTACGAGAGCCGAAAACAATGGGTATGGCCTCCAGTAGTCGTTGTGGGAATGACAACGTTTGGGGGTGACCGATCGGGAGTAATCTGCAAGCCAGAGGTCCAGGGCTTCTTTTGGATTCCCGTCTGCTGAAAGAGGCTTGTTGAAAATCAAGTCGTAGGGCACGTTTGAACGAAAGGAGCTAGGTTTCGATACAAACACCAAGGCGTAAAGAACAGCCCTGGATCATTGTCAGCATGACCTGCATCCTGGGTCATATAGCAAAGGAGTGGAGATCTCACAAGACTATAGAAGTTCCCACTGTGAACCCCAGAGCTAAACCGACCAGGTCTCTTCCCGAGCTCCGATTTTTGAGCAAACGCCATATGTTGTGAGGGACGAGATTCCGAAAGATTGATGGTAGAGACGGTTGAGTAGGACAGGTGAAATTTTCTGAGACCGAGTGCCGTCTCGTCTCATGGGTGAAATCACTATCTTCAGTCAAATTAAGCGATGGAAAGCTGACGGGTGGAGATGTAGTCGCCATGTCCCTCGAGCTATCTGGCACACGGGGCCCATGGTTGAGATCGAAGCTCATTTGGTCGATTAACTGGCAAGGCGCAAGAGAGACGAAGGAGAAGACCACGAACAAGCCAGGCGAGGTCACTGGGCAGAGAAAATCTCTGTTATGTGTTTGAAGGAGAGACATGTGGAGACTGCCAGCACTCTTCCTAACCGCGCCGCACAGCCGCATTAGATGTTGAACACAACATAGTCCGCTACCGTGTTTACGATATGCCTAGACCCGCTATTTTAGGCATCCGAATTAATTCAGTCGAGCCAACGTTGCTGCTGATAGGAGAATACGTAAGCTTGCAGTCGTCACGACGACGTTAGCTCAGATAACTGTTTGGAATCAGGACATGCGACGATACCAGAAGAGGCGGGAGGGAGTATGAAGGAAGGTGAGAAGCCAACATCGGGTCGCAACTGCAGCCCACGGCATTTTCAACCCGGCCAGCTCTACTCTAGCCAGTGTGGAACCAGAACACCTATCTTAGTTTGAAATGATCATTCTCCGTTCAGTTGCGTCACAGCGCCAAAGGATGCTAAGTAGCCGATCAGAAACAAATATAGGAACAATACACAGAATAAGACCTTCCTGGCCCACAGCCTCCTCATCCGCCAACACAAGTTTCTTAAGATTGAACTTTTTTTTAGGAGTATACTTGGACTTGATAAGCGTTAACTCCACCATTTTCAACAGCGTGTGCTGATAATTACTTGAACAGAGAGTTCAAAGTTTTTTTACTCGGTAATACTTTGGAGACAATCTTTTGAAGTCAACTGATAATCCGAAATTGTCAAATTATCCTCTCCGTAGATAGATGGTCCCCTCTAGTACGGGCAGCCCAAATGTGGGGAACTCGAATGTCAAAATGGCAGGTGCACAGGCCCTGGAAGAGCGCCAAGTGATCCAAATTTAAGAGGAGGCCAAGGTAACAAGATGAGGTGCGTTGAGGACAACCTAACAGATTTGGGTCTATACCACTAATTATGCCCAAATGGAATAAACCACTTATGTTAGACTTCGCCAAAGAACGACAAGTCCGTGGATGATGGACCACCGCATCGAGGACGCTATTTCAGGTGGGCTATCGCCGTGTAAGACGGTTGGGCTATTTGCCCCTAACCCCACTGAAATCAGGACCAGGGCCGAATTAGAATCTTCTCCGCATCAATCATTTAACAGATCAATATGGGTTGGGGTTTGCCCTAACCCGCTTTGCTCCATGAATGTTCCCGAATGCGCTTGTCATCCATCATCCACTGGTTCATATACCACGAGTTATTGGAAGGGTGGCCGAGTTGGTTATGGCGCCAGGTTAAGGTCAGCTTAACATCTGTTTCCTGGTGGGGCAACCCGCGCGAGTTCGAGTCTCGTCCCTTTCAATTGTGTTTTGCCGGTGACGTGATGAATGTGTTGGGCTCTACTTCTGTTTCTGTTGGATGCCTATTTCTTACCCGTAGTATATAATTCAACAAGTTTATTTGGGTATTGACACGATGCTTACTTACAACTTACTACGGTAATAGAGACATTTGTTGTGAAATAGTAAGCGAAGGATAACATTAACCCAAATGGCGTTAAAACAGTCAATGCACACTTGTTGTCTAAACCCTGTCCTGTCCAAATGACATGCGAGCTAAACACCTCACCTCGGTGACAAATTTTTGAGTTTGCGGTGAACCAAAAATGCCGCGGTGCTTGTTTGTCTATGTCAGGTGCACGAGCGTGGGTGGCAGTGCAAGCTGCTGATCGGACCGCGTTAGTGCTGGCACTGATCGGGTCAGGGGACGTGGTGTAGATAAACCCCTCACTGGGAGGCAACCCGAGCGTTTTACAAAGAAGATGCATCTTTCATAAGACAAAACTTGAATCGTTCTCCCAACTTGTTCAGTGCAGATATCGGCTTGGACGTGAACGCTTGAAACGAACGGGTTAGAGCGGGAGTTGCTTCGGCCGGGGCTTGGAAGGAAATTGGCGGCTCGGCAGCGGCGACCACACAGCGAAGAGGGTGCCCGAACAAGGTGATAGCGTTTAAGCTACATCCGCAGCAAGGCAGCAGGCAGGCATCTTTGATCATCGAATTCAAACCTCAGATGGAAGAAACACAAGCACCCCGGACCCCAGACTTGATCGACTGGACTCGGCCGCTGTCGCCATGGAGTGATGGAGATTCGGCCACGCGCGCCGCGGATGCCATCGGCGGCATCGATCCAGATTTGGAGGCGGATCAATACGTTGCTGCCAGCGCCACTGGCAGTGTGAGCACCGAAGTGTCACCATGCGTGTACCTCACGATACATCGGTTAGTCTGTTGTACTTCGACGTTGCTTCCGCTCAAATTGCATTCACTCACATTGAAGGTAATTGCAGGATTCGGCGTCTTGTACTCGCAAGTATAGGTATGCAGTGTTGATAATCATCCATATGCCATTTTCTGATAGATCTCAGATGATCCTTATACGCTGGACCAACTTCGCGAGCCGCGGATGAACTCTCTGGTTGTCCGACCTCTCGTAGATCGTCTCTATGACCCCGACGACCCTACTATTGGTATGAGTTCCCGCGATTGATGACTCTTCCGCGACAACATCAGCTCACAAGATAGTAGTCTACTGCCTCCTCGCGAACCGCATCCAATTTCTGAGGCAACATACTAGCACCGCACACCATACTGTTAACGTCGCCCGCGCTACTCTATGCGAGCTTGTCGCCAGTCGCGTGTTGCGTCGGTACCACGAAGATCATCCCGGTCAGATCGGTCTCCTCATTTTGGCGCACATATTGGTCGAAGGTTTCGACCCCTTCCAAGGCGCACCCGAGGAGGTTGAGAGCGAGTGTCGACAACTACAGTGGCCAATTCAACGACGAGACGGACATGAGAGGAAACTCACGACTTTGGAGCTGGCAATAATTTCAGAGAGCAAACTCTTCCTGAGTTCATCGGCATGCCAGAGGCTGGTAGATGCTGTCTGGCACGGCGTGGTGACTTATACCCCCTTGTCTTTCGTCGACATTCTTCCGGATCATTACGAGTATGCCTCGGTTTCGCTTTACGAACCGCACAGAGCACCGCTTCTTGATGTGAGACGCCTGGTAGTACCATGGATCTGACAGATGACCGAGCTGTTCCAGTTCATTACTCTCGTTATCTTATACTTATTGACGATGGTGAACCGAAGTAGTCCTACTCTGAGTGGATGGGAATGTCTCTTTGCCATCTACACTGCGGGATGGACTCTCAACGAGTTTGCGGCCATCATTGAACACGGCTGGGCCGTCCACTCTCAGACCCTGTGGTCGTTCCTCGACATCACGTTCAGCTTAATTTTCAGCTGCTACGTTTTCGCCCGCATCTACGATACCCTGAGCTACCAAGGGGTCATTGCCGACGGATACGGCGTGCACATTCTCTGTCTCGCGGCTCCAGTTCTACTCACCCGTCTTGCCTTCACCCTACTGCCGGACAACATTGTCTTCATCGCCATGCACGCTATGATGAAGGATTTTACTCGCCTGACCTTCATCTCCGTATGGTGCTTTATGGGCTTTTTTCTTGCCCTGCAATGGTTAATAGGAAGCAACGACACGACCGCTGGTTTCGGGGATAAAACTGCTTTAACTTGGTATGAGACGTGCAAATGGCTCATATGGACGTGGTTCGGCCTGGACGGTACTGGCATTGACCGTTCCAATGAGTTTCACCCAATTTTGGGCCCAGCGCTGATGATCGCATTTGCGTTTCTTGGCAACATACTCTTTCTTACGATTCTTGTTGCGATCCTGAGCAATACGTTCTCAAAGCTCATCTCCGATGCACCCGCAGAAATCCAATTCCGCCGCGCGGTACTCACATTTGCAGGTGTGAAGAGCGACTCAATATTCGCGTATCCGCCCCCATTCAACCTCCTTGCCCTTGCGGCACTACTGCCTCTTAAGTCGGTGCTTAGTTCGTGCTCCTTTCACGAAGTCAATACTTCACTCATCCGCGCCCTCAATGCACCAGCGTTGATCATAATCAGCGTCCTCGAGCGGCGTCGTATAGCCCACCCGCGTCGCGCACGGTCACAATCTCTTCTTAATTGGAGCTTCAGCGGCTTCAACCCACACGGGGACATTCAAGCAGTCTTCAAAGTGGAACCGCCGCCGAATGTGGAGCGCGAGTTGGAAGAGTTGGACAACCTGAGCGACGTCGGCTTCGCTGAAAGCGAACTGGGTTCCAGGGTATCGTGGGACGTCGGCCGGTCAAGATCGAGACGACGGCCGACTAGGAGGAGACGTCCCGGTAGAATGGTGTCGCCAATCAGCGTGGTATTTCCCTTGCCAAGTGTGCAGCGTGTTGGGACAAATGAATTCGAGCCATTGTCCGGATCACCTGTGAGGCAGTTGTGATTTGGCTTCAACTTTGGCGTCAACGGATGAAAACTTTAGACAATGTAGTGTCTAGAAAGTGGAAGAAAGGTTCGAGGTGGTGGCAGAATGCATCTGCGCGATGCTGGCAGCGCACGGAGGCAAGCGTCAGCTATAGATGAAATTGTTACTAGGCACTCAAGTACAGTGGGGTTCTCAGCTAATCTGAGCTAAAGAAGCTCGAATCTACTGTAACGCCGTTATTGAAATGCTGTTGTGGAACCAGCAACCAGCTTGTTAGAATAGTGTACTTGGCAGTTAATCATATCTAATAGAGTTTAGGAGGATCCTATGATGTGGTTAGGGTGGTTATTTATCAGCTCCGGGCTCCCGAAGTGGGAGCCGATTAGAAGCATAGACCAACGGCACCTTTTCTCTTGCAGCAGCAGCTCCATTAGTCGGAGTGGAATCCCTGCCGCGGAAACCTTGGACGAGTTATTGAGTCAAGTAATGGGTGATCCTGTGCGTTGATATTGAGGGGAGTTTCACAACGTATCCACAAGCTCCCGGACGGTCCGCCAAGCCCGCGAAATAAATATTGAGGTAAATCACCATTGGAACATTCCATAACAACAATCAAAGAAGCTTTATAACCCCCATTTATCTGTCCGTATTGGCATTCTCAACGGATTCTTTAGATTCGTACACGCGTTCCGCGGTGTAAGTAAAGTTTGGAAGCCCTGCCCAAGTGTTCCTTGGTAACACTCTACGGGCTGTATTGTGGACCATACGTACTCAGGCATGATGCACGCCATCGCTTCTTTCGTAAAGTCTGACATAACAGAGAGGATGTACCAGAAGGAAGCCAACACCCAAAAAGCAAATTGTTCGCCATCTCGTGGCCCTCGACAATCATAACTGACATTGTCGAAGCAAGGTCTTGAACCTAGACCTGGTGGCGCAAGCCACAAGCTTCAGCTGTTCATCTTGTCCACCAATAACGAAGCAACCGCGAAGCTAGACCGTCTCTTGACAGCTTGACTCGTCATTACCTCACGTTTAGTTGGCCAAGAGCCACAGCGTGGTGCTTGAGCCTCTCGGGAAATACAAGCGTGCTTAGCCACACCGCAACAGGGCGGAGCCGTAATTGGCGGAATGTTCAATCGTAACTGTCCGTCTGTACTCCGCATGCAAGCCCTCCCCTGTGACTCAAGTGCCGAAATGACCGCACTTACAGTTGGATGCTACCTTATCGAAGACGTTCAGATGAACGCAATCGGGTCAATTGCAAGGACGAGGTTCTTTGAGAAGAGTCTAAGAGACGGGATCCGACTCAAAACTCCGGAGACCGGATTTCGCAAAGTCGTAAGAATAAATACTTGGTGACTATCCTTTCCGAACACAAGCTGCAACAATAACCTTCCAGTCCTTACCAAATTCATTCGTTCATTTACAATGGTTGCATTTTCCCACATTCTCGCTCTGGCTGCCTTGGCTACCGCTGCTCCGACATGCGGCGGCCAATATGCACGAATTAGCCCTTCAGCTAACTCTCTGGTCGTTGATGCTACCGGCAAACAAGCCAACAGCTTCACTACCCTTAACGAGGCCGTCCAAGCCCTGAAAAACATCACAGACGAGCAGACGATCTTCATTATGCCTGGTACATACACCGAGCAAGTCCGGATTCCCAATTACAACGGACCTCTTACCATCCAGGGCTACACCTGCGACGCCCGCTCTTACCAAAACAACCAGGCCACTCTGACCAACAACCTGTCGCGTACCGTTGCCAACATTACCAGCAACGACCAGACCGCCACTCTCCGTCTATGGGGAGACAATATCAAGATCTACAACCTCAACATCGCCAACACGTTCGGTCAGGCCAATAAGAACGGCCAGGCTCTTGCCATCAGCGCTCAAAAGACGAATCTCGGCTTCTACGGCTGCAAGATCACCGGCTACCAAGACACTATCTACGCGAACGAAGGAAGACAAATTTATGCCAAGTCCTTCATCAACGGCGCTGTCGACTTTGTGTTCGGCCTCAGAGCGGCCGCCTGGTTCGAGACCTGCGATATCCAGACCATCGGTCCAGGCTTCATTACCGCCAACGGCCGCGACGCCGCCAACAATACGTCCTTCTACGTCTTCAACAAGGCCAACGTCACAGGTACCAGCGGCCCGGCGTCAGTCACTCTCGGTAGGCCATGGAGACCGTTCTCGCGCGTCGTCTTCCAGAACAGCGCTCTCAGCGACGTCGTTAAGCCCATTGGTTGGTCAACCTGGGACAACGTTCAAAGCACTGACAACGTCTTTTATAAGGAGTACCAGAACACTGGACCTGGTGCGGAGGGTGTGAGAGCGAATTTTAGCTCCAAGCTGGATGCCCCTATCGACTCTGTTACCGTTCTGGGCGAAGGATTCGAAAAGGAATGGTGGGTGGACGCTGGCTACTTGTAAAATATTACATAGAGTAATGGATTCATCTCGAAAGCTCCATATATGTATTCACTTCGTTCAATGTTTTCCAACAAGCGTACACTATGATTAGATCCACACATGAAAAGAATATGGTAGACTTCAATCGTTCTTAGTACCCAGAAAGATTCGGTGGCACTGCTCGGTCAACTCTCATCTTGAGGGTAATGAAATCGCAGCGTTTTAAGCCTCAATAGAGAGGTGAAACCTGATTTCAAGTATTGTGTTTCCGCGTCAGACCCTTCGTGGAGCAGGGATGCAGAAAACGCCACAAACCCTCGACCGGCTTCTCGGCATTCAACGCGGGGTTTTGCCACACAAAACGGCTGGAACCTAAGAGTCTATTGGTGGAGTCAAGTGAGTGCAGCCCCTTCGTTGCATATGCAACAGGTCAGTCGGCTGCAGCTATCATCTCGCGATGGCGGATAAAGCTGGCTATGCAGGGTTGCAAACGATGTTGTGCGATCTCGGATATTTTTCTACCATTCCCACATTTTCTAGCTCATTGGTCATGCCACGGATAAAGGCAGGTATTGATATGACCCTGGTAACTCAACGGTTGAACTCAAGAAAGGTTGTTATTCTTACAATAATTAAAATAATAGGCTTCTACGCCATAAACAGTCAATGTGAAAGTAGGTATAAGTTGCACCATTACCAAGCTTTTATACCTTATGAAGCATCAGCTTCGGATGAATTTTTGAATGAACTTGTAGGCTGAATTGTGTAGTAGTACTAGAGTGACGAGTTCATTCTTTCGACTTCCCAGCACTGAGTGCCCCAGAGACAAGACTGAGATCATCACTGAGTCCCGTCAGCTTGAAACTCAAGCGCTTTAATTCATCAGGTTAACAAACTTCTCTTGCTGTACAACCAACACTGTCATTACTGCGAGCCAACGACTTGGCGAATTTTCACGATATCTGGTTAGATAGATCCTCCGTACTCTTAAACGACATCACTGAAAGACTATAATTACACCCTTTCCATGCTTATTTCGACTGTCACGTCTAACTTGGTTTGGCGATCGAGATCGTAAGTCTTTTCCCACTACGACGGTGGCCACCATGCATGTTACTTTCTGATCGATCCATGGTTACATGTGTTCTGGAACGAACGCCTGGGAGGCTATGAATGCGTCTTAAACCCCATTGAATTGACATCGGATGGTGCTATCTTCGCCATCTCAGAAAAAGGGAAACTTGAAGATCGTCTGTATAATGGCTCAGCGCCTTCATTTCCGATGAATGAAATTCGCTGGCTATCGTAGTAAAAAAGGAGGAGCACTATGCGCTTTTGATGATGAAAGCTATGTTTTCCTAAGCGGAACAGATGGCGAAGACCGATGTCACTAACGAGTTGGCTTGGTTTTGTTGGAAGAGGGCAATCGAAGGCATCAGATAGATAGGGAGCACAGCCCGGTCAGCCACATCCTGCAAGGTGGGGTTCACGGGCCAGGCTCTTGGTTTGCTGCCGGAACTGAATGTCAAGAAGAACAAGAATCGTACAAACAAACTGGCTAAGCGGCACGCTCGGTACCGATGAATGTGCTATTTCGCGTACTGATGTGAGCCGAACTGGATCTAGGCGGCCAAATCGGAAAGGTGCATCCCTCGAACACCGGGCCAGTCGGCCCCTTGATCCCGCGTGGGGCCGTCTGGGGGTGTCAATCTGAGGTGGGGGTGGGAGGTCTTTTGCGGAGAAAGCTATGATCAGTAACACCTTCTTGACTTCCTAGTTTCAACCGCCAACTTTAACATGCCGCTGGAACTATTCATTGATCCCATTTATCACACGAAGTGACTGAATTAAAGACAACGGCAAGTCCAGCAGCAGCATATACATATTTACTTTGTAAGCAGTCCTGATATAGATGACCACCTTGGCTTTGATAACCTTCAGATGCCAGAGTAGGACTTTTCCTACACATCACTGCTGAAACACTCGAGTCCAGATGGCATCACAATTCAGAGCCATCATCGCAGGCGGCGGCCTCGCCGGCTCTCTCCTTGCCAATGGGCTCATAAACTACGGCGTCGACGTAATTGTATACGAAAGAGATGCTGGAGACGCAAATAGGGTTAAAAGTCCCCAACCCATGGGGACCCATGGGTACCCAGATGAATGGGTTGGGTGAATGGGTCAACCCATCAAATGGGGTTTTTGGGTTTTGGGTATTTGGGTATTGTTTTTTTTGGGTATAGGTATGAAAAATCCCCATACCCAAATGATGAGATAAGGATGGGTTTATGGGTTGAGAACATTTGCTGTGTTTTCTGCTTATTACTTGACGGATACCCATAATACCCATATCCAGAAAACAGAAATCCCCATTTGGGTATAACCCAAAAACCTATACCCATAATCTTGAAAAAAACCCATAACCCATATGGGCCCCAAAAGAATCCCCATGGGTCAAATGGGTTAGAACCCAAATGGGTACCCATGGGGATTTTTAACTCTAGACGTAAAGAGGGAGGGATTCCAGATCCGGCTTGGTGAGAGCGCCTTGGTAGGTTTCCGCGCGTGCCTCGAGCCTGCCGACATCGAGAGAATTCAAGGGCAATACAGCCAGATGTCTTCAACAGGTTTGACAGCACCAAGCTTAACGAACACCAAATTTCAGACCGTGCTTGATTTGGGGCAACTGCCGTCATATAGTGCCTTATGGGCTATTAATCGAGTGGTTCTGAGAGATATTCTTATGCAGCCTCTACAGAAGAAAGACTGTATTCACTTCAGAAAGGCGTTCGAGGGATTTGAGGTCGTTCGAGGAGATGATGGACAGGACTATGTGAGAGTCCACTTTGCCGATGGAACATCGGACACCTGCGATATGTCTATCGGCGCAGACGGCATTGGTTCCAAGGTAGCCCACTCTCCCTCTTTCTTTCTCGGAACCTAACCAGACAATTTGATTCTTACGCTGATCTAATTAAGTAGATCAACAAGCAAGTCGGAGCTTGCAACATTGTGCCGGTAGACAGCCACGCAATGATCCTCGCAAAGGGCCCTTTGCCGTCAGATTGCCCACTAAACTACCCTCACGATTGAAGAAAAGTCCTGTTATGGTCTGGGCTGGAGGGGTCTCACTGTACTATACGTGTAAGTTACGATAAATCATGAACTGGGCGTCAAGATGATTTACGGACTGTTCAGTGTTTCTCCCCGCTGCCTACAAAGCTTCGCAGAGAGAAGGTCCCAACTACAAGGCCAAAGATGCGTCGTACTACTGGGGCATTCTCGTTCCCAAAGAGCGTATGCCAACAGACAGGTGGTCCAAGATCGAGGATCCCCTGAAGATATGCCTCGAGGTCACACGTGACTGGGCACCATAATTGTGAATTGTATCAAACTTCACACAACTTGAACTTAACTAACGTTGTAATTTGTTAGTCGTACAATGTTAACAACGGGCTCGGAGGGGAAGAGCCGGGACCTAGTCAATGTAGCACGCTTGAGGTCAAGCAACAGGCTCCCCAAAACGTGGCGCAAAAACGTCAAAAAGGCAACTGGAGACGAAGGCCACCTCCGTGTTTGGCTCATCGGAGACGCAGTGCATGCGATGCAGCCTATCAGGTATGGATAGACGTACTCCCCAGGCTCTGATGATTCACCATGCTGATCCCTTGCAGAGGAATGGGTGGCAACCAAGCCTTCCATGACTGTGCTGGCGCACCACCCGAGCTGCTGCGGCTTAAGGAAAAAGCCGAATCGGGAGATCTGCCATCGACGCAGGACATTAGCAATGCATGTATTCGTTATGAGAGCAAGATGATTGACAGGGCTTTCCCGTGGGTACAGAAGAGTGGAGGCAACAGTATTCCTGTAAGCCCCCCTGGACCATAAACGACCTGCATGGTATTGACAGCTTCGGCAGACCATTAACCTGGATGGATGGATGGGTTCCCTTGTTTGGATGGTCGGCACATTCTTGGTGTCGGGGTATGCCTTCATGTCTCGTATCCTGAAGTATGCGATGAGAAGTTCATGAACTGGGTTTGGGATGGTTGTGCCCTCGATAGTAGATACTTGTAAACATAGTCACTCATTCACGTAGCTTCAACACCGTTTCGCTGAAATCACCACGCATATTCTGGCACTTGCTAGCTGCCAATGATTTCACCCTTCATGCAGACGGCACCGCCCTTCTCTACCAGGATCTCAAAGTTCTTGTCACTCCCAATAGCCGCTGTGCGAATGGTGTACTCGTCACCCGCATAAAGTGGTGACATGGCCCTGTATCCAACTTGTCGTACTTCCCTACCATCGTGTCCATACAAGTCTCGCCAGTAGTCGAGCATGTTGATCAGGTTCAACGGCCCGTGGACCACAACATCCGGGTGGCGTTCAATGTCCTTGGTCCAGGGCTCGTTGTAGTGAATCATGTGGCCGTTGAAGGTCAGGGCGGAAAAACGAAAGAGGCCAACTGGTGACCATCGAAGGTGGCGGACTGCGCTGCCGTCTGCGCCTTTTAGGTCGGTGATTGTGGAGGGTCCAAAAGCTAACGGCCGGTCGCTGCGCGGTGGTGCCGTCTTTGCGGCTTGAGAGACGTTGACCTCCGGGCGGAAGATCCATGATCTGAGAGTATGTTAGTTCACCTTCGCCAGTGTTGAGTGACTAAATGGCTGACCTTTGGTCCTTGACAACCAAACCATCATGACCCCAAAACTCCTTCTCGACGTCAACCAGCACCATCTCATCCCCACTCCTACTCTTCTTCGGCGTCGCTGCCTTGAGCCTTGTCCGCTCTTCGACCTCCTCACCAACCTTGAGGGAAGTCCCCTCGAGAAACTGCATCTTCCCCCCGGCCCACATCCGCCGTGTAAACGGTGCGGGAGCGTTAAAAGTTTTGTCCGTTCCGTCCATGCCTAGCTCGCTCTCGACGCCTGCTGGGGTGAAATAGACAAGGTGATAACCTGGTGGTAGCGGCGTTCCCTGCACCGGGGCGTCTATGGAGACATCCTGCCCCGGATGCAGTTGTTTACGGTTAAGGGTCAAGCTGAGGCGTTGGAGCTGATTGGAATCGAGGACCTGTTTGCGAATGACATCTTTGCCAACAAAGGTCTCGACAAGTTTGGAAGCGGCGTCCGTTGCATTGGTGGTCATAGACCGGCGGCCAGTGGCAGCGCAACTGAGGAGGGCCGGTCGTATTCGGTAAGCCGGGGATGCCATTGTGAGAGCAATTGGGGACGGTGACGGAGAGGAACGACGTTGAGTTTCCGTAAGGATGAAAAGTCAAGTCTTTAGCTGGTTGCTGCCGTTACGAACTTTGCAATCCGTTCGATGACATGCATCATGAAGATAAAGCCGGCAACTGTCTCAATCTTGTGAAGCACAAGCCGGCAAGATGGGCCGACAGGAGGTCAAGCGCTTTGAAGCGATGCCGAATAGGGAATGGGCCAAAGGAAACGTTGATCCCCACACCATGTATGTGGTGTAGCCGGTCTCTTCGGCTATATGTCCCTCGGCTTCTTCATTTTCCACAAGGAACAAGAAGCCGAAGCCATGCTCGGCACAAGAAGCCGAGATCGTGCGTAAGGGATCCGTGCTCCCCACGACAAAAGCACAACAGGGCACGAAAAAGCTCCAGAAGGCGGGGTTAGATCGCTTATTTGCAGTTGAAAAATGCCAGAGTTGTTATCATAGGCAACGCTGCAGGAAGTTGAGCCCCTCAACTTGCATTGGCCCGTTGGCATAAAGTTGAGGGTCCAGGAATAAGCCAAGATCTTCAAGTGCATCCTCGCCCTCCCAGTTCGTCCGCATGAGATTGAAGTATTGGTCCTCCATTGCTTCCGGTCTCAGTTGTCCGGGCAGGTCTTGGGCAGCGAAAAGACCTTGCAATGGGCTCGTTCCTGATGCATCGAAAGGGCTTAGACCTGCCATCGAGCTCACGGCGTTGCTCGGCGCGGAATCTGCGCCACCGCTGTTGATTCGCTTTGCGATGGACTCGTCCAAGTACTGCAGAAAAAGATCTAAAACATTGTTATTGATGCGCCAGTATTTTTGAATCTCCTTTAGTCCAAGGAGACACATTTGTGCCCTATGTTCGGCTAGACGCCGACCGATACCATCGGCGGATTTGATATCGATTGCGTGGATGCAAAACGCCGCGAAAAGGCTTGTGAGTCTATTGAAATCAGTTTTAAGATGATATCAGAGCAGCTTTGGGTCGCTTACAGGTGCATCTGGCCGTACTGCAACGTCTTTTGTGCCAGCATATCCTCGGCTATACGGCTAATGCGACAGGCAGCAGCAAGAGCTGCCTTTTTGTCCTCTTCGTCTCGATTGCGAAGCCATCCATTGCGGTGTACTAGAATGCGAAGGTGGCTAGAGGCAGTATGTCAACATCGATCTAACATTCTTTTGAGACAACAACCCACTTGTATGCTAAATGTAACAAGCATGTTAGAACCGAAAACTGGCCGTCGTCCGGTCCTCGACGCATGTCGTCTGGCAAGCTCTCTTTCCACTTTTCAAGCTGCTGTTTTAAGTCTCGAACCTCAGCCGGAGCAGGTGGTCCTCGGCCAGGTGCGAAGTGGGTGTCCATGATTCTCCCAACTAGCAGCATGTTAGTTTGAAAGGCATTAGATCCCAAGGTTGCCAAGAGATACGTACGCAACCGTGCAATTTCGACCATCTTTATTACATAGTGGACGTGTTCAAGTTTCGAGGCACCAAGACTGGTTATTTCCTGCTCATCGGCGTCGTCTTCCAGATCGACAGCAGTAAGAGGCTCTATGTCGCAATCCTCATCACGGATCCGGCATGGAAGACCTAGTGATACAGATGCTTGTCGTTCGCGAACCTACAACGGTCAGTTATTTACCTCGTGAAAAGGCTCTCCCGGCCATGCTGAGGGTCATGGGGTGAGTTCTCACATAAACCGACCACCAGACTCTTCTCCTCATCCGTGCAAAATGGGGGTCTTTTGTTGTGAACCTTGTCCTAAGAAAATGTGAGTGTGCACTTGTTATCATGGTTTCAGATGAACTTACGATCTATGGAGACCATGCGTCTGAGCGAGGGTCAATACTGCCCCTAGCCAATATCTCACATCTCTCCAGTCTGTTGGTCCGCCTCTCCAGAAGCTACAAAGAAATAGAGATTGGATAAGGGTAAACTCATCTTTCTCCCAATTAGAGTGGAAGAGTACACGTGCTCGTGAGTAAGTCATGCTCTTGGCTTCGGAACGATCTTTGAATCCCATGGCAACAATAGTCGCTTCGTCACAATAGGTCGAACCGATGAACAGCATGGCCTGTAGCAGCAGAGGCGAGATCTCCATCGTGACAAGACGCCGTGCAACTTCTGCACGATCGAGTATGGGAAAGCACGGATGGAACCACTTAAAGTAGGCACGCAAAGCCGGCAGGCAGTTCTGCATGTCGGGAAAGGTAAGCGCGCCCTCATCCCGAAGGTATCGCTCCGTCGCCGAGCTGATGTGGTTTGTACTGGCAGGTGATGTAGCAAGGTCAGTTTGCGGCGTCTGAGGGACTGGGAAGGTCAGACGACCCTTCAAGGCCCCGTCACCGACGACTGCTTCAGCACCAGTCTCAGAGGCTCCGGGAACAAGCGTGATAAAGTTGGACTCCCCAAAGAAGCGACTGCCTCCTGTCGTCGCGCCTGTAGAATGCACCGACACGGGCGTGTCGGCATATGGAGTCTGCGAAGCCCCGGAGCTGGATAGCCCAAGAGAGGGTGACGCAGTGCTCATGGACGCCAAGGTCGCTGCCACAGCGGAAGTGAGAGCCGAAGGCGGAGCCGCCGAAGAAGCGGCAATGATAGGTTCTGGGGTCGCCGATGATGCCTCTTCCACCTGCTTCTGCTTCTTGGACCTCCGTGGGTACCTGTACCGAACTTCAGTAACCGGTGATCTGGGGCATCAGTGTGGGGACTAAATTGCGACAACTAACCGGCCTCTGCGTGAAGGCAGGACTTCGCAAGTTGCCTGTGAGGTCTCGCAGTTGGAGCAAGGGTGGCGTTCGGTAACATTGCAACGGATGCGCCGAGAGTTGCACTCCCTACACGCGTGCTTCGCGCGGGGTTTCTTGAGGCCTTCTATCGGCATATTGGGCGCAGTGTTTTTTACTGACACCAATCCTTGGAATGAGCCGGGGACATGGTGATTATGCTGCTCTAGTAGGACTCCGTTGTTGCGGTATGTCTTGCGGGTGTCTTGGAGCGTGACGCATGTTTCCCATACTGTGAAAGTGCGACGGCACATTTACATATTACCTTGTCAGCGTCACAGTTGGATACGTACAGTGTTAGCTTGTTAGCACAGTTCAAAATTAATTCGGCCACGACATCCGAGGCCATCTTACCGAGATTGAGGGGCACACCAATCATACCGAGGACCGGGCACCCCTAGACGTTTCACACCGAACACCTACAAGATTTACCACAGAGGAACGTAAAACATGATAGTACTGAAGAACAAAAAAATTTTGATGTCTTACAGATGCCACTGATAGCGGTAAGAAACACAGCTTACTCCAGTGGAGAAAGAAGTCGGCGGGTCAAGTTACTGAAGAAAAGTCAGTCAAGTAGATCTTGGGATCGTGGTGATTGTATGCGCTAGGCTGCATCACAACCGTCTTTCATCCCTCCCTTTGGGGAGACCTGTGGGAAGTTGCGGATGCAGTGGGCTCCGTTTAGTACACCCAAACTCCGGGTTAGACTTGGATTCAATGAATGATTCTTGATTGTTGTATGGATGAAATAGGTGATTCGGCCTATCCTACTATTGATTAGATACTATCTCACATCTGTCACATACGTTCAGTTGATTGATGAATCAGACTAGGTACCGTTTTGATAATTAGATTTACTTCCGGATCTAATAGCCTAACACAGGCAAGCTCCACTCAACTACATGCCCGATATGTAATGCGTGATGACTCCTCCAATATGACTCTGAGACAACTCCATTACCATGACAACACTTTCAGAATCTAGTAGCTCCGAGGTAATTGAAGGACCTTCTCGCTGATGTAAGACAGGATCATCTCACGAGAGACGGGCGCGATCCTAGGAACAAAAATCTCGCGGAGATATCTCTCGACGTCGTACTCGGCGGCATAACCCATACCACCGTGTGTGAGTACAGCGCGCTCACAGGCCGTGAAAGCCGCTTCGGCCGCCATGTACTTGGCGCTGTTAGCCGCCACACCTACCTGATCCTGACGGATGGACGAGTCGTCCTTGCTGGCATCATACAGCCGCGCAGCGTGGTACGTCGCCAACTTAGCCGCTTCCAGCTTCATATATGCATCCGCCAACGGATGCGCGATAGACTGATTTTTGCCAATGGGTCTATTGAAAACGACACGATCCCGCGCGTACGCAGACGCCTTGGCAATGGCGGCATAGCCCAAACCCAGCGCCTCACCAGCCAGCAGACACCGCTCGGCGTTCATACCATGGAGGATGATCTTGAAACCTTGGCCTTCCTGGCCAATGAGAGAACTAGCAGGGATGTGGTAATTGTCGAAGAAGACCTCGTTAGCGTCAACGGCGCGGCCGCCCATCTTCTTGATCTTGCGCATATCAAGACCTGGCTGCGACTTGTCGAGGTCGATACAGAAAAGCGAGAGCCCTTCGCTCGGTTTCTTGCAGTCCTCGTAGGCCTTTGTGCGTGCGAGGAGGATCATCTTGGAGGCGACTTGGGCGCAGGTGATCCAAATCTTCTGACCAGTAACCACGTAAGACCCGTCAGACTGTTTCTTGGCTGTTGTCGCGAGGCGGAGGGTATCAAGTCCAGAGTTGGGCTCAGTGACACCGAAACATGTTCGCCACTCGCCGGAGATGATCTTAGGGATGGTGCTCTCGAGTTGCTCCTGCGTGCCAAACTTAGCCAGGGGCTGCGTTGCGTATACGTTGGCGTGGATAGACTGGGCGCCGGCCATGCCCGCCCCCGACTCCGTGATTGTTTGCATCATCATAGTCGCCTCGGAGATACCAAGCCCAGAGCCACCCAGGGATTCTGGTAGGGCGATGCCGAGCCATCCATCCTTTGCCAGCGCCGCGTGGAACTCTTTAGGATCTTGCTCGTTTTGGTCGTGCTCTTGCCAGTAGGTGTTCGGGAACTCGGAACAGACTTGGCTGACTGCTTCACGGACTGTAAGTTGATTCTCTGTGAAGCCAGTTGTTTCCATGATCATGCGAGCTGGTGATGTTGAGAAGGCAGCAACGCTGGATCTGAATGTTGGTGCTCCCGGGCGCAGGCAACCGGCAGTCTTTACGGCGGGCCGCGCAACACGCCAAAGATTCCGTGCAAACTGTGCTGACATTTTGGTCATGTTAAACTGTGAGATGAGTGAAATGACTACTTCTTGTGGACTTGAAAATACATCCAGTCTATGAACCATAAATACCAGCTCAAAGGCCGACTCGAAGTCGTGAAAACCAATCTATGGCAACTTCAAGTCCGGCAAAAAGAACCGAAGATCCGGCAACTGTCGTCAAAGACATTTGGCGAATGACGACACCGTGGGCGATTGGCGCTAGGACTGGCCGCTGGTTTCGTTGAGTCCATTCCATATAGCCGACTTCGGATGAAGAAGCCGAGTCAAGTCTCCAACCACTCAGAGAATGACACCCTACCGCCCTTTCCCCAGGACTGGATAAAGGCCGAGATCGAGCAACAGGCCTTGTAAATGATTGTTAGGCTACGAAGAGGCACAAAAGCCGCCGAAGAGTTGACTTGCAATTCTTTCACTCACAATACACCACATGAGCTCTAGGCGTTGTACTTTGATTCACCGAACATTGACCCCTGATTCATTTTACATCTTACCGCTTTCGTCTACATCCCATAGCATCCACTATGTCCCCGCCAAAAGCAGTGCTCGGGGTATCAGTTCCCAGGATGGCTGCCATCGGAAGAGCATGGAGACCAGCTATCGCATCACGGCAAGTCCGAGCATGCACCAAGCCATTTCCCAGGCCTACGAGGGAATGCCGTCGCGCTATGGTTACTTCGAACGCACCAAAGCCCGAGAGAGAAGCGCTGCCCCTGGAAGGCATTATCGTCGTTAGTCTCGAGCATGCCATTGCCGCACCTTTCTGCACCAGGCAACTCGCCGACATGGGTGCTCGTGTTATCAAGATTGAGCGTCCTGGCGTCGGCGACTTCGCCAGAGCATACGACACCCGTGTTAACGGAATGGCTTCACATTTCGTCTGGACGAACCGCTCAAAAGAGAGCCTGGCCCTAGATCTGAAGAAGCCCAAAGACTTTGAGGTTCTCAAGAGACTCCTTGCGAAATCGGATGTGTTGGTTCAAAACCTGGCTCCCGGTGCCACTGAACGACTCGGTCTGGGGTACAATACACTCAAAGAAACCCATCCTTCCCTAATCGTCTGCGATCTTTCAGGCTATGGTTCCAACGGACCTTATAGGGACAAGAAGGCATATGATCTACTCGTGCAGAGCGAAGCAGGTTTTCTCTCTGTCACAGGAAACGGCTCCGAGCCGGCGAAAGCCGGAATATCCATCGCCGACATTTCAGCGGGCATGTACGCATACTCCAACATCCTTGCCGCAGTGATAAAGCGTGGGAAAACTGGCAAAGGGTCGTGGATAGACATCTCAATGCTCGAAAGTATGGTCGAGTGGATGAACTTCCCCATGTACTACACATACAAAGATGCCCCTGGCCTGTCCCGCTCGGGAGCATCCCATGCATCCATATATCCTTATGGGCCCTTTGAGACAGGAGGAGGCGGTTCAGTCATGCTTGGCGTTCAGAACGAACGGGAGTGGGCGAACCTTTGCCGCGATGTACTTGGAGATGAGACATTGGCACAGGATCCACGCTTCGTAAGCAACACACTCAGAGTGAAGAACCGCGATGAGTTGAAAAAGATCATTTGTAATGTCTTTGCGAGTTCGTCAGCAAAGGAGGTGCTCAAGAAGCTGGACAGCGCGTCTATCGCGAATGCCAATGTGAACGACATGCATGGCGTGTGGAACCACCCCCAGCTCAAGGCGAGAGGACGATGGACAGATGTTGAAACACCGAATGGGACGATTCCTGCTCTGATTCCGCCGGGGTTTGCCACAGTAGATAGTTCGAGAATGGACAGAGTGCCTGGCATCGGAGAGCACAACGAGGCAATATTCAGGGAGTTAGGAGTCAAGCCATGATTTCCCGAAGTGCATCATAAGGTTATTTTGCACGACAGGGCGTCAAGCTATTTCATCTAGTTCCCTCTCATTATCATTATCAACTCTTGGTAACCTAGACGAGGCATTAATCCACAGGTCAAATTTCCAATATAACTGTACATGCATTACTTCGCCTTATGAATGTTTAAGGTGAAATCAGGCTCCTCCAGGCAAGCGAAAGGCCATCCTTCTTAGTTTGCCTAGATGGCATCCGGACACAAAGGCTCACTTCGCACTTCGCGAATTTATTTACTTCTGGAACGACAGTTGTTCGTTAGTTAAGTTACGCTATATCTTTGTCGCATTTCTGGATATTACTTGTATATCTGGTTGATATTATATTACACACTTTGCATCATAAACATTAAGACTATTGTAGGAGATGAAAACAAGGGACCATCAGGCCTTCTGCGTCTTTCGCCAAGTTTCATAGTGCGACTGGACCGCTTCCTCTGCAGAACGGTACACAATTCCCAACTCTTTCATACTCCTATTGTTGTCTACCTTGAAAGGAATGCCGACGTTCGCATCCGTCCACTTCTTTGTGATGCCGATAAATGGCCCTGCTGCATAGACCATCAACTTTGGCAAGTTCCAGGAAGGCAACACTTTGGGCTTCTCATGCACCGCCCTGGCGAGGTTGGCCATGTCCAAAAGACTGACTGTGCGATCGCCGGATATGATGTACCGCCCGCTCGCCGACACGTCCTCGCCGACCTTGACGTGCGCCTCTGCTACATCCCTGACGTCGACCAAGGGCCACGATAGGTCGGGGCATCCCATTCGGTTCTCACCGCGATACATCGACTCGAGCATGAAATGGCTTCCGGAGACGGACTCGGGAGTCAGAGAGGGGCCAAGGACCATACCAGGGTTGACGACCACGAGTGACCACCGGCCTTGGAGCTTCTGAATCTTCCACGCCTCCCGCTCGGCGACCGTCTTGGAATAGGAGTACGGAGCGTAGCCTAAGCTGCTGGTCTCGTTCCAGCAAGACTCTGTGAGGGTTTGGTCCTTGACCTTAAGGACATCGGCATTATCGCCGTACATTGCGGCAACTATAGGAAAGTTAGAAAAAAGCTCAGGCATTACAAGTCAGACTGTCAAATGGCCAACCTGAAGATGTCAAAACAACACGCTTGACACTCTCAACTTCGTTGGCGGACTGAAGAACAGACTGAGTGCCTTGCAGCGCCGGCTCAACGCAATCTTTCAGCCCGTCTTTGATTTGTTGCGGTACCAGGAATGGCGAAGCAATGTGGTAGACTACTTCGCAGTCCTCCATCGCCTGACGGAAAGATCCATTCTCCATAAGATCAGCTTCAAACAGGGACAAATGACCTGGGTATTGTGCCTGCAGGTCCAGCAGTGGCTTGCATTTGCCAGCATTTTTTAGGCTGCGCACTGTAGTGTTGACATAGTGGCCACGCTCAAGGAGTAGCTTGACGACATATAGACCGATGAAGCCTGTGCCGCCGGTAACAAGTGATCTAGTCATGTTGGCGGTGTTGGTATATGTATGGGACGAGCGTAGATACCAGTACGGATGGGACACATCTTACAACTCAAGGGGAAGCGAGGTGTCGCTCTTTATGAAATATAACCCGCCTGCTTTCTCTCCTTGCCCTCATAGACTAGAGCCGCATCCCAACGTCCGGAAATATCACTTTAGTGAGACGGACATACACGGACATACACGGACAATAGAGGCCAATTGAGCCGGTACGCGTGTCTACAATCACCATTCTTAGCGCCATCAACATGACAAAGGCCAGCCTACTAATCGAACGAATCAGATCGGAGTATTCGCCACCCATTGATGATGTAAAAGACTCTGGAATTAGGACTCGCTCGTGTGACGTTTGTGCAAACTGGGCTCACGAGATATCAATACTACGGCAAGCTGCCTCTGCTATAACGACAGACTAATCTGATTTAGTCAGTTTTTAGGTTTGATAGTCTCCGATGCGGCGGGGCATGTGGGCTTGACGCGGCAACATCCATTCCAAGTTCTGCCGGTTACTGAGCTGACTACTTTGTCCAATCGCTAAGACTAGCAGGGCCGGACTTGGCACCTTTGACTTGAGGTTCCTCCGGTTACTGATGCGCACAGGCACCGCCCTGATCTCACCCTACCCAACTAACCCTGACATGTACTAATCCAAGCGCAACCAACCTTTATGATATGTCAGCATACAAGAAAAACGGCGAATTAATCTCTTTCTAGTAAGTCCATGATGGGGGTTCTGTGGGTGTGTGAGGCTGCCGCCTCAACGCCTCAGAACCATATTCCACAGCTTGCAGCAATGTCACCTCGCGGCTTTCTACAGACACATCAGCAAATGGATACTATCACAGCTCATATCCACATAGTGGCTTAAGTGATCGTCCCACATATTTAATTGATGGTGAAGATTTCACGACTCGTGATGGATCAATTCTGAAAGATCAATTATTGGATCACTAATACAGGCAACAGAGCAGACACGCAATTGAGGACTCGAAACCAGCCATATAGATAGTCAAACCTTCATCAAAATAACATCCTGGATTGGACATTACACTTTCTGTCAGATACGCTGAATCCTATTTTTCCACTATTCGTTCACCCCTTGTCCTACACTAGTAGCCAACATGAAGTTTGTCTCAGCAGTTCTCTTTTCTGCTGCTGCTGCTGTGGCCTTGGGTGCCCCAAAGTATGTATCTTAGATCCAAGATGTCCGTGAGGTTAACCTAAACAAGCACTCTTAGCCACTCTATCAAGGGATCTCAGCTTCAGTCCAATGCCTCAGGGCCCGGCTGTGGCGAGGACTCAAACCGGCTGCTCCAAACGGCCCCCACGAAGTATGTTTCAGTCAACGGCACGAAGATGGCATACCGGCGCCTCGGAAAGCGCGCATCGGCGCCTCCGCTCCTTTTCATTACCCACTTCCGTGGCAGCATGGATGTGCTCGACCCCGAGCTCATTAACGCTATCGCGAAGAACCGCGAGGTGATCATCTACGACAACACCGGTGTCGGCCACAGCGAGGGAACCGTCCCCGATTCGATTGAGGCCATGGCCCAGTCGACTCTAAACCTCCTTGCCGAGATCAACGTTCCCAAAGTCGATATTCTTGGCTTCTCCATGGGCGGCATGGTTGCACAGTACATTGGCATGGAGCACCACGACATGGCAAATAAGCTTATCTTCGCGGGCATTCGACCGGGGTACGGACCTGGTGTTGTCCAGACCCCGCCAGACGCTGCCTCTGGCCCCGGCGGTGAGCCTGACAGACAGCCCACTGAGGTGTATAATCTCGGCATCTTCTTCTACCCATCAGAAACCAGCAGAACTGCCGGGGACGACTGGTGGCACAGAATCTATGAGCGCCAGATTGCGGGCGAAGAGAGAAAGGACTTCCTAGTCGGACAAGGGGTTGCGGCGCAGCTTACTGCCATCACGGCCTTTGCCTCAGACCCCCAGATGTACGCCCGTCTTGCCAACATCACTGCGCCGGTACTGGTAACCAGTGGGCATGACGACCTCTTGATGGGAACGGCCAACAGCTTTGTTCTGCAGCAGAACTTACCTGACGCGCGTCTACATATTTATCCCGACTCCGCCCACGGCCACCTGTTCCAGTTCCCACTGGCCTACGCCAGGGAGCTCGAGCTCTTCCTTAGGGAGTAAAACACTATGGGAGCAGACGCCATTTTTGACTCGTCCTCAGGAGCTTGAAGACCTGAAAGCCTCATGTAATAGGACTTTGGTGGATGCGGTAGTTTCATCTGGTCTGGTGAGGCTTTGTACGTAAGCATCGTCGTACTTACCAAGCCAACAACTTTGCGTGGATGACTTAGCTAGCAAGCCAAAGACAGTTCTGCCATGCATTGTACCGGTTGTTTTCTTTGATAACCAAAATACATATGTGCGCACGTCTTATTTTCGTACGGTGAAGTCGTGAATGGCGTATCAGAATGGTTTCTGTCTATGACTTCGTGCTGCCGGCTATTCAGTACAGCTTAGCCCTGGCTTAGGTGCTTGTATCCAAGGCTTGAAAGGATCATTTATCCTTTCTGATGTGGAAAATACTGGAACTTTTAGATAGTTGTCTCCTTCGGAAGTGACCTCCCATTCTGCAGTTTCTTCCCGCTCGAAACGCATCATCATGTTAACCTTTAACCCCGCAAACTGACGATAATATTTCAATCCAAAGCTCAATGACCACCAAGGCATGCTAGGTAAGATAATCTTCATCATAACTAGGTTTAATTCGGCAACAAGATGCTAAGGCTACTGAAGAAGCTGCTAATCGGAGAGATAGTCAAGAATGCGACATGGATTGTCAATATCCGAGGACAGTATCGCAAATCCCAAGATCTACCTTCACTATAAGGCAATAGATGATTCTGTACCTATTTGACGAACAAGACCCGCTGACCCCGGGCTAGCCGATTACAGGCAAAGTGTAGAGCAAGGGTATATTGCTTCTGAGGTCATCAGGTTCAACTCGGTCCCCATTGTCGACCACGTCCAGCAGCGATCCATTAACATCTCCCAAGACCAGGACCCTGACGCAGCGTAAAACAGTCAGCTATACAGTGCTACCCTGGCGAACGTCCTCGAGACTACTAGGGCCCGTCAATTCCTATACACCACCCTCGCAGACGAGAGCGTGATCGAGTTCGCTAACGCCACCAGCAACCATCGCCAACATCGACTGGGTGGCGACCAACTTTTCCGGCATCAACTCCGTCGAGGCTATGCACAAGCGCTTCGAGGTTCCTAGGAAGACCGGCAAGACGGAAGTGCCCATCCACCGCATACAGCCAGGCTTCACACCGGCCCTAGCAGGATACCCCAAGGTCTTTGTCATCCACAAGGACAAGTACTAGAGCAGCTATCTCTTTAACGAGTCAGCTCTGAAAGACACCGCCGTCCTTGCTGTTAACCTGTTTCTATCGCCAAACCAAACAGGCGGCAAGGCCACCCTCCCATCTAACGTTCTTACAGGCCTCCTCGACTTCAGTAGGGTCAGTGCCGAATTCGTCGAGACCAGCAGGAAGCAGGGCAAGTCCAGGCTCATTATTAACCTCCAGGGTAATAGTGGAGGCCTCGTGTGGAATGCCATGTCCTTATACGCCACCCTCTTCCCCAACAACAGTAAGGCGCACATGAAGATGCGCGTCCATGCGCACCATCTCCTGGACTGGGTCAGGACCATGCTTGGAAAGATGGGTGCCAATATCAAGACCATGCCCTACCCGGTTAGGTCCAGCGGCTTTCTTGATAAGGACTTGAAGAACTTTACGGACTAGAGTAGCTTCTATGGCCCCAAGAAGATTGGCAAGGATGAATACACCAACATCATCTAGCCCTAGGAGGTGTCCTATGCTGCCGATGGACTCCCGCGCATCTTCGCCATCCCCGAGCCCTGGCTCAAGCCCAAGGATACCATCATTGTGACTAACGGTCACTGCACATCTGTCTGCGCCTATATCGTTGGTATAATGACCTATGAGCTTAGTGTTCAGGTCATTGCTATGGGCAGTCGTCCTTTTAATGCATCTATGCAGGCAGTTGGCGGCACAAAGGGCGGCCCCGTCATTACGCTCAGCAGCTACCAGAAGCTCTGGCCAGCCCTCGGCCCCGTCAAGCTGCCTGAGGGTATCAACGTAACAACCTTCGCTGAGGCAGACCCGCCGCTCACTAGCATGCCCACAGATGATTGGACTATCAACTCTACAAACGCCTATCCCGACAACAACCTTGGCACGCCCATGCAGTTCCACTACGAGGCAGCCAACTATAAGCTATTCTATACCAGGGACCTGTTGACCAATATGACTAGCCTGTGGTCTGCGGTGGCGGACATGAAGTGGAACGGGGCCAGGTGTGTCAAGGGCTCAACAACCAATAACGACAGCACAATGGGTACGTCAACCCCAGGCTACTCCGAGAAGGTCTTGTCAGGCTTCGCGTAGGCTGCTGGCCCCAGTAACGTAGCCGAGGGACCGCAGTCTAGTGGGAGCAACAACAATAATGCTAGGACAGATAATAATGACAAGAACGCTGCTGGCTCCCTATGGGCTTCTTGGGGCGTGATGTCTATCGCGGTTATCGCGACGACGGTTCTAATATCTGTCATGTAGATTGGGTGAGATGGGTTGAAGGACATGCAGCCAGCATTGACGACCTCCTCCGGCTTGTAATCATACCACACGCCCCTCCTTCGCTGGACTTGCCTTTCCGTAGTCCCGGCCTCGGAAGCCCTTGCGCCAAACCGACAGCCCATATCATTATCCCCGCCGACTCCAGGGGTCACTGGCCTACAAAGAAAGGACTGATTCAAAGGTTCAAAACAATGACTAGGTAGTACAGGGGCAATACATTTGTATCTAGATAGTCTGGTTGTATCTTGAATCCAGAACTCCGTACCCGCCAGCTCAAAACGCCCCAGACGCTCCTCCGGGTCCCACTGAACACTATGTCAATCGACCGATCCTGGCCGGCGCAGATACAAGGAATAGCAACTTACTGGTTGAGCGACTCATGCCAAACTCCCTTGCCAGCCGCATCTTTCTTTTCACTAAACACACAGATAACAAGTCAGCGACCAAACGGCTTATTGGAATGTACATATCTAACTGAATCACTCGCCTCCGTCGATCCCATCGTGCACCTTTTCGGCATTAGCAACTCCAGACTCCTATACCTTACAGTACCTTAGTGCTACGAGCATGTCAAACTGGGAGCGCGGCAGGGCCGCCGTGACGACCAGGCTGCGCTCAGTGGTATTATACATGGAGACAATCAGAGCCCCTTGCGCATCTGCCTACCTGTTTTTGTTAATACTGAATACAGGGGCATTATCCTTGATAAAGTTAGGTATACTATATTTGCTTGTCTTGCTTCTTATATTAACAAGTAAAATAGTTATATATGCCCTTCCTAGCAAGCGGCTCTTCTTAAGGCCTAGATCCTGAAGGCCCAGGACACAACGGCTTGCACACTTAATAAAGTAGTGTAGCAAGTCAGACAGCAGCTTCACGTAGCCACCAGGTCCCAAGCACATATATCACAAGTCATATATATAGCGTTAATATCCCGAGCCATCTTGCTTCAGCTCAACGCACAAAAGCTTTACCTCCATAGTAATATCCAAAAGGCTTAAAATACCAAGACTAAGATAATACAGTACCAGCAAATCTACCATCAGAGCATGGATCAACTGGCCTACTATGACGAGAGTCATGGGGGGGGCACACCTCCTGATACGGCTACAAGATCGCGTCGTAGGGTGGCAGAGACGTCTCGGTCAAATCACGGGGTTTGGCCATGGTGCTGTCAAGAGATACAAGAATTCTGTAATCAATTGATATATGCAGCTCTAGTGGCTTTACAGGAGTGTACACTCTTGGAAGTGAAAGTAAATAAAGGGAAAGAGGAGAGTTACAGATATAGCCCTCCTTGGTGGGTTAGATAAAAAAGAATGGAGCAAAGTAGTCATAGGAAACAATGAGATTAACACAACAGAGTAGCACCCGCCATAGATCATGTGCCAGAACAGCAATGATAATATTGTGCAAGCAAGGAACCTGCCTAGGATAGCTAGGAAAGAGATTCATGACGCCCACATCAGGACCTATCATAAACTCCAGGATACTGCCACGCCAGTACAGTACAGAAGGAGAAGAGCCATACAAAAAGGAGACCAGCAATTCGCCTGGCCATAGATGGGGGCTTGCTGGCAAGCCTGCCGGGCATCCTCCCGCCACCCACGCCAAGAACATGTTCACACAAGCATAGGGCCCAATTTAGGACGAAAAAACAGAACTCGGATACTGCATACGCCCTGTGATACATGACCTAGTTCACCAGCGCGTGGCTAGCCGCAGAAAGCAAGAAGACCTACAGAGCGTGAAGCGCCTTGGGCAGAGGCGGCGTGTAAGCCGAGAATGGGACGACATGCAGCTGGTGTCAGAAGACGCCCCAGAAGCGGCAGAGAGTATAGGTATCCCAGATGAAGCCAAAAAGCGGTGGTCCCGCCCAGTTGCTAGGATATTCCCAGTTCAACACCAAGACAAAGAGTGCAGCAGATAAATGGTGTATCGTCGTCAAGCCGCAGTATATAATCCATATCTAGTGCATGCTCATGATGGCTTGGAGAACATAGTCCGAGTATGCGAGCCCTGGAAAAGTCCAGGGACTCAGAAGGACTGTTCGCTTGTTGGGCGCAAAGCTGTAGATCCCAAGAGGGAGGGAGCACAGTGTCCAGAGGAGTAGAGTCTCAGATATCAACTAGTCAACAAGCCAGAAGACCAGGGTTCTCGAGATGCGGCCTAGACCAAACGAGATGCGGCGCTGGCATCCCAACGTTGCACCCGTGGTAGGCCGGGAGCCGTAGGGCTCCAGCCTCCGGATATTGCACCAGAGCAGGGTCGTTGCCTTTAGCTACGTAGAGAGGGAAAGACCAGCCATACTGGTTCCCTCGTCCAGGAGCAGGATAGAAGTCGTGTGCGCTGTCACTCCGATGACAAAAGGCACAGCAAGCAGGGGCAGCTCGCGCAAGGCCTCGCCACTGGCTCCCAGACACGCAGCAACTGCAGTACGTGCAGGGCAGCCAGAATCGTCCTTGGTCGTCTTGATTCATGTCGCAGGCCAAGGAAAAAGAACAGGGCAGACGAGAAGAACAAGCCAACCGGCCACGCAAAGATGATAGCCGCCATCTTGCAGTAAGATGACCAGAAGGCAGCCGTCACGTCACACAGTCAGCCGTGATGGAACTTATAAAACGTTGCCCGAGATTGGAGAGACTGAGAAGACCCATCACTCTGCAAAAAACCTACGGTTACCTACCCCAGCAACATTACTCGTAAAGGAAGGTGAGAGCCTGGTTGGTCCAACACCACACTGTATTGCAATGCAATACAGTGGCCCACCGGCCACGACCTCCAACTTCCAAAGCGATTACACTACACGGACACATGATGCTTGGCGGGCGGGCACTACACCGCGCGCAGCCAAGGTAGTAAATCAACGGAATAGCAGAGCGGCGCCGGGTCGGGTCTGTAGTCGGCTCATTTCTCCGTGCCGTATTTGTAACTCCTGTCCGTGATCATGCTCAGGTACGGATACGGCGTTGGCTCAAAGTTGAACCGACATGATGGCCAGGGTCCTAGGAACTTACATGGGTGAAGTTCGTGTTGGTCCAACATGAGCTGAGGCACGGACCACCGTCAGCGTAGCATCGAGGGTCTCGATCTGCGACTTGGTATGGTCAACCTTGAGTCTTCCAACCAACACAGTCAACCCAGTTGGCAGTTACAACTTGCGAGACTCAACTCAAAAACTGCAGGGCCGGACAAACACTGCATCAAGACAGCAGCAGCATAAGACTGAGATGAGTCTTTCCCATCATAGCTATACAGTCGGGCGCTTGCCATGCGCAGCTGCGGCATTGAGTTAATATTGTCGTTGTTGTTGACGCAGATCTCAACTCTATGTTATGGCGGCAGGGGCGAAGCTCTTTCCGTAGACCACTTCCGAGCGGAGTATGTGACGTGGGGAGCCGTAGGCTTAGAGCCTGAGACCACGTATTCCACCGTCGTTAGACATGATACAAGCCCTCGAATCACCCAGCATTGATTGTATTGTTTGCCGTCTCCGTAGCCTAACCGGGCCGTCACGAGGTGAGAAATGTTGATCGAGGGAGCAGGACAGAGCCGCCCTAATCCCAAACTGTGTGCGTCGACACGAGACGCATGATCTGTGCCATGGTTGCTAGTTGGCCCGAACGGGCTCGTAGTGTTGCTCTCTGCCTGCCTGGCGGCCGGCTGGCCGGTTTGTCTTTTCTTTGCCTCTCATCCGGGCCCCGTGGGTTTTCGATATCGCATAGCCGGGCAGCCGCCCGAGTCTCTAGAAAGGGTACTCGCGAGAGAACGAGGTAGTCCTCGCCTCGTGGCTGTCGAATGGCGCCAGTTCTGTCGATGCATGTAGATGTGTGTGAGCCGGCCCTGGGAGGTGAGGAGGGCCCGTCAGAGCACCGAATCAACGAATCAACCAACGTGGAAACAGACACCGAGATCGAATTGACGACGCAAGCAGGCCGAGGTCTCGTTCTTGTTGTAGTAGGCTACGGCAACAGATATTATGATAAATAGCTGTTGGGTCCCCGGATGAAAGCGTCTAACATCTGTTCCAACCACACACACCATCCATCTATACAAAAGGTTTCTATTACCACCCAATACACACCACCACCAGCCACGATGCCTCTCGCCGCTCTCCCGATGCTCTTGTATTCCATCCTTACCATAACGGTCCCCGCCGTTGGTCCCATCGTCGACTGCTATGTTCGTCACGCATGCAAGATCACCCCTTCGAACGAGCCCTTCTCGACCGAAGACCTGGCGAGCTCCCAGGCAGCAAGAGCTACACGCTTAGAGGCAGTGGTTTCTAATACATATACTTTATACTGTCACGGGCAGGCAACCAGGTTGCTCCAGTGGTGGCATGCACTGCTGCCGTGAACCTTCACGTGCACCCACTGTGGCATACACGCAAAAGGATACAGAATTCTAAGACGGAAGGTCTTGGAGTTGCCACGCTTAAGAGGGCAGTGTTACGACCCAACAGGCATAACATAACCAGGGCCGCGCCACAGGCACCTAGCAGTTACAGGACAAGGTTATATGCAAAATATCACAGGAACACGTTAATCCCCTCTCAGAGCAGAAGAGCTAAAAAAGGTTACATAATAATAAAAAGGACTAACATATAATAAGTAGTCTATGGTCTAGGACTAACATGCTAAGTATTTGTCTTTACCTAAGATTAACTTTAAGATATTAGTCTTAATATAGTAACTATAGGATATAAGGACATTTATTTTATATAAATAAAAAACTTTTATAGCTTTCTAGTAATTAACTTTATAGTTTACTTATACAAGTCTTCTTACTTGTCTTTAGGTCTAAGGCTGTAGACGAAAACATTATCAAAATCAGAAAGTTAATAAATCTACTAACTATAGTAAAGACAATAGAGTAGCAGAAAGCCTACCTGTGTGTGTAACTATAGATAAGTAATAATAGAGGAGAACAGCAAGATTAGGAGACTAAAGAGTAAAGGATGAGTAATCTTGGAGTGAGAAAGGGGGGCGGGAGGCAGTATAGAGACCTAGAGGAGGCCTAATAGACAGCCCCCTCCACGTATAGCCACGCCTTACAGGATATTAAGCAAGATGAGTAGACTGGGTTGACGCTATAAGTAGCAACAAGTTAACGCTAAAAGGTTAAGGGAAGAAGGAGGAGGGGGCGTGAGAGAAAGACGATTTCGTTAGGGCGGGTAGGCGAATTAAAGTAGTTACGGATGGCAAAACGTATGGCGGCGGAGCGGCAGACACCGGTTGGCGTGCTAAGTCAGCAGGGATCCTGCTCTTCTAGATAAGCCTCCTCTGGTATCATCTAGATGGAGCTGAGGCGGCTCTTTTTACGATGGCTTCGCCAACCTAAAATGGTGGGCACCACTCCTGGAAACGGACGGCGCGGAGTATAGTGTAGCCAAATGAGATCCGTCTTGGACGGTAAAAGTAGCCGTTAACGCAGTGGACGTTCATCCGGGCAGATGACCCCTATGGTGTGTCTGTAATAAGTATGATTAAGCCTAGGCGCTTCAAAAATTGGAACATAGGACAGGATAGACACCCCACTTAAAGTCAGATCGATTCACTGTTATGTTTACTCCTAAGGCTTCATCCGGCTGTATTAAAACCTTACTTTTAAATAGTCCTATACATTTAATTATATGTTTACCGCCAGTTCGTCAGTGGTAGAGCATTATTCTTGCTGTTCTGCTAGTACTGGCCATAAGCCTAATCTAGCGTTTATCCTATTGTGGACTTTCTTCTTCATGATAACTTTGGAGTCTTTGTGTGGGTAGAAAAACGATACCGCATGATTATATTTTTAGCCGTAATATAACTCTCCGCTCCCTTTATGTCTCCCCTCTTCCTCCCTATATCTACCGCCGCGGTTGGTGCGCGTTCTAAAGCTGTCACATTCGGGAAAAATCTGCGCTTCATGTCCACAACCAACGGAACCTAATGCACCAATTCTGTGCCTTGAAATGTGGCACGTGTGGCTACTTGCACTACCATAGACACTCGATAAGGTCGCTTTCCATTTATCTTAAGGCTAACTACATCAGGCAGAACGACTCCCTGGCGATTGGACGGATGGAAAGTCAGCCAGCTGTCTGGGGCTCGCATAGATAGAATGGAAGGCGACCTTGTCGAGTATCTACGGTAGTGGTGTAAAACTGTGGGCTGTGACCATAGACCCAGCCCCGGTCCCCCGCAGGCCATGGGTCTGAGTTTTTCATTGCGTTTTCCATACCTTTTTTGCCGGCCCGTCCCGTAGGCCGTGCTAGTTCCCGTCTGATTTCATATTTTCTTAAAGGTTTAACAAAGCCATCGCATTAAACAGTTTTCCTATGTTGATGGAGGCGGAGGATGTCATGCGCGTTGCGGGGGTCACCTTCTGTTGTCTTTATCTTTCCATGTTTGTTGGATAATCCAAACCTGCCGAATCTCCGCAGCTTCCCATCCACGATCAACCTTAGTGTGCTATTCTTGCTAGGATCTCGCCAGCGTGTGAGAGTTTTATGCAGATACTCCGTCTGCTGTCGTGCTGATGCCTGAATATGGTATGGACCTTGCAGCATCTCTACAACCTCTCGTATGAACTGCAGAACGATGAATGTGCTTAAGCCTTTCCGCGATTCCGGAGAATGTTCGTTGACGTTCTGGAATCCTGGCTAACTGGTCCCACAACAGATACCAGAGTGCGATTTTGTTTCCGCTGCCGGGACTCTTGCAGGTGAGCGAGCAGCCGCTCGGGTCGTCGCGAGGCAGGCCGGGAGCAGGAGGGGCACGCCGTGATCGACTACGACAAGCCAGAGGCCTGTGGTAACCCCAATCATCTCGCCATGCGCGCTGTTCAAGGGCGAGGAGGCGCTTCGAGGAGACTGGACCGGGTCACCAAGGCCCCGAGGTCCCGGGATGGCACGGCTACGTCTCGGTGTCGGGGGTAGCCAGATATGGGCTGATCTTCCTGCAGGTTTGATGCTGTGCCTTATTAAGCGATGGTGCCTAATTTAGATCCCAGTCAAGCGCCTTGTTAGCTCCAAATGTTATTGATTCCCGACAAACCTCTCAAGTTTGTTCCCGTTGGTCCGCAAGCTTGACAAAGCCGCGGTACTTCTCTCAGCCAGGAGGGTCTACCGCTTGTCGCCTTAGAAAAGACCAGAGGTGGCCCGGTATTGCTGCGATCGCTGGATTTATGCGCACTGCCGTAAAACAAAAGGTCGCCGCCCATAAGGGCTCACATTGCAAGCCATCGAGCACAATCTTGAGGACCGAATGAATATTTTGATGATACTGTGGCGCCGAGGACATCAATTGGTTCAGAAGGCACCATGGGCATGTTGGGAAGTCAAGAATAGGGGGGGGTGATTAACAGGGTATTCGAGTACCGAACCTATACCAACATCACTCATCAATATCCCCATTCATCATCTTCCCAGCTATTCTTCGTTCTCCGCTGCTTCTTTGCCACAACAACCTGCGTCCTATTGAGATCCCATGCGAGGAGTCCCAGCAATGCCAGACAAAAGAAAAACAACGCAACCGCCAGGCCGCGACTTGCTCTTTCAGTTGTACATTGCTGTACCAAGCTGTGATTTTCGGAGTCTCGGAATGCATCAACGTACTGGGAGCTCTCGCACGCCCAGGTCTCCAGAGTGAAAAGTCCATGATCGTAGTAGGCCGTGGTCATCTCGTATTCGGGGTCGAAGTGGGCACTGCGAGAATGCTGAACCAACATGTAGATCATGGTAACTGTAGCTACAAGGACGTTGACAGCCAAGACGGCGAGGAGGGCAATTTGATGGGTGACGGCGATCTTCACGCAAAAGAATTAGTAACGTTGCACCCAAAACAGATGTAACGAAGTGTATGGCGTACCGGCAACACGCGTTTCTTGATCAAGGACCAAGCAATGAGACAGGTCGCGGCCAACCCCATCACCAATCCGAAGCTAGCAGCGACGACAAGCGGCGCGCGGGTGACAGGCACAAGATGCTCCGGGTAAAAGTTAATCCATCCACCGGATCCTTTGATGGGGCTGCTCCTCGTCCCAGCTCCCGTTGGCGAACCGTTGGTTTCTTGCGTGTACGAGGTGTAAGAGACCATCTTGAAGGCCAGTGCCAGGATCGAGCTCAGCAGTACGCCGACGCTGGCCGATAGGGCCAGCAAGGCCGGTAGCTTCCGTGAAAGGGGCATTTCTACGCGCTGCTGCCGCGTAGCCTGGTTGTTAACAGTCATTGACAGTCGTTGGTGGTCTGGAACTTCCATTCGGGAGGTCAACTTGGAAGATGTCGATGAAGATGAAGATGAAGACAAGAGGCTTTGCAGGAAATGAGGAGGAGAAAAAGAGCCACCGGCAAACAGGACCTTGGATTTCTTATGTGACACGGAGACAAATGACTGCTTGCCAGACTGCTTTGCATGGCCGGGGTTAGGAACCTGATGCGGGCGCTTGATGCTTGTTTGTTGTTGGTCGTTGTTAGTTGTTGGGGGCCATTGGTTGTGGGACAGCCTGCCGAAATCGAAGCTCCGCCTCAGCTCTGCCGCCGAGCCACCCCAACGGCCCCCAGCCGCCCCCAAATAGGAGGGTTAGGCAGACAAGGCACCTCATTGTTGGTTCATCTACAGGGGGGACTGCCCTCTACCATGCTCTGGAGGAATTCATTAGGCGGCTACCTAGGTGGATACGTAGTATAAGATGCCCAGGTACCTAGGTACAATGAGGAGCCAAAAGTCTGGATACACCTCACAGTGCGTCACATAAACTCCACTAAACCACCTTAATAAACCCTTTTGTATCTCTTAAAGCTAGGTAATAAACTATATATTTTTTACTATAACGTATATAATAAGCGAGTGAAACAGTTAAGCAAGTGAAACACTAAACTGCGGCTATATCACAAAACCAAGAAGATATTAATATTAATAACAATAATTGATTAGAACTACTTAAAATCCTTTTTCTTAGACGTTTTTATATTAAATTGATATGTTTGCGTGTTATATCTTATATTCTTATAGATGTTATACTGCTGTTAACTTAATTTAGTCTTTAGCTTATAACTATTATTTTAATGTGTTTTTATAAACCTATATTGTAATGTCTTTTTATAACTATATATTGTTTATATTACTTAGTTATAGTAAGATTTCTTTTTTATTAAAAATATAATTCTTTTTTAGTTCTTTAACTTTAACTTAGCTTTTATTATTGTGTGCTTCTAGTGGTATACAAAAGCTATTCTAACACTTTTAATAATATAACTTAAAACTTATAAAGTAGTAGCTTTTATACTTATTAATAATAAGAAGGTAATAATAACTTTTTATATATAACTTTAAATAATAATTAACTATTAATACTTAAGGTTAAAGTAAGAGACTTAGAAAGGAGATCTAAAGGCCTTAGAAATATAGTATTAACTATACTATATTTCCTTTTATAGTCTATTATACTAAACTTTTTAAAAACCTATACTTTTTACGTTTGAATAACTAAAGACCTACTAAGTTAAATTAAGTTTTAAGTAGTACGTCAGATAGAACTTTAGAAGAGCTTTCTAAAGGTACCTGATATATAATTTTAGCTATAACTAGTAATAGCTTAGATATATGATGTTAACATGAGCTTGTTTTGGTGTGACACTGTGAGGTGGATTCAGACTTTTGGCCTGCCACTGTACACTCCTGTACTTTTTTTGCTTTTACCATTTTCCACCAACACCCGCTCGACTTTTCAATTCTCTCCACCTTCACGGTCATCAATCACCCTTCTCGCCGATACCTCTGTCTCGTTCCTTGTTCCAATCCTCATCTTCTTTTTCTTCTTTCGCCTCACCGACGTCAGCAACACCCGATACAAACGAGCTATGGACGGTTTCCCCCCCATGCCGGTCGAGATTACTCGTCTCATCGCCATCGAAATTGTGAGGGCCCGCGGTATCAAGCGCGCTCTGCGCCTACGCCGTGTCAATCGCTCATGGGACCACGAGATCGTGGAAGCCATAGTGGAATCAGGAATACTCGAGGAAAACCCCAAAAAGAAGGCTTATTGGACTCCTTTCAAGGCCAAGTACGTCATGCACAAGCTGCAGCAGCGCGAAGCCCTACTATCGCGGGGGCTCCGCATCTTACGCAAGGCCGCACAACGTCTCGTGGCCCTTCGAACGGGCAAACCGGAGTCCGAGACTCGAGAGGAAATCCAAGAAGTCCTGTGGGAGTTTTGCAAGGTCACACAAGATTTCTGCCGAGATACCGAGGATTCCTGGTTTGAGGTGCCCGAAGAGATAGAAACCATTGATGAGTCGGGCGAGGCTTTCAGAGGAACTCTGGTTGCTGGCGCCGTCGCATTAAACGATCTGCATCTCCTCCGGCAAGTGCTTCCGTTAGTGGAAGACCAAGACAGTGAGCATTTGATCTACATGCAAACGGACATGGAAGAGTGAGCTTGAGCCTAGCCCTGTTTCCCAAGGTCGATATGGTGCTGATACTATCTGTCTTACCCTAGTTGGGTTCTCGGCTGGCCGCTAGATATTGCGGCCTACAGAGGTTACGCCGAAGCGCTGCGCATGCTGTTTGAGGTTTTGCAACACCGCTTGGGATTCAGAAATGCATGTTCAACGGCATTGGAGTGTGCCAGCGCAGCCAGTCAGATTGAGACAGTCAAGCTCTCTCGATATCCCCTTGGCGATTCAACTTGCGACTACCCATACGAGTATTTCCTGTCAGAAATGGAAAAGAAAACCCCCGAAGTATTCGACTGCCTCTATGAGTGGCACAAAGACAACTTACTCAGGGCTCATTACACGTATAACCCTGGGGACATCCGGAATGCAGAATACGCGCGGTCAGAACTTCGATCTCAGGCGTACATCTGGGCAACCTCATGTGGCAACCTGCCCATGATGAAGTACCTTGTTGCCAATCACGGAGTCCCGCCCAAGCTTGATGATCGACTTCCCGATGACGAAGACACATTTCACACATGGATGAGCGTTGTCGCAGTCGGAGGGTATGACGATGTCATGGAGCTTTTGCTGGAAAACGGGCAAGAGATCAGCTCCCAATCACTCGAGTATGCTTGCCGCCACGGAAACCCCGCTTGTGTAAGAATTCTCCTTGACCACGGCGCCAAAGACGCTTTCAAACCAGGGAGTGCTCTGCTCGAGGCCGTCAAGGGAGAACACGAACAAGCGTTGCGTCTACTCGAGTCGGACGGTTCGGTGAGCGATGATCACAGGAAACAAGCGCTGGAACTCGCGGAGAAAGAAAGCTTGGAGTCAATGGCTCAGCTCATCAAGCAGTACATGTAGAAAGGTTAGCACAGTGCAAGAGGACCGGCTTCTTTCTGCCATATTGGCGCTGCTTTGGAGGTACTATAGATACGATACAAAATAAAGTGTTGCCATTCCGTTCATCAATATGCGTTCCGTCTTGCTCGTAGGAAGGGGATTTGAAGGAAAGAACCGCATATCCTGCCTTGAATCTGTACCTTTTCTAACAATTCCATCTTGACGTCTATCCCAGCTCTCAGCACACGATCTATTGATAGTGTATGTGATCAGCCGCCGTTCCAGCTTGTCTGTTGAGTCCCGAACTTGTTGACTTGCCCATGTTAATAATCTCCGCAACAAAGGCCCAGGTCTCCTGCAGAATACGGTCCCAATTTACATCATGGTAATTGTTTCGTCGTTTAAACAGTAACCTGAGGGTTACTGAGGACCTAAAAGACAGCATCTTACTTACTCCTTCTTATACCGACTGTGAGGGACGGATGTCCCTGGCTTCTTCAAGTACATTGGCAGCCAAAGAATCACAGCCTGGAAAATCATTGTTTCTTGCAAAACCTTGCAAGTGCTCCAGTATAAGTCAGATCTGATAATAAAAACACCCATGATCTAATCAACACAAACCAACACCCAGTCCATCTGATATGCCACCATCTATGAGAGAATCCCCCCCAGTTCCCGAGTTTCCTCCACCGGACAAAGAGGCCTCCTGCCCCGTCTATAAGTCAGTATTAATGGCTAGCTTCATCTCTAAGCGAGCTCGATGATGATGCTGTACTGGCTGCCAGGACCCTCTAAATGGTTGACATGGAGACTCTTGATCTTCTTGTCTCCCAACGTCTCGTGACGGTCCTTGAGCCATTGAATGACGCGAGCTACGTGCGTCTGCGCCGCGAGGAGCTCGTAGTCAGCTTTGTCTTTTGGGTCGGTAGATTCGCGGTTAAGGATGAGTGTCTCGTCTTTCTTGGCTCTCGGGTTCGTCTCAAAGACTTTGTCAATGGCCGCCTTCGTGTTGAGAGTTATTCCGCTTCTATCCTTGGTGTCGATGTCCTGGATGTTGTCGCGGATGACATACTTCAGGTTCTTCGGGTCTTTCTTGGCCGTTACGGTCATCCATTGGTCGTTCACCATGTCCGTCCACGTTGCCTTGGGTACTGGCTCGTCACGGTCCTTGTTCCAGCTCTGCTTAATGATGATGGCCCCGTCTGTGGGATTAGCGTAGGTTTCCATGATAGGTATATCTTTGCTAGAGCGTGCGTCGGCGTCGTTGCGGAATGTTCTGCGTTTCACCCAGAATTCTTTGCTCAGCTCATTAATGTTGAAGTTGGTGAGATAAGTGGGCTTGCCCTTGTCGCTCGGGTATTGAATGATAGGTGCAGCCGGGCCCCCAGATTTGTCATATCCCAAGCTCTTCAGGTCTTTTCTCCTATTTGCTAATATGTTAGTGGAATTGTTGCTGGGGCTTTGAGAATGACAATAGACTGACTCAGGCTCCGGCGCATTTTTGAAAATGGCATCATCGAGACTCTTACTCAGAGTTTCGCCCTTGTTTCTCGCCGCCTCCAGGTTGGCATCGGCGAACTTCGGCGTGGATCCGGTGCCAACGGGAGTTCCGACACCGTCGCCGGGTTTGTCGCCGCCGGGACCCGGCTTACCTCCTGGGGCTCCAGGCAAGTCCTTGTCCTTCGAGGGCTTTTCTCCGAGCTTGGGGAGGCCACGAGGGTCGACGGTCTCAAGAGGATAGAGGCGCCTGGCTTTGTCGGCCGCAACTCTGCCGAGCGTCGAGTCATCGGTGATCTCCGCGGTAATTAGACCGTCAGTGACGCCTGAGAATTAATTTTGTTATCACCATGCTCGATGCTCATATGTCTCCCGCCTCATATTCTTGATCATACCTCGACGGTCGAGATTCACCCCGTGAGGATGAGCGTTACTAAGGGGGATTGCGGCCACCAGTCCCAACAGGACCGCGTGAGACAAGGTGAATCGCATTGTAATAGATGAATGAGTCGGAGAGGAGATAAAATTGACAGTAAAATCGTTTGGATTGTTTTGTATGAGGTAGAAAAGTGAAGTAGTGAGTAATGCTCCAACCAAATCAATTCTCATGGCCGAAGACCACGACTTATATACAAAAATGGCAGATGAGTGTTCTCCTAGTCTCCCAGCTCTTGTTTCCTATCCTTACGCTACGCCAATGAGTCTATCGCGAACGAAAGTGCCTTGCTATTGGGGTTGGAACTAGGATCACACATCTGGAGACCCACTACAATCCCATTTGGGGTCCGGGTCCAAATACTCCCTTGGGGCTTGTCTTATTGTTTTTCCGCCCCCGCTTGTAAACATCTTTGGTGAACTCGGCCCCCAGGCTTAGGATTTGAGGTTCTTGTCTGGGGGCCAGTCACACCGTGGGGTTCTGGTAGGATTTCAGTAATGGGGTCCGTTGGGCGAGACAAAGTTGATCAAGGCTCCGACAGTCTATTTCCGCAGCGAAATCAACCAATCAAAGCATTTTGATGTGGTTCATGGCGACTAATTCTGTAAGTCGAACCTACATCGAATCGAACATGGAAGAGGTTCGTGAAGATGTCACAAAGCTGCGGATGAAGCCTTGTGAGAAATACTTGGAATGTATTTACCTTCATAGCATGGCAGCTTGGTATATAAGTGTTGAAAGGTTCCGTTCGGTTCTCTTCTGCTTTCTCATCCTCAGATCAACCTCATCAACAACTCTACAGTACTACGAATATCACAACATTGCAATCAGCATCATCTGCACCCAAAGCACGTATCTTTTCCTCCATTATTCCACTCACAGCCTCGAAACTTGTTCAGCCACAATATCCCATCTTTTTCATACCCCTTCTTCAAAATGGCAGCATTGGGTTTCGCAATCGACGCCGCTGGGCTCTTCGCCTCCCTAAGCCTCTCCGGCGCCTTCGACACGCCTTCCCCAGCTGAGGCAAAGACCAATGTCCAGATCATCCTGGGTAGCGGTGAAAACACCCAAACGGCTGGAGGCCCGCGACCTCACGTCGCACTCTGGGACGATGGTAAGCACATCCCTTGCTGTGTTCCCCGATACTTCTAACACGGTCTCTGCAGATGGCCATCGCATCGGCCAGTACACCCCCAACAAGAAGAAGATCAAGGCGGGCGACCAGACGAACATTGTGGTCCAACACACCCAAACTGAGCCCAAGGACTCGCAAGCCGACCCCTACTATGTCATGCTCTCTCAGATGGACGATGACGCCATCTGCATTTCGGCTGTACTAGTCTCTAACGGCAAGATCTCCGGTGCTTTCTACGGCGACACCGGGTACAAGTGCGGCCAATCTTGGTTCGCAAGCGAGAACCGTATTGGCTCTGACTTTGAGGCGCCGCGCTGCGTCTGGCTAGACGCTAACCATGACAGTGGCATTAACGCCCGCGCCATCAGCTTCCATCTCAACGACATGCAGCCTAACGAAGATAAGCTGCAGCAGTACTATGACAACCTTGACACCCTCTGCAGTAGCACACCTCGCTTCTCCTTCTGGGGCAACCTCCTTCCCGACGCCATCCCGCCTATGTTCAAGCCCAGACTCAAGTATAAGAACGGCAACGGCGCCGACGAGGACCTGAGCAAGGTCCTCGACGACCCTGAGCACCCATGGGACAAGGGCGCATACATGGCTCCGCAAAAGGTCAACAAGTTCAAGCGCCGGGACGCCCGTGTTAAGCGTGGCACCAGCAACCACAACACTGCCCATCTCATCATTTCCGACCAGAACACTGACGTCCGCGAGGTCTGCGAGTCCAAGACTTCTTATGGCTGGGACATTGTGTCGACTAGGCAGAAGCTCTTCTGTGACATGGAGCACAAGCAGCTTTATCCTCTCTGCGACGCTTCTGTTACCACCAAGTGCTTCGATGTCGACCAGAAGACGCTTGTTGGCGCGCCGGGCCTGAACATGCGCGATGAAGAAGTGATTAAGATGAGATTTGGAAGGTCTTATAACACTACGAATGTCTGGAAGTCTTAGGCTAAGTCGAATGGATGTTTGTTTTATTCTGTTGGTTCTTTCTCTGTCTTTTAGCATCATAGAGGTTTAGTTGGTTTCTTGCTTGGTTTTGGAATTAACAATGAAGGCTTGGTATACGAAGTTGCGGGTATGATTTCGGGATAGTTTTTGTTTAGATAAGGAAGCATAATAACACCAGTTGATTATTAAAACGAAGCGCGACTTCTATAAGGAATTTAAGTAAAGAAAAAAGAGAAGGAGCGTAAGCCTTATTTCAGTTTGGAAAAATCAACGCTAGTGAAAACTTTAACTAGGGGTCCTCAAATACCCTTCGGCCATTAGTCCACAGGCCTGAACATAACTTCCTCACAACCATCACCTTCCTGTTGCTACCAAGTACGTACACAAATACGTATAGATACGCACACGGAGCAGTCCTTGGAGCAGTTCTCTGGAGGGCCCCGGAGGGCAGGGGTCCAGGGGGCGGAGCTCCTGGGAATAGGCAGTAGGTAGTTATAGTAGGTAGAAGAACGCCGTAGGCCGGGGGTCCAGGGGGGCAGAGCCCCCTGGGAATAGGTATAAGGCCGTATGACGATGGGCTTCGCTTTTCGTTTTTGCTGGCAGCTTGCTCTTTGGCGTACAACGGCTCGTATGAAGTAAATTGGGTGTCTTTCCTATTTGTCCTCGTCATTACAAATAATCGATTTCAATAAGAACAATGTTTTCTAGGTCTTTGAAAGTACAATAGTGTTTTGCGAATTTTGAATATAACGTATAAAGCTTGTAATATACTTGATAGTGTATGTCTATAACGTTTATCACCCATTTTTAGCCATCCTTTATATTGTATATATCTGTTGGTGTCTTAGGGCGTCCGTAGACCCACTCTAGTTCTGCTGTGTCTAAAGGGTCGTAACAAGGCAGAGTCAGGGAAGGGCAGAGAAGGCGCGCAGCCCAACACACGGCCGCCCCCTTTCCACGCTCAGACAACCTCACAGGGAATAGAGCATAACAATAAGACCAGGGGAGCAGCGACGCAAAAGGTGACAGTAAGGCAACGTCGTGAAGAGCCAGGAAGGAATACAGCGGGGGCGTGAGAGAAAGCCAATTTCGTCAGAGCAGGTGGACAGATTGAAATAGTTTATAGACCGGGGACAGTACGGCGGCGCCAGGGGCGGGGCGCAGCCAGGCACCGTTTGACGTGTTGAGTCAGCCAGGATCCCGCTCTTCTAGATGAGCCTTCCCTCGTTGGCTTCTATGGGAGAGCGGACGGGATCCCGAGTTTTCCAATGGGTATGGTCGTATGTGATCGTTGAAGACACCTGAGTTGGTTATATCCCATTGCATTTTAAAGTAAGACTGAGAAGACTCTGGAATGCTTGAAAAGAATTTCTACATGTGACTTCTGAGAAATTTGTATTTCCCAAACGGAACCATTCTCCCAAAGGAGAACCGGTATTCAAAAGCGCTCTGTGAGGATTTCGTAGCGTGACCTAATTTCGTTCGCCTTTATCCTTTATCGGAGCTTAGCGCTCTACTCTGAGCATCTTTTCAAAAACCTCTCAATACGCTCCCACATTGCAATGGGGTTGGTATACATGACAAAATGACCGCTCTTCGGTATTTCAGCTAACTCAACTCTGGCCTTGGCAATTCGTGGCAGAAACGAAAGGGTGTTGTAAGTTACGCCAAACATGAACATTTTTGGACAGGGAAGCGCTTCGAAAATGTCCAACAGGCCACCATTGTCCGTGTAATCAACCATGGACTCAAAAGTCGGCCTCACTGCTTCTGACCGCACCTTTGCTCGGAACGCCGCCGCATAGACACCGTTGCCGTACGCTGGCGATCGTCTTGTCCGCTCGATGAAGGAGGCGATGAATACCTCTGGTTCGTCGGCAGGGAAGTCAAAGATCTGCCTGCTGAGGAAGCAATCCTCGGGAGCAAGGTTTCCTTTGATATTGGTGAAGCTCAGAACGGATTCTGGATTGCGTTGTGCCAGCAACAACCCCGTGAGACCGCCCATGGAGTGGCCGACGAGGTGGAAGCGGGAGACCTTGTGGGCCTTGAGCACGGCCTCTGCGACGGCAACCAGGAAGGGCATGCAGATAGCAGAAAAGTCAGAGATGGTGGAGGCACCGCTACCAGGGGCGTCATATCCGATGATGGGGTAGCCTGCGAGAGATTCGTGAAGGACGATGTCGGTGTAGTCTTCCTTTGTGCTGCCAAAGCCGTGGAGGAAGAGAATCGGGTCGCCAGCGCCGCTACGGCGGACGGTGGATATTGAAATAATAACATCGTTTATAACAAGCGGTAGCTGCTCCCAAATAAGCTCTTTGGAGGAAGTCTGAGTGCCGTCATCAGGCTTGGTTGAGTCTGTCATCATTTCAAGCTCTGAACGTGGTTTGATGGCAAAGATGATGTCAGAGGCCTAGCGATGAGATGGACTCTAGTGAGGAATTTGATATATATATTTCTGTTGTGACAAAACTCTTCTCTTAAAGGGCACGATCCGGAATCCGCCATGAGTTGCCGTGTTGGATCCAGCACGGCAGCCGATACTTCGGTGCCGTGCTAGTGTTAAGCAGACCGCCATAGTGGGGCGCTCTAACGGGAACTGGTGCCGAAGCGGTCGGTCAATGTTGTATTTCAGCCGTCGGCACTAATTCTACTCGCCGAACGGCTTTAACGCCTTGGTCACCGTAGCATCTATTTATTCCAGTTATTTGTAACAGCCCAATGAATAGACTCTGACGTCTTTGCGGCATAGGCGACGATGTTTCTTTGTATAGTGCTGGATGTTCGCAGAGCTAGGCCTCATTGACTGCAAGCCTGCCGGATGTCCTGGCTGGGGTCAGTAACTAATTTCTCATCATCACACAAGGCAGACTTGGGCGTTACGGAGGATCAGTCAATGATTTGGTAATGAACGAAGTACGCCTGTCGATGAGTCTAATGTCCATTTGCCAAGCGTAATTGCCGCCTGAAGCCACCACAGCGGAAACAATCAAAAGCTGGTCGGAAACGTATTGGCGAAATGACCCCAACCGAGGTTCAGAGTACTTACCTGGTTTGCACTGCCTCTTGACCCCAAGTTCCCGACGCGCCCTTGGAAACCTCAGGCCGTCTTGGCTCGAGCTTCGCAATGAACGGCTGGGTGCTTCAGATGACATGACGATTATTATTCCGGCATTCAGCAACCGCTGTCAGGATGAGTACCCTCAAACATGACGGCCGTGCGGACCCCCAGCATCCAGGGTTCATCGATGTGTTCGGGGTGTCATGATGGGATAGCTCAACGGCAAAAATTGATGCAGTGTTATGATAGCATCTCCTATTGCTCGCTTGATGAGAATGAGATAGGACCACACTTTCTCTCGAAGCCTGTGGAATCAGTTGATCCAGCCTCGATGACTCGGCTAGGCATAATTCAGTGAGTGCTCTCTCACTTTCATGGTCAACTAGCAATGGGATCCCAGTCCTGGAGTGAGTTGAATATGGAGCCCCTGGGCGCGGGACGCTGACTGATGCTTGTAACATTGGCGCTGAACCTAGAACCAGAATTCGATCCGGCGGTATCCCACATCCTCAGGGGCATCATCTAGCCAAGGCGATGCCGTTGTTGCTACTGGATGGGGTAGCTTTTCTCGTCTGAGACGATCATATCGGCTGGGCCAACTGGTATTATCGTCAAAGCGATCGCATGGCAATGCCTACAGAGTGAGACGTATCGGCGGGGACCCCCAGAGTTTGAAGCACCGCCATCTGAAAGCTGCTGAGCGCTAAAGCTTGTTGTCTCTTTTGCTGAGACGAGAGCTCACGGATGACAAGGAGTCCGTCCAGTGTTTCATGCCAATCAAACACTGCCTACGTTCCTCACATTGAGTGGGATTGGAATGAGATTGGGCGAAATGGAGCGTGGTGACCCTGGTCACCATCAGCGAGGAGCCGTGAGGCAATGTGTCAGTACAGGGAGTCGCATTCTCTCACAGTGGATCATATCCTTGTCAAGTGATGGCTTGGCGGCGACCAGTCAGGGGTGGGCCACTAAATTAAGAATGACATCACGTCGAAAGAGGACATGATGTGCTGTGCCCAGCCCCTTTCTCGCCTTCGCTTCCGGGTGTAGTAGCGTGGTCGACGGTGAACAGATGGGGTGTTCGACGGCCCATCTAGATCTTAAAAGTCTAGAGTTTGGATGGAGTTCGATGGAGTGCGTCACACGGAACCGCATCCAAACTGTGGTCAAGGCACTACAGCGATGGCTGCGCGTGCCATGCATCGCCATGTTGTGACAAAAAACTCAAAGCTGTTGCTCCTCGGTTTCGGTTTGTGCCACCGTACCTCAACTGAGGAACTTCTTTTGAGCCCGCATTACTTTGCCATTAACATGCGACTGACCAACCCGACCAAAGCCCCATAGCACAAACACATAGCACAGCAAACATAGCCAGACCAGACGTCGGACCCAAAAGAGACCCAGAAGAATGGTCAGCATTTGCCAAGGATGACCGCGCGGCATCGAGGCAGTGTCCGCAGAAAACCGGAGCTCTCCCTCGCTGATCGTACAGCCAAACAGCTTCATCTCCTTCTCAGCCAAGTCAACAGCGGCTGCAAGATTGGCAATGCCCAGACTAGTCCGTCGGTTTTTCGTATCGAATCCTCCATCTTCCGCCCCTGGGCGCACGTCTCGTATTCTCTGGGCAAGCGCTTGTTGACGATTTGACATTGGAAATTGAAGCTGGGCATTCTCGCTTTAACCTTACTGGCCATCAGAGCTGTTCTTCGGTTTCTTGTTTTTTTATCCTGCAGCCTCTCCTCTATTTCTCTCAACTTCTAAAAAATCTACAAACCGAACGTTCTCGACTCCATCTTCCACCCCAGCTCCAGTCAAATACCCCAATCCAAACCCCTGATCTTCACACAGCCGATTGATACCCGCAGCCGCAATATCGGCAGCACCACTTTTCTCATCAGGATCTCTAATTGTTCCATATTTCGCCTCGCCTCGCTCACAGCTTTAGCATCCATCAACACTCGAGATCAAACCTCATTCGGATCTTCACACAACGAACTCTTGATCAACCATTAAAGATTCTGTCCATCGTCTCCGTCTCCCTGCCAAATAGCACCAGTACATCACGAGAACCTACCCACACTATCCAAGATGCAGTTCATCATCACGCTCGGTCTCCTCTCCGGCCTTGTCGCCGCCCAGTCGGCGACCACCACTGCTTCCTCCTCCGGATCCACCGGCCTGCCCGGTCTCATCAGCCAGCTGCCTACCTGCGCAATCTCTTGCCTCAACACCGCCGCCAGCAACATCGGCTGCGCAACAACAGACTTCAGCTGTTTGTGCAACAGCCAGGACAAGCTCATCTCCAGCTTGACGCCCTGCGTGCTGACGGCCGGCTGTTCTACCGACGACATTGCTAGTACGTCATGCTTCCCACTCTGTACAGATCTCATTGAATCAATGCTGACAAACAAACAGAGGCTGTAAAGATCGCGCCCCAAATTTGCTCCGAAGTCGACAACAACCCCGCCGCGTCCGACATTGCGTCCGCTTCAAACCTCGTTACTGGCGCCCTTGGCACCGCAACCGGCAGTAGCGCAGCCACTGCCACTGCCACGCCGGCCGCCGCCGCAAGGCCCACGAACGGCTACTTCGGCATTCTCGGCGCCGGTGCCGTTGCTCTGGCTGCCTTTGCCCTTTAGAGGTCGAATCACACACTTTTGGGGAAAATATCGGGGAACTGGACACAGGCGCATTATCGGGGTGTTTCATTCACGGGTTATGTTTTGTTTCGGTACAATTGTGAGACGAGTGCTTGATTGTATTCTTCACGCACGTTTAGAAAGCGGATAAAGCATTCTTAGACATCTTTCTTTGATGGATTAGACTGGGTCTTGCGGGATATTTGGCCAGCCGATTTGTAGCAATTGGCACATCCGGATGCCGTTTTGTTGCCGGCTCACTGTTTTACAGTATTAAATTGCAGAGTTTTCATCCTGTAGAGATGGTCGTTTCACGGCTTATGTGTCCTGTGATCCAAATCTCGTTCTGTATCCTTGATGGTGAAAAGCTTGTACAGTCCAGCTCGCTAAGATCTTACAGGAGCTCCAGGTTCCGCTCTTTGCTTCCTGTTCACATGAGCAAGGACCCCATTTGCAAGATGAGAACCTATGCACCGCCAAGTCTGCTCACAAAACCCCTTCCCAACTGGCAATCGTTTCTCGAAAACTGGTTGCCTCCCACGCCTTCAACATTTTCGACATTACAACAAACTTTAACAATCTTCAGCATTCTTTGAAACGGACAGCCTATCATCGTGATCAGCGGTGTTCCACTCCATCTACTCGGTCGGGTACACTATCCCAATTTTGTCAGCTTTGTGAAAAGGAGTATTTGATCTGTATCGTGTGTAATTATCTCTACTGGTATCTGTGCACAGGGAGAGGTGCCGCCTGTAGCAACCCAGACCCTCGCATGAGCAAACCCTTGGCCTCCATCAGTCTTTAATCTTCAGTTCCACATGCCATGTGAAACACCCGCGGCTATCCACCGATTGGCTTCGGCATCGCTACGTTCACCTTGCAGTCCGCTCAATCAAGGTACACCGAACTATACTATGCTTTCGATGATAGCTATCTGTTATCACCACCCTCGCTGACACCCTTCTGCTGCCGTCACGAGCAAGTGGCGTGTGGAGAGCCTCTTGTCCTAATTGACCCCACCCGTTTCGGACTGCATTTTATTGACAACGCCCAGTGGTGGGATTGATGGGGAAACCTAAGATCTCGGTTCTCATACTGTATCGTTCTTCCTATTTCCAACTATTGCCATCATCATCCGGTTGACGGTCAAGATCGCACGCGTTTCCACATAGGGAGCCGATGATACCACGATCATGTTAGCATATGTAAGTACAAACTTCAGTTGAAGCTAAAAACACGAAATAGAACTCCGCTGACCTCAAATTATCGGTCTTCATCGTGGTTAAGAGCCTTATCATCCATTTTGGTAAGTTTTTGGCAACGGGAGTTGCTTCTCAATACTTTTCTCAGTTGTACTAAGAGTAACTCCCAGCCGAGATTAATGGAGCTGGGCAAAACATTTGGATGCTATCTTTTGATCAGATTGACGGATATTTTATGGTAAAGCACCCCGAAAGCTACTGGAGACAACCAATAATACTCTACTGTCGCAGCTAATAGTTAGTAGTGCTTCTACGTCCTGAGAATTTTGTATACTGTTGCATTAGCTTTGATCAAAGCCTCAATTCTATTCATGTTTCTGAGAATATTCCCTGACAAAAATTTTCGAATCATGCTCTGGGCGACACAATTTCTTAACTTCGCCATCGGTGTGGTGTTCGCCTTCGCTTGCATGTTCCAGTGCCGTCCTGTCAGCCTTGCTTGGAAGGCTTGGGCCCGGGAAGAGGCTGGACACTGCATCGGAATCCAATACATCGCATTGCCACATGGAGCCCTAAATATTGTGTTGGATGTTTGGATGCTCCTCTTACCTGCGGTGCAGATATGGAAGCTGAACGTCAGACGCCAAAGGAAATTTGCTGTGATGTTCATGTTCAGTCTAGGTTTCTTGTAAGTCCTGATACTTCATTCCCACCTCCTCATCGCAGTTTACTTTTTTTTTTAACAACGTCTGACGCTTAGCCTCACAGTTGCGAGTGGAGTTCGTATCCACAGGTTGTTGCAGTATAAGCCACAATCGCTTAACCACACTGGTAAGCAGCTCACTTATTTTGACCATTGACCTAAGTCTGTTCTCACTGACTAAATCGCGATTAGTTGACACAATACCAAGTCAAATCTGGTCAGACGTAGAGCTTGACGTGGGGGTATTTATCGCATGCATACCCAATTTTCGACAGTTCTATGTTCGGTTCATCCGCAGACGTTCCAAGAAGACAGAAATTCCAGGTCCACCACCATCGCAAGAGAGCAGTCTAAATCCAAAGTCGCCAGTACGGCCACATACACATTTAAACGAGAGAGAATGACGGCTTACGTATTCCTGATGGGCTTTTCAACAGTCTTTTGGGTAGTTGGGTTAAAGGAAGAAACTAGTGTCTGTCAGAACCGCAGAGGCCGCTACCACCTCCTGCCTTCTGGGAGCTGGTTCATAAGCAAACGATTGCATCTGAATTTTAGCTTATCTACCTGCACACTAACTTGAGAAAAGACGAATCATTCTCACCGACATTCTCTGTTTATCAACGTGATTGAAGGCAACCTTTGGTATGTAGTCTTCCAGTCCAAGTAAAATCATTTGCAATAGTAAGATGTATATTACTACCTGTGGCGCATTGTTAACCTGTATCATACTAGGTTAAATGTTGGTAGGCTCTGTTTCAATTTCTTAAACCTTTTTTGTAATCATCAGGATTCTATCTCTATAGGCCCGTTTGGTAAAGCAAGAGTGTTTCAGCATGTGAGCGGTACAATTAGTACGACTGAGAGACCGATTTTGACCCCTAGATGCTAGAGCAGCATGTTGGAGGACGGGTCAGTGACGAAACTTTTACAACTTGCAGGCGAAGGTGATTGTATGTGAATTCGGACATATGGACCCGAGGCAAAGCGCCGAATATATACAGGTAGAAGAGAGAATAAACCACAAGTGATGCGAAGCTCACTGAGCCCAGCCATCACCGCCCCAAACAGGACCTCCGGGAGGGGTATAAGACGTGACTTTGCGATAATCGAGGAAAATCTAGTGCTCTGTCAGCGCAATCAACTATATATCAACGTCAATATACTTACCGATTTGGTATCATCCGCCTTGTAAGCACCAGGCAAAGCAATGCCTTCCGGAAGTTTGGTGTCTCCTGTGCCTGTGACGGTAATCTGGTGGCAGCCGGGGTAAAATTGAGCCAGGTTACCATCGTTGTTGGTTCGCTGTAAACCGAGGATCTCATGTCTGTCATCGAGAAATCAGTACTATTTTCCTGCTGTGTAATAGGGAATCAGACTAACCTCAAGATATATTCACCGGGGTGATCTTAGAAGGCAGCTTGATGGTATACGTGCTATTTTGCTCCGGAAGACGCTTGCTGGCCCAGGGGATGGCCTCGTTGGCATCATATCCTGACTGGTCAATCTTGACCCAGACGTTGCCCTTGCTACCATCGAAATCGCTACACTTGCCACCGCAGTCGGCGAGGTAGGTCATGACTACCGCTATCTTAGCATGATGCTTCGTAAAATAAAGCTGAACATCATCGGCGTAACATACTGGGGCCAGGGTGATCGCTTTTCCACTCCGTCCACATAAACTTGACGGTGCTACCGGCAGGAACGTTGGCAGTCTCATTGACAGGCACATTGTTCTTGTCGGAGCCGATGTTGCAGGTGATAGCATCAGTCTGTTGATTGATGAGTTAAGCTAGAAGAAGACTGACTGAAATTCGTCGAGGTTTTGAATATATCATACCGTAAAGAGGCCATCAGTGACCGGGCCATTGTCCTTAAATTTGCGAGTGATCTTGTTGACCTTCTTCGAGGGGTCCTTGTAGGGGTTCCAGGTGTCGACAAGGTTCTCGCCGAGCATGATCTGCTGGACGAACCCGTGGGCAGAGGCTGTCGCGGCCAGCGCAGAAACAATAGTTATGGAAGTAAACTTCATATTGAAGTAGCATCACAGGAGCTGAAGAAGCAGATGCAAAATGTGTAAAAAAGAATGACCATCCTTCAAACGAGCCAGACAGATAAAGAAGCGGCGCCCAGCGTGCCATATATATGTCTAGCCAGTGGTGCAAGATTCTCTTGGTTGACGGATCTTGATGGGAAGGCTTGGCAGTTTGCAAAATCTCTTCATGCCTAGTTCATAATCATCCAAAAGCCAGTTGCGAATGCCGTTCATTCCACCTTCGCCGCAGATCCCACCGTAGAATGGTATGTGATTGGTCCCATCTTGGCATCCGAAAACGCTGGCATGGATAGCCTCTGTTCCCTCCGCGTTGAATATACAATTAGTCCGTCGGTAATGCTCCCGAACACGGTCTCAATTGGTGGGAATTTCTCCCAATGAGGATGCCCTACAACGCTGCAAGATTACGGTTCTGCAGATCATTCAGAGAGCCTGCCATGGCAGAAACCAAGGTTGCCTGTAAGATAGATAACGGTGTGAGCTTAATTGCTTTAAGTACTGTCAGGAACCTCGAATTAGTTAGGCGAGTCTGAAGCTTATTGAGGGGATATGAATTCTTGGCGGGGTATGCCCGTGCCCGCGTCAGGTTGGCGGGTCTTTTGGCCCCAAATTGAGGTAAGGGGTTTGTGCGGAGATCTATCTGACCATCAGAAACTGGACAAGCTGGTACAAATGATGGAGACTAAGTTAATCCTTTGCTTAGATATATGGTTAGATACCCAATGATTTGAATCATCATGTTAGCGGTTCTGCATGTTGTGTGTAACTAGTCTAAGGGAAATAGACAATGGTTCTTGTTACATTAGAGTTACATTAGAGCCACGAGACATTAACCGACAAAAATTGGCTGTGACCGGCAATGTTTTCCTGCCAAGTAGAGTATCTGCATCCTAAAGCTCGTGCTATAAGAACATCGTGCTCCCTGGTACTCTGATCCCGTATTGGTGCGTTCTTTATCCAATCTAATGGGTGGCCCAATACTCTTGAAGGTTCTTGTAAACATCATCCACTTTGCTGTAAGGGTCGGTACTAGCCATAAACTGCACAGACTCCTCAATCGCAATGTCGGAGAAAGGCCCAGCACGCGTGCGCAAGTCTGCCATGACATATGGCCTCGCTCTCCACCGCTCCTCCATCGGGTCGATAAATTTAGTTTCATTGTATCCAAAGTCCGGGAGAACAGTCACGTTGAAAGCCGCCATCATGTCGCTATCCTCGTGAATGAGATTGTGGCAATGAAACATGTAAACCCCATCCCAAGGTGCGTAGTGAGCTTCAACGAGGACTGATTCACCACGACCGAGCCAGACGACGTCTTTGAGTCCCTCAGCTTCGTAGGGCATAACACCACGGTCACCGTCTCGGGCGATAACCTTGAAGTCGACGAGGTGGACGTGGATTGGATGCGACCAACCGTCTGAGCTGTTTTCGAGTTCCCAGATCTCGACGCTGCCTCTAGGCACATTGGCAAGAATGCGATTCTCAGCATCGGCAAAGCCCACGCCGTTGATGCGCCATTCGCCGTTGGTGCGATGAAATCTAAAGTGATGGTCGATAACATTTCCGCCTGCCCCTGGGAACGGAACAGAACGAAGAGTTTCTGGGACTGCGGATGTGTCGGGAGTAGTTGTGGTCGTGCCAACGACAAACTGCATGACCTTGTCGGTGTTTAGATAGTCGTCTTCAACACCAATGCCACCAGCCTTGGGGAAGTTTCGGATCTCCAGCCTTTGCCCAGCGTATTTAGCAAAGTCGATCACGATCTCGTATCGCTCGGCCGGGGAGACATACTATGATTGGTCAGTCAATATTCTTCATCTTGGGATCATTTCGCTCACAAGATCAGAAACCTGCACAGGCTTCGTCAGAAGCCCGCCATCTGAGCCAATGACTTGGAAGGGTAGTTTTGCATTCGGCGCGTTGGAATTGACAAGGTACAACGCGAATGCGCGGGAAACAGATGCATCCAAGAATCGAAACCTGTATTTGCGGGGTTCAACGTTGTGGAAGGGCCATGGTTGGCCATTGACATGGATAATGTCGCCCCAAAGGCTATCTTTCTCTCCCTTGGTCGAAAACAATGTACCGTCCTCATTGTACTGCTTTGACGAGAGTATCAGGGGGATGTCATAAACCCCATAGCCAGATGGCAGATTGAGGGCCTTCTCTGCCTCATCCTCAATCAAGTAAGCTCCCGCTTGACCCATGTAAGCGTTCTCCGCTGTCTTGAAGTCCTCTTGATTAGCGAATAGCCTACACGAGGAAAGTTGACAGCGGTGGACCCACGATGTGCATGGCATGGTCGTGATACCACAACAACCTAGCGGACTGTTGGTTGGGATAATAGTAGTCCTTGTACTCCCCTGGGTTGGTGACGTCTTCTGCCCAACCATCAAACGGAGCACGGGAATAAGAACCATGGAGATGAACGGAATTTTCGGCGACAGCGTTGTTAATAAACCTGACTACAGACTCCGTACCGCGTGGGATGATCAAAGTTGGGCCGGGAGATATGCCATCATAGCCTACAAGCGTAGCAGGGCGGAGGTTGGGGTAAACCGCCTGGCTGAAAGGCTTGATCTCTAGCTCATAGTACCATATTTCTTTGCCTGTCAGCGGGTTTTTAATCTTCCTAGAAATCGTATTAGAGAAGTTATAGCAGGAAATAGTGTAAGGGGCTTCTTACTTTGTCGGCTCTTTGACCGGCGGAATGGGAAGAGCAACTCTGTAGATCAAGGCATACTCTGGGCTCTCCCAGTCTTTGTAAAGAGTAAATGTATCCTCAGATTGATCTTCCACTACCTGGGCAAGAGCCGTGACCTCATCCTCTGGAATCTGAGAGTCATGGGTGTTGCTAAAGGAGGAGTTCTGCGCTCGAGTACAGCTGGCGAACAGAGCGGCCTGGAGCAGACCGACGGCGAGTTCGAACCGCATGGTTTCGGTGGATCGCGATGCGTTGGATGTTATTAACTACTGGTTGATTTAGCAAGCAATGAGAAAACCAAGATGAGCTGACGAAGATGCAGGAAAGACAAGCTCAGGCTGGAGGATAATCTCATCTTATATCTAAATTCAGATGACACAGAAAAAGTGCACGGCAACGTCTTGGTTTCTAGCATGATGACGAGCTCTCTAAGAATTCAGCAGTCAATTCGAATACGAGCCAAAAGAGACTCATTTCCCCAAACTGGTCAATCTAACTAGATCGTAGACTCATACTCCTCCCTAGGACATCCACGCTGCAACTCTCGAGGCTCATGTACATGCAATCTTCTCCAGTCTTTTAACTGATAGGAAATCGATATCCGATGCAAGGTCTTTCGATTTACGAAAATACCGCATCACAAGGCGCAATACCAATAATACCACGACCTTAGCTGGCGGACTTGTGAGCAGCACGACCATCATGATAGGTTAAGGATCTGCAGTGAGTCTACATAATAGCCGCGAGGTCCACAAACAATGACAGTCAATTCTTTTCTTCCTATAGAATCGACAACTAACGCTAGGTGTCTGATCAAGTCTTGTGTCTAGGTGAACAATGGCTATACGACTGCGGTGACAGATGTGGGTCCTTCCCGGCCTGTGCGAGGCTCTCGGAAATGTAATAGTTGGATGCATGGTCACTAAAAAGCAACTTTTCGACGAAAGTGGATTTGCTAAAGCTTGGAACATGGTATTCTGGTGACATCGCGTCGCATTCGCTATACTATGATAATATACAATAGATTGATACCGGAGACTTGACGGCAATAGTTTTCAAAGCTTGTTAGGGGGGCTTTCAATGGTCTCATGATATCTTCCCATGGGTTCTAGGTCATGTATAAGCCGTGTCTTGTACAAAATTACTGGGAAAAATGAAATGCTAAATTAAATTGGCGCGGATTTTGGTTGGTTTTTGCCGTATTCATATTACTGGACTGTCCATGCTGCAAAAGCTGACACCTGTATTTTCACATATAAAACTGTCAACGTGTATCGCCTCGGTTCTCCCAGCCCTTACGAAGCCAGAGCTGGAAAATACGAAGATGCATGGAGAGTTGTAGGCTGGTCAAGGTGGATCGAGGCTGCCTCATACAACCCCCCTTCTCGTACTTTCCGCCTCCTGCCAAGCCCTCAGTGTACCCTTGCTGATCTTTTCTAGCCAGTCGCAGTGGATATCATGACTACAGGCACTCAAAAAGACGACCCATAGATTTGGCCACATGGCTTTGCCTTCGGAACTGTAACAGCCCGAATGCCACCAGCCACATTGGCTTGCCTAATTTTCACTAGCAGGAAGAATCACCGGATTGAACAAGTGAGAGCTGATAGGTATTGACAAATGGTTCTCTGAGAGAAAAACATGGCATTGACTAAATGCTGCTTTATTGCTTTTTTTTTTTTAAATTTACCTCGCCTTTCATCAACATGTGAAGGATCATATATGTTTCTTGGCAATATGATGGTGATATGCGCAGTATACACTGTTGATAAACACGCACAGAGGTCCGAACTATGCTGGTAGCTGCACACTACCCGCGGCAAGTCTAACCAGCCAAGTCATGTAGGCCTCGAGATAGACTCTTATCGAATCAGATTCTCTAAATTTTGCTGATGCAACATAGTCTGATCCTCGTTGAAAGTTTGTCTACCGCTATGTTCATAGGATCGATACATCTGTCGAAGAGAAACGGTTTGACTTGAACACTATTCATGTATACAAATCATCACTCACAAGTGGCTGGAACAGCCCTTCAGAAATAGATAACGATAAAATGATTCGACACAATAATGATTCGTGTTTGACCATGCTTAGGACAGGGAATTAGTTGAAATCTTAACCGATTGGGCCGCCAATACCACGACGTGCATGCTCAAAACATTAGCGTAGCTATTGCCGTGCATCCTTGTTGCATCCAGACCCTGCCACTGCCGGGCCCGTACCGTCATTCTACCTGGCAGTAGGATACCCAAACCCCCCTCCCGAGGGCATGTAGAGCCGGGCATGTAGACTATGGGGGGTTCCATTGGCCGACCCAGAATGGAAGGTGCCAATGCCAACCAGCTACTAGACAAACTTTCAAGGTAGCTCTTGGCGGGACGACCCTCAACCCATGCATTAGGGGCATCGAGATGCTGGAAGTGAACCTCAGAAAAAGAAAACTGTTCGACACCGTGTATTCTGTATTCAGAGGTGGCAGAGCCTGAGTTGTCCATTAAAGGGCACCGAAACTTGACGCTGCTTTGAGGCAAGTATCCGTACATTAAACAAGGGTTAGAATGTTCCTCAGATGTCGATTAAATAAAACTCCTCAGCTGCATGTTCGGTTCTGTCGCCGACCTTGTGCAATTCGCAGCTTAGATACTGCTTGGTCATGGTAGCAGCTGTTGCCAAGATCTCGTACCGCCATCCCCCGGCGGCAGCGCCTCACTAGCTACGATAAGTCATTGGCAAAATCTGCTACACTGAGTGTAACACTAGGACTTTGTATGGCCCCGAAGGGTTTTCATGTTTCTTAGCCACCGTTAAGCGGGTTGAGTTTGTGATAAGCACTGCATTGTTCTAAGCAAGACCTAGTTCCTTAAGCCCGGTTGTTCGTTTGACTGACCAAGGTTTGTTAGGTTTGCATTCGGCGTGTCCTTTCACCAACCGACAACATGACCAACAAACCAAGAGTGATCTCTTTGACCGAATTCTGACCAATACCTAAAGTGAAACAAAAGTGTCTGCGCTGCGTCACAGCCTGTGCCTGAGAACGAAAGTTTCGGCAATTTATTGTGGGTGTTGCATCCTCGACACCACGAAGAAGCGGCTCGCCGATTCTCGTCCACCGTAGTCTCCCTAAGAAAAACTCGCTGAAGGCTCTTTTCCCGCAGCTCTTATTTCCACCGGCAGAAGTTGCCAAAAAGTTTCGGCCGTACCTGGATGCCATGTCGCATCCTAGCATCCAATGTGACCCCCGCAACTGGGGTGCTCGAATTCTGATTCAGCATCCTAGGCTGGCAAGTTTTACCGACTCGGCTCGACTTCACTCCGAACACATCCCGGCAAAAGTAGCCAATTATAGAGAGGGAACGCGGCCGCGAGGAACTGTTCCCGCAATGATCCTTGCGAAAGCGCTACGGGAGGTGGAGCCGCATTCAAGGTTCCCATAGCGTCTTTCTTCCTAAGATGTTGCGTCTGTAATATTATTCGACTAATCATGAGCATGTCATGTTGAGGAATGGTTCAGTCAATTTGGACAGAGGGAGTTCTTGGCAATGAAGTCAAGCGAGGCTACTAGGCAAGTTGACATGGACTTCGGAATCGGAGGCATTTCTATTCTCCCTAGTACGTCGGCAAGCTGGGTGGCATTTTAGCCCCAAAAGGCCTCGCTCATATCGGCCAGAATCCTTTCGTTGAGTCCAGCCCGGAATCCTTGAAGACTATTGGTTGAAATGATGCCTTTTACTATTCATTGACTCAGAATATCACCTGGAGTTACTCTGCAGGGTCCCATTCGGCGCTTACGACAATTTCTTATTCACCGTAAGTATGCGTTTAGGGAATCATCAGAACATAGGAATTTGATGATCTTGGCAATGGTCACTAACACGGAGAACAGATCATCTATGCAGTGTAGTGTGCTTCGGATTCAACAAGTCGAGTAATCTCCGATTATCGATGGTGCAAGATGCCTTCTGATAGCAATAAGTGGAATGAATTTGAAGTAATGCCGCTTATGGAAGCGATGGATTTCCTACGGTTCGATGATAAAAACAACGGATCTCCCGTGAAATGTGAAAGTTCGCCATCATGCTCACCACCTTCTACTGTTACATTGTGCTCATTACTCAATCATGCGGTACCTCCAGCTTTTCTCGGCTTTCTCTGCTCTTGTTGCCTTCGTGGCGTCTCAAGAAGCTCCCATCTGGGTTCAAGGCGCGCTTGAAGATGCTACAGCCACAGATGATACATACAATACCGGGGGAACGATCATAGTGAATGGATTTACAGTAAACGTTCCGAAAAACCTTTTGGTACAATTCCCAGCCGCCTGGGTTCCGTGGAAGGAGTTCGTCGCCAATAAGGAAAAATTCACTGGCTATGAGACTCTGGTAAAATCAGGCCCTTTTGCAGTTTAACACAAAGTTGATGGAGATTTGCTGACATTTTCATACCCAGGTCATGGGTAACAGCATCAACGGGGAGCCTCGAGTCGCTCAGATTCAGCTCTATGAATTCTTTGAAGGCCTCAGCAGTGGTTTTGTTGAGTCTGTTGACTTTGCAGACGGAAGTCTCAAGATTCAAAACGGCCCTGTCGTAAGGATTTCTGATCCCAATTCTGTTTTCTCCAAGGGTTACTCAGGGGCACCTTTGATGACTGCAGATGATCAGAGTCCCAGTATCACTTCTTTCTCTGGGTTTCCAATGTGTATTCCACGAAATGACACAGACCCTCTATGCCCGCTTAGCAATCGACCTTTCATTGGGCCAGGCACTTTGTGGGTTCACCCGACCAACACCACCGTTCTAAGCCTTGACTGATGACTGTCAGCACTGCACCTGACCCGGTTGTCATGGCTCCGTTCCAAGCTGGCGACTTCATCACATTTTCTGGGTTCCGACAGGGTGGAGAGGTTATTGCTCTGAGTATCGTTGCACAGAACGTCCAAATCAACACTCTAGGCGATGTTGTCTATGTCAGAATGGAGTTGGGCTTGCTTGGCATAGACAATCCCAGCCCGAATGCAGAGATCGCCGAGTCTCGAGTAAGTCATTGGATGCGAGCCACTGAATGGCCTCGACTGACGTTTCTCTTCAGTTCATCGGCTTCGTCTCCAACAATCGTGCAACGGTCACTTTGTATGCAATGGACGTTGATCCCTGCACAGGGGCCACCACCGATCGTATTGTCGCCTCTATGGGGCTTCGGGGTGGCCGAAATGCCCAAAACAAGTTTGAATACCGTAACAACATTCTCTTCCGGTACACTCGAGAGTATCGCGTCACGGCTGAGATTGATGGCGTTACCAAGACGAGAGTGACGAAGAATGGTATCACCGCAGGGACTTATGTGCAGCCCGTTAACATCTGGGTTCCTGGAGAGCAAGATGTTCCCGGAGTACCACCAGTCTCGTACGACTTTTCGCAAATGGAGTTTTTGACCAAGGGTGTTGGCACTGATGATGAGGGCAACATCTGGGGCCCCCTTGAACCTTTCCCGCAAATCGGCGTGCTAATCGAAGCTCCGGCATGCACGACGGCTAGGGAACTTACAATTGAGAAACGTGGTCAGACTGGGCGGTGGTATGGTCGGGCCCGTGTCAATGCCATCTCACAGGCTGACAACGTTAATACAACCGAGCCTGTGATCAACGTTGCTCCCGAGGAAGCCAAGGCTATTGCAGAGAAACAAGCAAAGAAAGAGGCTATCGATGGCTTGTCTTGAAGGCCAAATCAAGGGACACAAACTCCTAACTATCAATGCTAAGTCAATACGTATTTGCAATTTTGCTTAGTTCCTTAGTTGCTGGTGTCATTTCAGTATATGGGTTTGATGATAATTAGTTTTTACTTTAATATGGAATGGCATATTGGAAGCATGCAGGGTGATCAGGTCTATATTGAGCGGTGCGGTGCGGTAAACAACCGCAACCTACCCCTATAGCCATGCAAGATGCTTTTAGCCAGTTGCGAATCAGCTGTCCTGACCAGGTCAAATCCGCGCTAATCAGGCTTGGCCGTAGCGCGATGGGTAAAGTCAAGGCTCCCAGAGTTCTTATGTAGGTGTGATCAGGGTGTTGGTCATCGCGAAAGACACAAAGGATGCTCCCGTGGGCACAGAAAAGTCAGTTGAGTGTGTGTTGGTTGATTGTGTCTGATCTGTGTCCCCCCAATACCAAAGAGGTTTCTAAACTTCTGATCAGACCCTGCTTAGCTAAGAAATTAAAGAAACCAAACGTAAAAACCACCTCCATTGGAGCAGGGAACCTTGCCCCGTTCCAATATATACAGAAATGTACCTCAAATAAAGGCCCTGGGGGAATTGCGGCAAGTCAGTTATTGTCTTTGTTGAATGGATATTCTCTTCCTGAGAGAACCCGTTTGTACGATCGTACTCGGGTTAAAGTTACGGGTGAACCAAAGATGTATTTTCCGTGATTATCTTCCTCACTACAAGACTTGGCTTTCGTACACGAGATATATGATCTCGTACGTCCCTGAGTTAGTTCGGCATGAATATACTTTGATTCCCTCAATGGATAACCGAGGGCCGAATATCCAGTCTGTGCCCTCTGCCATGGTGTGTGTCCTTGAGTCGTGCGTGTCGTACAACCAGCTGGTGCTGTTATTCCAACAGTCTTCCTTATACTTCTCGAAACTTGAATAGAATCACAGCACGTAATGACATCTTTCGATTGGACATCAGCATGTCTCGTTGACCTTTGGTGAATTGTGGAGTGAGCAGAGTACATAACTAAGAACCCTACCAACCTTAGATCTGGCTTTTCAATGTCCCCGGGACCCTCATCGAGCACGTATCGTAAGTTCTCCGCCCGCATTATCTTCTTATATATGTCTTGGTGCCTACATCGTTATTAAATTCAAATCGGACATAAATTTCTGTTTGTGATTCGGAACGCTAAATTGACTTGAATCGGAGGATAGCTCAGACTTTCGTCTGTTACAACGTTGGATAAATCTATGCGCTGCGGAAAACAAAAGAATTCTAATCATGGCGTGAAAAATGAAGACCGATTTTGAGAAGGCCATACACAGTGCCATATCACATGTTTGTGAATGCTGGCGTTTAACAGTAGTACGTTGAGTAGATTTATAGAACACATTTCACTTCAATCATGCGAGCAAAACAATGAGCTTTAATTGTAGTTTGATGACTTGTAGACACCAGAAATGTTGAGTCTATTGTCTCGTGCACTAGCAAACCTGGTCATATCCGCCTTGATCAGAATACAACTTCATTGATTTCAAAAGCCAGAACACCATCAAGACTCGATGCTTAATGCAGTAGGATTGGTCCAGTTGCTGTCTCCCAGATGAAGCAGGAACCAAGATCGATAACGGTTATGCGTATCAACTTTGGATGAAGACTAACTACTGGGTTGGGATCTTCAACTTGAATTTTTCAAACACTAGCCAGACAGCAAAAGTTTTCAAAACACGCCTTTCGCTCAAAGCATCTAGGCTATAGCCTGATAAGATTATGACACCGTGGCAATAAGGGGTTAGATCTGCCTCATTGCGGCTATAACTGCTGTGAACAAGCCACACCGACCATGCGGATTTTGCAAAGTAGTTGTTGAACAGCAGGTTGAGCTCAGGACACAGTACTGCAGTTTGACATCCATCGAGCTATTAGCCCATTAGACGCTGAGCAAGACCAACTTCAGCTTTCTTGAGTAAAAGATCCTTCCCAGAAGGAGGTGCCAACAAGGTCAAGAAATAGGCAAATTGGTAGTGATCCGAGTGACTTGGGCCGATGCAGTTGGGAAGAATGCTAATCAAGAATAGAGACCGTCAGATAGGCGATAGAATTGAAGAGAACGTAAACAATAATAACAGAAAAGGTAGGAGAAAAAGAAACATTGAAAAAAGAAAACAAGCCGAGCATGATTAGTGAACTCTGTACGTCTTTCGACATCATGAAAAACGACATGTATGCGCAAGTTTCCTCGAGCATGCAGACCATCTCAGTGCAGCGTCTTCGTACTCACGGTACGGCAGCTCGAGCGTGTACGCTTTTTGGGAGAGCACCTACAGCTGCCGCAGCTTATAGTTCTATGCATGAATATCCGCAATCATCGATACTAATCACCGTGTCTCTAGACGATATGTTTTGTACGAACAGAGATTTTTGGACCTCGACTAACGAGTCTTTCCAGCACCAGTTGATGATTTGCCGATACGGCGCATCTCACACGGCGTGCCCAAGTGCCGTTCGACAGATTCACCAGGGCTATTGCAAGTTGAAGCCGCTGTTGGCGATTGGCTTTATCCCGCTGATGTCGGCGTAAATCTTCAAGGCTCATGATACCTCTAGTCGATACTCTTCTCAGCCTGTCTGCCCATTACACAAGATTTGATGTTGCGGAAAGTCAACGCACGACTGTGTCCCGAAGTGGTGGGCAAATACGACATTTCCATCAATATTAAGACAAATATCAATACATACAAGACCTTATTTTAGAGTGTGCCAAGAATTTCAGGTGGCCTTGATTGATGATCCAGAAGTCGAGCTGGCGCTGGAGGATTTGCGTTACCCCCAAGCAAATGTCCTGGCCATGTTCCGTCTTAAGCGAAGATCTGGTGCCACTCCACGGCAAAAATTGCCGCCAACCTGATACAGGCACTACCAAACCAGCCGGGGCTGGCTGTGCAGGGATGTGCACATCCTCTACAGTGTGCAACTAACACTTTGCCTGGAACAACAATAGCGCAACGTAGTATAGTCATGTGGTACTAGATGGCTGTGTCGATTCGGATCTGGCTCATGACTCCTCTTGAGGGTTCGTCTCAAACAGCGCGCTCAATTCCTCTTGAGCGGTTATGAGGCCGTTGTCGACAAGCCCTTGAGACAGGGTTGGGCGATCAACTTCGGCCGATGTATCCGTCCGTATTTACCAGCACTCTGTCTGTACCGAAGTGATTAGTCCGCTCCCGCCGAGATTTGCGCTTTTGAAGTGTTGCCATCCTTCCAATGTAATTCAAGTCATTTTGAGGATCGCCACAAAGGTCGGTGGCCGGCGGCCGCGAATCCATTCATACTGCAACTGATCAACGCATGCCAAGGCCCGGAGAATAATGCAGTTTTGGGGCAGCCCATTGTTTTGTTCTACACTACTCTTGGCGCAAACAAGCCTCATGCAACTAGAACATCACACGTTTGAAGAGACCTCGTTTCCGTACTCCTGGCCACCAAACTCCCCTAAGGGGCGTCTTTCTAATTAGGGATTCCAACAAGCTTAAGATGCGGTGCCAAGGCCATCCCTGCAATTGTCTTTGTTAAGACACGGGCTCTCTCTTTCAAATCATGCGCAACGAAACCCCTGGCGTGGGGAATCGTGTTTGGCAGATCAAGCTTGAATCCGGTCTCGAGATGCCGGGGTCCCGGGAAAAGCTTTTTGGCCCATCTGCGGTCCAATTGCGAGCTGAGTTGCATTGACTTTTGAGCTTGAAACGGCGATGCAGACAGACTCTGCAACAGGATTGGTGAGGGGAATCCGACCTAACCGACCGTCACAGCTAGGGGCACCCCGGTCTCCGGAACAACAAGCCTCGTTTGAGCAGTTGATGTGACGGGACGATCAGGTATCTGAACATTTCTCGCTACGCGATGAGGCCCAGGGCTGTCATCTCGAGTGAAAAAAATAAAATAAAAAATTCGTCTGTACTTCCGCCGAGGAGATGCTGGGAGTGGCGCCGCCATCCGGAGTTTCAAGGTGTGACAGGAAAGTAAGTGAGCACTGAGCATGGGATAGTACGCCAAAGGCGTATATAAAATAGCCGTGCAGAATCGTCGAATTTCAACAGTCTTTGACCTTTTCCTTGTGCTTCTGTCCAAATTACTTCATTTTACTTCTGACTACTATATTCATTCCGTGCTGCGCGCGGCCTTCTTCAATCAAGCCATCTTTCGTTAAGACCTGGTGTCACACAAATAATACTACAAGCTAGTCAATATGAAGTTTTCCGCTGCTGCTTTCATTGCCCTTGGCTTTCTCGCCGGTAATGTCGTTTCTGGTAAGTCGGTTCCTGCATGCTCATGCATCTTGGCTGTATGCTAACAAACTCCTCAGCCCCTGGGTTCCAGTCTAACGATGTCGCCCTCCCTGTCGAGGTTCGTGCCGAGGACTTTGTAGCAAACAACGGCGCCCATCTCGAAGCCAGAGCTGCCGCGGGTAAGGGCAACACCGCCAACAAAGCCGCAAAGAACAAGGGTGCTGCTGCCGCTGCCAAGAACAACAACGCCAACGCCGCGAAGAACAATGCCGCGAAGAATAATGCCGCGAAGAATAATGCCGCGAAGAATAATGCCGCGAAGAACAACAACAATAAAAACAATGCCGCGAAGAACAACAACAACAACAACAACAACAACAACAACAACAACAATGATAATGCAAACGCTGCCAACGCTGCAAAGTTCAATGGTCTGGCTTGTACCGATGGGAAGGGTGCCGGTGCCTGCAACGCCAAGGGCCAGTGCGCCGTCAACGGCAAGACTGCAGCGATCGCTGGTCAATGCGGTGTTGCTGCTGCAGCAAAGGCTAATAGATTTTAAGCCGTCGATGTATCTCACCTGATCTGAGTCCGTATTAGACTGAGATAGGGGGGTTAGTACAGCGGGAGCTTTGTGGAAATGACTTATGAAAGGGTGGCGGTTTTCGTTGCTAGCAAAGTCGGCCTTGTACATGTATAATGGAATTGAAATGAGTTGTCACAACTCAACTATCTCGTCGGTTTAATTTTTCAAATGAATAACTCGTTTTAGTAGCTTTTAAAACGTCTGCTCTAAGCTAACTAACACTGGAGTCAGACTTCCAATAACCGATTATAGATGCAGAACCAGTGAGGTCGTTGTTGAATCTATTTCAGTGATTTTCTCGAGCAGGCTCTATTACGAGCAGACTTATATGAAAACTCGGTCTGCTTTACAAATCCCGCATGTAGCAACATGTCAAACTATTCCTCCTAGTTGGATTCTCTGCATTTCTTGCCACAGTCTTTTTGGTATGCGGCCTTGCCCTGCATGATTCTTTGAACTACGTATTGGTATGATCCAAACTGTTTTCACACGTGCCCTCCTCATATTCAGATGCCTTTTCACAAACCAATACTGAGAAAGCGGATTTTACTACTGCCTTTGATTTCGCCTATTACTTGTGACTTAGGGCCCCCGCATGCGCCACTTAATTGTCGACGCAGGCTGCAACCACAAAGAGAGGGTTGGTGGTCTCTAGGTTAGATTGCAGAACAAGGTTTAGGTTTGTTAGAGCGTCAGAGCCGCGATACTCGTCATCAACACGTACTTTAAGTTCTTCGACAACGAACTTCATGCCAATCTCGATGGCAATACGAGCCGGGTGCGTGGGAGGCAACGCCAGCTGCTCTTTACAGCACTTGGGCCCGTTGACCGCATCTTGTAGATCAAGCCCCCATCATCGATCATCTTCTGCCAGAACTCCACGTCTCTTTCATGTTGTATTTGCCGATGTTTCGTCTCGACTGCCGTTGTGGGCGTTTTCGGGACTTCACCCCGACTGGAGCCGATTACCTCCCTGCTTTTCAAGACTGTTCCGATCAGAAAAAGCCACCTCCAAGTCGTGCGCTTCAAACTTCCTTGTAGCAAAGAAAGTCCAGTACCAATCTGCCAGTTCTCAGCGGCAATAATCATTGGTATGAGTCCTCTATAGTGGCTTCGTTCATGCCAGACATCCCTCACATAGATGTTGGCTGGATCGCATTTGAATTCATTGAGCATCAATCGCACCAGTCTCTCATCTCCTCGTCGGGCTGCTGTCTCAAGGGATGATTGAGAAAGAACTCCATCAAACTTCTGGACTCCGTAGTTATTGGAGTGGTCCCAGGTTTGTCTTTGGAAATGCATGATGTAATGGCGTGGGACAGCATACGGGGACTCTAGTAGTACACCAAGTACTTCGAGGTTCCCGTGGATAACGGCTTCTTCCAAACATGATTCGACAACCTCCACCTTCCACTCTCTGATGCAGGTGGATTCGTCCTTGAGCGGCGAAAGTTGGTGTTGAAGTATGAGTTGAAGCGCTCCTGGTTGAGATGAACACACAGCTTCGAGAAGAACCTTGAGAAGTGTTTTTGGCCGTAACAATCGATCAGTCGTCTCAAGCAAAGCTTTCAAAGTTTCCATATCCTTACAAGCCAGCGCCAGTCTCCAGAAATGTTTGTCGTAGTACTTCTTGCCCTCCTTCGTTTTGCCCTCAGAGTTGACTGCTGACTTTCCTAGTGTTGCATCCACGTCGTAGTTCATCAAGCGTGCGGCAATGTGAGTATTACCGCCGCGAATTGACGCTTCCAAAAGCGATCCTAGAAGAGGCTCAACCTTGTGCTTCTTACTATCGTTTTTCTTCTTGCTTGACTTCCTGAATGTTGATAGTGACTTGGGTCCCCTCGTGAAGAGCGCGTCTAAAACTAGTTTTTCCGCTTTGGGGTGGTTGAGGTAAATCATAGCAGAGAGAACAGCAGTTTCGAAGTTTTCCGTAGTGATTGTATGTTGAGCAGGAAACAGCAGGGACTGAAAACGGGGTTTGAAGAGATGGCAACTGCTGTGATGCCTCACGAACCTCGGGATGTGAACGCCTCTCTGACAAAGTGCGTGAAAATACTGGAATCTCTTCTCTTCATTTGCGTCGTCGCCATCGTCATGCATTATTCTGTCGACAATCGCGTTTATATACGTGGAAAGGTTTGCGTTCCAGGGTAGGTGGCGGTGAGGTTGAATCATGAGGTATCGGGCCAGAAAGAAGCTTACATCGCCGATATGGTGGGTCCTGCAGTACCTTGAAGCAGTCTGAGCGTGGCTGTGTTGTCTCAGTATCCCAACTTCGGGGTTGTCTTTCATCTTCCGCAACAATTTTGTGGCGTGAATTGCGTGCATGACTTCAACCTCGAATACTTCTGATTAACGTGTTAGTTCATCTGTTGCTCTCCATCTGGTATGTTCAGCACTGCGTTTAACTTACTCGAGACACGTCGTAGGCCGATTGCATCTCTGAAATTGGTTTCGCTTTGGTCGTCGTATGCGATAGAATATTGGATGATAAGCCGAAAGCATTCCAAGGGCAGATCATGTATGCCAACTAGTGGCGATTGTTCATCGGCCTTAGCAATGTCTGAGGCGATATTCAGGCTAGCTAGAGCCTGCGTTGTAATTTGAATCATGTTGTCGTACTCGTTGAGTGATCCTGACTTGCGCGCTGGAAGTAGTAATATGGGTGTTGTGCAAGAGCAAGAAGACGACTTCGTGTGAACATGGCCAAGGACCTGCACTGTTTCGTCCCAATACAATGTTTAAATAATAAAAAAGATGTTTCGACTTTTTGTCTGTGTTGATTGCTTCAATCAAGCAACGACCAGTTTGGCCTCCCTGTAGTTAGTTGACTCAACCACATAATTCTCCACTGAGGCCAAAAGATACTTGAGGCCATTCGCGTCGACTGTGCCACACTCTTGCAGATCGAACAACACAACTGCTTTAATGTGACAACACTATACACAATTTCCAAGCGACAAGATATTAATTTCGTCAAATATCTTTTCAGAAATGTTTCGAAAAGCTTCCGGTTGAACATTACCCCCCGAGGCTTGTTTTTATCCTATTTCACAACGGGCCCATCGATGTGTACACATTCTCTATGAACTTCCCGCGGTTTTTCCTGAGTCCTCTTGAGAGAAAATTCTATAAATAGAAGTCTACTGTGCATTTAGCTTATCTATGACGACACAACCACCAATGGAAACTACCATTCGACCGATATTGATTGATTATGGAGGAATGGACTCAAGCTATTTCCATGTTGATTTCATAGTCACTTCGTTGCTGAATATCGCAACGTTTGCGTATTTTCCCTAAAAGTCTTTCTCTGGTCACCAGACGGATGGTGTCTTATACGTAAGTAGCCTCTGGCAGTAATACTGTTATGGCGGCGACGAGTCGTTCTCCTGGTTTGAAAAGGCTTCAAGGCACAGACTCCGTGCGAGAAGGGATAATGCATACCACAACATCCAAGAGAAATTCTTCAGCGATGATGATCTCACATTCGAACAACATTTTGGTGTCACCATCAAAGACAACATGACTAACGGTAACGTAGAATCTCTCTGCATCGTCTTCACAAAATCTCGCCAACGCCTGACCAAGCTTTGAAGAGAAGGGAAAGGGAGTGGATGACAAGGCGAGAGCTTTAGCCATCCGCAACGGAGGTATACTTTGAGATGTTCCATCCAATGGGAGTTTCCCGTTGGTTTCTGTGAACGTAGATCTCAATCCACAGTTATTAGCAATTAAGATTGATCGGAGAGAAGTCTTGACCACTAGACTGCTAAAAACCTGATCGTAAAACTCACTATGATTCAGTATTAGGATGAAAATGCAAGCATGAATCTAAAATGCGCTTATGTCGGTGGCAGAACGTGTCTGAGGACCCAGGCGCAGCCTTACTTCCTACCCCAATCTGTTGCGTCGATATTAGCCATAACGGTCTTGAAGTCTCGACCTTCTGGCAACTTCATATTTACCGAAATTTCTGCTCGGGGGCCCTACTGTGAATCCCAGTCCCTTCATTATTACATCCACGTTTTCCGTCAGCTGAATGCCGAGGTCAACAAGTTCCCATTTCTTCGGTGCCCTTTGGGTCGCGACCTCGCCATTGGGGAGTTATTTCTTCGGCACTCGATATCCGAAGAGCATAACTTCCTCTTGTAAAGTAACCTAACAACAAGAAGCTCTTAGACAAGAGGGCACTGCAAACTTTGATTGCTCGCGGGAAGTGCGGGAGCATTTCGGCTCGTAGCGACGTGTTATTGATGAGGTGCCAAGACTATCCTTACTGAAGGCTTGCATATGATTGGTCACCAAGTTCAATTTAGGAGAAAGAACGGATTCTTGGAATAGTTTGTAGTGGACACCAAGGGACTACCGCTTAGACGAGGCCTATCTTTCTCTTTGAAATCCCTGGGAATATGGATTCTCTCGCTCGGCAAGATATAAATCTTCAACGTTGATGGCTCCCAAAACACAAGTGTGCAAAGTCTTTGGTACCACGGCATACTGCACGCTTGTACTACTAACGGCGAATGCGGGGTGGTCATCGTTGCCCTAAAACAGGTCCATTTATAAATAAGAACGAGGTTTTATCCGGTTTAATTTACAACACTGCATCCAGTAAGAAGACATACCTTCCTGGTTACAAGTGTCACTGAAAAGTCGAACCTCGTTTCTTCTTTACTTTATAGAGTAATGGCAACCTCGGTTCTACAAATACGCCTAATCGCACGCACTAGCAGGTTTTTGCACATAGTGATATGGTTACTGTCTGCACTCATGAGTGTAAACGCTCCACATACCTCAAACATCTCTCTGTTAATTCTTGCTACTCTATTGCATGTATTACATACCATTCCTTTGGTTTATGAGCCTACACACGCAACCAGTGTCTTCCACGCGCTCTTGCGACCTCTATATCAGGTTCATGGTTAACAAACGACCACTGGATGAACAGCGACCTGCAAGCCAGGAAGACATGTTAAGCTTAGTAACCAAGGCTCGATGTTCCAATTAATGGAAGTTCTTTTTGGCCTAAATAAGCATCGTTAATACATCTTCCTGAGGGGTTACACTGCGTAAAACTTACCTCCTCAAGATTCTGAGTGTTGGTAGCCTTCCCCTTCTTGAATGTGGCATCCAACTTATCCAACGACCCTTGGTCCTTTTTAGAGTCGCCCGTCAACCCCTTTACGGTCTGTTTGGCGCCATTTTGCGCGGTTTCAACCTTTCCAAGTCCCTTGGTCAAGGCGGCATCCTTGGTGCCTGCAAGCTTTTGGTTTTTCTTGCGGTCATTGATTGCCTCGTTTAGGGCGCCGTTGATGTTCTTCTCATCCTTCTTAAGACCTTTGTTGTCATTGTTTTTGGCTGCCTTTTGGGCTTTCTCGGTCGCGGAGATCTCTTTATCACCGGCTTTGAGGTTGGCGTTGATACCTTTGACGAGTTCGTTTTTAGTTGAGGAAGACTTTTCTTTAGTAGCGGGTAGAGCTGCGGGTAGAGCAGCGGTGAGGGTGAGGAGATAGAGCATAATGGCATATGTAAAGCGCATCTTGACTGGTCTAGGTGCTAATGGAACTGGGGAAATATTCTTAAGTTATTGAATGGAAGGATATCAGAAACCAGTCTGATTGAATGAGAGGTATTATAGTAGTTAATAATAGTTAATAATGAAAGAGGATGATTTGTGATGAGGATTTTGGATGGAACATAAGGGGATCTTAACCTCCATCTTTATACTTGGATCTCTCACCACCGATCTTGACTTATCGGATCCTGAATCAAGAGCGACATAATAAAATGTACACTCGAGTGATTTAGTCATAGACTCAACTTCCTAGCGAAACCAGATCTCGGAGAGAGCGGGTTATCGTAGTTTCGCAGTTGAAGAGAGTTCTCCTTCAGGTTGTTGGATGGTCCCAGTACTATTGCGTCAATGCAACCGGCGACAGCTTGTGTCAAGAGAATTGTTATGCCTTTCGTCGTTGAAATCTTCCATGGGATCACCATACCAGTGACATCGTTCGTGAAGCAACCAGTTCCTGATCTCCGAGGATCTACCCTTGACAGGGTGTACCCCGCCATAGACCGAGGATCAATAACTCTATTCTCGATAGAGAATTCTGCATCAAAACAGGTTTAAGATGATGGCAGAGAAAGTTGTTTTAGGATGAAACTGAAGGAATGACTTCGTCGGCCGCAGGCACTTGGCCTTAGGGATGAAGTCGGAGCGGTTGCTTCAAGTACGACTCATAAGCTCCGAACTACTGCCAGCTAATCGTTAAACAGTACGTGTTATGTGAATTACAGAACAGATTTCTGGATATCTATCCGAAAAGAGAAATATTGAAATGGAACTTGAGTCAGGGAAGTGTTGCACTAGATCAAAACATGCACAGTAAAGTGCCATGATGACACCAAGCCTGCGACACCAGACGAAAAGTCTAAACTCAGCCGGAACTCGGCTTGCCCTATACCTCGGAGGTAGTCATGAGCAACAACCATGATTAGCCTCTGCATTCCTTGTTTGAAGAAAGTTTGAGTGAGGGACCGGCTAACATAAGCTTTGCAGTCTGAGGAACCCCGTCTTTTGCTTCAGAGCCAGTATCTTGGTATGTCAGCGGCTTCATTTATCACGCACACGCGTCTCGTCTTTTGGCACGGGCCTCTATTGCTTTAATTGATCAAATTGTGTACCGCTTTGAAGCACATGAACAATTCATCTTGCGACATCTCACAGAACAAAGACTCTGGCCAGGGACTTCGGCATTGAGGAAAATTGTTGGCAGTTGTGAAAGACGTTGAATAACAGTATGTAAAAAAAGAATTCGTGACTGTACCACAAATCTCACGAGCTGTGTTTGCGTAGGGTGCTTCGACTTGCTTCCCTTCTATCAGTGCCGTACCAAAGGGAGAATTCTCCTCAATTCATTGTTGGTTACTTTTCTGAAGATGAAGCGTATGACTGCTAGCTTTCCCATCTAGAATTGGCCTGAACATAAGAAACACTATTAATCAATGGATCGACATATCTCAGAGGCGGTTTTACTACCTTGATTTGCTCTTAAAGTGCTATCATTGATCAATCTTCTCCGTGGTGTGGCCGTCAATGGTCAGTCTTCTTCAGACAGTGACTGATTCCTGGCATGCACAGTATGGGTTAATAGTTTGTCTTTTTTAAATCAGACTGCTAGAAATCGATCTGCTTTTAACACTGTCACTGAGCCAAGACTATACAACAGACTAATAAAAGAGCTCCAGGGAATGGCGTGACGGTTGAGTCTCAGTCTTCCGTGCAAAAATACTTCGGCTATCCTGCCGGTTAGACAACTGCAAGTTTTCTTGGGTTTTCGCCGAGATGTCACTGTGATATTCGACTGGCCCATCACCATAACTGTGGCTCCCTCATTTCAAAGAAAGGTCAGCCCTTGTCTTTTCCGAGTCTTACCAATGTATGTAGGGTTAAAAATCCCCAACCCATGGGTCCCCATGGGGACCCAGACAAATGGGTTTTTTGGGTTTTGGGCATTTGGGTATTCTTTTTTCGGGTATGGTTAAAAAAAATTCCCATACCCAAATGATAAGATAAGGATGGGTTTATGGGGAGGTTGTAGGTAAGCTGACCATCGGGGGGGGGAGGGATTAGATGACCTAACGCCCACTTTTCAAGGAAAGAGTGGGACTAGCTGAGAACTACTTTGATTGGCTACAAATGAGTTTTATGGGTCCAGGTGACCAATTTTTTCCCTCTCAAGAATTAGAAAAAATAGGTATAAAATTAATTTAGAATCAATTTAGTATTGATTTAGAATTAGTTCAGGATTAGTTTAGAACTATATTTTAAAGATATAAACATACTTATGTTCTATAATACTATTATATTGTAAAATAGTATATTTACTAAAGTTTTGCTTTTAAGTCTTTATTTTATCATTTAAACTAAATGTAATTCTAAAAATAGAAAAAAAGTAGATCTTTAAGACTTAGTTCAGAATTAATTTAAAATTAACTCACAATTAGATTAGAATCAATTTCAAAACTAATTTTAAATTAATTCTAAAAGAATACAGTAAGAATAACAGGGGGTTATTCATAAATAGTCACAAGGAAAAGTAGAGAAGAATAAAGGTAGACAGAAAAGGTATATATATATTAACCGTTAAGGTTTTGTTATATCATTTTTCATTATATAAAACTGTCTAAGTAGAGGGGATATCTCTTAGTTATATAGAAAGTCCCTTAGATACGTATAGTATCTAAGTGTATATCTAAGCGTATATCTAAGCGCCGAGAGGTACTTATAGTTTCTCGTATATGTATATATATGCCCGTATATGCCCGTAGATAAGCATAAGCGCCGGCATATGTAATGCTTAGAAGTATATGCGTTTATATGCAGTAGACTGCATTAGTTTGCAGTAGTTTGCATTAGTATAGTTATATATAGTAATATATACTTTTATAGGTTATTTTTCAAGAAGAATCTAGAAAAAATAACTATATATTTATAGGACTTTTAGTTATAGAGTTATAAAGAGATTTATATATAAGAATTATAAGAATTTTACTTCTTAATTCTTAGTAATACAAAATAAAGAGCTTAGTTAATGGCATAAACTATCTAATCATGGTCAGGAAGTCCCACTAAAAAAGTGAAAGTGGGGGTTAGGTCATCTTGCAACAGAACGCTGACAGTGACGCTCTGTGGCGATGACCTTTAGACTCCGCGACCATGACCAATTGACCCAAAAGACCCAAAAGATCCGTCAGTGCTTGCACGCGTGCAAGCCCTGCTGTCAACACTGCTTATATGCCCTTGTGACATACAACCATCTGGCTAAGGGAGTTGTGCTGTTACACATCTAATCCCCCCCCCCCCCCCCCGATGGTCGGCTTACCTGCAACCTCTTCATGGGTTAAGAATATTTGCTGGGTTTTCTGCTTATTACGTAATAGATACCCATAATACCCGTATCCAGCGAACAGAAATCCCCAACTAGGTACAACCCAAAAACCCATACCCATAATCTCAAAAAAAAAAAAACCCCCCCCCATAACCCATATAGGTACCCAACTCAACAGATACCCATGGATCAAATGGGTACCCATGGGGATTTTTAACCCTAAATGTATGAAAGAAACTTCGAACAGGTTTTCCTTAAACAACCGGTGTAGGGCCTCCCTCGGTCGGGATAAACGTCTATCTCGACTTCAGCTGATGATTGCCTTGATCCGCCGTATCGATTTGAGTTCCCGCAGCTTCCCTCGAGCCAAATGTGTCAAAGGACAATAGAGCGGCCCGCCCACGGGCACTGTGGCACAGGGTGGCACAGCCACAAAGGGCAGCCACAGGGTTGTAAAGTTCATGATACTGTCTCAGGGTGCGGGGCCCTTTTAACGGGCGAAAGGCTGGAGATTAGCAGGCTAAGATCCAGCTTCTGTTCAATACAAGACCTACGTTTTGCAATTGCACTATTCCCGACTACGGTTCTTTTACAAAATGACTTTCCAGTATTCAAGACAGATATGGAAAATCTGTGGTTAATGCTATACCATTGATTGTCCTCATGCAAGCTTATCATAGCACACTGACCGTATGCTTATTTCACTTTTGCCTAGACTATATTGCCGAGAATCCGGGCCTCTATGCTATTGAAATAGACAGTATAGCGTCTGATAGGATCTGAACCTAGCCAAGCGTATCTCGTCCCAAGCCCTATACGAACGCATCTACATTACTACACTCCATTTTTATACTCTAACCCACTATCTCTATGCCGTCTTCAGCTCTTTCTTCCCTTTGTTTGTCTCTTCCCCCCCCCCTCTACTTTGGCAGTCATGCTGAGGTGATAGGCGGGGCTGCAGAAATCAGAGACACTAGAGTATCAATGTCGCTTCTTTTTGGTAATTTATAAGGCTAACTGTACAACCAAGGACAAGCGCCTTCATCAATGCCTCCTAAATCCGCATCGGGCATCCATTCAGTCCCAGGGTCTAGCGTGGATCCATTACCGACATGTCCCAAGTTCACGTGCTCATAGTTGAAGTTGGCGGGAGGTTGCTGGTTGCTCCACGCATCAAAGTACCCTTCCAGTTCTTTCAGAGGAGAAAAGTCGACGTCCAAAAAGTTGGAAAATGCATGAGAGGCTTCAAACTTTTCGCCGCTGCCAAGGAGAACGCCACGCCCATTGATAGTGTTTTGCTCGTTGCGGAGCTTTGCGGCCTCGACCACGTTTGAAGTTTTCCACTTCTCAGTCAATCCTTCTAGCTCCAAAGATGCCTTCTGAGCTACAGGATAGGAGTTTCCAATCTCTGATAGAGCCTCCAAAGAGGTTTGGAGAAGAGTATTGTGCGTTTCAAGCTTGGTTGAGCGAAGGTTGGCCAGATGAATGCTTCCGGCAATGAAAATGAAGTGGACCACTGACGGTGGCATCTGTCTAATATTATAAGAGCGCCTGTAGTTTATAACCAGTTTGGTAATGTTCGCCGCAGCTGTGGCGCAGATAGTTGATGATTGTGAAGGTTTGGTGCCACTAGACTTGAGGTCGTTGGAGTCACGAGGAAGCCGCATGAACGGGCGATGAAGTAGTATGAGGGCAAAATAGAAATTCATTCTGGATCAGTCGTTAGCGACGTTTTGTTTTTGCGGTATGGTTTTGGCTAAGCAGTAGAGCTATGATACATAGGGACCTGTTGTTTTGGGGGGAGGATCACTTACTGTAAGATAAACACTCGGGGCTGCGCCGAGTTGTTCTCATCGCAGGACCATTTCAAGTCTTTGGGTAATTCTTGGTGCCATTTCCACAGTTCCTTGTGCAAATGGGAGGCTTTGGATCCTAGCTCGCCGGTTGTGGTCTGCCGTCTCTGCCGATGAATCCCAACCAGTATCTTCGAGCACAAAACAGAGAGAGATGCGGTGGCATGTAACAGACTTAAAGATGAATCGGACGTCTTCTGTGCAAAACTCTCTGGCGCTCGATCAGGGATAGGAACAGTGATGTCCCACTCCATGAAAGAGTTTGGCCTTCCGCAATAAGCGCTGAAAAGACTAGTTGGCACATGTTAGAGTCCGTTGTCTTTGCTCAAGGGTGAGAGTCTGGATGTCCTAGAGAGATACTTACTTGTCTTCGATATGGCAGCCCCAGAATACTCTACGCCTAAGCACGGCTATCTCAGGACTCATTTGACCAGACGCCACGGCTTTGGTGCTGTCTAAATGTAGTCCCAATTTGCTAGCCATTCTGAAAGCAATTCCTGAAGCACATACATCAGTCACAAATTCATCGGTCGCGAGGTTTAATGAGGGGCTCGTACCGCTGTACATCCATCCCAAGGAGTTATCCTTCATGGACCCGTATCGACAGCCAAGCACCAACGCAGCCTGAACTGTCGTGATCTTGGGATGATCTAATTCAAGGTCTAGCAATGCGCGGGCCCGCTTTGCAAAAACCTCACCAGCAACACCGTCCGTCGAGGCAGAGTATCTTGTGACCCCTTTGTCGAGACTAATCATCGATGCGAGCGCAAGTAACGCGTACAGTAAACACGGGGAGTAGAAGTCTCGGTCACCATGCCCATCACTCTCATCCCAGATCTGTCTATGGCGGAGAAACAAGGCCCGGTCAATAACCAGCAAATGAGATGATTGCCATTGCCAGAAAAGGTCTAGCAGGTAAGTCACGATAGGCTCGGGTTCAGGAAAAGTCTCGAGAGCCATGCGCGACCGTAAGCTCGATTCTTTTTCTGACGGACAGTGTTCTGTTTTCGGATTCGTTGTGTTTGTTGGGTTCTCAGAGTATGGAAACAGACTCGCCGAGTCCAAAAATTGATCGAAATCGTGCATGCTGGTAGGAGTGGCAACCTCCTCCAATGCTGAGGGAAAGTCGTCACAGATTGTATCAAAATCGGGTCTGCTCGGAGTAGAGAAGGATGCGGATCGATGCGAGTCCGGTGTAAGGTTGTCGACTTTTGGTCTGTTCTGGCCTGAAAAGGACACGGAACGAAACGATGCTGATGAGGGTTCTAAAGGTGTTGTTGACCAGGCATGTTGGTCTTCTGGGGAGTAATCGATATTGTCGCCACGTGCGCACTCGGACTCGAGGAACTCGCGGGACTCGGAAACGCGCGTGTTCTAGAATTTTGAAAGTCTTCGAAATCCCGTTGGACCTGTTCCATCAGGGAGTTGGCGTCGATGTTGTTGTCCCTGGATGGCACGGGGGTTTTGCCGTCAGCCCTGGCAACGTTTCTCACAAACTCTTCGAGAGCTTGCATCCGCCTCTGGAGGACCTTGGTTTCGTTCGGCTGGCGTTGGCTGCGCTTGTCTTCGCCGTACCGGACCTCGCACTTCTCGTTCTTGTTGCGGCATGCCGTGCATGACCGATCCGGTTGATCTCCTGTACCAAGGATTTGTGAGATGTCACATCGTCTCTTGTCCTTTTTGCAGCGAACGCATGCAAAGCTCGCACGGCTTGCGTGTCGGTCTCGGGTCATCGTAGCTACTGGTTGCTTTGTTCGAGTGGTTGTTTTTCGAATTGAAGCCTGTCTGGGGAAAGAATAGTGATTGCAGTCGAGTTGTGTGTGTACGGACGGTGACCGAGGGTGCAAGTCATGCGGCGGGACACCAGAAGAAATGCAGAACGCCCACGAACTCTGTTTGCTGGTCACGATGTTTGCTATTATAAGATCAGAAACGGGGAACGAAAAAGTCTCCGGCATTACCCTTCTAGGACTAGGAGCTTCGTTCTTTGCACATCATACCACACACACCCCTAGGTAGGGATGATGGCAAGTGTGGCCTCCGCCCCTTGTTGATGAGGTGCATAACGTCAGGCAATTGTCACGAACCAACAGCAATTGGGCTGCACGCGGTTCGTGGGGTGCTTGGAGTTGCTATGTTCTCTCTAGCTCAGGCGCGGGAAGAAACCCGGACAAGCCGCGCCGGGCAGGCCGGGATCGACAGCAGAGAGGCGACACCAGCCGAACGGTAGAGAAGCAGCGGAGGACCACTTTGCAAGCCAATATTTTGGAAGGTCGTAACTTGGGTGCAATCACGGGTTCAATTCGTGATGGGGCTGTAATTCGGACACGATCGTGAGAATTCCATTTTCTTCTAAGACGGATCTGGATCTGAAATGCGTATCAGTTTAGGTCAACTCCCGGTGTCAGTAGAAACTTGCAAAGTGGCTCACATAGTGCAACGCGGAACGTCGTCCGGTCAAGGGAGCCTCAAGACGCCAAAAACCTTGCCCCCGCGAACCCCCCCAGACTCTCCCGCATATTGGACCCCCCTAAACTCAAAAAGATCTTCCCAGTCAACCCGCCACCTTTGACGGCGCGTCTGTGCCTCGCCCTCGGATTGCCGTTTTGGGCAAGCCGGCGCATGCGATTACCCCAGGACCCTCACCACCCCCCGTCGTCCCGGTTCTAGTCTCGTCCAACAAGAAACATCCGCGACGTTGAGGACGGGCGAGTCCCCGGTTATTTTCGAATCCCAGAGTCTGGACCTCTGGAACCTTGGGTCGCATGACCGCAAGCAGGAACGGCCAAGAAGCAGTTGGGAACTCGGGCTGCTCAGGCTGCGTCAAAACGCTCGTCCGGCGGAGGGGTAAGCTCCACAGAACAGACACATGCTGTCCTCGCTCCCAGGAAAAGAACGTGGGGAGTGCGTAATAACTAATACGAAAGCTGCGGAAAAGTGTGGCAATCCTACACATACCCTCCCCGGAAGATGGCCCCGGGACCGAGCCGAAGCCAATGCGAACGCTGCGGAGACGTGGCAAGCCCATTTCCGCAATCCTGGGGAAAGGGGGTTTCTCACCCGTTCCATCTTTTTGCAGAAAGTCCAGCCGCCGAGCTCTGCTTGTCTTTGATTAACCCCCGGTCTTTTCGTGGCAGGTGACTGAACTACTCAATTCTTCAATAAGGGGGCAGTGCGATGGTGCGCCGAGCTTCCGAACTCACCATGCCGGTGCCATCCAGTTGGTCGTGACCAGCCTTCAGAGCCAGTCTCCTGCGACTTCGGCATACGATTTTCGGACATTGGTTATTGAGCAATGGTTTCTGACGTGTTGAGACTTGCCGGTCGCATCACCCACCCCTGTGGGTTGACATGCTCCACTTCTTCACTATTCTGCGTGCTTCGGTGACTGGCAGGTCGGTGGCTCTAAGACACGTGTAAAATCGGTAGATCTTCTAATATTGGGGTCCGTGGCCAGTTCTAGTACGTCAGATGATCGAAATGGTTTGTGTGAATTGCTCTCTGTTGCTTGAAACAAACAACAATCGGCGGTGTCAAAGAGATATTCACGATCGCCCTCAACAACAACCCCAACAAACACGTGAGTATAGTATATGCCCCTCTTGGTCCAATTGATTTTGCAGTACAAAGATGAAATGGGACGGTGAGTGTTTGGTGAAAACTTTCAACAACATCAATCACACCCTGGATGTGGACACCAACGATGGAATGCTGGCAGAGGCCTTTCGCATTAGATATTCGATTGATCGGGTCTACAGAAATAGTATGAGTTACCTTAACTATTGCAAGAGAGATATGTGCGGTAAGAGCTGCATTTCCAATTGTACTCAGGACCTTGGCTCCAAATAATCGTCGATAGAAACCAATTAGAACCGTCTGGTCTTGCCATTGGAAGCTTCAACACAGGTTCCAAATCATATCAAAGTATGTCAAGCTGTTGATAAAACATAAGCGGTCGACGATTGAGGCTCCTTTTTCGACTACCAAATGACCACGTTTGACAGTAATTACCATAATCCGGGGATACGATCAGTACCATACACTGAAACCCATACACTGAAACAATGTGATATTCAAGAGACAATATGAGTGAGGTATCCAGGGATCATGTGTAATTCAAATCTAACACTAAGTGAACAAAGTAACGCTATTTTTTATAACTAATTAATCATGCCATGCCCGACTGCAAGCCCTTGATGGCTACCATCGCGCCCCAAGCACCAGGGTCGGGGTGGAATGTGGTGTCCTTCTCCGAGACCGCGACGTACGTCGCCCGGCCAAGCTTCGCCTTTGTCTTTCTTGTGTACTCGGCGCCCTGGACCGCCGCCTCGACTGCCTGTTCGAATCCTCCGTCGCGGATAGCCGAGACAAAGGGGATAAGCACGTCGAGAATCGTGCGGTCTCCGATCTTGGCGGGCGTGTAGTGGCTCAGGTGCTCCAAGGCGGATGTGAGGGCCAGGGTCCAGAGGGACAAGAAGTTCTGAGACTTGGCGAGTTGGGCGTTCTCCTGGACAGAGTTGCTGAGCGAGACGAAGAAGATGCCCAGAATGCCACCCAGAGTCCCACCCATCTTGCTCTCCACAATGTCTTCCAGCTCGTGAAGAACAGCGACGATGGAGCCTTCGGAAGCGATTCCCTTGTGTTCCAGAGCCTCCAGAAGGTGCGATGCACCCGTCTTCAAAGTCTCGCCGCAGTCTCCGTCTCCCATGACCATGTCCCACTTCGTAAGGTCGGGCTCGGCCTCGATGACGGCCTCACACGCCATGCGCAACATGGACTTGAGAGTCGCGGGGTCCATCCTCACGTCCCTGCTCGCCTCGATCTTCCTGGCCTCCTCAGGGGGAGAGACGACGAACTGCTGCTTCCTGTCTCGCCTGATGGCTTGCGAGCCGGCCATGGACTCCCAGTGTGTGTTGGTCTTGATGTCGGCAAACTGCAGAATCTGCTCCGCCGAGAACGAGCACTTCTCAGCTGCCGTTGTGATGTTCATGAGGGATACTGAGAATGCCGGAGCGTTGAGCGAGGTTTCAAGGGGGCCGGAGTATACCCTTGACGGACGAATGTTCCACTTCTCGTCGAGTTGCTCGAGAAGCTCGTCGACCAGGGCGCCCATCTCCAAGTAGGAGATGCCACCAAAGTTGCTGACCAGCAGGATTGTCTCGTCGTTGGGGCTGAACTTGACGTACGATCGATCCGGGTCGTTTTGGTCCAGGCAATACCGCAACAACTGGTCGATCAGAGCCTGAGGCGATGGGCTAGGGGTCACCTTCTTGTAACCAGGCTCGTTGTGCGGCCCAGTACCAATCTCCACCTCGTTAGCGTCAAGACGCGCGTGTTCTGAGCGACCCGGCACATGGCAGTGGTCCATCGTTGCCGCGATAGAAACGATCTCTGACTCCACGGCGATACCAAGCTTGTGGATATCGTTGAGTGACCCGGCGCTGGCACCGGACGCTCCGCTGATGATTTTAAGAACACCGATTTGACCGGCAAGGCCTCTGCGGCCGACCAGACTGCCACCCTTCTTTCCGACGGAGACATCATCACCACAGATGATCATGCGACAGTTGTGGCCGCGGCTCCGTGCCTTCTCGGCCGCGAGCCCGAAGTGGAGGCAGTCGCCAGTGTAGTTGGTGATGACGAGGATGGTGCCGACGTCTGATGGCACACGCTCAATGGCGGCCTGAATCTGTTTTGCCGAGGGGCTGGCAAAGATGTCGCCCGAGACGGAGGCAGCCAGCATGTTATTGCCCACGTAGCCGGCCCATGCCGGCTCGTGGCCCGAGCCTCCACCAGAGATGATGCTGATCTTTGACTTGTCGTATGTTGTGTCGAAAACCACACGGTTAGACTGGTCGAGACCGAGGGAGGGGTTGTATGAGATGAAGCCCCTCAGAGACTTGTCAACAAGTCCCTCGGAGGATGGAAAAATGTGCCGGTCTGACATGGTGGTTGGAGCCAAGGGTTGTGTAGTGTGTTGGTCAGCTGAATAGTGACGAACGCTTAGAAACAGTTATTCGCTTGGATTGAATCCGAATTGAATGGTCTGTGATTTACTTACACGCAAAAAACATCACATCTTGCTTGCTGAACCAGCAGCATCATATGGTGAGCGGTCGGGTGTTGGTTTGCGATTTTCCGGAGGCTCTGTCAATCGGCCTCAGCTGCATGACACCCCCGGATTTCCGCAGCGGAAGATCGGCTAGGCGCCATGCACCCCCTGTCATCTCATTCACATCGAAGCGATGAGTTGCTTTTCAATGCTGTATAAGTATTCTAGATTGGACTAGAACATCCGTCTCTTGCTCTTGTCATTGCGTAGATTAATTGCTCGACATCCCAGTGCCACATCTTCAGTCCTCAGCCATAAGCGCGAATTGACTGTATCTCCGCCCCTACCTACCCGTGCACCATTTCCATCTCACCTACCAAGACGTCAAGATGGGCAGCAACCCTGTTCCCAAGTACCGCATCGTCGTCGGAAGCGATGTAAGAACTACCCATTCTCTCGGCCCGCAACTGGACTGACACCATTACAGGAGGCCGGCATCAAGTACAAGGACGCAATCAAGGCAGACTTCCAGAAGGACTCCCGCGTCGAGTTCGTCGAGGACGTGGGAAGCCACGAGACCGCCGACAAGACGGCGTACCCCCACAGAGCGGCGGCGGCAGCGCAAATGGTCGCCGACGGCAAAGCCGACCGCGCCCTGCTCATCTGCGGAACGGGACTCGGCATGGCCATCGCCGCCAACAAAGTCAAGGGCGTCCGGGCCGTGACAGCACACGACAGCTTCAGCGTGGAACGGTCGATTCTGAGCAACGATGCGCAGGTGTTGTGCATGGGCGAGAGAGTAATTGGCTTGGAGCTCGCAAGGAGACTGGCCAAGGACTGGCTTGGATACACGTTTGATCCCACCAGCCAGAGTGCGGAGAAGGTTCATGTCATCAAAGCACTAGAGGCCGCTGCATGATGTGAATGTGGCTTGGAGAAGTGGTGTAGCGAATAATAATTGATGATTTTGAGTTCCATTCTCGTTCTCTCCCATGCGAAACACAGCACACCTTGTCGTGTAGATTTTGTCTGATGGGTGCTGTACCGTTGATGGTCCCCCGAAGCACAGATGAGTGGACCCAACCGACTTTTGAAGGCTCGTACGCGTAAAGCAAAGCCATTGCAACGCTGAAGTTTGGGGGTTTAGGGTGACCCTCAGCGGACGCTGTCAGAATTGATTGTGCGCAGTTGTCTGCCGAATGGAACTCTCAAGGCTTTAAGTCCCAAGCTTGCAACTCATCCCCGGTTGTCATTTTCCTGCGACTCATACATGCCTACTGGAAGCCGGTAATAAAATGCGTTCAGCCGATTAGAATTTCACATCTGACTTGCATGACTTTTTCCAAGATAGCTCAACATATCGCACCAAGAATGGACCAAAGAGCGTTACGCTTCCAGTCATCTACCTCCACCACGCGATGGAAAACATGGAGAAATCAACACATCGGCGCTGCGCGCAGTGAGTGCCGACTACGTTCTCCGCGACGAGGATTGTAGTCAATGGATCAGCCAATTTTAAATCAAAAGTTATAATTGGGAAAGAATGGCATTGAAAGAGACCGGAGAATCGGTGTGGGCCAGTCCCCAGGGAATACGTTTCCGCACACAGGCGTGGGGGTGGTGATGCGCGTGCATCTTGGAGCGGAGAATGGCCCGATTTTCCGCAATATAAAACGGATAGAAACACCACCACATGCGACGCAGTCTGCCTCTCAACAGGCGTACGGACAGAGCAGACTTCACGAAGCCATCACAGCTAAGAAATCCAAACTGCAATTCCAAAATGACGACGTCACCAAACCGGAGGCTCATCGGCCTCTCAACCAAGATGTACTTCCCGCTCCAACGCACGCTGGACTTCATCGCCGCCGTCCAAGCCGAGCTGAAGTCCCTCCCTCCTCATACCCTCGACAACGTCGACATCTTCTTCATCCCCGACTTCATTTCCATTCACCCCGTCAGCGAAGCTCTCAAGTCCTCGCCCGTCCCAATCCGCCTCGGGGCGCAAGACTGCCACTGGGATGATTTCGGCGCCTTTACCGGGGAAGTCAGCCCGGCTGTTCTAAGCGAGACGGGAGTCACCATCGTCGAGGTCGGCCACGCCGAGAGGAGAAGGCTATTTGGCGAGACCGATGAAGTCGTGGCGAAGAAGGCCGCGGCCGCGAGTCGGAATGGCATGGCTCCGCTGATCTGCATCGGTGAAAAGACGGAGGGCGATTTGGAGGTCGCATTGGGCGAGTGCAAGACTCAGATCGATCAGTCCCTGGCCGATGTCCCCGATTCCGCGGAGGTCATCATTGCGTATGAGCCGGTTTGGGCCATCGGTGCAAGCCAGCCGGCCAGCGAGGACCACGTTGTCGAAGTGGTAAAGGGGATCAGGTCATTCGAGAGCGTCAAGAAGAGGACAGGAACGACGAGGGTGATTTACGGCGGCAGTGCTGGGCCTGGTCTGTTTGAGAGACTGGGAGAGGCTGTGGATGGGCTGTTTCTTGGGAGGTTCGGGCATGATGTGCCGCGATTTCTCAAGACGGTGTCAGAAGTGACTGCATTTCAAAAATCTTGAAGGTAATTGTCCTAGATCTGGGAATACAGCAACGGGACATTTTCTTGGACATCTAATTGCATTGATCATGTGGCAGGCCCCAAAGTGGCTCGTGAGTTGAGGCCGTTTGCTCGAGAATACGTGTCAGTCCATCCGGGTGAGTGTGTACTCAGAAGGGGTGTAACGACGGAGGAGGCAGTTGAGAGTTGTCAGCTCAGTTCGGGCAACATTCGTCATTCCAGTAGTAAGAATTTTGATAGTATGGCCACGTGCCAAAAAAGCCTCAGAAACTATCATGTCCATGTCGCTCGATGTCCTTAGCCCATCTTACGACTGCGACCCTCCAAGCGCGCCTAGCATCCCCTCATTTCTGGATGGCCACACATTGCCAACATTCGGAATGGCCCGGAGAGTGTCCATGTTATGATTGCCAGTCTCGATAACAACTCCAGAGAAGATCGCGTGATCGAACCGCTTGACGACTTTGGTTCTCTCGTCGGCGGTCAACTTGTTGATCAGAGCCTCTCTGTCCTCATCCTGTAGCGTCATCGTCAGATCTACGTCGCTCCAGCGCGGCACTGCAACAGCTGGTGGATGAATGCAAATGGATGAACACACCTTGCTGCTACCGAACTCAACAATGAACTTTTCGCCCATGGCGGCTAAGATGCAGGGTACCACGAACGCGAGAAGGAGTAGTCGCATCAAGTTTGAGGCTGACGAAAGAGGGATTGTAAAGTGTGATGCTGTGGCGAAGTTGAGTGGTTTGCAGGCGCAAATAGCGCCTGTAGCGGTTACGCATTGCCATGTGCAACACGCTGTCATCCCGGTCCAGGTGTAACATCACCTTCCTAAAAGGGAACTCGAGCAGTCCAGCAACCTGCTGCCCGTTTGACATTCACCTGTGAGGAATCTGCAAAACTTCAGACAACTTATTATATGAGAGACTCTGATCACAGATAGTTGAGATAAACCCAGTTGTACAATAGCAAGTTGGGCAATGTCAACATAGAGCGATATCTCGGGCTTCAGAATCAAACATGGAGCACCTTCAGGAGCAGGGGTGCGCTGTTGGGGGCTGACAAGCTACTGTCACGATACAAGGCGGCTGATGCAATGGGGCCTTGAGAACATACCTAGCCAAGTACTCTGAATCTGGAAAGTGTTACTTGCGTTTGGTCTTGCTGAGCTCGTCTCGTATCCTATAATCATTTATTTGTCGTAAGATCGACTTGCATACAGACCTTCGGATAGATAATTACATTGTCATACAAACGCGCGTACACACACAAGTGACCCCAAGTAGGCCTAATCAACGCGTATTTGACAAAAGCTCATATGCGAGCTTCCCCTCTGGAAAGGCCCCGACCAAAGTCTTTCGATCCAACGGAAGCGATTCGGATCACAGGCCCGCACCTCCATGCCGTGTTCACGTTCATCTGGTGTATCGATATGGGCTCGATGCTGCAAGTACGGAGACCACATCCGACGATTGTCTTAGCCTACACCATGACCGCGAATATTTTACTCCAATTAAAAATGGCGAACTTGTCATTTTGGTAAGACGATGACTTCTGGAAGATACGTCCTGCTCTTACGTCAGCCCTGGCCATCGACCGAAAGGTGAGCCTGGATATCGCTATCAACGTGTGTCTAACAGGGGTATTTGAACCACGTGCTGCATATCACCCTTAGTCCAAGCCACCACCAATCATATGCGACAACAAGCGCGGAGGCCGCATACTCCTTGCAACCGGCGCGAGCCTGATCTTGAGCTCATATATATTTGAGGCGCACCCGCAGCCCTACCATGTTCCCCTTCAGCTCGGTTCATCGATATCAGATCAGTTGGGAGGCTAGGTCTCCTGTCTAGCAGACCGCGCTTCAGAAACGCAATCTGACCTAACACATATCATCGTCGCATCTCCACTGGTCCATATTTCTGTTCGCTATCCGCTCTGTATCATGGCGTCTCCGAAAGCTCTCGACAGTCCGGATTCCTACACCGTCAGCTGGATCGCAGCTCTTGCCATCGAGCGGGCAGCTGCAGTTGCCATGCTTGATGAGGAACACGCAGAACCAAAAGGGTTTACAAGGCACCAAACCGACTCGAACGTGTACACTTGGGGTCAGATGGGAGAGCATAACATTGTCATTGCCTCCCTTGCCGCTGGGGTTTATGGAACTACCTCGGCGGCCACTACCGCCTCGAATCTCCTTGCTTCGTTGCCCGCCATTCGCATCGGCCTTTTGGTCGGCATTGGAGGCGGCATCGCTCTACCGGACGAAGATCAGGATATCCGTCTTGGCGACGTTGTTGTCAGCCAGCCCGATGGGACCACTGGAGGTGTTTGCCAATACGACTTGATCAAGGCGAAGTCCGGTGACAAGCGTGAGCGCAAAAGTTTTCTGGGAAGGCCCCCGACAGTTCTTCTTAATGCCCTTACCAGCATCCAGGCCTATCACGAGCGGAGAGATTCCAAAGTTCCTGGCTTCTTACAAGAGATGGTGACAAACAACCCAAAAATGGGCAGAAGATCAAAAAAGAACCCTGGCTACCTCCATCAGGGATTTGACAATGACCGCCTCTTCCAGGCATCATGCGAACACGTATCTGGTTTAGACTGTAGCGGCTGTGACGCAGCTGAGGAAGTTCAGCGCGACCCTCGAGAAACTACCGACCCCGAGATGCACTATGGCATCATCGCGTCTGGCAACACGCTTGTCAAAGATGCCGCTACTCGTGACCGAATTGTAGCTGATGTTGGAGAGGATTGTATCTGCTTTGAGATGGAAGCCGCTGGCCTAATGAACCACTTTCCCTGTCTCGTTATAAGAGGAATCTGCGATTATGCCGATTCTCACAAGAACGATCGATGGCAACGCTACGCCTCGGCTACTGCCGCTGCGTATGCTAAGGAATTCCTCAGTCATGTGCCAGCTGCGCAGATTCAGGAGACAAAGCGGGCTCTTGAACTTATTCAGTCTGGTTAGTCATTACCCTCGTCGGATGGCCCTGAATAGGAGCGAGCTTCAATGGGCCACGGCATTAAGTACCGAGGACGTACAAGTACTGACTGTAGCTAGTCGATAGGAAACTAGACGATGTACAGAATACCGCAATCGCAACAAACGCTACGACTGAATCCATCAAGTCTGATCTTCAGACCGAAAAGATAAAGCGCTGGCTTTCTCCCCCTGACCCGTCGACGAATGCCAACCACGCCAAGAAACTCCGACATGAGGGAACAGGCACCTGGCTTCTGAAAACCCCGATGTTCCAGGCATGGGCTTCGGGGTCCCATCGATACTTGTGGCTGAATGGGCTCGCGGGATGCGGCAAAACTGTTCTCAGCACGACAGTCCTTGATTATCTGAAGAATACGAAAGACACTCATACCGTTCTTCACTTCTTCTTTGACTTCAGCGACACCACAAAACAGACCGTGGATGGCTTGCTTCGATCACTTGTTTTCCAACTGTATCATGACAGCGTTCACTCTACTGTGCTTCTCGATAATTTATTCCAAGCACATCAGGAGGGTCGGAATCAGCCTACGACGAAGACCCTCATGGACGTTGTTTGCAAGACTCTTGCAGAACAGGAGATGGTCTATGTCGTTATTGACGCCTTAGATGAATCTACTACAAGGAATGAGCTTCTCTCGTGGATAAAGGACGATATGTGCAGACCAGACTTAGGACATGTCCAGGTGTTTTGCACTAGTCGGCCAGAACCGGAATTTTTGCGCGATATTCCCCCATTGATAGGCGAACACAGCTGCCTGTCGTTGGACAGAACAGCGGTCAATACCGACATAGAGTCCTATGTCGCCAAAAGGATTCATCATGATCATGATTTTAAACGCAAGGGCTTATCACCAGATCTAATCAACGTAATTCAAAACAGAGTTGGAGGTGGAGCGGACGGGATGTAAGTGTATACCAATTACCCACATTTCAATGGCATACCTGACGCCTCAAGCAGGTTCAGATGGGCAGCCTGTCAACTGGATAGCCTAGCAAGGTGCTCGAGTCCCAAAGCGATCAAAGAAGCTCTCATGAACTTACCTCAAGATCTGACTGAGACGTACAACCGGATGCTCGAAATCATACCGAAAGACCTTAAAAGTCGTGCAATACGTCTCCTACAGTTCTTGGTGTATTCTGAACGGCCTTTGACGGTTCCGGAGGCAGTGGAGATAATCGCTACAGAAGTGGAACTGGAAGCGCAACACTTCGATATCGACGCCAGAGTATTTGACGATGCAGAAGTTTTACGACATTGTCCCAGCTTGGTGTCGCTCGTTGAAGTCTCAAAATCCGGTGAAGCAACAAAGGAATTGCATCTTGCCCACTTCTCAGTCAAAGAGTTTCTTATTTCCAAAGTCGATTTCGACCGCACGAAAGCTAGTATTGTGATCACCAAAACCTGCTTAGCGTATCTTACGGATATCAACGGCAGCCACCACAATATCAAAGAGAGTTTTCCGATGGCACGATATGCTGCGGAAACGTGGGCGTGTTTCGCTACTCTGGCTGAGACGTCAGCAGACGTCCTTCAAGCCGTAATATGGTTTATACAGAACGATACGACTTTCCAACGGTGGTGTTTCTTATATTCGGCTGACAGACCTTGGGACAACAACCCAGATCCTCCAGAAGGATCGAAGCTCTACTATGCATGCTTATGTGGGCTCAGTCGAACTGCAAAACGCCTACTAGACAAGGGAGCTGACCCTAACGCGCAGGGAGGTTTATACGTCAGCCCCCTTCAGGCTGCCTGTTATAATGGGCACATAGAAGCTGCCCAGCTGCTTCTAGACAGGGGAGCGGATGTCAACGCACTAGGCGGTGAATACGGCAGTGCCCTTCAGGCTGCCTGTTATAATGGGCACATAGAAGCTGCCCAGCTGCTTCTAGACATGGGAGCGGATGTCAACGCACTAGGCGGTGAATATGGCAGTGCCCTTCAGGCTGCCTGTTATAATGGGCACATAGAGATTACCCAGCTGCTTCTAGACATGGGAGCGGATGTCAACGCACTAGGCGGTGAATACGGCAGTGCCCTTCAGGCTGCCTGTGAAAATGGGCACTTAAAGATTGCCCAGCTGCTCTTAGACAGGGGAGCGGATGTCAACGCACTAGGCGGTGAATACGGCAGTGCCCTTCAGGCTGCTTGTTATAATGGGCACATAGAAGCTGCCCAGCTGCTCCTAGACATGGGAGCGGATGTCAACGCACTAGGCGGTGAATACGGCAGTGTCCTTCAGGCTACCTGTTATCATGGGCACATAGAGATTGCCCAGCTGCTCCTAGACAGGGGAGCGGATGTCAACGCACTAGGCGGTGAATATGGCAGTGCCCTCCAGGTTGCCTGTGAAAATGGGCATACAGAGGCTGCTCAGCTGCTTCTAGATAGAGGAGCAGATGTCAACGCACTAGGCGGTGAATACGGCAATGCCCTCCAGGCTGCCTGTGAAAATGGGCACACAGAAGCTGCCCAGCTGCTTCTAGACATGGGAGCGGATGTCAACGCACTAGGCGGTGAATACGGCAGTGCCCTCCAGGCTGCCTGTTATCGTGGGCACATAGAAGCTGCCCAGCTGCTTCTAGACAGGGGAGCGGATGTCAACGCACTAGGCGGTGAATACGGCAATGCCCTCCAGGCTGCCTGTGATTGTGGGCCCATAGAGACTGTCCAGTTGCTTCTAGACTGGGGAGCAGATGTCAATGCATTAGGCGGTGAACATGGTAGTGCCCTCCAGGCTGCCTGTTATCGTGGGTACACAGAGACTGCCCAGCTGCTTCTAGACATGGGAGCGGATGTCAACGCACCAGGTGGTAAATACAACAGTGCCCTCCAGGCTGCCTATTATCGTGGGCACACAGAGACTGCCCAGCTGCTTCTAGATAGAAGAGCTCGTTAGTAAACAATATTATTAAGCGTCACATAATCTAGGGTCTAGCGTGCCTAACTAGTAACTGGTTCGTGCTAGACTTCACAAACAGAATTGTTTTCAGTCACTTTTACTCCCGAAGCTTGCAGTGTCAAAGACCCTGCCTGCCCAGAGTTTGAAACCCCCTCCATTGGTTACGTACTTGTACTACTGACTAACCTAGCTTAGACAGATTTGCTCCCCATATTTGTGTGATGACCGTAAAGGTCATAGCATGTCATTGATGGCCCTAGCTGTCCCCTCAGGTGCCAACTGACGTCGAAACCCTTGTCCGCTTCAATGCCCAACATTACTCCAAAGCCGATGTTTCCTAAGCCCTTGATAGGGTCAGTTGTGCTGGGCAATGGTATTGACTGGCCTACCCCGCAGCGAAGGTTTTTGACGTCAACTAGTGCCCGGTGTGATAGAGCTGGTTCGTATAACTATTTTTAGTGATTATATCACTGCCTATGCCATCGAGTGCCAACTAACGCCATTTTCGTATCCCCCTTTTGATGTTTACTTTTACTCTAAAACCTTTGTTCAAGAATGTTTAAGTAGGTTGAAATTCCAGAAGCTCATTAGTCTACCCCTTCCGTGGCAGAAATGGCGTTAGTTGGCACTCGATGAGATATGCCAAAGTTGTAAGCAACTAGGGCAAACTTCTAGAGTACATAAGAAACAGCCACAGGACTTCCCAGAAGTTGTAAATGCAATTAGCGGCCTGCTTGCCTCACGCCACATTTTGATCATTGTGATCCACTAACACTCCATTGCAAATGTTCAAGGCCTATTCTCATATATTGTATGCAACCAATAAAGCTGGCTTGGGAGATGCAGTGGTATATGGCACCAATGGCTCGACTCTAACTGATCTGGGTCGGCATTGCAATCAGCTAAAATCCCCGAGATCAGTCACGTCATAATTGGATACTATTACTCAACTGGAAAGAAGTCGGTCTAATATGCACCGGTGACTAAAAAAGCTCCACACCCAGTTGCACGAGCCTCTTGAAGAACCTCTAGCGCATGTGGGATTGGTAATCATTGCACATGTCCACAAGCGACTAAGTGATGTACGATCTTCAACTTCAAAGTAAATTGTTTTCCGCATTGTCGCATTCGAACCATGTCGTATAGCGAGGAGCAGCTAGATCGGTACTTTCACCACATCAACTATCCTCGGGAGAAACATGCATCAGATCGGTTGCAACTGCTTACTGAACTCCAGGCTCACCAGCTTGCGAGAGTTCCTTTCGAGAGTCTGACACTGCACTACTCTAAACACCGACTGGTTTCTCTGGATCTGGAAGATCTCTTCGATAAGGTGGTCGTACAGGGCAAGGGCGGTTATTGCATGGAGCTCAATGCCTTATTCGGCGCCGTTCTGAAAAGCCTGGGTTTCAAACTGGTTAGCGTCGGCGCGAAGATCAAAAAAGAAGATCGCTTTGGAGGATGGTAAGTGATTGCACGTCATACTACCCAAGTTACTCTTCGCTCATATCGACGAGGTCGCACATGCTTAACCTCGTCACCATTGACGATCAGCGCTACGTGGTAGACGTCGGCTTCGGAAAGGGCGCCACCATGGTCCCTGTTCCCTTACACAAGGACTCCGGTTTTGAGTTCACTACCATAGCACCCTTGCGCGGCAAGCTCGTCTATGAGAAGCTAGAGCAAAATACCGACCCGGACCAGCGCATGTGGGTGTACTCCTCCACAGACACCGCCGATGGGCCGTTTCGGCAACGGAACTGCTTCACGGAGCAGGAGTTCTTCCCCGAGGACTTCGAGATCATGAACTACGCCGTCATGAAGAAGCCCACGAGTTACTTTGTCAAAACGGTCCTGTGCATGCGGACGATTATGAACCCTGAGACGAAGAAAGCCGAGGGCACGATCGTGTTGCACAAGGATGAGGTTAAGAGGAAAATTGGTGACAAGGTTGAGCTGCTTGAGACTCTGAAGAACGAGGAGGAGCGGGTCAAGGCTATCGAGAAGTACTTCTTTATTGCGTTGACACCCGCAGAGCAGAAGGCGATTAAGGGCATGCCCCAGGAGTTGTTAGAAGTGAAGTGAAAGCCAACAGATGACATTACACCTTTACCTAGGGACGTGCAGGCGAGCCATCACTTCCAGCAAAACCACCTACTCAGTTGTCTGGTCGTTTATCAGCAACCTGGATCATTTAGACCACAAGTTAATTAGAGGGATTCCAAGACACGAACGGTCTACGCTATAAATAACCTCGTATCCCCGATACTGCCCCAAAGCTACTTCATCCCGGCGTGCGCATTCTCAGTGTGCACGTCCGCTGACACATCATGCTCCTTTTCCTGAAGTCGGCTCTCGAGATCCTGGCCATTGTACCTCTTGCTGGTATTTCCGGCAACGAACCAGCTTTCGCTGCTGAACAGCTCGTTCATCTCCTCAAGAGGCCGGCGAGCGGTTTCCGGCAGGAACATCCAGAAAAAGATGGCGTTTGTGATGTTACACACAATGAAGAGGAAGTAGAATTGGTATCCTACAGATTCCATGCCCTCAGGCGTGACTTGGCCCTGTTTTACAGTCAGAAATACTGGGACTTTGAGAAGGGGGTTCTCGGCTACTTACAATCATGGTGTTGAAGGCGAATGATACCATTGTGGCGATACTGACTCCCTTTGAACGAGTCCTCGTGTCAAAGACCTCGGCGACGATGATCCAGGACAGCGGGCCGCATGTGGAAGAGAAACTGAAGTTGTAGAGCCAGGTGACGACGATGAATCCCCATTGAGCGCTGAGGTTGTTGGATTCCCCTGGAGGGAACAAGGCGAGGAGGACCGCGGCGATGATGAAGGTGATGGAGTTGAAAATGTTACCACCAATGAGGGGCCAGCGACGACCGGTGCGGTCGATGAGTAGCATCGCAAGGGTCTGGGCGATAATGGCAAGCCCATTACTGATTCCTTGGTACTTCAAGGTGTCTTGCGTCGCAATGCCAATCTGCTCAAAGATGCGAGGAGAGTAGTACTGAACTGACGTTAGCCCACGCCACTGCATGCGTTCGATTTCGGATGGCTGCAATGTACCTGAATGGCTGAGACTCCGGTCATCTGAACGGATGCCTGGATAGCACAGCAAAGAAACAGACGGCGGAATGAACTCCTCGACCGAAAGAGGTCCATGTACGATCTTGCCTCCTGCTGGTGCTCAATCTCAACCGCAGTTTTGATCTGTTCGTACTCGGCCCTGACGAAGGCGTCGTTGACATTGTTGTTGGAGTGGAGGCGGGCCAGCGTCTTTAGCATCTCCTCGTCTCTTCCCTTGTCGCCGAGCCATCTGTTTGTGAGCAATCAGTGATGGGTTTCGTGAATGAAGCTCTTCCTAGCTTGGGTAGAGGCTTACCTTGGACTCTCGGGGAACATGAATGTCAATGCAGCAAGTATAAGAGCCGGAATATTCTGGATCGCCAACGGGATACGCCACTGCGCGCTCGTGGTGGTGAGCTGGGTATAGCAACCCCAGCCAACCCATGTTGCGACGAACGCTCCAATACCAATCATGAGCTGTTGCAAAGCTGTGACCGTGCCGCGAATGCTAGGGTGCGCAAGCTCCGCCTGGTACAACGGAACAATCATGCAGAGAGCACCCACACCTAGGCCGGAGATCAAGCGACCAACCCACATCATGTGGATGTCGCGAGCGCCAGTCTGGAGACCCCCGCCGAGAAGGAAGAACAGGGCTCCCGTGACAATGGTTCCTCGTCGCCCCAGGCGGTCTCCTAGCGGCCCAGCTGCACCAGCACCGAAGAAAGCGCCGGCAGTGAACATGGAAACCACCAGTCCCTCTGTGGACGTGTCTGGGGAAAAGGCATCTTTGAATGTGTTTGATGCCACGACAGCGGCGATGACACCTGGTACAGTGAGCGCTCATCATTGTCCATGTCGTATAGATTAAACCTACCGAGGTCATAACCAAAGAGAAAGGCACCGAGAGAGGCGAAAACTCCCACAAGCCACTGGTATACCTTTGGTGAAAGAAGCCCCATGTTTGACGAGGTTGTTTGTGAGTCTTCAGACCGAGAGTGCTGCCGAGTAAGTCGAATTTGCATGCACGTTACAACTGCAATATTTACATCATCCCCATCTCCTCTTATATGCAGACGCCGATCCGGGGAAGCGCGCGCGCCGGTGTTAGCTATGGCGCTGTGGGGCAGTGCTCCGTCTCCGCAATCTCGGTCGCTCGGTGAGCCAACAGACGGCGACGGATTCTGGTTCGCGCGGTTGTGGGAGCAAGCTCTTGGTCCTGGCTTGGCCCAACATAGTGACGCAAACGGCCAAGAGCCGCCGAGCAGTGATCTTGGTCAGGAGCTTGCCGGGAAGGGCCACCTGACGAATCAGCCCACACTGCGTTCAACAAACAAAAGGGCATCGCGAGGAGACGTGACGTCGATTCTTTCATTGATGGGATCTCTTTCCCGGGATATCGCCCGATCTTTGGAGCCCTTGGATACGATATGGGACGAATTTGGCCGACCACTCGGCAACGATGCCAGGTTCCGGTCGAGGTCTGGGTTAACAGAGCCAATGTGAGTCTAAGATGGTGCCCAGCTGCTGGAGAATTTGGCGGTGCGTGGCTTAGGTGCTTGCTCGGTGCTTCTTTTCTTCTTCTGAATAACACAGTATTGCAGATTGTTGTTTGGAGACCTAACAGGGTACGCGACCGTCCAGTTGCACGGCTTGAATCGGCTCGGGCACGCGTAATATGGGAAAGTCTGGCCCGAGGTCCACTTTTCCCGGTCTTTCAATCCCGGCCACGGGTTCCGGCGCAGCGCTTCCTACCTGTATTGCACGTCGACTGCTCCCACAAAATATGAGAACAATGCGGCGCCAAACGACCGCTGATTTCTGCGAATACGAAGGCCCAATACGAAGGGAGAGCAGCTTTCATACAGCAACATGCCCTGGTGAAGCATTACCACAAACAGAACATGGTACGATGGCTGATGACTGCTTGGAAATGCCTAAGCAAAGACGAAAGCCGAGACTTGGTTCTCAAGCTCTCCTGGCAATGCCTGCATAGTGGGTTTTCAGAATACTCGGCTGTAGGTGCCCGCCGCTCATCGCTTTCAGTAGCCGTCTTAGACTCATTCTTCCTACAAAAAGTTGAAACCACGACAGCTGAAAATGCGTTTCGCATTGAATGAGAAGCTATCGCTGATTCGACCAGCCAAATGACCAAAAAGCAAAAGATGAAAGGGACGAGACTCGAACTCGCGCGGGTTGCCCCACCAGGAAACAGATGTTAAGCTGACCTTAACCTGGCGCCATAACCAACTCGGCCACCCTTCCTATGATCTGGAGATCTGATTGGTTGACAGAATATAAGCAATTTGATGACTAAGTACGTAATCGTATCCTCAGTCATGACTTCACAGCTTTGGGATCGTCTTTTGGTGGCCTATTCTTAAGGCTCTTGCAATCTTCTCTCTGATGACTATCATTCTCCTCTTTAAACCAAGTCTGTTCCGAATTCTAGATTCCAAGGAACAGGGTTCTTGCTTGCTTCCAAATATTCGATGTGATCTCGCTTGGGAATGTAAACTCCCTCCGCACTCTCCTATAGTCGCATCCGCATCTAGATTGAATTGTGCGGCTCCCGGGATCAGTACAAGACATTACTCACTAACATAAGAACAGATTATAGTCTTACGCTTGCTTTTCATGAGCAGCTAGTTACTCCAGAGACAACACAATGGGAACTCCTTGGAAAGACGTTTTCACGCAAGCTCCAGACGTGCAATGCTTGGGAGGGTTGTCAGACTGTCACAGTCAACCAGACTCTTCTTAGCATCATTGAACGATCGTTTGTTTACTCACGGGTCATTGACCACCTAGCGTGGCGCTGTAAGCTATTGAGCACAGGAAGCCGTTGAGCCATTGCATATGTGAATCTTCTTGAAAGGTCGGTTAGTCTCTTTCCTTACCTTTGAGACACCTGGCTACTTCGGTGGCTGTGGAGATATGCTGCAAGATGCCAAGAGTCAATGATGTGTGCTCCCACTATTCTCGGAACCCTCCAGAGGTAATAGAAACGGGACAATCGTGAAAAAAGTTCAATTTAGACACCAAGAGAGTCATAAGTAACTTTCCTCATCGCCATAGACGAACCCAACCCCCACTCATGGAAGATGTAGATGTTATATCGGCAATCTAGGCGTCTAATTGTCAAGTCGTAACCAGCTCACATAACTATGGGTGATCTTCCTGCTGCTGCTTCTCTTGCCCCAGAAATGACATATTTAAATAGCACGACATAAGTAAGCTGGCTAGCTTTTCATCCATAACTCCACGGTTGAGATGAACAAGACGTTCAATGAGAAGCTTTAGGCCTGCCCTCTATGACGATGGCAAACCAGCTCTTCACGCACCTCTTGGACAAGTTTAACCGTAACCCAAGCCAGGAAGCACCAGTCCGAAGCAAAAAACAAGAAAACACACCTCCTGTCCAATATCACGACCTTGACCATCAGTCAAGGACTATCCAAATGCATTTGAACATGATCACAACATCGCCCAAACCCAAAGTCTAGCAACATCCAGTCCTCAGATCGATAAGACTCCTATCTAGTCCTTATATTCATTCTCATCCGAGATTAGGAAGTCCGGGTACTCATCATACTCATCTCACAAGTCCACCATACGGCCTCCTCATCCCTCCCTATCACCAACAACACCAATATCAAATCATTCATTCAGCCCAGGCTAGATCCTACAATCCCCATGACTCTAAAACCCCCAGCTCAGCGCTCCTACCATCCCTTGTACATCCTCACAACCAATCTACCCGCTTGTCAATTTCACATGCATCCCCCACCCCAAGACTCAAAACAGCATGCCACCCCCCAACCCCCAAGCATCAAAATAGAACACACAACAATGCACCGCCGCATAAAACCACCGTGCCGAACGGCACCAAAGAACCGCCCAACGCAACGCCGTCTATCACGATATCCATCATCAACACCTCCCTACGGTAGTCTTCCATCCCCCCGTCGAACCCCGAACAGTCCCCATCATCCCATATGGCCTCACGCCAAATCCGGCCGAGATACCCGACATCGCCAAGACGAGATCACCCACTCACCGCACATCCCCAATGCCTCGTACATTTGCAAGACAAAAAGTGCGACCCAATCAGAACACCCCGCCACAAACGCCTGGCGCGCGCCGCCCCCACCTCTCTCTTCCTCTCTGCCTTCCCCCTTTCCCTCCCGTCCAATGCCATCCCAGTCTCGCGTTTTACAAGAAGCGTCACGAAACAGAGGGCTCGTCATCCAGTGCTGGGGCCGGGGCCGGTCCGAGCGCTGCGTCAACCAACAGGCTGGCGGCGGACAAAGACCGAGAAAGTACGAACCGGAGCGCTGTTGCTCTGCACGTCTCAGCTTTTCCTCTGGCTCGTAGACTCCCGCAGACATACTCACGCGCGCGCACAAGCCAGTCACTCGCAAAGATAGACCACGAATTGACAGAGAGGACGGCACAAACAGTTGACCATGCAAGAGTCTTGTGCCTTGCTGCATCAAAAGAAAAAAACTGTCTAAAGTATACTGATGATGGCATCGCTAGGTACAATGTAAATGTCGGTAGTAGTAAATAGTATATCCACAGGGGGGAGTGCGGGGATGACGCCAAAGATTATCATCATCCGCCGATGCAAATTCCTCACTCGTCTCGCTCTCGAATCCTCTCTCCTACTCTTTTTGTTTACCCCCCCTCCCCACGGCATGCCTCGGTGCCGTCACTCGAATCTCTCAAGAAAAAAAAACCCGCCAACCTCATGACACTGGCGTCCGGCGCACCTACACGCAACCCAGTGGATCAGACTCCAACGTGGCCGTGACAAGTCTATCCTGTGGCATCTCTTGGGAGATGCGCAGGGACAGGACGATACAGGCAGGCAATGACTGCTGATATTGTTGACAAATAATAAGATGGAAGAGGGAAACGAAATGAAGTTGTTGCCTTTTTTTTTTGTCGAGACCTGGCTTAGAAGTTCTCCTTGCCCCACACGAAGGAGAAGCTGCGGCGTCGTTAGCAATGAGCGGGATTCGGATGGTTCTCACAAGAGTCACTTACCCAGGTTCACTGTACTTATTACAATAGATGTGCAGCGTGCTACCCAGACCCTTGGGACCGCAGAAGAAGACACCGGCCTCGGCTGGCGAGTGCAGCTTGCGGATACCTCTGAAGATCATGTCCCAGTTGGGTCTGCCAAAGTTGGTCGGCGAACGGAGACCGGTGATGGTGTCCTTGTCGGCGTTTGCGTCGTTAATCATAATGTTGGTCGCGTCGTCCGCCTTGATCTTGGCCGTCAGGTACGTGTGGATCTCGATGCGGTTGTCGACGTCCTGGGCCTCGATGGCGAGGAGGAGGGAGCGGAACCACTCAAAGGAGCCAAAGTCTCTGCAGATCCAGAAGAAGTACACCTTGCTGAGGCGCGTCTTCTGCTGGGGGTAGTTCATGCGGTACCAGATGGACTTGAGGATGGAGGCGAAGGGCGTGACACCGATACCGGCACCGCAGAGGACGGCAATCTCATACTTGAAGACGTCCTCGGAAGCCGATCCAAAGGGTCCGTCGATGTAGACACGGGGCAGAACGCGGCGGAGGGCGGGGTCGACCTCGCTCGAGTCGCTGTTGACACCGACAACCTTGCTGCCGTCCTTCTTCTTGTCCCATTCGCAGCCGAGAGCGGTGGAGACGCCGCGGGTGAAGTCACCGACAACACGCATGTGGATGGAGATGTAGTCCTCCTCGGGGGCGCTCGTCAGAGTGAACGGGTGGTACTGCCACAGAGAGACGGCAGGGCAGCAGAAGAAGATGTACTGTCCGGCCCTGGTCTTGGTGTGCTCCTTCTTGATCTGGATCTCGCAGACGTTGCTGGGGTGCTGGATGACCTTGGAGATGTACGTGTTGTGGCGTCCGCGGACCTCACGGGCAACACGCTCGGCCAGGTAGGCGAATCCGCCGTACATCCAGTACTGCCAGAAGACACCAATGGCCGAGGTGCCGATGCTGGTGCAGAAGGGCGCGAAGTCGGGCTGAATCATGCAGAAGGCGCCGTGGATGGACCAGAAGAAGAAGAAGACGATGAACATGTGGTGGGTGTACCAGAAGCGCTCGTAGTTGGCACGTCTGGGCTTCTCGACCGAGGTCATGACCATGCCCATCAGCGCGAGCAGCATGACATAGCCAGTCCAGCCGGGGCCCGAGGTGAAGTTGGCCAGGAGCCAGCCATAGATTCCGAGGTTGTTCTTGGCGGCGATCTGAGCAAAGTTGTTCCAGTGGGCAATGGTGTGGACCCAGGAGAAGAAGACAATGGACCAGGCAGTGGTGATGTGGAAGGTGATGTTCTTGTCGAACTGGATGATTCCGTTGAGGGGTGTCTGACGGGCCAGAGAGATGAGCGTGCGGCATACGGGGAAGAGAATCAGGGCGACGTCGACGTGGAGGACCAGGGCGGCGGAACGGGCGATGATGAAAGTCGGGCCAAAGGTGTCTCGTGCTATTTGCAGGTTGTCCTTGAGGGCGAAGTTGACGGTGGCAAAGGCAAAGACTAGGCCGTGGAGGACCAGGAACACGAAGACGAAGCTGGTGGTGGTTAGTGTCGTCCGTCGACAGGCATGCATGCAGAAGCAGAGAAAGAGACGTACACTCTTCGGTATCCTTCGTTAATCATCCAACGGTCGAAGCGCTCGCGCGTCGTCAAATCCTTTTGCTTCTCCTGTGTCATCTCTCCAGAGAGAAGCATGCGGGTGAGGGGCGTCCATCTCGAGCGCTCCGAGGGCTTCTCGGAGCTCGCATAGTAGTTGTAGTCCATGGCGGGCGGGTTGGTCTGGCTGTCGCTAGCCAGGAGCTCGTCGGTGGTCGATCCCTTGCAAAGTTCCCTTCTGATCCGAACTGTCCCAGTAGCGGGTGGTCTTCTTCTCGACTCTTTCTCGGATGTCCAATTAACGTCTCCTCGGATTTGGTTTGTCCTTCAGTTTCCTTCCTTTTTTGTCGGGTCGACGTCTGGTCCGGGAGCAGTAGTAGTGACGAGCGGCGGTGCGAATGGTTGCGGGGTATATAATCTCGAGAGCCGGGTTGGGTTGATTCAGATCCTGCTGAACGGGCGCAGAAAACAATGCATCTAAAATGAAAGTGTAGGAAGAAAAAGCTGTCGATCCAAGAGCGCGCGAACCCAGAAAAGAGCGGATATTGGAGCCTGCAATCCGACAGTCACTGGGTCAGCGATACGACGGCTTCACGCACCAACGGACGGTGAATAGAGAATGAGGCGAAGCGGTTAAAAAAGGGAATAATAAAAAAGGGCACGGGTGTGAAATGTGAATGACAGAAAGTGGCGGAGGGGAGAGAGAGGACAGAGGACGGGAGGATATGGCGCGCAAGAGAGTTTTGGAAGATGCAAGAGAGAGCGTCCGAGAGGGGGGGGGGGGGGGGCGCGGCCAAGGAAGGGGGACGAGGGATTGATGGGCAGCAGGGGAGTGTGGGAAACATAAGGTGATTTTTGTGTAGATCATACGGCGACAGACGCAGCCCATTCGTGGCTACGCCGCCCATTCGTATGCGCGCACGGCACTGAATGGATGAATGGATGGATGGATGGATGGATGGATGAATGAATGGGTTGACGGATGGATGGGCGTACCTGCACACAATGCCTGCACTCGAGCGGCTGGCCAGAATTCGAGGTATTCGCGGATTTTTGGATAGGGAGGAGTCGAGAGAAGAACACGGGCGGTATTATTCTTTCCCTACTTGCAGCAGCGGAAAGGGGGCGTGAGAACGGGAGAGGATGGGAAAGAAAAGAGAGTCAAAAGAGCATTCGGGAGGTGGGCGATCTTAGCATGAAGAGGAGGAGTGGGCGACAAGTCTCGGGTGTGAGAGATGGATGGGCTGGGCGGGGAGGGGGACTAGGGGGGGGGGCAGTATGGGACATGGGACCAGGGGGTGAACAGGGTTAAAGGGGGGGGGAGAGAAAGGAAGGGATTAGGACCACTTTCGTGACGCCCTCCTGTTTAAAAGAGCATACTTTACGAGTACAGTACACGCACATACCATGCGTACACAAATGAACGAATGAATAATTACCTTCAGCACGCAATGGGGATCGGAACCGTCACAGGAACCAGGAACCAGGGACAGCGCCAGCAACAGTCCTTCTCCCGCCAGCCAGGACCGGCCGGCCAGCTAGGCATCTATAGCTGGCAAAGTAGCCAGTGCACTCTCGGGTCGCAGTGACAAACCAACATGGCACAAGAGGAGGCCGCGACATCATGCCTACGGTACGAATAGCAAGCAGCTCGGGGCGAGGTGGCCGGGGTCAGGAAATCAGGGCCGTGTGAGATCCAGGAGGGGTTCGTCGTGGAAAACAAGGGGGGTGTGGGAGGATGAGGCTTCGAGACCAGACACAGAGGATGGATGGATCGATGGATGGCGAAGACAATGAGAAGACGCAACAGTACTACCGGTAGGGGCACCGACGATGCAACACAGCGAGACAAGAGAGAGAGAGAGAGAGAGAGAGAGAGAACGGACCACTCAGCACGGAGACACGAGATAACGCAGTAATGCACCGCTACAAGGCGCCGTGCAGATACGGCAGTCAAGACTGCAGCGCAGGCTCCGTGGCCCCTTTACTCGCGCGGACGGACGTGAAGCGATACGATACACACGCATGCACACATGGAGAAGAGGGAGAGAGAGATAGAGAGGTGCTCTGTACACTAGAGAGAGAGAAAGAGAGAGACGCTCGAGACGCCGAGACCGAGGATGGAAAAGAAGCAGAAGTGAACGGTAAGAAAAACAAAAAACCGTCTGAGCATGGCTCCACAGCGGAGCAGGGATGCCAAGCACCAAGAGCCTCAGGGGCAAGGCGACATTACGCTTACTTGGGCGGGGCTGACTACCCTCCTGGCCAATCATTTCCGATTACGGCAACGCAGGTACCTTGTACCTTTTGGGGGGGGGGGTTTCGACGTTTGCCGCGCTGCTTCGTGACGGCGTCTCTCTCGACCTGCATCGCCTTCCAACCAGTACCAACAGTACCACCAGTACCAACAGTACCACCAGTACCAACAATACCACCAGTGACTCTCGTCGATCGAATGTTCGGGTTCGGGCTCGTCGGCGTCTAGGCTCTGCGCACTGCCAGGCTACGGCTCCTTGGCGCCCCTTTCGTGCCGCCATGTCGGATCCGCGCTCAATCTCGAGATACGATCACCACGTTATTAATTCAGGTGAAGGGGACTAGCCATATACGCCATCCAAGTCAAAATGGCCTGGTCGTGGGGAGATTCCTCGCCAACATGGGCCCAATCGAAAACACCCCCGCCCCCCCGTCCGCAGGAAAGAAGCCCACTGGACCATCTTACCGACTCTCGTACTCTATTGAGTCTTGGCTCTCCAGGCTTGGCTTTCATCTTGTCGGGTCTGGGCAAATTGCTACGGTCAAATGAATCCATCCATTCTGGTTTACCTGCCTGACAGCCCAGCGCTGGGCGGGCAGAGAACAGAGACGGGACCGACAGAATCGACGACACGGCCCCTTCAGCCATGATCCTGGCTACACCACGCGTTTCCCAGCAGAGCCGTCGCCGCGCCCTCCTTTTGTGGGCCTGCCCTTCCTGTTCCTGGGACCCAAGACCGTTGGAACGGGCTGGCCGGCAGCGCGCACCCGCTAGGCAATATCCAGAGAAGCCTATTCCGACAGCTGCGGCCTGGGTTCTTCTCCGTCCACGGCCAATCACCTCCGTTGTACCTGGCTCGAGCAGCCCGCTGCCGTCCGCTGCGCTTCGAGGCTGTTCGTCCTTCGGCCGTCGATGCTGGTATGGCTGATTAGCACCATTCAAGCTGATTCACGTCGACAGCTGCGGGCCCGGCGCCATCACGGAGCATGCCGAAATAGTCCACTCTCGCGGCTCACCTGTCGAATCTTATCCTTACTAGGTATTTGCAGTGCCGGTCGACTTGGGTACACGACCATGCCTCCCTTACCAAGGAAGCAGACACTTCCACGAGACTGACAGACAGACAAACAAGCTACAGCGCACTGCAACGCAACAGCACACAACCAGCAGTGCAACCAAGTCTTCAGCCCCCTTCCGCCTCACCACGGCCGCCTACGCCTCCGTCGCTGTTTGGGCCGCGTTTGGAACAAGGCTGCTCTTCCGCATCACATGTGGGTAATGAGGCCATAACCTCCCCGCGGCCCTACAACCCCCAAACCGCCCAGTTGCACGTCGAGACATCTTGGACCGATCCCCAAGCCCGGCAGAGCTCGACTTTGCCGACGAGAAGGGCCAGCGAGTGGCCAGTCCGCCCTCCCACTTTGTTCCCGCCAAAACACGACCAGGGCCAGCTTCAGAATTGCGATACGTACCCTTGGCTGGGGTCCGTCTTTCCGCGTCCCATTGGCCCAACGGCCTCATCCCCACCGGTGAGAGAGGGGCGTGCGTCTCGATTCGTCGCTTGAGCCCGTGTCGCAGCTTGTTTCGCCAGGGATGCTTTGACACAATCCAAGATTCGCATTTTCACAAAATGGTGGTGCAAGGTGGTGGTGGTGCACTCACCGTCCAGCAGCCATTGGCAGTCGCTTCTTTTCTCTTCCTACACTAGGAGTAGCTATTGTTCCTGTTTACCTGGGCCTACGTGGACGACGACGACGACACGACGACGACGCAAAGAACAACACCTCCCCCCAATCTTACTCGGCGGCTGCAACGACGTTGGTGCCATGTATCTCCTCGGGAACAGGTTCGATTCGCAGTCTCGACACACGCGACACCTTCATTGGCTCTCGTCTCCCCGTCCCCTCTGACAAACCATAAGCCGTCAAAACACGCATACACGCATACACACACACACACACCTCCCTCTTCGGCATCTCACCCTCCTCCATCGCCTTTGCCGCCCTCCCATCCCTTCAACCCACTGCCGCCGGAATATTATTAGCACGCCCATTGGCTAGGGTCCCTCGACTCGCCCTACTCTCCTCCCATCACCATCCGCCGTAACTGTAGAGAGAGAAGCCCGAGGGCCAACACCCACCATCTGTCACGGCGCGGCAGATTGCCAAACCTCTGGCCTGCCTCCCATCCCATCTTGTCACCTCGCAGATTGATCCCCCGTCAACTACTCAGCACCCCAGGCGGAGATCATTCACAACCTACGCACTCGTGGCAGCTCAACGTGGCCGGCAGACGCAGGAATCAGTCCATATCTGAGGCTGCTGTGCCCCCTTTCCCATCGCCAGCGTAGATCATGCATATCGTCAGGTCCCCCTTGGGCACTGGTCTGGTTCGTCTGTCCGTCGTTTACGTAGGGTTTGGCCTTCGTCTCCCCTTGCTCAAACCCGTCGAGACGCGGCCCTACCAGCAGGGTGAAGACGTAACGATCGTGGGTCAGGGTTTGTCTGTCTACAAACTCGCCTACACTTGACTTGCGAAGCGCTCGCAATCTACCGGTTGGCGTGACGAGGATCAACCCGCTGCATGCAAGTGAAGCCGGCAGCTACACATTGTCCGTCTAATCCCTCCTCCAACAACTCTATCCTGCCAATCAACCGTCCACAGTGTTCAGATCGTAACCCTGCTGCGCGGATGGTTCTCGAGGTTGTACCGTACTCTGCATCTGCAGGCCATCACGAACCCAACGTCGGCGCTTCGCCATTCTAGAAGTCGTTCCCACTTTACAACCTCACCGTCATCAGCCTCATTCCATTTACCTGACACACCTACGAGTGAGCGACCGCACGTCTCAACCACGACCTCCCCACGTTGGCTGTTGTCGACCTCGCCTTGTCGATGCCGACCTTATCTC